TTGTCATGCGGAATAGGCATCAAGAAGCTCTGAAAAAATCTGTGATGCTAGGGCATGCATCACAGACATCAGGGCTCATGCAAAACGTGCATGACAAGCGTCAGAATGTTCCAGACCCAGACATTTTTACATTCGATATGCTTGTTGTTGGCACGATTCCACCTCCACCTCCCCCCATCGCAGCGCTTGTCGTGATCTCTGGGGCCCCCCTCGCTGCGTCGGTCTTCCTCGAAGAACTCCGACCAAACAGGGAACTGAAAATGCCGGCAGCGCCACTGGCCGGAGACACCCTGGCGGCGCCGGCGGAAAGAGTGCGAGCAACAGGGACGAGATTAATATTTCCGTCGACGGCTTGTTCAAGTGGTCTGGCAGAAGATTTGGTGGAACTGGCCGTTGCTGCGCCGCCAGAAGGTCTTGATTGTAGCTGCTCTCCACCCGAACGTCTGCCGCGTGGGATCGGACCTGTTGTAATGGAGGAACCTCCAGGGGTGGGTGCGATTTTTTGTTTTCGAACAAGGAGCTTGTTCTTCACTAGAAGAAATACTACATCGGCACTTGCATGTCTTCCATCAAGATCATCTTCCCGATAATTTTTTCGGCAAAAAGTTAGTATCTACCACCAGAGGCCATGGCGGCCAGCGCGCCGCCCCGTGGCGGCGGACTGGTTCCGCCGGAGGCAAGCCCCAAGCTGCCGGTGAGCGAGCCCGCCGCAAAGCCGTCGGTAGACCGGGTCCGGCGCATTACGCCCTTGTCCACCACGATGTTTTGACCCAGCAGTTCCTCGTCGTTGGGTCCGAGGGAAACCTGTGTAGTGCGATTGCGGTTTGCAGGAGTGCTTCTACTGTGCGACACCTCTACTAAAAAATCAAAATTCTGCGAGGTGGATGAAAATGTTGCAACATGGTAGAGCATCATCTTCTCACAGCCAAAATCGATACCATGGAGCTTCCTCTTCGTATTGCCGCTTTCCCCAGATTTAACGCCGCGACGCTCAACGCCGAAACCAGGGAGCTGTTCTTCTCTACTGCGGAATTCCCGCCGTTTTCGTCGCGATTAGACGACCGCCGACCACTGCTCTCCCGCCTGCTTCGCCTCCCGGACCGCGTGGACCGCCTCGACGCTCGTGATGCTACGGACTCCACTGTGCCAATCCTCGGACGGGCGGTACTGCTCTGCTGCCTTCTGCGCGGGACAACGCGCTCCGGGACGGGGTCGTCGGGAGGCGGTGATTCTGGCTTCATTTCTACTTGGGTAGAAGTTTCTTCGCCGTTTTTCTGAGGTGGTGGGGCGTCATTGGCTCCTGCTGCCATTGGTGACGCAGGATTCGGATCTGCTGGGTTGTCCGCCTGCTCTTCCTTTGAGTTTTTTGAAGATCCAGAGCTACCGCCGATTTCCTCGCGTGGATTTGTGCCGCCTGGTGCTTGTTTCTGTGACGTGGCTTGATTTTTTTTCCCGGATGATGCGAAAGAGGTGTCATGATCTGGAACGTTGATCAACATGCTACTGTCGTTCAAGTCGGGAGTGGGGTTGTCTTGTTGCGTGACCACGCCTTGTTCCGCTTTTGCATCATCTGTACCATTTTCGCCACCCCCGCCGGCTGTGCTGTCATCTGCTGGTGGAGGTGGTTCTGATGCAGCTCCTACTGTTGCAGCTGTAGTTGCACTCTTATTGTCTTTATCAGGCGGTTCACGACCAGCATCAGGCTTTTCTTCCTTTAGAGGATTGTGCACGACCAATTTTCCCTTCGATATCAGCCCCGGGATGCTCAACCGCGCCGGCCCATCCTCGTCCTCCTCCTCGTCTTCGCTACTTGTCTTCGAAAAGTTCACCGACTTTTTGTCCAACGACTGCGATCTAGATCGTTTTTGCAGAAACGACTCCGAGCTCTCATCATCCGCACCACTACTGCCGGTACTGCTGTACAGGGCGGAGGAGTCTTCTTCCAAATCGGATTCCACCTCCTCTATCACCTCCAAAGCGTCTCGATCCACCCGTTGCGTGTCCCAGTCGACAATGTCGGTGATCTCGGGAAAAATGACGCAGACGAACTCCTGATAACTTATTGAGCCTGTCCCATTAGTATCGAAGTGGTTGAAGAGTTTCCTCGTTTTCCCGATCGGCGCGAAGAAGTGGAACGCTTCGAGCATGCGCTTGAACTCGTAGAAATCGATCTCGCCTGACCCGTCCTCATCCACCTCGTCAAAAACCTCCCGCAAGTCGTCCGTCGTGTACCCCTGCTGCCGCATTCTCGATCGGACCTTCTCCACTAACACGATTCTGTCCTGGTCGAACCAGGTCTGGGAGAAGCACGTTCCCACGATTGCGATGGGCATGGAGAGGAAAATCACACCCAAATACATCCACAACACCGCGATCGCTTGCGCCAAGGCGGATTGCGCCGCGGTCCCGTAAACTGGTGATACGTCGATGGAGATGGTGACCACCATGATGTAGTGAAAAGCCTTCATCCAGGAAGAGATCTGCAAGGGGATCCCGCCGTTCACGGCAGAAATCCAGTCAAACGTCAACACGAGCGACGCCCCCGCAACACCCATCATCAACAGGAAAAACACCGGGATTAACAAAGCCGCCATGCTGTTCCGCAATGCCATGCGGAGTAGGTACCAACCTGGGAAATATCTGCAGAGCTTGACCAACCAGAAAACCGCACCGAAAACGGAGATGTAACGGAGGCCGGGGGAGACGTGTTTGTCTAGCCGGAAACAATTGTTGATCCAGAAGGGGAGCACCGCCAGAATGTCGAACAGGTTCGAAACTTGGTTTATGAACTTCATCTTCACCGGTGCGACCGAGAAGCGTAGTGCGGTCTCCAGCGTGCAGATGAGGTTAATTGCGAACGTCCACCAAAAAAGCTTCTCCTCCACCCAGGCGGTATCGTGGAACTCACCGGTGAAGGCTTCGTAGGTCTAGTTTTTGTCGTCATAATTGCTTTTAATTTTATTTTTATGCATCACAAACACAACATTCGCAGCATTCACAGCATTGCAAGAAATCGCAGCAGTTGTTCTGAATGCTCGTAAAAATGAGTACCTGTGGCTTCACTGCAGTGTAAAACCCAAACACGACCAGCACAATCATCCCGAGGGAGTAAGCCGTGGAAACCGGGGTGAGAAACGGTTCTTCCATGAACAGCCAGAGCAGCAGCTTCTTCTTCGCGACAAAGGCTCTTAGAGAATGCGGATTCTGGCTGTCCATGAGCTTCACTTCGTTCACCACCTCGTGAATGTTGTCCAGAACCGACCCGTATCAAATGCAAAAATGTCTGGGTCTGGAAGGTTGGAACTTGTCATGCTAAGTCTGGATAGTGCAAAAATTTGTGTTGCATGATTACCAAAAGGTGTCCACGTTTGAACAAGTTTCGTGGCAGTTTGTCATGCAGGATAGGCTTGATAGAGACTTCGCAGAATCTGTCATGCTAGCTCCTGCATGCCAAACCTCCTGGGACATGGAAATATGCATGACAAGTTTCCACTCCTCCAGACCCAGACATTTTTGCATTTGATAACCCACCGTGGTGAAGAATCTTGTCCAGCTGGGTCTGCGAGTTGGCGCGGGGAACTGCCGGTGTTGATATGTTTTCTGCTATCTGGTGATGTGCGAGTGCGATTAGTGTGTCCTGCGACTATTTGTGCAACTGCTTTTTTACTTGATATCCAAAAAGCAGATGCAGCTTGAGATTGTCGTTGGAAAGAAGGGTACACTGGCTACTTCCACACGTTCGTTCGTTCCCGCTTTCATACAATCACAAAAATCAAAGAAAAAACCAGAAACCTATTCCCTTCGCCGGACTGTTTCCTGTCGGTTCCAAAAACGTTTTCAGCAAATTATTCCCCTCCTGCACGTCGTCCCATATTCTCGACCTGCTCGTCGACCGGAACCCAAAGCCGTGGTGCTGGTGCTGCGGTTGCCCCCCACCGCCGCCGCCCTTCAAACTTTCCCGCTCGCTGGCCTCGATGATGTCAGTCCCACCTACTCCTCCGCCCATCATGTCTCTGGACGACGGCGGTGGCCCGGCGACCACGGACGCGCGGCGACTCTCCGGGGAATCCAGGGTGCCCTGGCGGGAGAGCTGGGGGCGAAGGAAGCTCCGACGGTTCGGACTGCCCACCATGAGCCCACCTGATGGTCGTGTGTGGGTGTATTGATTATGCAAAACTACTGCTAGTTCTAGATCTAGTGGCTCTGATGTTACACTGTTGTCATTTATTTTCTCATATGCTATCGTTTGGTAATTGTGCCCTACCACCATAGTTGTACCTGGATCCAGCAAGTCTGACTCCGGCCGTGTTTGCGAGCGTCGCACGCTTCGAACAAAGGGTTGCGAGGGCTGTTATGGGCGTGTCAGGATTGAAATCGTCAAAGTTGAAATTGAAATAGTTTGTCATGCATAAAATGGATGCCAGTCGGAAGCCCACATATCAAGCGGCGCATGACAAATTTTCCGAGCATCGGAATCCAATTTGTCATGCTGTTTGCGCACAGAAGACTGCTTTTGTCATGCTACTTTAGCAGCTCTATTTCAAACCCGAAACAGGCTCACAATCGGCCTCATTTGCCATCCCGGCAAGACAGGCACTTCGTGCCTTGCATTTTATGCATGACAAATTATTTCAACTTTGACGATTTCGATCCTGACAGTTCCATAGCTGGCCAGATTCGCGTAAAAGAGTCGGTCCGCCGTCAGGATTCTGAATGGTCGTCATCGACCGCGACATGCGCCGCACGGGCGCGCCGCTCGTTCCTGTAGGGGCTTCCAGCATGATCCACTAGTGCTGGTTGCGGATGGGATACACCTCTGCCTACCACGAAGACGACAGCCCGGTTGAGGTTGACGCGGTGGTCGTGACCCGCGGTTCAGCACGACTGGCAGGTGTACGCTGTGCTCCTCCAGTTACACATGGCGAAGTTCTCTTCCTCAGCCAGGATGAGTCGTGTCTGTGCAGCGACGAATGAAGCATCCACAATGCCAGCATTTTTAATGATGCGCAGTGTAGGTGTAGCTCTACTCGTGACAACAAGATGTGCAACCTCAACGCTGCTACTTGAACATCATAACTCTCGTCTTTGTTTACACTCCGAACATGCGCCGGCCCGCCCTTCCAATTATAGGTACTCTCTTCTTTTAGAAATAAGAATAACGTCGTGACTCAGTGCCACATCCTGACTCTCTGAAAGTTCAGTAAATCCGGTTTTTTAGTGCCACCACTACAGCTCGGATATTCACAGAGGCAAACTATCGAAACGAAGCTTTCTCCAACACTTCAGTGTCGAAAATGTTTTCTGGATGTAAATGGTTTGAAGTGAAGATATCTTCCCCAGAACCGATTTGTCCAGACACTGTTGCTGGAAGCAGAAAAAAGCTGCGATCGCAAGAAATAGATCACGTCGTCGAAACGATGTACTTTTGAAAAACTTTTATGTAATGCACTGCTAGGGTCACGGCACCCGCATGGTCGACCACAACATCTTCATTCTATCGCGTTGGCGTTCATCACTACTAAAATGCACTGGTGGTACTTTTGGTCACAGAACAAGAACTCGAAGCAGGCGCTTAGTTGTCAAAAATTCAAAGTTAGTTGTTTTTACCCACACGGATATGAATATAGCGCAAATGGAATCACTTCGCGCGCGCGCAAGAGCCACCTCCAAACGCGCAGAAGGTGCTCTTCGGTCTTTTACTATTCGACGAACCAGCTGCCTCTAGCAGGTTTTCTCTTCTCGCGAGCACTTCCTTTTTGTACTTTTTGTACCCCGCGTTCCACCGCATTTCGGCGTAGTTCTGGTAGTCAAAGCCCACATCGGACGTGGCGCTAAGAATCACCGCCCAGAGGATCCAGTACAGCTCGGCCAAAGGGCAGTACTCGAGGAGCGCGTCGAGCCCGGAGTCGGAAGTGAGGACCTCGACGACCGCGGAGGTGGAGGACGAGTCCATTTGCGGCTGAGCATTTTCTACTGCAGCCTGCTCTGCAGTTTCATCTTTACTTATGCCGTGCTTTATCTTGAAAAGCTCCTGCAGGTAACTTGCCACGTACTTCTTCACGTGCTCCCTACTCGGAAAAAATTCATCCGGGTCAAACTTGTTCGCGACGATAAGCATCGACTCCGGTATCGCGTTGAAGTGGTTCGCGATGTCGTGACCCCGGTGGTTCCAGCACGCGTACTCGAAGTCGATCAATCGCATGGAGTTTTTGTTGATTTTCATTTCCTTCGTGTTTGTCGTGTCAGCAGAAGTAGTTGTACTTGCGGTTTTGTTCTGCTCATCTACCAGCACGTTGCCTCCGAGGAGATCCTGGTGACAGAAGACTACTTCGCTCCAAAATCGGCGTGCGGTGTTGTAGTCGGATAATCTTTTTTCGGATGATGTTCTTGGTGTAATGGTGGTGATCTTCTCCTTCTCCTGCTCGCTCGCAGCGTCATTATTTTCCTCGTCGATTTTCGCAAACCACGTTTCCCAAAATGCGAGCTCGGCGCTCAGCTCTTCGACATCTAGCCTGTTTTGCGCCTTCGGCGAGGCTGCGGCGTGACGAGCCTTCTCAACCCAGTCGTGCAGTTTGCTCCAGATCTCGCTTTTGGGTGTCGTTTTCGTGCTGGCTTCGTTCTTCGCTGGCCGAGAGGAAACGTCGAAGGCCACCTGTGGTTAGAAGAGAAAGTTGAGCAGGCAGTAAGTACTGACTACTGGGAAGTAAAAACAAGCCAGTACTTATGCAGTTCCATTGCGCGTACCAAACCAAACCAACATGCTCATGTAGTCGAGCTTGAGATGGTAACAACTGACCCAAAACTACACTCGAAAACGAATTATTATTATACCTGATGAAACTCCGCTTGTTTCTTGGCAATCTGCACGGAAATCTCTCCAACAAGCATTTCGGTCGGCTCCAACGCCCTTGACCCCGTGAAGAACCGCTCTATTCTTCCATTCGCGAATGTCGCAAGCACCCCCGCTCCGATGTCTGCTTTTGCGAACAAATCGTAGCAGATTTGGTTTTCCGTGGTCCGCTCACACACGGACATGGCTTTTTTCGTCTTACTGTCGCCGAAGAGACGAATTAGGACTGCGGTATGGGCTGTACAACTATTGGCGTGACTGCTCTCCGCATTTTTTCCTGCTGCGCCGCCTTTATTGTTCGTTGCCTTGTAGAGCAAGTTGGAGATTCCGCCTTCCAAAGGGTCAACAAGAATGTCCTCTATGCAACGAAAAGAGTGTTAAAGCTACACATTGACATTGTGTTGCAAGACATGCAAGACAGACGACCTCTGTCATGCTCAAAATGCTTGCAGGTCTCGTTTTGCGTGTGTTTTGCCTTATGATCCCTGCATTACAAGGCAAATTTGTGATCGTGATGCTGAATTCACTACAAATGTGTAACTGTAATTCCTTTTTCCTTGGATATCCTCCGTTGACAATCTAACTTCTTCGTCAACAGGCGGCTCTTCATGCTGTGGTCCCGCAGAAGATGATGCTGTTGTACACGCGAAATATCGCACAGCAAGCTCGGCAACAGCGTCTTTCCGTTCTTCCTGCAATTTTTCCGCCACCTCTGCAGACCCATCCCCCCGGGAAATGTTTATCCAGATGTCGGGGAAATGCAAACCCCAGGGGCGAGGCGTTGTAGCGGTTTGATCCTGCAATGCGGCAGGCTGAAGATTTTCCGTACCACCTCCATCGGCAACAGACGCAGTGCCCTGGCCGTCCTGTTCCCCAACATCAGCAGAGGCGGCCATAGTCACGTACTAGCTGCTGGGTTGAGCTTGCATTCCCTCTTGTTCTTCGTCTTCATGCAGTGGTAGTTATCGAGGACTACTTCCGTGTCAGTCGACGCCTATGGTAACCTTGTTACCTTTCAAAACGCCACTCAAGTCAGCGGCCACGACACAACACGGCACTTAAGCAGTGTGCACGCACCATCGTTTTCACAAGAACGGCGGGCGAAACAGGAGCGTCGAAGTGTCGTTGTTGCAAGCGAGCATGTCGCTGCTATTGAACATCGAGGGTCGTTCAAGACTGCAACATCGGAGCCTGGGCCTTTCTTTTCTTGGCGCAGCAAGGAGGCTGTCTTTTTTGCGCGAATCGCTTCTATTTTCATTTTCTAGTACAGGGCTTGTTGGCTGGCAAGCTCACTGAGAGCTGCATCTTGGTTGTAATACCAGTGGGTACAACTACCTGCACCTAGTACGTTCTTGTCGTAGTCGTTGTCGTATATGTCGCTTAGGTCAAATAAAAGACACTTACTTCGTTTGATTGACCTAAATTTGCACGATTTCATCCTCAACAGCATCATACACGAGTGAGGAGTTAAAACTTCTATGCGATCTCCTCGTACTAAGCTACTTGTGGTCAAAATGTTAGACGACAACCTCGAGTCAGAAACTTACACGACATCGTGATTTTTCTTTCGTGTAGTACTCCAAAATTTTATATTTCAAAAGCAGGGAGCTGCGTCATCAAATTTTTGGAAGTAGAAAGTCCTCCTCCAACGGGGCCTGCTCTCCTTCAGGTTGCTGATGTTGCTGCTCCTCTGCGCGTCGTGTACTAGTGGTGTACTCCATCACACCACCAGCAGGAGCTCCAACATCTTCTACTTCTGCTGCAATGAAATACGTCCCACTATTACTTTGCGGCACGACCATATTACCGTTGATTCCTTGGGCCACGAGTCCTTGCTGTTGAGACACATCCCGGATAGAGAGCGCGCGAACTAACTGCGCGTCAAGCCACGGGTTGTCGTTTTGGAGTCTCCGCTTCGCCTGCGAGGAGGTTAAATTTAAATTCATCCTGTCTTGCTGCTCCATAATTCCTGAAGCGTTGGTCTGGCCAGATTGGTTCTGTATTGGATAGTATGCGTTCGAATAGCGGCGGGGGCCTTGAGGTGGCGAGAAAGAAAGCTCCAAGCCGGGCTGCAGGAGAGGCTGACCTGCTTATCCAAGAAAAAAACATTGTAGGTGTAACTTCTTTGGAGGAACAGCATTACAAATATGTCTGGCATGACAGCAAAAACCTGTCATGCGCAGATAGTACGCGAAAACGCCCTTTATTGGACCCTACGATGCATGCCAAGCATGACAGACGCAATCGTCTTGCATGTTGCGCATCACAGATTTACACTAACAACGTTTTTTTCTTGGATACTGCTTGTTGGGGGACTACTGGGAAATTGCTTCCTGCTCCTCGTTATCCTGTGCAAAAGTATCGTACTCGTATGAATTGCAATTATGCATTACAAATCTCCATCCCAATCGAAAACAGCATGACAAATTCTTTTTGTCATGCTGATGCAATTTGTAATGCATTTATACGAGTACGATACTTTTGCACAGCATACTCGTAGTTCTCCGAATGAGGTTGAGGAGCTGGGTTTAGAGCTTTAACACCCGTTAGCATGAGAAGTGGTGAGTTTGTAGTGAATTTTGCATGACAAATAGCAGAGGAGACTGCCGGGACATTGTCCCTTTTGCTCTTCTGGGAAGTGGGTTCTGCACACCGCAGAAGTTAGTTGTCCAGGCTTATGACGCCCGGGCCATGTCATGGCCCGGGCGTCATTCTTTGGCCATGTCTTTTCGTCTTCCTGTGCTTGCAAAAGAGCAAGCACTGCAGCAGCCGCGGCAAACACGCCAAAAACAAGAGCCGCGAAGCACATAAGCGCAGTTTAGGCAAGATGAAGGCGCGGAAGCAAAGGCGAAAGGACCCGGCCGAGAGCTTTGACGCGTCTATCCGGCAGGCGCGTGAACTCTCCCGGCCTTTTCGGCAGAATATAGAGGCGCTTAGGGCAACAGCGGGCGCCTGTCTTTTCCCCTCGGCCCCACTTCCCAGGGTCTACTTGTGCGTTTTTTTGAGCACTTTTCTGCGCTAAACTTTGCTTATCACGATCGAAAAGTGGCGCTCGGTGAATTTTGGGGTGAATTTTGAAAAGGACGCCGGTGAATTTTGTCCTCCGGCTCCTTTTCAAAATTCGCGAGCGCGTGAGAAACTCCGGGCTTTGGGGCTTCAACAAAGTGTCGCCAAAACAAAAAGTCCCAAAATTCACCAAGGGAATTCTTGACCTGGGGATCACGTCGAATAAGACTTGCTCCGGAGGCAAAAAGACACGTGGGGAGTTGTGAGCCGAGCACAGCAGGCGAAGCAAGCTAGCGTCCGCGGCCGAATCGTGCCTCCCCTTCCACCCGAGGCTGCTCCCAGATACCCAATTCCAAGCCACAACCACAACTCGTGAGGGCGCACGTGTTGAACTAGTGCCCCTGTGTTCAGGCGTCGCCCTCCCTTTCGACCATTTCGGAGAGGAACTTCTGAGGCAGACGCGCAGAAGAATAAGAGCCCCCCGACCCACCTTCTCTGGTCGATAGATACGCACTACACAGCCCGGCGAGCCCCCGCAAGACCGCCTCTTTTGGTGCTGCAAGCGCCACCACGCGACGAGCAGCCCTTCAGGCTATGTGGGATGCTTGGGCTCGTGTGTCTAATACGTAGCGCTAGCGCTCTTCTCTTTCAAGTAAATGCAAGTCATGCAATACAAATTCACTGCAAATTCACACTTCTGTACGCTAACGACCGTTGAAGACATAGCTTGTTGGGGGACTACTGGGAAATTGCTTCCTGCTCCTCGTAGTTCTCCGAATGAGGTTGATACTGAGAGGAAAAATCCCCCCTCCCCATATCGAAAAGGTATGTTTCCGAAAATTTGTCTTGCTGATTTGAGACCACAAATCACGCCTGTCTTGCAAGAAGACAATCCCACAGGCTCTGCCGCATTATGCAGGCGGTTTGTGATGCTGTTGGGCCTACAGCATAGACGTTTCTCATGCTAAGCGCCTAGGCCAAAACCTCTCGACCGAGGCTTGGCATATGCCTGCAGTCCTCTCCAGCAAGACAGACCTGATTTGTGTACGCAAATCCAGCATCAGAAACTTCGTTTCGATATGGGGAGGGGGGATTTTTCCTTGTGATAGTTGAGGAGCTGGGTTCAAAAGTCCGACTTTGTTGCTTATTCATCCGAGCTTTAGTTGTATTCGCGGCGTCACTCGCCGAATAATCTTGGTGATGATCATCCACAACGGATATCGTGGGCGTTACTACAACTCCAGGTGGATCCGGGAACAAGATCCTTTTACTTCTGCCAGTCGGGTCGTAATTATCGCCGGTTATGTTTCTAGTACTTTGCTGCCCTATTTCTCTTGTACTAGTTCCTTCGAACACTGTCGTAGTTCGAGTTCCTCCTGCTAAAGTAGGCGTCGTCGCGAACCTGCCCATGGCGCCGGCCACGGGCGTGGTCATGCTCGGTCGGGCCTTGTAGAGTAATACCTGGTTGATTTCCAATTCGTCGGGAGGCATGTGCAATAGCTCTTCGAGCTCGATGGCGCCCCTTGGTGGGTGTGTCGTTCTCGTTCCGTGGATGCTTACCAACCCCTTGGACAAGCTTTCCTCGAAGTCTCTCCAGCTGTGGTCGAACTTCCACGCGAGGATTTCCTCCGAATACTCGAAGTCACAGAAGATATCCCAAGAGCAGTAGAAGCTGTCGTGTAACACCTTAATCGCCACGAAGAGGGAGAAGACGGCCAGCATGATCTGCAGGCTCCCCATACCGCCCCAATTCAGGTAGTCGTACAGACCTTGCGGTGTGTACCACACGCCGAACGCGATAAACACGGTTTCCCAGGCGGCAATCTTGATGATCGCGAGCTCCGCGCGGAACCCGCGGTAAAAGGCCGTGCTGCCGATCTCCACACTCGAAAACTTCTTCTGCATCGTATACACTGAGGCAAAATAGAGGACCTGATAAAGTGAAGTTGTTCCCGAGTTAGTTGCCCAGAAGATGAAGACGAAGCTGCAAAAATAATTAGCGTTCTTCTGCAGAAGGAATGCAGCAACTGAGTACAACTTAGACTGAAATTTCGTTTTCGACTCAAGTAAGTATGCGCAGTACCAAGAAACAAAGTCAAGGTTAAAACCCAAACTATACCATCAGCCAAGTCCGGAACGCGAGGCAGAAGTACCAAATTTTCTCGCCCGGCGCGAAGGGGGCGCACTTCATGAAACACATAAAGCCCTCGGTCCACTGGCGGTCGTGACACTGCGCAAACGGGTTGAACTGCTCAAAGGGTTCCGGTGCGGCTTGCCCGGGTGTGTTTTCTCCGAGGAGGCCGAGACCCTGCCGTCGCTCGTGGATAAACCCGTAGGGATCAATGCCTGATGGTGTTATTTGTATGTAGAGTATTTTTTTTATGTTATGATGATCTTCGCCTTCCTCTTCGTCTTATCGCACAGAGAACAAGATTCTTCGCAAAAAAATGCGCGTTGCAGGATTCGAACCTGCACCCCCCAGTCCTGCCCCATGGTAGCGCTAGTAACTCTCTGAAGCATTGTGGATCTGTTTCAGGTGGTGCGGGGATCACTCCGCGATTTTTTGTTCCTTCTCCTGAGCGGCTCGACTACCGCCCCCCATTCCACCTCGTTTCCCTGTTGAGGATCGATCCCGGAGGTGCGCGGCCCCGACGCGCACCCGGAGGTGCGCCACAGTTAGATCTTTTCGTACTACCTGCTTCCAGAGAGGTCGACCGGGTGCACTACCAGTTGTGCTAGCCGCGCGAGTACCAATAAAGAAGGATCGCAACCCGGGTCGCCAGAATACCCCTTGCTAAAAACCGCACTCGGGGGAAAAATTGTTTTTTTCGACATAATTTTTCATTTTTTCGCAATTGTGAGAGCCAGAGCACAAAGATAAACAGCATCACAATAAGCAACATTCATATGAGAAAAGAAGAGGAAAAAAACCACACGTACTGGTGATAAATATGTACCTATCGTCCACCTCGCCCAGATGTCCGAGATCAGACAGAGTGTACTAATCCCCCCATTCGCGCCCGCCAGCCCTGCGGCGAACCCGTGCCAGGAATCGGACGCGATCCAGCCAACGTTGCGGTTTCGCAACAGCAAATCGAGTTCCTCCTGCGACACGTCCTTCGGCAAGTCATAGACCCAGTAGTCCTTTCGTCGCGCCCGCGGAATGAACACGGCGAATAGCAGTCCGGTGACCAAAAGGAACTGCCGAGTTACATCCAGCAAGTAGCGGATGCAAATCGCCGGGGGTGCGAACACCGTCCCGGTGTCGTACCCGCCGGACAAATCAAGTAGCTCCCGCGACATGTAGTTCATGTCTTGGAAGCGGACCAACCCGAAAAAAATGCACGCGGTCAGCCAAAAACCCTTCCACACGTGGGATTGTACCTCGTCCTGGTCCGCATTCATCTCGGAAATATGCAGTTCGCCGTAGGAAAGAATGTTGCGGATGCAGTCGGCCTTTTCTCTCTCTGTCGGAGGGGTCGGTCTTATAGAAGCTGGTGCGCCAGGGCCAGGAGCTCCTGCGCCTGCTGAGGTGTAGATACTGATCCCCTCTTCGGGATGGATGGTCGGCGCAGGAGCTGCGTCACTGAATTGGGAATCGATGAAGCTTCTGTTTCTGGTGTCAAAATTGTAGTCACTGTAGGGAGCGGCGGTGGATTTCGTGTTCCGCCGTGCGTCAGCATAATCATAATTGGAGGCGCCGCTTTGCAGGAGAGGCTTTTTCTGTACATCTCCTGCTTCTAGAACTTGGCCACGCTGCCGTAGCAGTTGACTCTGCGTCGTGCGGCCCGCCCCGGGTCGAAGACGAATGTCGTCTGGGCTATCATCTGCTGGCTGTCGCTCGCAACACCTGGAACTACAAGTTCGGAAGCAGCAAGTGCAAGCGCGCTTTTTCCGCTTTCCCTCCTCCGTGTTGTCGTACGCATTTTGTCGGGCTTTCAGGTCGAAAAACCCGAAGGCCCGCATCAAAATGCGGCATTTCAAGCAGGCCCGCCACGCCCGGATGGCGCCTTTCACCCCGTAGAGCAGGAGCAAGATGGCAAAAAGCAGGATCAGGCTGTTGCTTAAATCGTACAAGTCATCGCCCCTGGCGAGACGCTTCGTCATTTTGTTGATGTAGTTGTGTGGTGGCAGCAGGATATTAAAAGAAAGAGTTGCAACTAGTTTCAACTCTTAGGTAGAAAGGCCAATAAAAGCCGTCGAGAACAACAATGGTCTCGCCCGGGTTGAAGTAACATCATGATTAAAAGGTAACTTTTTCGCCTTACGACAAAACTGTAGCTGCCCTGCTCCAAAAATGGATCCTACATCACATGTACACCGTGCTGCCAGTGAAATGCCGGCGGGGGCTGTATGGTTCGTTGAAAAAATTCACAAGCCTCTCAGCGTCAATTTCAAATAAATTATTTCTAGACTCACACTTAGGATTACGATTAAGGTTTTATCGTCTAAGATCGATAATTTTTGCTTCCGGAATGGCTCTTTTACTAGGCTAAGGCACCACGACGTCGACGTCTATCTCTATTGGCTTAAAAATGTTTGATATTGATCATCATCTTTTGCATGTTCCTTGCAATTATACGCAGCTGTATTCCTGGCCCGACCGTTGTTCTTCTCACCACTACCGAAAACAAAGCGGCAACAAGTCTTCAACTGCATCAGATCCAGCACAACATTGCCTTTTTCTTCATGAGGACCTTTTTTTTGAAAAACGTGACCAGCACGGGGTGCAGAGCGCAGCGCATAGATGGAATTGGAAAGGCATAACCGGTGCGATGGCGTACCAGGCAGAGGTTGATATCCACAACCCTGCTTGGAAACATCACTTCGCGCCAGCGATCGCGGATAAAAAAACCGAACTTGATCATACCGATTGTCAACATGCATGTGTACTAGCTGTAGTGTAAAGCAGGATCTGCATCCAAACCGATACTTCTATAGGTCAGAAAACCGAAATGGAAAGATCTTGGCGGTGCTGTTGTCGGATTGGACCTGTCATAGGGTCAAAAGAACTGAATCTGTTGAAACAGTGTCTGCCTGCTCGGTCTCACACGCTACAGGGCTCTTGCTTTGTGTCTGCCTTTGTTCACTTGAGAGTGAGGCGGGATGTAATTCTCATTAACCTTGCGTACTATCTGTATCTACTAGGATAGCAGAATCTACTGAGGCGGAGGGCCAGCGGGCCCGATAATTTGCAATCCATTTGCAGCTGTGCCGGCCGGGGCCGCTGCGTGACCGTTATTAATCACTTTTGAAGTCTTTCCTCTTTCTGCCGACAAAGACGCGCGTGTCGAGGGTGACGTGGGTTTTATTCGGTTGGCTTCGGTAATTGTGGGAGGGGCAACAGCTGGTCCAGCATTCAGATTTATTATCGGGGTTGCTGCTACTGTGGCTGTGGGGGGTAACGCAGGACCGATGTTGGCAGCACTTCCTGCTGGGGGTTGTAATGAGGGTCCCACTTGCGGCGGAGGTGCAGGTCTCGCACCCGGTGGTTGTGGTCCTATTGTTGTAGGCCCTACCGTATTAGCAGTAGAACCACCGGGAGGGCGCTGCGGTCCAATCGCTGCGGGCCCGATCGTTGAAGGTGGGAGCGCAGCAATGCTGAAGGCCCGATCGTTGAAGGTGGGAGCGCAGGTCCGAAAATTTCAAAATCCAACGTGCGACACATCCAGCAGTGCCAGATCCCGATCCCGAAGCCGGAGCACCCGGACGACGGACTGAACACGCACAATTTTGCGTTGATGTCCCAATCGTACGAAAAGACCGACCCGGAGAAGGCGCAGCAGATCCTCAACGCCGCACCAACGGCTATTCTCGCGCTGGTCTGCAAACTGCAAGCGAACTTCAAGGGTTTCATGCTCCGCGCGCGGTACTCGCACCGCGTGAAGGTTATCTGCGGGTACTGCAAGGAGATCGACTGGCCGCGGGCGCTCGGCGACGAGCCGGATGAGGACGAAGACGAGCTGACGGCCTTGACCAGGAAAGCGAACAAGAAGAAGGACTCCGGCAAAACCCTCGACGAGAAGATTGCCACCTACCAACCGGTCGTTTCCCAGTACCTCGGTGGCCAGGGCCTGGAGGCGGAGAAGAAGCAGAAGGAGCTGAAGCGGCCGGGCGCGTTGTCCAAGCAGGAGCAAGTCGGTATGCCGGAAAGGGGGGAAAAAGGCGCGATCCCGGTGGAGACGCTGCAGGACTTGCCGCAGGTGCGGATCACCGCGGATCACCGGGCGTGCGCGGATCTGTACGCTTTATGCGGTCCAATCGCTGCGGGCCCGATCGTTGAAGGTGGGAGCTCTTTTACTAGGCGGAATGGCTCTTTTACTAGGCGATCGTTGAAGCTGGGGTTGCGGAATGGCTCTTTTACTAGGCTAAGGCACCACGACGTCGTCTATGTCCATCGGCTTACGCTTAATAAAAGTGTTTGATCATTATCTTTTGCATGTTCCTTGCAATACGCAGCTGTATTCCTGGCCCGACCGTCGTTCTTCTCACCACTACCGAAAACAAAGCGGCAACAAATCCATTGCATGATCAGATCGTGCGCAACATTGCCTTCTTCTTCATGAGGACCTTTTTTTTGCAACCGTGACCACGGGGCGCGGAGCACATGGAATTGGAAAGGCATAGTGAAATAACCGGCGCGATGGCGTACAAGGCAGAGGTTGATGACCTCCACAACCCTGCTTGCACACATCACTCCGCGGTTCGCGCCACCGACTGCGGATAAAAAACCGAAGTTGATCTTCATACCGATTGTCAACATACATGTGTACTAGCTGTAATGTAAGTAAATCAGGATCTGTATCCAGCAAACCGATACTTCTATCGATCAGAAAACCGAAATGGAAAGATCTTGGTCGTAGTGCTGTTGTCGGATTGCAGCTGTCATATTAGGGTTAAAAGAACTGAATCTGAAACAGTGTCTGCCTGGTCGGTCTCACACACTACAAAGCCCTTGCTTTGTGTCTGCCTTTCAGCTGAGAGTGAGGCTTGATGTAATTCTAGTAATTCACCTTTTCATTTTCTACTATCTAGTTGTAGGATAGCTGAATCTACGGAGGCGGAGGGCCAGCGGGTCCGATAATTTTCACATCATTTGTTGTGCCGGCCGCGGCCGCAGCCGTTCCTGCGTGACCGTCATTACCATTAGTCAGTTTTGAAGTCTTTCCTCTTTCTGCCGACAAAGACGCGCGTGTCGAGGGTGACGTGGGTTTTATTCGGTTGGCTTCGGTAATTGTGGGAGGGGCAACAGCTGGTCCAGCATTCAGATTTATTATCGGGGTTGCTGCTACTGTGGGGGGTAACGCAGGACCGATGTTGGCAGCACTTCCTGCTGGGGGTTGTAATGAGGGTCCCACTTGCGGCGGAGGTGCAGTCGTTCCCGCACCCGGTGGTTGTGGTCCTAATATTTTTGTTGTACTAGGGCCTATCGTATGAGCAGTGGGACTGGCAGGGGGCCGCTGCGGTCCGATCGCTGCGGGCCCGATCGTTGAAGGTGGGAGCGCAGGTCCCATGGCTGGGCCGATGGTACTAGCAGTAGCAGGTGGATGTGAATTTGCGCCTGCCGTCGAAGTTCCTGGCCTCATCGGTCCTACTTGAGGACGCGGCGCTGGAGGGGGGCCTAGCGCTGCTGGGCCAATGTAGTTGTCCACTTTTCTCCGTTTCGCGTTGTTGTTCTCGACGTCTGCTTGATGAACAGACTCAATTGCCCTAGCATTTCCACCATTTTGCAATTGCATTTTCCTTTTCCGTTCCTGCTTCTCCTGCTCCTCCTTCCGCGCCTCCTTTTCGTACTTTTCCTTTCCACAACGCAGATCCGCCGTGAAGTCCTCCAACTGCCTGCGAAACGCGTCGTTGGGGTCTGCGTTTACCCTGCATTTCCTTTTTATCTCTCTCAAACAAGCTTCAAAATCGGCAAACTGGAAATACTTCAGCAAATACGCAATCACCAAGGAGACCGACCGCGAGACCCCCTGGTTGCAGTGGACCAATAAACTCCCATCGTCCCGGATCCGGCATTGCTCGATAAAAGCGAAAAACTGCTCGTACCACTGTTTCAAATTCTCGCTGGCATTGTCCTGCATCGGGAGTCGGAGGTACTTAATACTACCCTGTTTCTCGTAGAAATTCGCCACGCCGCCATCGTTTTTCGACGGGGTGGCGTTCACGATGTATTTGATGTTTTGTCGGTTCAAGTTTTCCAAATCCTTTGCGTCGTGCTTGTCGCCGATGTAGAGCCAGGGGAGAAGGGGGGAAAGGTTGTCCATTTTATGTAAAATTTTCGTGTCGTACTGGAGTTTTTCTTTTTCTTTTTGGTGGAGGAGCACAACTAGAAAAAGAAAAGAGTGAGACAGAGACTTCTTGTGTCGAAGGAAAATAAACTGGGCCCTAATTAGTACCACCCAGCTATAATCCGGGGTCAAAATTAGAAACAACTGGGATTGTGTTGAACACAAGCCAGCAGAAAATGGATGAAGCATAAGCATAAGGAGCAACAATCAAACAGATCTGGTATGACCAGGAGAGCTGCGGAGACAAAAAGAGAACAAGCGGCCAACAGATCCGATGCCACACACAGCGAACAAGATCCTTTCGACGATTGATTTTCAGGAACTTCCAGAACCACAACCACGATTATTTAAGTATGCCAGGAACAAAGATCAACATCAATCATGGCAGCTCGTGATCAACAATTTCGTGCCAGAACTGGAATGCACGGAGGAGCCGGCAAAAGGACAAAAATGCGACATTGGCCTGTGCGTCCATAAATACGGAAAATTCACTTGCTCCAACCGGTGAACATCAATTCACTACACCAACGGCTGTTCAGATCACTTTAGGTACTCCACCGTGGCTTCGAAAAAATTCGTACAGCAGCCCTTTGTTTTTGCAAAGTGAAAGTTATTTTCTTCATTCTTTCGCAAACGACGTGATAACTTTTCGTTCTGTATTTCCGTATGCAAAAGTTCATTGGAAGATTACGAGAAAATATTCATTTTCATTGACGCAAAATGGAACTTAGAAACTAACTACAGCAATAGCAAGTTGACATTTCAAGACTTCTGTCTTGTAAAGACAGCTGCGCCCAGCACGTGAGATGATTTCCAACATGGTCTTGTTTGGGAATTCTTTGACTTTTTCCCGAAAAACCCTAACAAGAGGCTTTTGTGTTGTTGTCTAGTACCTGCTCCTGCACCCACCTACTGAGGAGGCTAGGCACTGTGTAACAATATATAAAAAAAAAATGAAAGAGTCTCGTAGGGCTAGGCAAAGGCATCTCATCATGCGTGCGGGCAAAAAAAAAAATTAACGATCAAAAATAGGTTGTTGCTGTGAGTGCATAGCGCACCACTTCTGCGCGAAGCAGATACTCTTGTCTTTGCTATTCTATTCTTCAGTTGCAGTGCTTTTCGTTTGCTGTCGTCATTCTCATTTACAGGTAGGCTGATGCAAGCAAAAAATACTGGATCTTGATGATGAAAAAACAATAAAACGTATACTTACAATCAATCCGCACTGCGCGGATCTTAAAAAAACAAGAAAACAAGCTTTGAATGAAAATACAGGATCTTGAAAAACCATAGCTTTTGCTGGAAAAACGCTCTTATGGCGCCTCCGCCGCAAGTCCAGCATGTAGCTCTTGTTTATGCAGCTCAACAAGTCTACTTTTATCTACAGCAACAAGTGGCCTTTTACTTCTTACGGAGTTAATATCGCTATCTACTTCTCATTATTGAAAAAAAAAACTCAAAATGTGCTCTGTATAGTACGCCGCTTGATAAACAGATGCCTTTCAGTACCTCCTCCTCATTCGCTCGTATAAATTGTTCTTCTCCCGATTCCTGGTCCTCCACCCGGGAACGCCGAGTATTCTGCTCCGAAACCCGGCTTCGGCTGCGCGCCGCTGGGTCGCCACACGTTTTCCAGCCAGGTCCAATCTTTGGACGCGACGGCGGGGCCGGAGACGTAGGCCTGGATATTGAGTAAATCTTCTTCCAAATCTCGATTCCCCTCTCCCATCGTCACCTTCATGGCGGTCGACTTTTTCCGCTCGTTATTGTTGTTCACGTCGAAGGTCCGCACTCCATCGGGCTTGTATGCGCCGAGCAAGCGATTTGAAATATTTGACCCGTCCTTTTTCTCGGGGAGGATGCCGGTCAGGAAATCCTTTTCGTTTTCGGTGAATTTGCCGTCTTTTCTCTTGGCGGTTTGATCTTCTTGACCTTCGCTGTTGGTCGCTGTTTGTTCACCATGATCCCCGGAAGATGCACTTGTCGAAGAACCTTTACCGGACGAGATTTTGGCCATTTTTTTCAAAATCCCGTGCCCTTGTTCCTTCTCACTCTCACTATCCTTCAGCGCTTTTTTCTCCGCGTCTGCTTTCACGGTCTTCAACACTTTGTTGTCTTCAGTCACGTATTCGACGAAAATCTGCTTCCAGTAGAAGGTTTGCGATAACGTCAACGCGTATCGAACCAGATTTTGGAAATTACTCTGCAGCCCCCCAAATCCCGAAGTAGCGCTCTTTGTTGCACTGGAAGGTGTACCACTGGCAGTGCCGTCGAGAAGCTCGTCATCCGCATTTGTGGCGGCCGACGGGGTGATCGTTTTCCCGGTAATGTCCGTGGCGGCGAAGGTGTCCAGCAGTAAGTCTTCGTTAGCAGTCTGCTTCTGATTCTGTAATGCGATGGAAATCCCGTTTCTCGGGTTATAGCTTCGCGAATTCTCGTAGTAACTCCTGACATCCGGCGCGAGTTTCCGCTGGGTCAGGTAGTGCAGGGACTGCTGCCGCAGCTTCGTCCGGTGCGCTTGGTTCGAAAACTTCCACGCGCGCTGCACGCGACTGCGGTCCGACCCGCCGGGGGACAAGTGGTAGTAGTTGTACACGCCTAAGGCGTATCAAATACAAATATGTCTGGGTCTGGAAGATTGAAACTCGTCATGCTAAATGTGAATGATGCAAAAATCTGTGCTGCGTGAGAACCAAAAGCTGTCCGCTTTTGACCGAATTGAGAGGGAGTTTCTCATGCAGGAAAGGCATGATAGAGACCTCAAAGAATCTGTCATGCTAGGTCTCGCATTCCAGACCTCACGGCTCATGCAAAACGTGCATGACAAGTCTCAGAATCTTCCAGACCCAGACACATTTGCAATTCATAAAGCGGATTGGACCTGCCAAAGACTCTTCCACCCCATGGAGTGCAACACCGACCAGGGAATGTAGCTGGAAAGCGAATCCATCATAGTACTGGAATAAAAGTTGCTGGTCGTCGCACTTGTGCTGGTAGTTTTCGTAACGAGTGCGGACTGGCTCTTCGGGTGCCGCACCAGTTGATCCGTCGGGACTAGATCGGGCGTGCCGAGCACCAAAAACTGCTGTTTCTCCTTGAGTTTCTTACTCCGCAGCGCCGCGGCCGAGGCCGGCGCGGGGGTCGTTGTGGGCATCGGGGTTTCGCCGGAGGCGGGGGGAGAGGTTACGCCGTTTTCCTTGTCCATCTGTTCTTTTAAAGCTTGGTGTTCCTGGTTGCTGCGCATCTGCAACCACAAGTACCATTGCATCCGCCACAGACGAACCATTTCGGTGCGGCGGTACCTGAAGAGAGTAGCAGTGGAAGAAGGAATGAAGTGTCCCGTGCATCTTCCACTTCAACAAAACAAAGACGAGTAGATTGATGTTAAGTACTTCCATAGGCATAGCGACGCCACGAACATATAAACTTGGTTGAAAATTACCTCTCCACCTCTTTCTTGTAGTAGAAGAGCTTCCTTCTCCAGCCGATCTCGATCCGGCGCACTTCGTTATCCGGCAACCTTAGGGAGTTGTGCTCCGCGTGACACGTTAAAGACCGGCTCACCCAGGACGGGTAGGGCTCCCTGAGATTGTCGAAATCCACTTTTGGTGTGAAGGTTTTGTTGGTCTCTGGATCGAATTCGTCTGGGGGGATGGAGTCTGAGATTGCGAAGAATTGTTCCTTTTTGATGTCACAGTCATGGTGAAACATGTAGAAGTTGACCAACGTATACAACAAATACATTTACTTTTACTTTAACACATCCGCGTCCGCCCTTGCTCGAGAAGAAGAATTGCGTCACAAATTTTTCATTTGTACCTTTCCTCGAAACCGACGCCCAGCAGGCCAGGTCGCGGTCGAGACCAATGAACCGCAAAGTTTCGGAGTTGATCTTTTTGTACGGCTATGCATTGCAAAAGCATCGTACTTCTAGTACAGATCGCATGACAAACTTTCCCAAGAAGAAAATAGGAATTTCTCATGCTGCTTCTGGTTGGAAACCAGTTTTGTCATGCTCGACTGCGATAGATAGTACGAGTACGATGCTTTTGCACAGGATAACGGCACGCCCACTCGGAACTGGTGCAGCTTCTGCACCGTCAAAACCAACACGTACGACTTCTGTTTCTTGCACCAGAACATTTTGCTGGGTTGGTGGACTATAGACTCGGACACATTCGCCATAAACGTCGCAATCTTGGACACTTGCGTTTCCATCACCAGTTTTTTCCGGTAGTGCGCCGGGTACTGCTGCGGGGCTCGGTGCGCTTGGTTCACGTAGCTGTCGTTGCTGAAGATCAAGTGCGCGTTTTCGATGGACGGCTCGATGATCACGAATTCTTTCGTGTTCACCGGCGGTAATGGGGGCGTCATCATAATTGGGTGGTGCCTCAGTGCATTTGACGTGAACAATGCTGTGGTGGTCGTGGTTTCGGTCGAATTTTTTGAGGAAGACACTGCTTGTATCTTCATGGTTTTCTTGAAAAGCGATTCCTCCTTGATCGTTCGCTGCGTGGAAACCGGGAACGTTAAGACCTGCTCCTCCACCACCAACCCCTCCTCCGCCCACTGCCTCGCTTGTTCCTTCTCGTCCTCATAGAAGTCGTCCGTCGGCCATTTCCGCGGCAGAATGCCCTGGTCCCAATCTCGAAAAAAGTTGTCATCGAACTCTTCGGGCAGGGAATCGACCGGCGGGGGCCGGACGGGCGGCACCCTATGCATTGCAAATATGTCTGGGTCTGGAACAAGGATGCGAACTTGTCATGCAGGTTTTCCAAGACACATGAGGTCTGCCATACATGATCTAGCATGACAGATTCTGCGCGACCCCTATCATGCCTCGCCTGTATGAGAAAATTCCTCTCAACTTGGTCAAAAGTGGGCAGCTTTTGGTAATCACGCAACACAGATTTTTGCACTATCCAGAATAAGCGTGACAAGTTCCAGCGTTCCAGACCCACACATATTTGCATTTGATAAACCCCCGTCGTGTACGTATCGTCCGTGTAGTATTCTGAGTAAAAAAGTCCCGACCCCAGAGTTGTGATGCAAATCTGCATGCCAAAAGAAGTTTCTCATGCGACGCACCATGAGAGCCATTCTCTAATCGTGTTTTGGAACTTGTGATGCTAGAATCAGCATGATAGTCTAGATCTGTGACGCTTCGGAACTAGCTAAACAGGACTACACTACGATGACAGACCTGTCATGCGAAACAACCAGAGCTGATTCATTTGTGTAGCAGATTTTCCATCTTGACTCTGGTGTGGGGTTATTTTTCCTCACAATATGTAGTGCGGAACCTCTCCCGGCTTGGCTTTCAAGGGTTTGTAAGGATCGTGGATGGTCGGGTCGTCTTTGCCGCTGGATTATCAAATGTAAAAATGTCTGGGTCTGGAAGAATCCAACTTGTCATGCTGATTTTGGATTCTAAAAAAATCTGTACTGCATGAGCAGCAAAGAGTGTCCAAGTTCTGCTACACGGAAAGAGGATTTGTCATGCGGTATAGGCATCAGGAAGCCCTCACAAAATCTGTGATGCTAGGGCATGCATCACAGACATCAGGAGTCATGCAAAATGTGCATGACAAACCTGGCAATCTTCCAGACCCAGACATTTTTACATTTGATATGGATTTCCGTTTTTCCCGTTCTCGTTCCTGGACCTGATACCCCTCCGGCGCCTCCCAGGGAAGGAGCGAACCGTTGCGGATTTTGGCGTGTCTGGATTGGGGACTGGTGGTCGAGAGCCGGGGTGGCTGCGCATGATCTTGATGCTTCGGTGGGGCGGGTTGTAAAGGCTTGACGGTTGTCGTGCTTGATTTGGCGGTCGTTTCTTGCTGCGGACGAGGCGGGGCAGGCGCCGGGGGTTTGTCTTTATTATTAGGCTCCTCGTTCTCGTGCTGCTCTGGGGCTGCAGGTTGCTTTTGTTCCTGCCGCTGAGGAGATTGCTGTTCCGCCACGGTGTTCATGTCTTCCGATTCTTGTGGTTGTTGTGGTGTCCCTGCTGTTGCTGGTCCCCCACGACTATCATCTGCTTCTGTGCCACCATCTTGTGTTGATGCAGGAGCTCCTGTCTGCGGCTTCTCAAGAACATCATCTGAATCGGGAGTGCCCGCGGTTTGCGTTTGCTGTTGCTGCTGCTCTTGTGACGGTGCGTGGTCTTTATTTTGTTGTGCTCCGCCTCCGTCATCTCTACTACTCTGCCCTCCGTCGTTGCTCAACTTCCTGTTTATGTCTTTAGCAGCTTCCTCCTCCTCGGTGGTCTCCCTCGTCGCGTCACCGGGCGGAGGGCCGGTGCTTGCTGGTGAAGCCGCTCCCTCTTGTTTCGCCGGCAGCTCGTCCCCGTGTGGCGTGGTTGGAGCATGAGCATCGTTAGAAGTTGTACTGGACGTCGACGTTTGCGGTGCGCCGCGGTAAACATGATCATCTTCCTCATCTTCGTCGTGAAAATCGTGATCATTTGGGGCCTTATTTTCCTCCTGCGGGTGCTGCTCCGTGGAAGATGCTGCAGCGGAGGAGGAGGACTCGGCGAGGCCGCTGTGCTCCTTGTCGCTTGATGTGGAGGTTCCTTGAGCGTTACCGCTATCGTTATCCTGCCCCTGCTCCTCGCTGTTGCCCGGAGTTGTTCCGGTTGCTGTCTCAGACTCAGAAGTTCTTCCCGTGGAGGTTGTTCCTTCAGCAGAGGCAGCATCACTATCACTACCATGCGATGAAGCTGCTTTCTCAGTACTACTTGCTTCGTCTCCTCCTACTCCTTCTGGAGATGTGACTAGATCTTCACTCGGCTCCTCCTGCCCTGCAACTTCGTTCTTCTCCACTATCCTCCTGATCACTTCCCGCTTTGCAGCGTCTCCCCGCAGGACCTTCTCGACGACCTTGGGCTTTGGTGTCGTTGATGTTGTCAAGGGATCTTCTACGTCAGAAGTCGTTTCACTTCCGTTTGGAGGATGAAGAAGATTGTCCGGCTCTGCTGAAGATGTAGTAGTCCTAGCAATCTCATTTAGTTGTGCCGCTGTACGAGCCGTTGCGTTCTTCAGCTTCCCTAGTTGTACTTCTATTTCACTAATACTTGCGTGATCTTGATCACCGCTGCTGCTGTTGGGTACTTCATCTTCAGAATAATCCTCACCCCCCTGCCCCTCGCCGAGTACTTGAGCACCGTTCTTCGTCAATGCAGCTAACCTTGACACGACCTCCTCTCTGTTCGACGGCAGGGAAATTCTGTCGTCCTCCTCTTCGTCTTCCTCGGCTAAAGCAGCAGCATGACTGGCAGGTGCGTAATTCTTCCGGAAAATCGCGGTTAATTCCTGAACCCGTTCCCGTTCGATTCTCTCCTTTTCCACCCGGAGCAACAGCTGCTCCCCGACCAACTCCGCGCTCTTCCCCACCGCGTACCCCGTGGTTCCAAACATTTTACTGAGCCCCGCAACGCCGTTGTGAATTTTCGAAAAGTGCGACAACTCTTCCACCGTTGGTAGGTCGATGGACCCCCACGCCTCGCGGTCCTTCAGCGCGGCTTGCAAAAGCATCATGCGGGAAAGAATTTTCCGCTGCATTTTTTCTACCATCGTCTGGTTTTTGTAATGTAGATTTACACTGCTGGGAGGTTCTACTTGGAGCTCTACTTCTTTCGGCTGTTCTTTCTTATCGCCGTCTATGCGTATACCGCAGCGTCCCAAACCGTCCAGCTCGTTTTCCGTCAGGGGTGCTTGCAGCTCGGTAAGAGTCCTCAGGGAGGTTCTTTTTTGCCTATCCAGAGCAAGGTGATCATTTCGAGCATCAAACGGGTTTCTCGCAACCATGGCTTCCACCCGCATTAATTCCGCTTTTCCCTTCAGAATCCGCAACCGCGTATAGGTCTCGACATCCCAATCATCAAAGTCCTTGTATCAAATGCAGATATGTGGTCTACTGCTGGGTCTGGAAACTTGTAATGCTGGTCTGTGATTGCGAACATAATTGGCGCACTGCAATATTACTTAGCAAGACGCAGGAGTGGTCCTGCAGACAACTTTTTTAGGTGCCGTGTGCTGAGCATTCTGCACGACGAAATGCGTTTTTGCATGACAGACAAGACCAAAAGGATCTGTACTACTGTTGGTGCGCGCTCATGCTCATGCATATACAGAGTTGAAACTGAAAGTCATGTCAGACAAGCATGAAAAATGTTGCGATTTTCCTCCAGATCGCCACCGCATTAATTCCATTTGATAAGTCGTCATCGTCATCAACAGGAGGACTTCTGGCCTTCTTTTTTGCTAACCTCTCCGCGTTCCTTTTCATCGCCAGCTTCTGTGCCTCCGACCGCCACGGCTTTCCCCGTCCCTGCATTTGCTTTTCCACCTGGAGCCAAAAACTTTCATCTTCCACGATCCAATTTGGCTTCTTCAAAAGAGACGCTGCGAGAATCTTTTCCCGATATTGATCGGTGTGGTTGGCAAACAAGATCGGGAGCTCCGCCCTCCGGTCCTGCAGGAAGAAGACCGTCGACCGGGCCATCTCCGGCTTCCAATGCGTCGTGCTTTCCAGTAACTTACTCTGCGCGTGGTCCGCCATCGTGGTTTTTTTCATGAAAAAAGTGGGGATGAACCGGTCGAAATCGGGGGAAACGCGGATGTAACTCGATTCTAGCTCGAACCGGCTATCCCCCGATAAAGACACCGCCTGCTGCGACCGTTCGAGCTCGGGGAATCCATCATGGGCTAACGGGAAGCGCTGGGGCCAGATGAGCGGCTTGGTCATCCGGTCCATTCCGGCCGTGATTTTCTCGAAATACACGAGACCCCGCAAAATGGAGCTGAGTCGGCCCGTTTCCAATTCTCGTTTCCGGTTCTGCCACGCCTGCACGTTCTCGGCCGACCGCATCATCTTCTCCATTTTGATCTGCGTCAGTTTGCGGCAGAGCGATTCCGTTTTCAGCATGTTTTGTTTCCTCTCTGAATCCAGCGTCGAGCTACCGGTCGTGGGGAGCGAGTCCGCCTTTTGCTCGTAGTACTCAATCGTGGCTAGAAGAATTTCTCGGGTGGATTGCGGCTTTTTAGTTGTGGTGGCGGAGAGCGTTGTAATTGTTCGACTTGCACTTGACGAAGGATGCAGCTCCTTCTTTGCGGCTCCTATGTCTTGTGTAGAAGTTGCTGTTGCAGATTTTCCTGGAGCTGCTGCACCGGCAGCGACGTTTTGATCTTCTTGTTCACCAGAAACTCCCTGTTCAGCTATAGCAGCAGCACTTCTATTTTCAACATCAGGCGGTGGCTTTACGCTTACCTCGACTTTCTCGGTACTTTCCGAAGCTGCTCCTGCACTCCCGCCTGGCCCTGGTGCTTCTTCTTTCTGTCCGCTTCTACCTTCCTGGACCAGTTTCCGACCCTCCTCTAAGCATTCCTGGTGAAACGTAGTCGTGGCTGCGCGCCGCTTTTCCGCCGCTTTCTGCTTCATGATGAAGGATTCCTTCGTGATCTCGTTCCACCTCTGAACATAGACCGCAAACGCGTCGAAGACCACCCGGGAGGCCAGAGAAGATGACACGACCGCCGTGCGCACCCGGTGTTGCGACGGCTCGTCCAGGTAGCTGAATTCGTAGGCCAGTTGCTGCACGTCTCGCAACGCGAAGTCCTTGCCATTGCTGTGCCGCACGTACAACGCGTCTCGTAATCTCACAAACGATTTCTGCCAGATGCTGTCCCCATGCGGCGGCCGGTAGTTCGAGCGGAACTTTACCAATGAGCCAAACGGACTCCCGCCGTTCCAGGTCCAGATCTGCTTGGAGGTCCAGTGGTCCGGCAGCTCACTTTTGTCGTGTGTGTTCCGGCCGTCGCGGGAAGAAGATGCAGACGTAGAGTCGACCGTAGTTCCGGACACACCGGTGCGCGTCGGGGAAGTCGGCTGTGCAATATCCCGAATCGCGTTGGCATAGACATGCGAAGGTCTCGGGTGCTTCTTCGTAGTACTCCTTTTCGGAGGTGTTGTTCCGTCGCTATTTTCTACCCTGCTACTTCTCCCGCTCGGCCACAACGCCCGCGCTTGCAACAGCTCGGTTTCGCGCGTGCTGTTCCACTTGAAGTCGCCCTTGTTATCCATGGTCGCGGCTTCGTACTTGACGACGAGCCGGGCGTTTTCACTGTTGTTCACTCCGTGTAGAAACGGCAAGTGCAGCGGCTGGGACTGAAGCCTGGGTGGCGCGGTCAGACTATTCACCTGGTTCGTCATGTCCAGTGGCAGCCCCGACTGGGCCAAGACCAAACTAGTCGACGTGTAGCCCCCATCCGCTTTCAGATCTGAAGTCAACGGCGCGTCGGACAGAAACGCTTTCAACCCGTGTTCGTTCGCTTTGCCACACGAGCGGTGCAGTGCGCCGCCGTGGAGAATTCCGTTCTGGCTGATAAAAATCCGCTCCCCATTGAAACCGAACATGCGGATGGTATTCAGCATCTGTTGATCGTCGTTCAAACGCTGCGCGACGCGCGCGCGCCACCGTCTTCGAGCGAATAGAAGTGATAGATCGGTAATGATCGTTTCCTCCTTCAGCGTCGAACTCAGCTGTTGGTTCGTGTCTGATAAATCAGTTAAAGACCTTTTTTCCTCGGCTAAAAGCCAGTGATTGTTCCACTGTAAGTTTTCCCATAACGACAAAACCGGCTTCTTCGGCGCTTTCGAGGTAGGTAAACCCTTATTCCACTCCTCGACCTTATCTCTAAACTGGATCCGCGGCGCGTTTTCGTCCCGCTTCAACACTTTAAACCGATAAGCCGACTGCGGGAAAAGAATTTTGTAGTAACACCTTTGCTTCCTCCACAATTTCGTCCGCCACGTCACCGCTTTGTCCCGCGTGGCATACGCTATTTGGGTTTGAAACAGCCCCGCGATGGCCGCTTTCGTGTTGTTCGTATAAGGTTTTCGATTCGGTTTTATACCTACCCTCTTCATGTGCAGCTGTTGCGTCGTGTGGTTGAAGTGAAAATGATTTTTGTCGTAATATTTTTCCTTCGGCGGTTTCGTCTGGTTCGCGGGCGCGGGCTTCGCCTTCTCGATACTGGGCAGGACTTCCTGCGCGACCGCGTCTAGCGTCAGAAGCGCGATCCCCACGTCGGACAGCGGCGGCTTTGTTTTGGTCCACGTAGTGGAGGTTGTACTTGCGTTTCGATCTACTTCTGCACCTTCTTCGCGGTAGACGAACAAATTGTCCTCGTCCTGATGTCCTGCTCCTGCTCCTTTTTTATTCATTCCTTCTAGCTCAGTAGAAGTTGTTTGAGTTTCAGTTTCTCTTTCTTTCTTTTGTTCTATCGGCAAAAAATCCGCACAGAGTTCCTTGAAACTACTTTTTTTCGGATGCTTTGTTCGAAAGACTTTTCCTCCGAGCAGTTCCTTCTCCCACTTTTTCTGCATCCGGTTTTCGTCCCTCGGATTCGGATCCGGCAGCATCACCAATTCTTCCGTATCGTTGACTAAATCGTAGTCCTCCATGGATTTCGTTTCTAAATCCTTCAGAAACGATCCCATCTCGCCCCCAATCAACGCGGCTTCTTTCGCCCCCAAACCCCGCGTTTGTCGGGCGTCGATGGCTTGGAGGTGCTGATACCGCACGTCCGCGTCGATGGAGGCCATAGAGCTAGGTTGCTGTCCTCCTGGTGGTGCGGCAGTAGAAGAAGTAGAACCGGAAACAGTGCTCCCTCGACCAGCATAATTCGTCGCTGTTTTACTTCCATCTTGATCTTCCTCCGCGCCTAGCATTTGCTCCGGGGGGTACTCCGTCGCGTTGTACAATACCCGTCTTTCGAATTCCTGCACCAAATTGTGCATCCGCGCGAAGGTAAAGCGTTCTCGATCGTTAATCAAAACGCGATTAGAGCCGAGCTGATACATGGTCTCCATCAGATAATCCGACTGCTTCTGCGAGTGCTTGCGGACCACGGTGAGCAGCTTGTTCACCTCGATCGCGTCGTAGAACTTTTCCAATTCCAAATGCGAGAGCCCCTCCACAGAGGACGGTGCAGGAGGTACATCGATGGAATGGGCCACTGGAACAACGTTGCCGAGCGTCGGGAGTGACGTGGAAGGTTGCTGGGTACTAATTGCGGCAGGTGGAGGACCACTGTTTCCCTGCGGCGCAACTACTTCGGGGACATCAGCTCCGAACATATTACTTGACGAGGAAACGGAAACAGAAGCAGAGCCTGGAGTAGTGGTCAAAGAGCTACCAGCTGTAGCACCAGCAGGTGCAGCAGCACTCGCGTTTTTCTGTCCGACGCTTGAAGATGTAGATGTTGCCGTCTTTCCCAGCAGGGCTTTGGCAACAAGGGCTTCAACGTCTTCCTCTGTACTGTTCAAAATGACCTGATTCAGTGCGTCATCTTCCTCAATCCCCAGAATAGGAATGTCCCCTCGCGCAAGCAGCTCTTTTCTCTTCTTCAGGTACTCGTCTTGCCATTTCGATTTCTCCTCCCCGGCCTGTTTTTTTGCCTCGCTTCTCGCCCGTTTCAGCTGGTCCAGCACCACTCTCCGCTCCAATTCCAGCTGTTGTTCGTAGGTCCTCCTCATTTTTTTCGCCCGAATTTTCAACTCGGTCTCGTGCAGTTTCGCGGAATTCGCAGAATCGGTTCGCGCAGCTGCTTCTTGCCTCGTCCTCGCTGCGATAGAATCTTGTCTTCCTGACCGCGCAGAATTCGTTGTTTTGCCCTTACTTTCTTTTGGCGCGACAGGCTCTCCTTTTTTCAGTTTCTCCCTGCGCTCCATTTCGTCGCGAAGAATGGCCGACAACGCCTCCAATTCGTCGAGCTCCAGATTTTTCAGCTCCGGCTCCATATCATTTCCTCTCGATTTCAGCTTCATGATCTGTTCGTTCCCGTGCAACTGCCGGACCTCGTCTCGCGTGATGTCAATATGGAGTTCTCAAATGTTACATGCTCAACTGTTTAACAGTTGAGCAATAGGGAAAGCGGCAAGCTTGCAAATCTTGCATCACAAATTTCGCACAGATTTAGATGCTGTTTGGCCCTTGGATAATCTGTCATGCGAAGCAGCTTGATCGTCTGGCGGCTCATGGTCATTTTGCATGACAAATCATGTAGCAGTTGCGAATGTAACGTTTCAGAACGCCATAGTCGACCGGGGGTGCGTTGAAGTCCGAGTCCGTCTCCGGCTCGACCAGTTGCTGATCTAGTTCCAAGTGTGGTGGTGGAGAGGAAATGAAGGAATTAGAAGTTGTACTGATCATTTCAGGATGATCATGAACTTGATCTTGATCACCATCACCCAGAAGCGCCTCTTCGCCAGCCACTGTCATCAGAGTGGAGGATGTCGTTTCGGAAGTTGGAATTCCATTAGTCGCTGCACTATCCTGTTCTTTATTCATCACGTCCATGATATACTGTTCGGCTTGTTGCAGGTTTTCCTCATGTTTTTTCTCCACATCGTCTTCCGTGGGGGGTAAGTGGAGGATTTTCTCATCCGCTATCAACTTATCCAGTTCCTCATCCTCGACGGAGTCGAACCTGTGCGATGTCGTGGACGTCGACGTAGAGGTGCTACTGCTCGCCTGCGAGAGAACGCTCGCGGGGAGCAACGGTTCCGGGAGCTCGGGGGGAAGGTCTTGCGGAATAACTTCTAGATGTTCTACTTTGTAGACAACATTGTCCGTAGCTACAGCTAATTCACTTGAAGCAGTAGAAGATGTGATCGCGGTCGTGCTGAGTGGCTCGGTAAGATGAACGGCTTCTGTGCCGTTCGTGGAGGAAGTTGTTGTCCCTGTTGATGCAGCAGCCGTTGGAGACGAGTAGGACGGCACTGTGTTCACTTTGTCATCCTGTTTGATATCGGAGGTACTGGCATTGTTCTTAGCGCTTTTGGTCGGTGATCCAGTACTTCTAGCAGAGCCCTGTACGGTAGTACCAGCAGAAGCTGCTGCGCTTTTCTTGTTTTCCCCGGCAGCTTGCAAAAAATCCTGTTCTTTCGTGGTGAACGTGGTAGTCGCTGCCAATTTTTCCAAGTCCAGATGCGGATTGCGCAGAAAAATCGCGTCGTCCGTGTCATATTTTTCGTCCCTATGACAGTGCACAGCTCCCCCTTCCCCTCATTTGTCATGCAGAATACCAAATCCACTTTTTCCCCTTTGTCACTACAACTTGCATGACAGATTCCGGAAGCCGAAACAGCACTATAATCGGTCGCGAATTTGTCATGCAAAAGCTGCAGTTATGCCTTGACTTGTGTTGCTGCTCATGCCATGCAAATGAGGGAGAGGGGGAGTTGCGCACTGTCATAGTCCCAATTGTACGCGTATTTTCCCTTCATCCGGGCGAACAAAGCGACGTCGTCGCGCACCTCCCAGTAGGGAATTTTTGCCTCGTCGTCGGACACTTCCAAGGAAAGTAACACCAACTTCTTGTCCGCAGGGTGGAGGCCGAAGGTGTAGTATTTTTTGCTGATCACCGCCGTCTCGGCGTCCCGGCTAGTCAGGAGGGTCGGTTCTTCCCGATTTCGGTTGTGCGGGAGATCGGAATTATTTGGATCGTTGTCAACATCCCGATTTTTGCTGCGCAGGTCTTTGGCAGCACTTGTTCTATGCACCTCGGAAAACAGCGCGGGCGGGGGGGAGGTAGGAGCATCTTCAACTTGACGGGCTTCTTTATTCGACGGAGATGCAGCCGGTGGACTCCACCACAAGATTTTGTCACTTGTTGTGGTGTCATTGTTAGAAGCATTTTTTCTATCCACGATGATCTCACCGTCGGCATCAGTAGTACGAGAAACATCTTCAGCTGCAGTTTGATTCGCTTCGGGATAGGCAGCTCGTCCAGTGCTTGTGTTGTTTCCGCTCTCTTCTGCGAATTTGTCCGCCGGCTCTTGTACCATCGTACTAGTAGAAGTGGTGCTGTTACCCCCGACCTGCTCCGTCGGCACAGAAGTGAAGACTGGTGCAGTTTTATCATTTATCGTCGCTTCTACAACTACCGGAACCGACTCCGAGTGCATCGTCAATTCGGCCTTTCTCCTTGCTTCTTGTTGTTCCGCCACGACTTTTTGCTCCAAGAATTTCATCGCATACGCAGTTTCGTTTTTCACCCTGTTTTGTCGTTGTAGTTCTTCCCACCTTGCCCTAGTAACTCGCCGCGAATACAGTTCGTGCTGCTTCTGTCGGAACCCGTAGTGACTTGCCATCTGCACAAATCTTTTGTACGTCTTTTTCGCGGACAACAGATTCGCCATATCGGGATACAGTTCCACACTCTGGTGCCGCAACCCGTGGCAAATACCGTAGGTTAAATCCATGAACATATCGTACAAACTCGCGACTTTCATCGGGTGGTAGAACCACGACCCCCCGTAGGCGACTTTCACCGCGAGCTGCTGCAAAAACGCGACGACCTTCGGACTAACTCTCGGGGTCTTTTTCTCCCACCTCGTCCCAACGCTTGCTTGCTTCAGTTCCTCCGTGAAAAAGCTGTACAAGTGGTCGTTGTAGTGGAGCTGTGCGTTCAAATTTTCCACGATTTCGAATTTCGCGTTGCTCAAAACCTTCTCCTGGTTGATGGTTTTCATCTCCACTGGTTTCTTGAACAACCCCGGGCTTAGTCTTTGCTTCGTCAATTCCGGGTATTGAATGTCCACCACATCTTTATTACCCAGCACCGGGATCGCTACCCTTTGCGTGTTTGACACATCCGCTTGGGTGAATAACGACTCTTGCTCCACCGCCTGCGACCCCGCGACGACGACGCTCGCTTGCTTGGCCGTAACCGTCACGTTGTTCAAATGCTTGAACAACCCGACGGATTCTTCGTTGTACTTCGGGTACGCCGCCGCCCGGAGTTCTCTCGTTGCGAAAAGCCCGACTGGGTCCCGGTCTATTCTCCGATTCCACTCCCCCGTGCCCGGCTCCCCTCTGGACAGTTTCTGCTTATTCCTGATTGTCTCCCGCGCGGACTTGGCCGGGAGGTTCACATCCTTGTCGCGGTCGTCGTCGATTGTGTACATCCGGCCCATCCCCACGGGGTAGGTCTTTACAGACGAGTACGGGACTAACCGCAGGCTATGCATTGCAAAAGCATCGTACTAGTAGCAATTGCATTACAAGTTTTACTTCAGCATGACAAATTCCATTTGTCATGCTGTTGTACCGTGGGCTGGGATGGAGATTTGTATAATGCATGACTGCAATTGCTACGAGTGCGATGCTTTTGCAGTTCATAGAGGCCGAGTATATACAAATCGACCTCATCGGTTTCCTTGTGGTGCTGCAGCATCTTCGGTGCAAACATTTTTCGACCGACTTCCGCGTAGGCCCAGTAATTCGCGTAGGTTTTCATCAACTGGGTAGAGATAAAAGCCGCGGACCTATCCTTCGTCACCCGGTGTTTCGGCACGAAAAAGTCGCTCTGTTTCGTGCGGGTGTTGAAGTACAGGCTTTTTTGCGACGTCTGCTTGGTGGACGAGGATTGGGCACCGATGCCAGCGCTCCAGGACTGCGCGCTCGCAGCCCACTTGTTTACGTTTTGGTTGTACTCTGCAAGGGTTGGGGGGCTATGAATTTGATGCTGTGTTTGAGGACCGCGAAGACCCTCGTCCTGCTGTTGACCCCCGACGATTTCATCTTGTTCCTTCTTTACCCGCGCCGCAGCCGCGTACTGCTTCCTGAAAATCCCAACACATTTGTTATAAACCCCACGACCGGGCTGCAGCAGCCCCTCGAAGTGGAATCGCGCTTTGAAGCTTCCCTTCTTCTCACTGTCCAACAAAAACCTCCCGTCCAACGCGTGCAAGCTGATGCACAATCTGGGGAGAACTGCCGTGGATGCTCTTTTGTGAAACCCGAGGAACTCACCACCGCCAAAAAGCACCATCTGCAGCTCGCGCATGCGCCGGATCACCCATCGGTGGTTGCGTTTCTGCCGAACCGCGCCGAGTTTGGTCAGCTTTTTTTCCAGCTGCTCTTTGTACTTTTCGTACTTTTGTCTTCTATCAGCAAAGCGGGAAACGGAGGGGGGGCGCTTGTTCTTCTTGCGGGGAATCCTTCTACTCTGATGTGCGCTCGCAGGTGAGTGTTCTTCTTGCGGTACTACATTTGTCTCATCATTTGTTGCATCGACATTTGACGAGGGGGCTGCAGGCAAGGTGTCAGCTGTTTCGTTCTTCTCGTAGTCCATCTCGGCGCTAGTAGCGTCCTCAGTGGTCGTGTTCGCGACAGGAGCTCCTGCTGCGTCAGTAGAATTCCCTGCCTCTGGTTCATGTACTATTGTTGATGGCGCAGCTGCTGCAATTGCATTTGCAGCAGGTTGTTCCTCTATTGCTGTCGTAGAAGAAGCTTGAAGATCAACATCTCCCTCCACCCTATCGAATTCCTGCTCGTCCCGGTCCTTTTGGATTTTCCGAAACAGCCAGATTTTCAGCAAAGAATCCTTGCGCCACTTGCGATGCCGGGACTTCGACAGAGTCGTGCGCAAATACTTCTCGAAAAACTTCGACTGGTGGAATTTCGTGGACACCGTGTGGTCAAACCTGTTTTTGTTTCCGATTCCGGACTTCGCGATTGCAAGAGAAACCTGCGCCTGCCAGGATTTGTCGGTTTTCATCGCGTACAGCCACTGTAGTTGCCCGTCCTGCGCGAATTCCAGGTCGTCCTGACTGTTCTTCGTTTGGGAATTCACTTTCTGGTAGTTATGGCTAATTCTACTGTTCTCGTAGTTCAACCTTGCTCGCTCAATGTACGGCATTTTTTCCACAATTTTTTCCCGCTCTTCAATAATCGCGGACAGTAATAAGCTCGCGTACATGGGGGAGGACGTCGATAGCCCCGCGGAGGAGGACCCGTCTGAAGTTACAATTGGCCCGTCTAGGTTGAAGTTCATCGGAGTGCTCCCCCCGTCAGGAACGGGCTGAAGGTGCTTCTTGTGCAGCCTTTCTTGCCGCTTGTCCGCAAAGCGGGCCAGGAGGTCTTTCTGCGTTTCCGTGCTGAAAATCGGAAAATCCGGGGTCGGCTTGAATTTGAAAACGTTCTGCCTTTTCCGCCGGTACTCATCCCGGACGAACGCCGCCTGTGGCCACTTTTCGTACTCCGGAGCCGTGGCGAAGTGGACAATTTCCCGGGTGATGTGCTCCATCTTACCGCGGTCGGACACGTAAAGATTGTCCATCGCCAAGGCCAGCACCCTTTCCGAGGGATCTAACCCACTTTCTCGCACGGGGGCAGCGCCAGAGGGGGCTTTGGGGCCGTTTTTCCACTTTTCCCTGTCGAAGGCAACTTGGTCCCTTAGCCTCGGTTCCGCCAGTTTATTCGTGGTACTGGTGTCGCTATCCTCGACTTCGTGGTCCGCAAGAGCACCGGTTGCGGCATGTGCTCCTTCTGGGTCTGTTCCTGGTGCAGAAGCTGCTGCCCAACCCCACAAGCTTTTACCTTTGGAATGCTCCGGCGCGCTGCTGTCCGCGGCGGTAGTAGCAGCATCTCCTGCAGTCGTGTTGTTCAGTATCAGTTGCCCTGCTTCGGATGATGATGATGATGATGCTGCTTTCCCCTCCGCAATGTCCTGATCATACCCGTAATCGTATGTCATATGCTTGAGATCGTACCGCTGCATCAAAAATTTGATAACCCGATAGAAAACTCGAACATTCCCGTCCTCCCCTCCTTTCAGCATCCCGCGCTTCTGCATTCTGGACGCATACTTTTCGTCCAACGCATGCTCCGGCCACGGACTCGGTAAATCTGATGTTCCCCACGAGGTTTTCCTGCGCACGTTGTCGTCGAAAATAACCCATCCAGATGATTTGCAAAATTTCGTGACTTTTCAAAAACCCAAAAAAGGCGAGCAAAAAGCTCGCGCCTGCCCCGACCTGAGTCCGGCTAAAATGTCGCTCAGAGTGTTTACTTTTTTGAAAGAAAAAAAATCGCCAAATCAACGGACTCAGGTCGGGGCAGGCGCGCGCTTTTTGCTCGCCTTTTTTGGGGTTTTGTAAAATAGCGAAACTTTGCAAATCATCTGGATGGGTTATTTTCGCCGACCCGTATACCCCGAAAACCCAAGTTTTTTTTTCCCAAAAAAGCCGGCTTTGAAGCAAAAAAAGAGCAACTTTTTGCCCGACTCAGGTCGGGTGAAAATAACCCATCCAGATAAATCAAAATCGGACCACTTTTCGAAAAAAGTAGGCTTTTTTGCCTATACAGGTCGGCGAAAATAACCCATCGTGATAGATTTTTCTGCATTTTCGGAATTTTGAAGAAATTTGCCAAAAAAAAGAAAAATCTGATTTTTTCCGGTTTTTTGAACAGATATTTGCGGAAAAAATCCGAAAAGCTCAAAAGTCGCAAAAATTTGTCCGGATGGGTAATTTTCGCCGACCTATTGAGGCCAAAACGACGGACAAAACAGGTCACGGGCTTTCATCTATGGTCGCGATGTGGTGGCAAGCAGACATGGCGACGGTGATGTGGGAAAAAGCAAGCAAACCAACGGCCCTGACGGCCCTAAAGCGTATCCGTAGCCGGCGCTGTCTCCCTGTCTGACGCCCATCTTTCGGTGGCTTTGTTGTCGCGGCTTCGCCGGGGATGCCTTGAGCTAGCTAATTCAAAGCAAACACTTCTAGATGAATCGTCTCAGGCTGCTTCTGTCATAGTCGTCACGTGCTAGCTAACACCACGAAGCCCTTCCGCATGGGTAGCAATTTTTTTGTTTTTTTTTCAATTTTTTTTAGCGTTTTTTGCAAAAAAAATAGCAATTACGATGGGGATGGGTTATTTTCGTGGGATATAAATCTGATGTTCCCCACGAGGTTTTCCTGCGCACGTTGTCGTCGTATTTCTGAAACTCCGCTTGTAACATTTTCGACTCTTTCGGAAACGCGAAAAAGGGCCGGAAATCCTTGTGCGGACACACCTCCATGAACTTTTCCAGAGCCCGGTCGTCGGAGCGGTCCCGATCCGCAAATTTGCCCTTCAGCTCATCCATGAATTTCTGCCCGTCTTCCGTCCACATTCCAGGCCGATCTATCGAGTTTCGGAGCATGTTCCGTTCCCGCTTGAGCAGCATCATCTCCGCGAGGAACTCCTTGACGATGAAGTCTTTCTCTTCTTGCGTGACGTGCAACAGCTTCCCGTCTTTCAGCTCGATCTTCTGGTCTAAAAAGTTCACGAAGTCCTCGCCAATCAATTTCTCGTTGTGGGAATCGATGGATTCCGCGAGCTGTATCACCGTCTTCTGCAATTCCTCGGCGGACTGCTGCCTGGCAAATTGGAAATTTTCTATCAGTTCCATCGCCTTCTTGTCCTCGGACAGAGCGCGCATTTTCACCCCGAAGTCCGCCCGTTCCTCTTTGGACATTTGCGCCAGTTGGTACCCCGGCGATTTCTTCCGCATAGCCAAGTCTTCCTTGTCCTCCTTCTCTTTTTGCTTTTTTTCCTTCTCACTGAGCGGCTTCCCCAACCCGTCCTCCTTCAAATACAAGCGATCCCTCGAGACCGGCGACATTTGCTCGATCGAGGCCAAGATTCTCCGCCAATGGTCGGCGTACTCGTCGAAGACGAAGATTTTATCTCTTTGCACCACGTTTTGCCGCAAATCCTCGATGTCCCCATACCCTCTTAACCCAACAGTGGTCGAGACGGAGGAAATGTCCGACACCCGGGACCCGCTTGTCGTCAGCCGGTAGCGCTCCCCATGGACTAAATTCAAGCCCGAGGCGGGCACAATGGTGCCGTCCCGCGCGATCGTGTAGGGCGGGCCGATTTGCGACCAGTCCATGGTGTAGGGGAAAAAGCTTCTCCGGAACAACTGCGAGTCGGCCTCAATCCCCTCCTGGACCGGAATGCTGTGAAAAAAATTCAAGCGGAAGTCGCCACCTGTTCGGAGAACGAGGTCCTCAAACAGCCGCTGCTTGCGGTAATCTAAGCGGATCTGGGATGTTGAAGATGGAGTTTTCTTATTCTTAGTCTTCTTTGGTGCAGTTCTCTTGTTCATCTTCGTGCTACTTCGGTTAATATTTCGATTTGTGCCACCACGAGGACCCAGAGCATCTTCATCCGCCTGAAGATCTTCTGCTGCAAGAACTTCTACTTCATCGTCAATGCTCGTTCCCTCTTCCGCCCAGCTTGCGGACCCGCCGGCAACCAGCACCGCGGCTGGCGTGTAATGCTCCATTGGCAGTTATGCATTACAAAATTATCGCACTAAGACTAAGGAGCAGTTATGCATATACAAATTTGCTCCGCATGAAAAATGGAATTTGTCATGCCGTTGTACCTTCAGAAGAAGATTTGTCATGCATAGCTGGAAGAACTAGTACGAGTGCGATACTTTTGCACAGGATAGCAATTCGGGTATTTGCGCCCGGGTGGAGAGCCACAATCGCAAGGACATCAATTGCTCGGACTGCTGCAATATGCATTGCAAATAAGTATTTCTGGGTCTGCAAACCTATGATGCTGAATTGCGCATGATTGAAGCGCTTCCTCTTGCAACGGCAGCCAAGCATGACAAGTTTTTGCGACGCCTTTTGATGCCTAGCACACATTACAAATTGCGTTTCTGCATGACAAAGGAAGCTGCTCTACTTTTGCTGTTCATGCAACACAGATTTTCCACGCATGGAAGACACGCATCACCAGTTCCACTTCTCCAGACTCAGACATATTTGCAATCCATATGCAACGCCGCGGAAGTGGGAATCAAAGGCACCAGTTCCACGTGATCCGCTAAAGCGGAACTCACGCGGTTCCTCCAAGATTCGTGCAGGTTCCCCAACACCCGCTCGCACTTCGTCCACAGGTTCGTAATCACCGCGTCCCAATTGTCTCGGCTAGATAAAACATGCTTTTTCCACACATGATGTTGGGAGCTGTGTTTGTTGTCCTTGTCGTGCTTGTTACTTCTAGGATCATTATTCGAGGATGGAGAAAAATCGTGAAACACGTTCGTTCCTTTCTTGGTTCTACACCTTCTCAAGTTCCTCACCCTCGTCGGCTTCCGTTCCGGCTGCCAGCTTTTCGTCTCCCCGTGTAGTTTCCGTTCCGCGTAGGATTTTAGCCCGCAGGACTTCAAATTCAGTTTTACTTCCTGTTTGTTTTTCTTCTCTTTCTCTTTTTCTCTGAACTTTTCACGCAATTTTTCAAAAGTTCTGAACGTTTTGAACGTTCTTTTCCGCAAATCTTTCGATTCCATTTCCTCGATTTTCTCCTTCTTCAAAATCGCCATTTGCTCGACCTGCGCCGGTAAACAGCCGTCCCGTTCCTTTTCTTCCAAATACCAAAGCAAGCCCGTCGGCGGCGGCGCGTTGGCCGTTGCTTCGTCGAAGAGGATCTTCAAGACCGCTTCGTCCATCGATCTGTCCCAGATCATCGTGTAGAACGAAAACAAGTTTCCGCAAAAGTTCGCCTGTTTCTGCAGGTTCCACTTGTGCATCAAGTGCGTCGGGTAGTAATACATCAAGAAAAAACGCATGAAGCTCCACCGCCAGTCGCTCGCGTGGGCCTCGCTGTACGGGTCCGGGTGGGTTTTAAACTTCTCCTTCACGCTCGCCAGCTTGGCCTTCTCTTCTTGAACCTTTTCCGCACGGGTTTTCGGAGGAGCCGTGGTCGTCGTGGTGGTAGTCGTAGTAGCAACCGAATCTGTTGATGTTCCGCTATCAGTTCCTGTAGGTGCCGTCTCTTGTGAAGAAGAAGAACTAGCCGGCGCTACAGCATTCGAATGATCGGCGCTGCCAGAAGTTCCTATCGTGCTGGTCTCTGTCGCCGTGCCAGTGGTGCTGTTGGTACTGCCAAGTTGCACGTCGTTCTCCATAGTTTTCGAGCTGGTATCTGTTGAACCGGCTGCCTCGTCCTTGGCAGAAGTGGAGGCGCTACCACCGGTGGACGTTGTTGTGCTGTCTTTATCCTTCGAAGCAGGAGGTGCTGAGTCTGCTTTATTTGTTCCAGAAGTTGTATTAGAACTCTTTGCAGCAGCCGGTACTGCGGGCATGCCCTCATCTTTCAACTTCGACGCTTCTTTCGCGTTCGTCGGGAAGGATTGCACATAGGTTCCCTGGGTCAAGAACGGAAACATCCCGGGCAGGTTGTGCGGCTGCATGAACGGGCTGGTGAACCCCGCGGATTGCCACTTCTGGGGCATCGGACGGTTATCCGACAACCCCAAACCCACGGTGGACCGACTTTTCTCCGGCACTTGGGTGTCGTGTTGCCAGATGTCTGGCACCAGCTGCCGGAAGAGGTCGTGTGCGTTGCGGTAGTCCAGGAACTATCCAATGTAAAAGTGTCTGGGTCTGGAAGATTCCGAGATTTGTCATGCAGCTTTTCCAAGTTCCAGCAAGTCTGGAATGCAGGGCCTAGCATCACAGGTTCTGCAGCCCCTTGGTGATGCCTATACTGCATGAGAAATGCCCTCTCAGCATGGCCAGAAATGGGGACCTTTTGCAAGTCATGCAACACAGATTTTTGTATGATCCGCAACACGCATCACGAGTTCGCATCCTTCCAGACCCAGACATTTTTACACTTGATAAAACCTCATCGTTCGGATCGTCAGTTGGGAGAAAATCCTATGCTGTGCAGAAGTATCGCGCTCGTCTCGTATAAACTGCAGCCACGCATGACAAATCTAAGTTTCTACCTTATGCAGCATGACAAATTGCGCTTGTCTTCTTCAAATATATTTGTCATGCAATTTGTACTAGAACTAGAAGTGCAATGCTTTTGCAGTGCATAAATCCCAGGTGCCGTTGATTTTCGTTGCCCAATGGAGAAAACGCCGTTCGCGGGAGGAAGCGGCTTGGAGAGCAAAGAGGAGATCGGCGCGGGGACTAGAGATCTGCTTCGTGTACCTGAAGTGATATCATATTGAATAACTTCACCGTTGAAAATTTTATATCACATCAAATCTGATAGTCAATAGGACTAGTGCCCGCAATTCGAATTCCTTTATGTACTATCGCAAGTAATATTAACACAAATACTTCATTCGCATCTTGAGCGTCCGCATGTCCAATTGTTCGTCACTGGGTACGTCGGCTTTCCAGGCAGCTTCCCCGGTTTTTTCCACCATCAAATCCACTGCTCGGCGGTTGACCTCGTGGAAAAAAGTTTCCTTCTCTAATTCCGATTTCCACCCAAAGAGCGAGAGAATCCGCTTCGTGAACAGGCTCGCCAATTCGACAGTGTGCCAGCTTTTCAGCTTTTCCCGGTTGTACAGCAAATTTTCGCTGAAAAACCGCGGGTCAGGGCGGATTTGCTTCCTCCCCCGGACTGTGACCAGCGCGAGCGGCTTCACGTCGGTTTTTGTTGGGTCGGTCGAGAAAAGTCGCACGACTTCTTGGAAGACTTTCGTTTGCGTTTGCTGTTCTTCTTGTTCTTTTTTTGATGTTGATGCTGTTCTCGCAGTATCTTCGATTTGTTCCGGTACAACTTCGTGGCGGTTTCCGTCCGCGTCGAATTCCACAGAAGTGGCAGTACTGGATTTTTTTGTGCTAATATCAAAATTTGTTTGCAATGTTGCTGCGGACTGCAAAAAGGTTCGGTTCGCGCCATCGTCCTCCGCCTCGTCAATCTGCAACCTTTCCCGCCACGAATACTCGGAAAACGCCATCACCGCACCAAAGTGCTGGATGGAATTATGCGTGAACATCGACTTATCGTGCAAGTACCGCCGCTCCGACATTTGTCCACCCATCGCCAGGATCAATCTCGTGTGGTTTTTGCTCACGTTGTAAACGTAAGGACGTGGTTCGTGTTGATCTGCACTAGTAGTTTGATGTTGATCTTGTTCCACAATTCTACCATATTTCCTATTGCTGTCCCCATAATGCATCCGAAAAACCGGATCCACAACAGCATCGTCCTCCAGAAAGTCGCCCTTTATCCACGCTTTTGCTAAGTTCGCCCACTGTTTCTCCGTGGTCAGTTTCTCCTTCAACAGATTTTTCAATTTTGACAATTGCCTCCGAGAAGGACCTAACTCGCGCGCAGCCCGGATCCGCAACTTCCGTAACGTCACCGCCGAGTCGTCTGCTGCGAGCAGCTTCTCGCCCTTTTTCGTCCGGTTTTTGGACGCGTGTTCGTCAAGGTCCTCGTCGCTGTCAAAGAGCTTGTGGTCATCGTCAAGACTATTATTGTCCCCTTTCGCTGTTCTGGTGCGTGTTTCCTGCCCAGCGGAGGACAGTCCCTTATTTTCGTCGCTGAAGTCACTGCTTTTCTTCGAGGCTGAATCGAAGCTGCCGGATGACTTGTCTTGTTGCTTACTTCCCAAAGAACTGCCTCCAGAGCCACTCGAAGTGGAAGTCTGATCGCCCTTAGATGGCCCGCTTCCCGTTGTCCCTGATCCGTCTTTTCCGCCCTGAGCCCCGTTCTTATCACCCCCTGGCTGTCCAGAAGTTCCGCCTTGGGCTCCGTCCTTATTCGCACTTCCGCCTCCTGTTCCTTGTCCCGTTGTCCCGGATTTACCATTCGCACCTCCAGAAGAACCACCGCCCATCTCCCGGTCCTTGTAGTTGCCTCGGTTGTTTTTTCCCCCCAAGTTCTTCGGTGGCATCAGCTTGTCCATGATAATGACCAAGATCATAACCGCCAACACCACTCCACCTATACTCAGCGCGATCTTCTGCGGGTTTTTGTAGTTCGTCCGGGCTGCGTGCAAGCCCTGCAGCTTCTTCCGCGCCGCCTGCTTGCTCTCCTTCGAGCCTTTGCGGGACCCGGTCCTGCCCAATCCAGTGGGTTGTTGAAACAGGTCCATGGCGGTATTCTGGAAGCTCTTCATATCCGGCGGCGCATGCGTCTGGTCCGAGCCGCCGGAACCACGGTTGTTGTTGCCACCTCCGCCGCGCGCCATGGTGTTGGTTCGACGATAGAACTACAGGTTGTCCAAATGGATCGTAGAACCTCTTCTGGAAGCTGAGAACGGGCAACCAGGACGGCACCTAGTATAGTTGACAAACTCAAACGTGGCTAGTCCTGCTTCTTCCACGGCTTGAAGCAAAAACGGCCCTGCTCGTTCCGCTTCCTGGCGGGAAGTAGATGCTGTCGCTCCTCTTTGCTTTTCGGCGAAACGACGGGAGCAGCTGAAACAATTCTTCTAGTGATGACATGGGAGTCTTTTTGTTTGTTACACAAACGAAACCAAACGGAAATTCATGGCTGAGCAAAATGAAACAATAGCAACCTCGTTCCAAGAAAGATTGATCAGAAGAAAAAACCTCTCGTCACGAAAAGCATACGAAGAAACAGACACGACCTCACCTGTAGTCACGATCACGAATCAATATTAGTATTACGAGTTGTACAGCGTCTTATTTTTCGAGAAGCTGAGATCATCATCATGTAAGTGATTGTCATTGGCACATGGGAACCGGAACCGTTTAAACGTGAGGATCGTTGAACGAGAGCGTCTGATCCTGCTTGTGATAAACTTAATTGAGCTAAAAAAAACTTCCACACGAAAAGCAAACGAAGCAAGGAAGTGGGAAATGGACCGATGCAAAACTACGAACCTCCTCGAAAGAAAGCAGCAGTAGGATCAGAATGATCTTCGCCTTCAACAAAAAACCAAACTAACCAACACACGAGACAACGATGAGACGAGCGACGGAGCTGCACCAGCACGTGCGTTTCCTTTGTAGACTTACTTATTTCAATTTCTTGTCGCCATGACGATGACCAGGTGGATACAAGTTTTTTGTTTCTGTCTTAATTTCATCATGCATATGATGTGTCTCTTCCTTTCATGCAATTTTTGGTTCTCAAGATGATGTACGTTAGAGGACGAAATGAGTCGTGATCATACAGTCTAAATCGACAAATATTACAATGTTCATTGTCGGACAATTTTCGGATACAGTTACAAGGTGCATTAGCATTTGAAACAACTACTCCTGTCTAAACTCTACAACTTGTCAGACGGATTTATTCTGATCAAAATCTGCAAGTTTCTATTCTGTTGACCTTATAGTAGTAAATCTTACAGTATGCTGATGTTCTTCGTGATTTGCGTTAATTTGGCAGTAAACTGAAATGACAAAGTTTCGTTTGGCAATGACAAAATGAAAATTTGTGGGCTACTAATCTATTGGTTTTTGACGTCGTTTAATTTTGGGTCAAGTCATGCTGCGAATGCTACCAAGCGAAAAACTGTATATTATCCCTACGATCTTTCCCGGTACGCCATCCCGAGTCGGCACCAATTCGACATCGTGATCGAGTTCTTTTTCCAACTCAATCTTGCTGACACCGAGGGTTTCCCGAACCCGTGGCTGGTTTTTCGCAGGACCGAATCGATGGTGTAACTGCCCGGGCCGACGGAGGCTTCCACGGATCCCGAATCGTACAGCGGCTTACGCAGGGAACGGGGGAAGGCACACCTGGTTAAAAATGAAGGAAGAGGAGTTCTAGTGTCTGATCACGACCATCAGGCATGCTGCCGCAGCGAAGGAACGAGTACTTAAAACAAACTCAGTATCTACTTGTGCATTTTTTGTCACCAGGAACAAAACGCTTAATAGCCCCTACCTCCTTGCTGATGGCTGCCAGTTTCGGAACTGACCGGGGCCAGGACTCGTGCGCCCGAGATTTACTCTGTCACAGCCGGGAAATCGGACCTTTTGAGTTTCAAAGTTCCCTCTTCTTTCCATCGCGCAAAACAACACCAAGAAAACGGTGAAGCAGACACGATCAAGAGTTGTGCACTTACTACATGACCAGCGCAAAAGCAAGTCAGTACCTTGTCATACGCCCGGTGCCCGGTCGCGAAGGTTTTTGAAAGACCCTTCGTGCCATCAAAACTCGCCTCTAGATTGTATTGGCCGGGCCCTGTGGCGCCGAATTCCGTGTGCCCTCGCCATCTATCGTCCATGTTAAATTTGCCCTGTCATGTAGATTTGGTTTGTACTCTGGAGATAGTAGTATGCGATGCCGCCGTCTTCTATCAAATTGAAATCATGATTCTCCAACACCATGCGACCCACCAAAGAGATAAAGCGACAACATTCATTGGAAACTGCAAGTTTGTGATTGTGCAAGAACTACTTCGAAAGTATATAGTAGTACCGCTCCAAAGTTGCTATCGCTGGCTGACCTCCTGATATCATAGACCGGGCCGGGTGAGGGTGTTGCATAGCTTATTTCTTTTCTCACGGCGGTTCCAAATCGTACGGATGACTCGCTGGGTTGAATTTGCGGCAGATAGCTACCGGGACCTTAGGTTTTTAGTAAATTCATGGCATAGTCGTTCCTTCGTCTACTTGTCTGGAGATGGAGAAGTAGCGTTGCATCTGCATCAAGCCCTACAACCAAACATATTATAAATTCCTAATCAATCTTCCTACCTGGCGTGTCCCGTGCTTTTATTGCGTGCTGCTTCGAGATGTAGACTTTTGACCATGAGGACGCGTGCTTTGCCAGTATACTTACGGATGGAAAAGTCTCGTCCTTGCTCTGTGCCCTGAGAAGGATTTTTCACAAGAAAGTAAGCGCAAAACGCGCATCTTCACATGTGCGACAATCAAAGTAAGTACTTAATACGCACAAATTGGAGCTGATTCAATACAATTCCAAAACCTCCAAAACAAAGAATTCAAATATACTGCTGCCCAATTGACCCGGGTACGTCATACTGTCCTGGCCCTGGCTCGAAGTCTACCGGCTCGGAAAAGATGGATGCGTAGGACGGTGCGCCGTAGAGACTTGGGTACGCGTGGGCCAAGTCTACCTGGTTGTTAATCTTTGGGCTTGTCGTCAGGGCTATGGTCGCTGCGGACTGTGCGTGCCCGGTTTTCGCCGGTGACCTGATGGGCGACGCGTTTTGCCCCTTGCCCGGTGACTTGGTGGGCGACGGCATCTTCTCCTTCGGCGAGAGTTTTTGTTCGCCGCGGATGTAGTTCTTGAGAAATTACTTAGTCCCCGTCTCCGGCAGTAATCGTGGAACGTTTTATCTTACACGCTCGGCAACTTGGAAGATCGATGATCTCTCTTCAGAGCATTGTCGCCTTCTGCTACTGCTGCATACACAGGGCAGAGAGGCTGCACGACTCTCGGCTGTCTATCAGCTCTACATTTTTTGGAGAAGTTTGCAGAAGCAAAAGAAAACCTGAAGCTGTAGCTGATACAAAAGAAACATGAAAAGTAGCACAACTCCAAGCCCCACAATTGCACCCCTCCTCCTGGTAGATTAATCTCAAAACGTCGGTCACGGTCTCACTCTCAGAAAAACAAATAAAGCAACGCTGCACACAAGCAAGACTAACGCTCACTCAAGAAAAGAAAGAAACGGCATAGTTTAATTGGACACGCGAGTTACCGGTTACCTCACACCTCGCTCCGAACAACAGGGGAGAGAGAATTCTTGACGAACACTGGTAGCTATAGCTTCGTAGTAGTCCAGAAAGATTAAAGCAATTATTTCTGAGACAGAAGCGGTTCTTGCTGTTGCTACTCCGCCGGTGCCCATGCTCATCATTCATTTTTCAGTAGTATGTGCGGCGTAAAAGTTTCTTGCAAAAATCCTCGTGCTGTGTGTCTTGTATAGCCAGCGATCGTCTATTGTGTCATCTATAGCAATGTGAATAGCCACGTCGCTAGAACACCTAGGCGCTGTGAATGCTAAAATTAAAAAAATTATCATTTACGATTTACACGAGTACTACATGCGAAATAAACCTCCACACTTTCAGATCGAGGGATTTTCAAACTCAGATAAAAATGCAGCTTTTTCTTTTTGGTCTTTATTGTGATTTTGCTTGTAAAACAATCTATCAATGGCCGTAAAAAAAGTCATTCATGCTTTTTTCGAGCGTGAAGCTTATGAGCTACAGATGCGTGAGTAATTCAATCTTTTTTTGTGAATCGACTTGTTTTTTCGTTGGAAAACTATTATTTGTCTATTTCACTCTTTCGTGTTGTTCAGTCAGGGCGGTATGAATCTGATCTTCATTTGTCCTCTTCGAAGGTGGCCACGCTCCTTTCCCTATCAACAGCACACACGATCATGAAAAGCCTTTCCTGTGCTCCGTTCGCTCCTCACGAAGGCTTTTACGCGCCAGCCTCTGCTTGAATACCACCTTGCTCCTCTTTTTTCACGACAGGGGCCGGCTGTCTGTTCCCTACGCTTGCAGCCGAGGAAGTAGTACAACTACCCGACGGAGCTGCTACCGACGTCGACGCTCTTGCAGGTGATACTACACCAGCTGCACCGAAACCGCTCGGTCCGCTGGCTCCTCCCGTAGAAGTACCAGTACCGCCGACCAAAATATTCCCGTCCAACAGCGCCAGCCAATTGTCTCGTACAGAAGTCGATTCTACTTGGTCCCTCTGCAATCTACTTCGTCTCATCTCTCTTTGTGCCTCCAACTTCTGTCGGATCCTTCTCCTTCGTTCAGCTTCCTCATGCGATAATTGCTCCTCATCCATCCGCTGCTGCTCTCGTCGCGGCACACTGCGCACCTCCTCACCTGCGGTAGCGACGTTGACCGGGGCCGGCGCCTGTTCACCTCCAGCTGCAGCTTGTGGCATGACAGTTGTACTACCCGTAGAAGTAGACGATGCACCTGCAACTTCACCACCTTTTCCGTTTCCCTTCGGTGAAGTTGTTCTTTCTTGCGCGGTTGTAGTACCTCCATGCAGTTGAGCCAAGAAAGCTGACCTACTACTCGATGGAAAAGCCTTTACCGGTACAGCAGCAGATTTCTTGGCGAGCAAACGGTCAGACGTTCGTCCTCGAACTTGTCGTGCTCGTACCACCGTTGTAGACGCTGCTGCTGTTGCTGTACCATCAGCATCCTGGTTGTAGTGAACATCATCTTGTACTTGTTCACCATGCGCAGCAGCGGCAGCGCCAGCTGCGCTCATCGGAACTACATGATCCCGGTGCGGTGGGGGGGACATGTTTCGTAAGTCAGGAAAAACTGCCGAGATCGTTTTGGGATACGGTATAATTGCTGGTGGCGTGAAATGAAAGCTGGCCGCACTGCTGGCCGAGATCGGTGCGGGGGATGAAAAGTGCTGCGACGAAGACGATGCGTTGCCCGAAGACGAAGGAGGGGAGAAGGGAGACGGGAATTTCGCATCTGCGCTTGAACTACCTCCTGCAGGAACAGGACCAGCAGCAGACTGTCCATTTTTCCCGCCACCGGAGGAACTAGAAGTTCCCCCCGCCTGATCTCCGCCCAAAACGTTGATCTGATGCCAGTACCTCCGGCGTTTCATGATCGGGCGGTAAGGTCGATGACTGTTGTCTTCCACATCGCCATCGAACAAGTCGGGACTAGGTGTCGGAGTACTGGATGGGGGTCCATCACCTTGTCCACGACCTGGTGACCGGCGCGTTGAGCGAGACCGAGATCGAGCTTGACCTTGATGCTGATCCAGTAGTCCCAACAGAGGGTCGTCCTGGAGGTGAGCCACTTGCCGCGGATCAAAAGCCTCGGAATCTTTATCTTGATCATCGTGCTGGTGCAGCAGTTGCGTTTCTGGCATCACCGTTTCGTCGACCACCCGCTCCTCCTCTTCCTTGCCGGAATGAGAATTCCCGTCCGCGCTCGAAGTAGGATCATGATCTTCATCCACCCTTTCTCCAACGGTCAAAACGGACCCCCGGCCGTCCTCCGATTCGCTGGTATCCGACAACCGCACTTTTACCCACGAAACCACGTGGTCGCCATCCACCTCGTCCGGCCCGCCATTTGCATTTGCCAAGTCTTGTTGGGAAATATCCGAGTCGTGCACCACGATCGCCTGGCCGTTTTTCGGAACGCCCTTGGCCTGCGGGGCACGGAATAAGATGGTGTTTCGGTCGTCGTGAAGATCATGTTGTTGATCATCTGTGGGCCGCGGTGGGGCTCCTTGGGTCTGAGGGAGGTACGGCCGCAGAAGACTTTCTGGAGTCGGTGTACAAGCAGCTCTTGTTTCCGTTCGTTCCACAGGCTGCGGAGTAACGCCACTAGTACGCAGCTCTACAGCCACCTCAGGTCCTCGTGCGACAGATTCAGATGTTGAAATGACAGCGGGAGCAGCGGTTGTCAACACCCCTTCCTTGCGGAAAATTTCTTCCACGACCTCACGAAACACAGTTCTGGGATCGAGGCGCTTAAAATTTGAAGAAAAGTGCAGCTCTTCAGTGGAGGTCCCGGTCGTGCCCAAGAAATGATGTTGATGATGATTTTCACGGCGGAATAACGACCCACCTGTAGTTCTTTCTTCGATTTGCGGTTGCGACGTTTGGTGCTGAACATCATCTACTCCCTCTCCCACCTGCGATGACGATACGGTAATTGATTCATCACTCTTCCCCCGCTTCAACAAAATCATTTTTCCCACTTCCGCGGCCATTTCGCGCTCCTCGCTTCCCGGAATCTGTGCGAGCTCATCCGTGGTCAGAAGAAACGGCGAGTCCCCTCCTTCGCGTATTTCCCCCATGTCCTGGCGCCACACCGCCACATTCAAACGGTCCCACAGCGCGTCCCCGAGCAACCGCCGGCCGGATTGGCCCAATTTCTGCACCGCCAGCGCCTGCGAAATCTGCGCGTCCTCGGTCTTTTCGAGGTGCTCACGGAACCGGTTGAGTATTTCTTCCCGCTCTTCGAAAGATTTTTGGTTCCGCTCGCGCCAGGTGGAGAAAGGGCTTGCGTTTGGTTCGGTCGTAGTGCCGGGGGCTGGGGAACAAGGGCGCTGTTCAGTTTTTTGGTTGAGAATTACGTTTTGTTCATTTTGGACGCCGAGCACCACCGGCACACCTTTTCATTTTATGTAAAACTGCAGATCATAGTCATACGCATACCTGCCCACTCACCTCCGCAACGAAAGGACGTCGCATTCGTAGTTCCTCTTCCCGCGGTTCTGTCGCATAGCGCAGCCCATCCAACAAAGCAAACGCGCTCGCCTGCCGGGTTACAGCAGCGCCTGGTCCCGCAGGGGTCGACACGTCCTCCAGGTCTGCTCGCTGCATTCGCAACGACGCTGCGCCTGGTTCTGCGCTTCCGCCGCCTGCTCCGTCGGAGAAAGGCGCGTACATGAGACTATTCAACTCCATTTCCGAATACCGGTCCTTTGTCGCGTACGGAAGTGGTTCGTTTGCGAGTCGGGCCCAGCGCTGCGATCGCGTTTCCACCGGGTCGTCGGGGTTTAACGAGGGGAAGCTCCCAAGGGACGCGTTGGAGCCCGACCTCTGTCGTAGAGAGAATGGAGGTGGTCCCCTAGTAGTTGTGCTTAGTGGCGGGAGGGCAAGGGAAGAACCGAATGTGTCGGGCTGGCGATCTTGCGAAAAATACGCGAATTGGGAGGAAGGCAGGCGGCGGAAAGGAGCAGGTGAAGGGACTATGCTGTCCACCTCTTCGTGCTGTGACAAGCGATTGCCGCGCTCACTGGTGCTCCGCTGCGGGGTGGCACCTAGTAAGGAAGATTTTGGTATTCTTATATCATGAGTGTCTTCTTGTTCGATAGGCAGGCTGTTCTCAGAAAAAGAACTGAAAGAGCAATCACAGCCTCGTAGTTGTCGACTCGCAATACCTACTTACCTGAAAGTACTGCCGCCGCTGCTGCAGCTTTAGCCTCGGGCAGCATTGATTCACCCACAGCAGCTGGTACCTCTGCTGCAGTTTCGCTGAGCGTGCTTTTCGGCGTTGGATCTCCGGCGGCGGTAGGAGGAGGACCTCCTTCTGGGTTTTCGCCATCTATCACGGTGCTCACTTGTGAGTCATCGTTGGCTCCGGTGCCCCTCACCAAAACACTGGCCGCCAAGACGAGCCGGGTGAGGAGGGACGATTTTTTTGCGAGTTTCTTCAGAGACGGCAACATCCTGATTTCATGAAAGACCAGTCGTGAACCGGGCTCGAATTAAAAAATTTTTGACTGTTCAGAAGATACGTTTTCGTTCATGTAGTAGAGTTTCGTTTTCATACACACCAGCCACTCGTATCGATTTTTCACGATAATGTGAGTGCTTGCTACGGGGGACGACTTGCTTCCTGTCTACTTTCCTTTGTTTCTTATCTTTCGTTAATAACATTGGTGACCTTGTTCGGTCAATGGCATCTATTCCCAGTCGTGTACCTAGTTGTAATATGGCGCGGTGCGTACCAGGAAGCTTGCTCTTTGCGGTTGCCTATTTTTTCAATCAAAACTCAAAATTTTCAAAAAACGGGAGGTGCTACGGCAAAACACTTTTTACCGTCGCTGACTTCAAAGAGAAGGACAAGGATGCGCATGCCAAGATAAATGAAGTTGAAGTTCTTGGTTGTGCCTGCTGTTCGCAACACGATCCTGTATCGAGCATCGCTGCACGCAAGAGCAAGAGATGATGTTGATCCTCGCAGAAATAAACGCACGCTGCTACGCGTGATCTCAACGAAGGGGAAAGATCTACTTGTTCGTGAACTACGTGTGTTTGATCTTCCGTCGTCATGCGCATGAGAAATGCTCTTGATGATCATGATCATACATCCACTTGTGCGCTTATTGCACATCATGAAACGCGACGCTGCAACGCAAAGCTAAGGCGAGTAGGGAAAACACCAGGAAAATTTGTTACATAGAGCCACCAACGGGCTGGGCACCACTGTAATTTTTGTAGAGAATCTTTGTTTTCCCAAGTGTCAAGTACAGGCGTTTGTCGTTGTCCAAAAATCTCATTTTGCGCTTGACGTTGTAGTTGTACAGGGTAATGTACCTAGCGGGACAAGGTGGGTGGAATTTCCTAGTCTAATATGGGGGTCTTTTCTAAAATTCGGGGGTAGCTTTCGCGTGTTGTACAGTGCACTTATGCGTTTCAAAACATTTTACGAGTATTTCAACTAAAACCGCGAGCCAAATTTACTGTGTTCAAATTCTAACTTACAAGTGTTTTCTAAAATAGTGTATGTTATGAATAAAAGGAAAGTTCAAACGACGATAATGCGAGACATTCTTGGAAGAGTAAGCACTTTAACTTTGAAACGATAAAGCCTTTTGGGGTCTTTCTAAACCGGTCTGCCAAATGCAAAAGATATCATACAGAGAGAAAAAAGTTGTGTACAAGAAATTTCCAACTAGATAGTGTTAGTGATCCTGTGATGTCATCTGCTAAAAGAAAGAAAACCAAAAAAATCAGATTCAGAGTATTTGAATTAGTGTAACAATCGGTCTTTTTGCCTGTGAAAATGTTATGACAAAAAGCGAAATGTGAGGCTTACTATCAAACCATGCACTCGAAGTTTCCATACACGAAAATGTAAATTTTGAAAAAAATCCTATTCGTCACCTCCACCTATCTACGACCCAACAGCACCTCTACCCGCTGCTAGACGAGCTGGAGCCACTGCTTTTTTTCGTCGTGCTGGACTTGTTTCCACCACTAACGGAACCGGAAGCGACTCTCCCGAACGCGGGTGCCCCCATTGTGCCCGGCTCGTTCATAGACGCGCTGTTGCGGAAGTTCCCAGCCGGCATATCGCTATCGTCGTCCACCGCCTCGGCGGCGGACCCGAAGCCCTGCTGTCGCATGGACGCCATCCCGTCTCCGCCCTTAACACCCACTGACATACTATCACTGCCTCGCGATTTCCGCATTGATGGTCCTCGCGCGTACTCGCTCCCTTCCGTGCCCTGCGACCCCGGCTCGAAATCGCCGCTATTTGGCTCTAGGTCGTCGCTGCTATCCCCGGGCTTCTCGTAGCACCGCCAGATGTAGATGTTGCCCTCGACATCCCCGGAGGCGAGGATGGTGTGCGACCGATTTAAATCGACCGCGACGGTTGGCTCGTCGTGTAGTAAGCTGCACACGTGTCTTGGGTTGTGGATCGTGTGGACGTGCACGTGTCGGTCCTCGCCCGCGGTTAAGATGTATCCGTGGTTGGAAAAGCAAGATTTCAACGGCAACACCGTTTGCAAGTTCGGGTACCGATGGAGAACTGTCATGGTCAAAATGCGGTTATAGTCGCGCTCAAACGTGACTTGTAACGTCACGACGGAATTGTCCGCACAGTTCACGACCAACAAGTCTTGCCACCCAAACTCGTTCTCTTTCGAGTACTCTGGCTGGGACCCGATGGTCTGCAGCGAGCCGAACTTCATGTCCGTGCACCCCTGCCAGTGCTGGTTCAGTCTAATCGACAGATTGGGTAAAAATTTAAAATCCGTCGGCCGCTCGCAGTCGATCACAAAGACCTCGCCGTACTTCGTGCCGCCGAACATGTAGTTGCCCTGTCTATGGTCGATCTGCAGACAGCGGATCTCTTCGTTGTGCGAAAATTTTTGGATAATCGACCCCGCTAGATAATCCCCGACACGCAGGTTCCCAGAGGCATTCGCTAAAACATACAACTGCGGAAACGCCGGGATGGTGGCGACGCAGGAAATGGGATACGCGTCTTCCGCGGCGAACTGCAAATGTGGGTGGCCGTGCTGTACGAAATGGTCGTGGCCGGTCTCTAGATTCCACATCCGCATGGTCCTATCGGTGGAGGTGGAGATTAACCGCTGTTCTGTCGAGGTGAACACTACAGACGTGATCGCGGACTGGTGCGCCTTCCAGGTGGACACATGGGTAAACAGCCCCTGGTCCTTGTTCACCTGCTTGCTGGTCGCCTGCACCAACCGCATGTAATCCGTGGTCTCCTCCACACCCACTTCTTGTTCAGACGCCATATGGATCAACTCGTAATCCGTCTGCGTGTGGTTCATGCGGTACAGCGCCAAGTGCCCGTCCTTGTAGCCGACGACCAAGAAGGAAAATGTTTTCACCCGATTTTCCAACCCGAACTGGATACAGGTAACGGCGGATGGTACTTTTGGTTTCCTCTTCTCGACGAGGATTAAATCCCTGTCCTGTCCCGCATCGTAATCCTCTTCCTCGTAGTCTTTGTTCAATTTATTCATCCCCTCCGCGTCGTCGTGGTAGTTCAACCGTTTCTGCTTTTCCGTCCGGTCGTGGGCCTTCTGCAACAGTTCCTTGTGTGCGACGTCCTCCTTCGGGGGAATCAGGGACATAAAACCGTAGTCGTACGCTTCCGCGATGGGATAGCGAACGTAGGAATTCTCGGCCTCGTGCTCTTCCAGGGACGGCGTGGTGTCCTTCACCTGAGAAAGAGATTTTTCTCGATAGCACAAGATTTCACGTTTGTAAAACATAAGAAGCACTTACACTTGCGTTACTTATCACTCAAGTCCTCGCGTGAACAATTAGACGAGTACCCACGACAATTATCGAGAAGCAAAGCATTTTCATCTAGCAAAAAAGTATACCCCTTGCAAGCGTTCCCTGATATCTTTCTTATAGGCGTCGTCGACGCTGCGCATCTCCTCCCGGCGCTGGGCTGGCGGTGATTGCACCGACAATTCCCAGGCCTCTTTCAAGGACGGCACGTACTGCACCACTTCGGACGGGGCCATCATGGACTCGACCGCTAGCTTCGTCGCCACCAGCAAGTCGCTGGTCTCCATGCAGATGCCCTGGTGCTTATCGGCGCGCGCCTTCACGTAATTCAGATTCACCTCCCGGGACTCCGACGCGACCCGGCGCTGCGCGGATCTGGAGGTCGCCTTCACCGTTTCCGCCTCGAAAATTAAATTTCCAAGCAGCATCACGTTGTTGTTGAACTTTTTCGCTTCTTTTAGAAGGGACAACGCGGAGGTAAGGGATTCCTGCCTCGTCACCGTGTACACAATGAAAACCCAATGCGCTTGGCCGTATAAATTGCGGTAAAGACTGGACTCGGAAAGCCTCGCGTGGCAATCGAGGATGCGCAGGTTGAAGCCGCCACCGAAATCCATATCATGGCGGACTAGGTCGGGCAGAAAATGCTCGGGGTCCTCACGGATGCTGTTCTCGGCGCGGCCGCCCAGCGTGGCGAACGTGTATTCCTCTCCGGTTTTCGGGTCTGAAGTTTAGTGGGATGTGAAAGTGAAAGTGGAATGATTCATGTGTAGTTGTTTGCACAGTAGGAGTGCCAACAATCCCTTTCAGGTCAAACTAACAAAAAGAACTCTGAATCCAAACACCAAAAAAATTCCTAAAAACTTATACTCAAAAACGCCGGCGGCATGGGCATCATGCAGGTTTTGTACATCCTCCGCACCAGCTCCGTTTTCCCGACGTTTTTCGGGCCTATGATCAAAACGTCCAACGGTTTTTTCGTCCTACGCAGATTCCTCACTAGCCGTTCCGTCCAGATGGGCGACAACTCGTCAAAATTGAAGTGACGAAACTGCTCTTCCGTGTGCAATTTCGCTCGTTCCTCATCAGATACCCCGTCCGTTATCTCCGCCAAATCTTTCTTCAACTTGGACACGGAAAACTCGATGTCGATGTTGGTAATGGACTGTCTGGCGCGGCGTTTTGCCTCTTCTGGGGTTAGATCGACGATGCCGCCTAATTTGTGCTTGACCACTTCTAAAAAGTGCTCCCGGTCGTTTTCCATCATCCGTTTCCAGTCCCGCTCCTGCTTTTCGAGTAAATACTGCGTTCGCTTCGGTCCGCCCTCCACGTCCAGGACCAACCGCTGCAGCACCCCCTGCATCCGGTCCCAGCACTGGCGCATGCGGCCGTCGCCGCTGCTGCCGATCGCGTCGGCCATTTGCTGCTGCACCGCGTAGAGCTGCTTGACCATGGACTGCTCGGACTGCCGGTTGGTGCCGTCATTGTCCACAATTTCGTCGCCCTCGATGTAGAAACTGAAGGGGACCGCGATCTCGGAAGACTCCTTCAGTCGCTGCAAATGGTGCATCAGATCCAGCTTCTGCTGCTGCAAACGTGCGCGCTCGCCCGCGGCCTCCTGCTTCTCGACCACGTGGGCCGGGAGCTCCGGCTTCTCGCCGGAAGCTGCCTCCTTGTCCGCTTTCATCTGAAAGTTTTTTAGGTTGATGGATTTTACTTGCGACATGCTAGTAGTGTGGTTCTCCTATAATTTTTCAACTTGTTATCGATGAAATGCACATACTCAGCGTCTACTCGACGTGCTAACCGCTCCAAGAGATGAAGAACGCTTTGACAATATTCATCACGACATGTCTGTGCTCAAGGCAAATTTCCGAAACACAAAAATCAACAAACTCTGAGCAGCAAACAAGCAACTTCTACCTGTCTCGCCATGGCCATGAGTCCCTTCGGCTTATCTCCCTTCTCGTGCAGGAGCCAGATAAGGTGCTGGAATTTCCTCTTCGTTTTCAAAGTCATGTACTCCCGGACGTACCGCTGAATCCGGACAATGGACTTCCGGATAAACACGTACCTCCGCCGTGTCAACGCCCCCCGCCACCGGGCACAGAGCTTCGTGATCGCCTGGTCGTTCAAACCACTCGTGATCTTCCGCAGCGCCCGGTACATGGGCTCGGTGAGGAAGGCGGTGGAGGAACCAATAAAATTTTCCCCGTCCGCTTTGATCGCGTCCTTCACGACCGAGTGCTTTTCCGCCACGGTGTTGAAAAACTGCCGGGAGGCGTGCTCCACAGATTGTGTTGTACTATCGGAGGACATAAATTCATTCAATATTCTTTTCGGAACCAACCCCCCGTAGTCCTTCAGAAACTGCGCACGTCCAACCCGCACCTTGTACTTGTTCATGCCCCGCTTCAGCTTCACGATCTCTAAAACGCCCTGCATCCGCAGCTGCTCCGCCACGTAGGGGCGCGCGAATAAATCGGAGTTTGACTCGCGCTTGTTGGACGGCTTTAAACAGATGCAGAAGTGGCGCTCCGACCCCTCCACCAGCCGCATCACCCGGTCTACCTGCGTCCGTAAGAGTTTCGTCGCGGGCTGTAGCAGCTTCGCGCTGTTGTTCTGCAGGAGGTTCTGCAAAAACGGGTTTTCCGATTCTTCTTTCAAGAACTGGTACAACTCCGCGGTGTACGGATCCTGGTTTTTCCAGCTGAACCCGGCCGCCGCGTAAGCAACCTCCGCCGTGAAGTGTTTGATGGCGAAGGTGTCGGTTTGCTGCCGCTTCTCCATGAACCGCGGGTTCTTTCCCGCCCCGAACTGCGTCCTTAGCCGCTGGCAGAACAACTTGTCCAGCTTCAGCATCCGTTCCTTTTCCGCCATCCCCGCGGCGAATTTCCCGTCATTTTGCAGTGCTTCCAAAACGGGGAACACGCCGGTGCGGATCAAATTGACCGCCTCCGCGTGGTCCTGGTGCAGCTTCTGCGGGGGCAAAACCGCGACTGGGAGGCCCTCCCGGGTCTGGAATAACCGTTCTTTCGCATACACGTCCTGGAAAATGTACTTGTTCAGCACCTCGGTGGAAAAGTTGGTGCAGAACTGCTCGAAACTGTTCTTCTTAAACGACTCGAACCCGAACATGTCCAGGACCGACACGGAGGCGAAATCCGTCGGGTTGGACTCGACCTCCACCCGGTCCTGCAGCAACACCTCGTTCGCCTTCTGCAGGATGAAGTCCCACAACTGTTGGTACAAGAGCCGGCCCAGGGCGTGGATCGCGCCCGAGTTGTTGCAGACGTGGGCAAGCTTCGGTAGGTCGCGGAGGCCGAGGATGCGATATCAAAAAGGAAAATCCCCCCACCCCATACTCAAACTAGAAATTTGCGATGCAGATTTGTGGTCACAAATCAGCTTTGTCATGCTAGAAGGGAAAAGATGCGGACTATAGTGCTGGTTGGCGTGGGAAAGCGTTGCATCTTCAGCATGACAGGGGGCAGCTGGAAGTGGGAAACAGCATGACAAATTGCCTACAAACGAGGCCAAAGCTGCGTCTCTTTGCCTTCTAGCATTACAAGTCGATTTGTGTACTCAAATACAGCATCAGAAATCTCGTTTTCGATATGGGGAGGGGGGATTTTTCCTTTTGATATGCGACCCAGGACGCCGAGCCGCATCTCCACCGCGCGCTCGTCCACTTTCTTGGCCGGGCCTGGTGTCGAGAGGTTTGGAGAAGAGGAATTAATTGATATTTTGCGTCCATCAGCTCTATCAATAGCAAAATGAGGTTAAGCGCTGCCAGCTAACGGAGACGACACCGCTCCGGGCAACGACGTGCGGGCCTTTTGGTTTCTCGTTCGATCGTTGCCCGTGTGTTGTACGGTCTGGCAATGTCGGAATAAACACAAAGAGCAAGACGGCCCGCGCGCCGTGTGGTATCCATATCCCCCCAAAAGAAAAGAGAAAGCCGTGGGCACGGGAGCGTCGAGGCGCCCCGGCCCACGCGGAGGTGCATGACGCGCTCCGTGGAGGTGCTGCTGCAACGCAGAGGTGCACTCCACGGTTGTGCAGACTGCACTCCGCACGGATGTGCGTCAAGCACTCTGCTCAGGTGCTGCTGCGAAAGCAGAGGTGCACTTTGCAGATGTGCTATGAGCGCCGCACTCTGCTCAGGTGCTGCTGCGAAAGCAGAGGTGCACTTTGCAGAGGTGCGGATCGCACTCCGCTGGCTTCGGTGCCGCGACTGTCGCACTCAGAGGAGGTGCTGCCGCTCACGCGGAGGTGCACTCCTCAGAGGGACAGGCCGTGCTCGGAGGAGGTGCTGCCGCGAAAGCGGAGGTGCACTCCAACGAGGTGCGCGCTACGCTTGGCGAAGGTGCTGCCGCTCACGCGGAGGTGCACTTCACCAACGCGCGCAGGCACAGTGTGCAGTGTGAGGTGTGCTGCCGCTAGGCGGTGGCGCCCTCCACAAAAATGCGTCGTCGCTCTCGAAAGAGGGCGACGTCACAGGCCCCAACCATGAAAAGCGCGCGCGCTCGCATGTAGAGGTGCTGCCGCGGCGACGCGGAGGTGCACTCTACGCGCGAGATAGCGCTCGATGCTAGAAGCACTCAGTCCCAGGACTGAGTGCTGCTGCGCGCCATAAAAGAGTGTCGGCTTCCTCGAGTGGAAGCCGACGCTCGACGCGGAGAGCCCTCGTGGGGTACGCACGCAGCGGCGCTGCAGGCGCGCGCGTGCAGCTGGACGCAGTAGATCGCTTGAAACACCACTAAAAGCCAGAATAAGGCTTTTGGTGGTGCGAAAAGCCTTATTCTGGCTTTTAGGGGTGCGAAAACAGCCGAACCAGCTGCAGGCCGCATTTCCACCGCGCGCTCGTCCACTTTCTTGGCCGGACCTGGTGTCGAGAGGTTTGGAGAAGAGGAATTAATCGAATTCTGATAGTAGTACAACGTCTGGCTTCAGAAGGAGCCTACAACTGGTTTCATCTTTGATAACGTGTACGTAATCTTTTTTGTACATACTGAATGTCACTCTTTTACGCATGATCTCTGTAGAGCAGAACAAGAAACAAGCTTGACGAGTTTTTTTTTACCGTGGTATACTAACTTCGAGTTGCTCGAAGCGAAAAATCTACTAAAAAACCCTATACCCAGCACGCCGGGCGCATCCGACGCGACGCAGCTGAGGAGCACGATGACGGTGAGAATCTGGAACATGGACTCTTGCTCCGCGACGGTGATCCCTAAACAGTGCAGCGCGTGCAGGGTCACGTCAAAGTCCGCCGCGTCGTCCACGTCGTTCACCTTGACCAGCCCGCCCTGCGAGAGCATTTTCGGTAAAACCGCCTTTTTCACGCCCTCGAAGGGGACGAACTTGTACACACAGCTGTTGCTAGTGGAATCCTTGAAGTGGTAGCGGTAGTTATCCTTCGCAGACGCCTGTAAAGCACTCGTGTACTGGTAAAAGATGTGAAAATTCCGCTCGCCCTGGTTCAGCTCCGTCACCCGCGCCTTCTGGAAGAACAGCGTTTCCATTTTTCCCCCGACCAGCTGCGACCGGTTGTTCATGTTGTAGAACAATTCCGTCAGACTTCCGAAGCACGACCCGTTCCGGTTCCGGACCGTGTACGCGTTCCCAAAGGCCTCCAGCAGCGGCTCCACCGCCTCGTGCAAAGCCGTGACCGCCGCGGTTCTTTTCGTGTTTGCGCTGGACGTCATCGAAGGGGTAATCACGGGCGAGACCATCACGCTCGTCGTAGTGGCGGTAGCCCCGGCGGCAGCCTGCTCCACCGCCGAGGGTTTTAGCGAGGTGAGGCAGCGGAGCACTGCTTTTGCGTTCTCCGTCTTCCCCGAGCCCTGCTCGCCGGAAAACATGACCATCTGGGACACACCCTTATTGTACATCGAGTAAAACGCCTCCATTGCCAGCCCGAAGATGTGCGGCTTGGAGTTCGCGCACTCCCGCGTGTTGTCCCGGATGTAATTGGACATTTCCTCGTACCCCGTGTGCGTCTTGCTACTTTTCGACAGCACGGAGAGCAGCACGTTGCCCGCGTAGGTGTAGGTTAAGTCCTGGTGCAAACGGGTCTGCAGCGTGTGCAGCAGCGCCGCCTCGTGCAGGAAGGGGAGCTGGTCCACGTTTTCCACCGTCTTGATCCCGTCCGGCTGCATCTTCAACTCGTTTCGCAGAAGGAGCTGGGAGGGGAGCAGCTCCATGGTCTGCGACCCCACCCGGACCTCCACGACCCCTTCATCGGGCTTCGTGGAAATGCCGTTGCGAGCGGGCGACGAGGATAACGCGTTTGTTCCGCTGCTCGCCACCCGGGACCGGGGTGAGAAAGCGGTGCTGCTGGTCAGGTTCGACCGGGTTAATGTGTTCTTGTTCGTCGGCTTCGCGCTCTTGGTGGGCAAGACGCGCAACACCTCGCCAGGCTTGTAGACCTCGGCATCGTCCTTGACCCACACCTGGACGCCCGCGGCGAGGGGGATCACCCGCGGGATGGCCGAGGCCACCTCGGGCGCCGTCGTGTTTTTTCCTACCATCAGTTGTTCTTGAGTCGTGTACTAGTCGGCGTAGTGAAAATCAACACGAAGCCGCACCGGTCAAGGAAGAAAAAAACAGAAACACCGGAATATTTAGCAAAAAAGAAATCGTAGCAGGGGTATGATCGTACTTTTCATAGAAGCAGGTGGGACTCGTTCTCGTTCTTAAAATTCATCAAGTTGTGGGGAAGTTGTAGACTAGAAGAAACAAAGCCGTAAATACGACTGCCTGCGCGAAGTAATGAATCATACGATTTGAAATATTTGGACTTTTCGTTTTCGTACTTCCGATTCCATAGATGAATACAAACCCACGAGAATGAAAATGGAACCACAGATGAGGGCATGAGGACGAAGACCCGGATATTTCGACGACGCAACGACCATCACTAGAGAACGACTACACGACCAACGAGTGCTGATGTCCTAGTAACGATAGCAGGTGGTCAACATCTATCTGTGACCGTTTTCGTTTTGCCCCTTCTAGTACTGCTTGTGATAACACGACGTCGCACGAATGTATTTGTAAAAAATTTAAATTCATCATCTGGCTGTACGACAAACTACTCGGTTCTTTTGCTTTGCGGTCACGAAGCTAAAGTGCCTTTGGTGTGACGACTTGAACGAGAAAATTTCTTACTACGATGTACGATTCAGATTGTTCACTTGTGAAGACGACAAGAAACTTGTAGTCGGACACGGACGTACATCATTTTCCTTGCTCATACTGCAAAAACGACACCGACAGGAAAGGGAAACTACCTTGGGAAACGTAGAAATTTGATCATAATTCTGCTTCTGGAAGATAGAACAACTCGGTCTGCAGGGTACTAGAAATTCGATAATTATGCACAGCAAAACAAATAATAGAACTGCAACTGCAGCCTATTTCGATTTCTTTGGAGGTAAGTCATCATTTGATACAATTTGGGAACGTCAATATCTGCTGGGCAGCAAAAGCTCGCGAATTATTTCCTGTACTTGCATTTCTTATTCTGTGTGGCGGGTAACCATCTGTACAAGTACATTTAGTTGGAAGATAATTTTGAAACTGCGCCTGAAACCATAAAACTGAAACTTTTTTGAAACGGCAAGCATTAACGATTAACTCTGTCCTCTCTGGGCTCTTTGTATTGTCAAGATGATAAACTTTGTCTTTAGTTCTTCTTTTTGCTTCTCGGAATAAAAAACTAAAAGCTCTTCGACTGACCGACTTGCAATTCTCATAAAAGCAAGCTCGTCAGCTTAAGTCGTGGAGAAAACTTCTCATTTGGTGTAAAGCAACGCGAATCTGCAGTTAATCAGTGTACTAATTTCTAGTGTAAAAGGTAAACGGTTGGAACGAAACTAGTTCTAGTTGGTCTTGGTAATTGCTATAATCTCCTATCAATCCTGCTTTTATTTCCTGCGATTTTGTTTCTTCTGCATCTGCTCGTATTCGCTCGTATCTGGTCGTAAGTAATCGTGAAATCGTAAACCGTATCGAAGTTATTGTTCATCCTTTATTTGCAGCCGGAAGTTTTTGGTTTATTGTCTTTCGTCCCGTAAAATGTAACTGTATCGGTCTGAAAACTGACACTGATGATCCTGAAAAAGGATACTTGATTAGCTCACTGGAGTCAATCTCGACCACTCAATGGTAAGTCAAGGCGACTATTTTTACTTCTCGTGATGTTGTTGGTGTCCTAGACCACTACCACTTTTTGTACAGTACTTCTTTTCGCAGTAGCTGCTTCTGCACCTTTCAATAATTTTGTTTCTCTTCAAAACTCGAATACGACGAGAGGACGCCTGCAACTTCGTACCCGAGGACTAGTTTAAGTTTTTGGATTTTTTGTGCTTGCGATTGTAATCTATGCCTTTTCCTTTCATCAAATTCAAAACTAGAGCTGTTGAAATTGTACTGTGCTATCGTGTCATTAATTCTTCGTGCTCTCTAATCCTAAATTTTCTACGCTTGATCAAAATCAAAACTTCAAATTCAAGATCCCCGTTGAAGCTTCCGCGAACAGCCTCGTTCTGCATCCGGTGTTCCTGAAAGGCCTTGCTGAAAAGCGCACCACTCAAACGAAAAAGAGCAGCGCTTCCCTCATGACCGTCTTTAAGCTCCAACACCAAGTACGCGCGAACAAGGACCTGGGTTGGATTGACGAAAAATTTTTCATCATTTTTTTAAAGCAGATTCACAGGTTCGAAGATAACCTTCATTCATTCGACATGCAGAAATCATGCGAATCATGCACGAAAACTCGTCACAATCATGTAGTTCATGTCGCATAAGAAGTCAACTTCTGTTAACTTCCAGATAGTTTTTTCATGCCTGTCAGTCTACAAAAACATTATGTACACACTGAGTAAGTACCCGAAGAAGTCCCCTCGAAGGATCTTGATTTTCTTTCCTCCCCTCACCGTTTTAGTACCCCGCGTTGGGGTCAAAAGCACCAATATCCAGTGCAAAAACCCTCCTCGTCGTCCTGACGACCCCGCAAAAAAAACTTGCGTTTGTGATGCAATGCTACCAGTCTTGGTCCTCTTCCTCGTGCTGTTGCATGAATTTATTAGTAACCAAAAATTGTTCCAACTTACATGATGCTGCTTTCGGCAGCCAAGCAAACGCTTCCATGCACGACGTGCACCCCACGTTATTGAGCAAAGCTCGCATGATCTTGAAAACAAACTAACTCTGGGGCCGATGCTCGACGAGTCGTTTTAACACAGGATAGCCGGCCACGGCCATCGGGTCCTCCTCCTCTCCTTCGCCTTCCTCGCCTGCTATGGATGGGAAATGCTCTCTCTGTAGCTGAAGCTGTAGTGCTTCCATAACAATTTTTCATAAATAAACAGGGGCACATGTTGGCAACAACATAGATACACTTGTAATGCAGAACTTGCAACAACATGTACGTGTCACATACATGTTGTTGCAAGTTCTGCATTACAAGTGGCCGGCAACAACTTTTCATTTTGTACCGGTTTCATACCGGCCTCAATGGGGGAGTAAGACAGCATTTAAGCTGTTATAACAAGGAGTTAACAGGTAATGGTAATGTTTATCCTGGAAACCGGAATGTTTATCCTGGAATTATAACAATATCCAAGGGATGGTACTATCCAAGGTTTATCCTGGAATATATAATGTTTATCCAAGGTATTGTCTATTACCTTGTTATTACAGGTTAATGACAGCTCCATAACTGTTAATCCGGTAACTTTTGTTCCACTTGTTAATGTTTACTGTTAAGGCAGCAAGACAGCATTTTCCGGCTTCATACCGCCCTCCGCCGGGGCACCGTATCCTGAGGAAAAACGTACCCACACCAGAGTTGTAATGCAGGTTTGCAAAGACAGGAAGACTTGTAATGCTCATCCCCATGAGAGCCATTTCCAATCGTGTTTTGGAATTTGTGATGCTGTGAACAGGATCAGAAGGTCGATTTGTGATGCGGCTTTCCTTGCTTACTTGCACTACCTTACGGACTGAAACTTGTCATGCGTGACTCACAAAGCTCCTAGGTTTGTGTTGCAAAATCCCCACCCTGACTCTGGTGTGGGTACGTTTTTACTCAGGATACACCGCCACCCTTGTTCATCATGAACACGCCGACACCGATGATATCCCACAGAAAAAAGCTAAAAACATATCTTCGTATGATACTTATCTGTCTCTGTGGTGGAAACAAGCTATACACAAAGATGAGCTGCAGGTGTAGCAGCCCAGCATGCCCATCGCATTCTGCTTCTGCTCCGTCATTCAGGCATGCAATTGCAAGGGCAAGAGTAGAGATTCCATGACCAGTTTTTTTCGTGTCTTTTTTCATCTTGAAATAGCAACAAAAAATGCTAGCTTTTTTCAGTGGGATAGACACCAATCAACACTTATCATCTGTGACAACTTCCTCCCCTTGCTTCCCCCATGATCATTCTGATTTTTGAAAACGTAAAGCGTTTTCCTCTTCCTCCTTCGTTCGGCTGGATGTTGCAAATGAATCCAAGATCACGCCCAAGGAAGCGTGTGCTTCATGTGTTTAGCGAAAAAGGCTTGTTCTTTTCCGGTTGCAAAAATACATCTCTGCTCCTTGTCATGCTCGTCAGGAATCACATGCAGATGAACATGAACGCATGCAGAATCTAGGTGCTGTAAATCCAAAAAACAGAATGGTTTTATGAAAAACAAGAAGGGATAAAAGTGTCACAAATGATAGGATCACGACGATCACCACGACCACGATAATGATCGTCGCGTTGCCTGTTTTATTGGTATGAATAACATCGCAACACTACAAAGAAAATTAGGACTTCTGCCGCACTCGCACTGGCAATAAAAATAATGTACCTAATTACTCTTAAAATCAAGAATTTTCTCAGAAATTCAATTTTTGAAGCAGTATCTCTATCTATAAAGGAACGAACCACATCTGTCATTCCAAAAAGTGCACTACTTGATTCTTCCGCGGCCGCTGGAGCTGCCGTTGTTGCCGCGGTGTCATTTTCGGTGTGGTATGATTCTGAAAATTTTAATCTCTCGTCTTCTCGAAACACTAGCAGCTGACTTGTTGTCAGACGGTTTTTACAAAAACATCATAACCTCGGGCAGGGTCCATATCCACTTCGTCAACAAGAAGGTGCTTTGTAATTATTGGCGGTGCTCCGGCGGGCGGCGAGCTCACAATACATCACAGAGGAAGACAAAGATTAAGATATCAGTACACCTACAAAAACTAGTTACCGCACAGCTCATGTTCCTGCGTTATGGCTGTATATATGTTGCAGAGTGGATGACAACTACCTCGGGATGCTTACTCTAGTGATGCTACCTGCTTTGCCCAAATGAAAAGGAAGTAGCTACGTGAGCACTACCATTATTTGCGAATCTTAATCTTGAAAGTGAGACGAGAAAGAGAATTTGAAGAAAAGATTTTTTCTCCGGATAGACTGTTCTTGCTTGAGTTGGAAGGCGCCGCCGTCGCTGGTTTTTTTGTTGTTGGATTGTTGCAATCGCAATGGATCTCTTTGGCGCTAATTTTCGATCTGGTTGCTCCATTCTTCATCAACATGATGCCTCTCAAAGAAATAACGTCGTTCAGCATTTTTTTACAGATATTGGTTCACCACCTACCTGAAGTCAGAACAAAAAAAGTACTTGGCTTCATCGCTTCTGTCATAGCGGTTACGATTGCATCTTTGATGGTGTCTTGGGTTGCAGCGTCTGCGATCGCTGCGGCAACGACATCAGGCGTGGCAGCAGCGACCATTTCTGCGGTGATTTCGACGCCATCGAAAGTCTGCCCGACGAGGGTGGCCAGGGCCGTGTCCGTGGCGGTTTTCACATCGTCCTCTACATATCCTGTGCAAAACCATCGCCCTCGTAGTAATTGACGTCATGCATTACCAATCTTTTTCATTTTCTTATTAAAGATAGATCTACTTACCTGGTACATCTCCTGCATTACAAATTGCATGTCTCATGCTGCAGCGGACTCTTGCAATGCAATTGCTACTAGTACGATACTTTTGCAATCCATACGACAACGGGACTAGCGATCGAGTTAAAGATGGCCTTGGCCACGTCGTTCCCGTTAGCTGCCTCTTCCAACGTGGCCGGTGCAGAGCCTGTGACGGTTGGGGAGATGCTGTGTTTCTTCTGCGCCATGCAGATTAAAGATCCAAAACCATGGACAACGAACCACAAAAACACGACCAAAACACTTCGTAGAAAATTGCAAACAGTAGCCCTTTTGCAAATAATATGCGTCAATCATACTCATAATTTTCATGCATGCATGAAAAATCTTAATCTGCTTCCCCAGAAAAGAGTAAGGTAAATCGACAGTTACAATCACCATTTCTTACAGGAGCGAACATACTAGTAAATGCACAAATTTATCCTACACCTACTGTGATATTCAATTTGACCTCAACACTAGGACTAAGACTATACCGGCCAAAAACGTGTGGCGATCGTCCGTATCAAGTGCAAATGTTTCTGGGCCTGGAAAAAGAAAGGCGTTTGTTACGCAGCTTTCGCATGACCATGCACGCCCTGGCAACATGGCAGAATTTGTAATACTAATTGATACCTTCCAAATCCAAATGTCCATCCTGCATGAGAAATCCCCTCTTCGCATGACTAAAAAAAGCTAGCTTTTCCTCATACATGACAGCTTTTATTTCACGTCATCCTGCGCTAATATCACAAATCAGCAGCATCATTCCAGACCCAGACACATATTTGCTGTTGATAGTCCGTCTGCAGAAGCAACGCTGTCGAGTTCTTTCCGAGTTTCTATCATGAGTAAAAAGATACCCACCCAATACTAGTCATTCAGGTATTCTTTCGAATCATGCACGACAAAGACAAACCCAGATCTAGAAGCTTGGAGACTCGCGCATGACAAGTTTGGGTACTTACTTATGCGGCGTAGATGAGGTCGTGATCGTGCCTAATCATCCAGAAATCAATCCTGATTTGAGCACGACCAATTCCTATCAAACACCTCTAGAGACTGCCTATTATGGGTTGTGTACGAAACACATTAACACTGTGAGTCTGCAGATTCCCATGACCACAAATGGGAGGCACGTACGTTTTTACCGAGGATAATTTTTTCTGCTCCGAACGCATCATGCTGCTGTCCTATCAAGATGAAAAAACATTCTCCTTTTGACTTTGAGTCCCCAAAAACTTGTACAGGATGCAGCTCTACTTGTTATTTCTCCTGCGAACAGTAGAAAAATGCTTCCTGCGACGTCCTCACCGGCTCATAAATTTAATCCGTCAATTTACGCACTCAAAGACGTTGTAGGAACTATTTCTCCATCTACTTCTAGTGCAATTTCAATTTGACAAATTCCTTAAAAATACAACATAGAGAGGACCTCGATGCACATCCATTCCCCCAGAGAGGACTCAAAGTTTCCACGGAGCTGTTTTTTTTCACCCCTTAACGGCGGCTTGGATCCATCCACACCCGCATCCACGCTCGGACTGCCATCTGGATTATTTTTCTTTTTTTGCTCGAAGTATTACTTCTGTAAGTATTTAGTCCAATTTCATCATCCCAAGCCTGCATCACAAACAATAACAATGTAGTTCAAAGCCTCAGCCTGCATCACAAATTGCATATTACCAAATCAGGGAACAAACAACAAACCTGGGCCGATGTTGGACGTCATGCTCATGGGCCCTTTATGACCTGCTCAGTTGGAACTACAATGATCTGGACTAGAAGAATGTAGTACACGGCATCGGCAAAAGCAGAATCCAATCTATGTGCTGCAGCTTCGCATGACAGATTCTTTGATGTAAGTTCCAAGAATGCAAATGCTGTTTGGAGTTAGATCAGATGTTCATTTTTGTCGCGCTCTACTCCATCATCCTGATCGTCCGCATTTCGCATCACAAATTCTTGTTCCAGTCGGGATCATTGTTCCAAGCTGAGCAGGCCATACCCTTCCGTGCTCGTTTCCTCCGTGGTGGTTGGATCCATAGTGCTCGGCTCGGGCTCCATGGTTGTCGAGGTTATGCAAGGAAAATCTCAGGTCAACGCAACGAATAATCTGTGTCTGACGCGTCGTTTAGCATGCACCAGGTGCAATGCATGTGAAAGTGAATCTCCGATTTGCATTTGCATTTATGGTTTTCGTTTTGCTTTTGCATGATTTTGATTCAATAACATGACACACAGATTGCAATCAAGAAGACACATTATTTCGTTTATTGACTCGAAATACATTCGTTTGCCAGCGTACTATCTGCCCTCATCCTTCGACCGGTTTTTTGCACCTGGAGGTCGTTGTCGTATTTGTGTGAACGAGAATGAAGATATCAATTGATTCTCATCAATCAGATCATCCTATCGAGGACCAACTTGCAAGGCGGTTGTCTTACTGCAAGAGTTTTCTTTTTCATGTGGCTATCTTACGTTCTTCTAGACGAGGAGGTGTTTCGTTTGTGCAACAATTATATATTTGTATTTGTCTGTATAGTGTAAAAAAAAGTTGAATTCGTCATACTTATAGTACCATCGCCGTGGGCGGCGCCTCGGTGCTGGGCATCATTTCCTCCGGGGCCATCGTTTCCTCTTCAGTGGTAGTAGTCGTCGTTGTCGTGGTGGTACTAGTCGTATGCGTATCAACTGTAAAAAATCTGCCTGGGTCGGGAAACAACTTAAGTACTTGTGAAGATGCTGGATTTCTTGATTTATACACGACAGTTCTGCTCTACTTCTAGCACGTACAGCCGAGCATGAAAAGCATATACAAGCCGCACTTTTCACCCTGGGTGAGGTGACCCAGCCCGAGACATCAAATATTTGCGGTTGATAAGTGGTGGTCGTTGTGCTGGTGCTCGTCGTGGGCGGATCAGCGCGCCGTCCCATCAGCGAGGTCGCGTTAGCTGGGGGCTCCGGCGTCTCTTCTGGCTATGTAATCCTGTGCAAAAACTACGTACACACAACTATTACCCCGGTAGACATTTCTTTGCGTTTGTCTTTCTGTTTCTCATGCATCTATGCATGACCAGTAGCAGTAGCAGTACATCTACTCTCGTCGTGCGAGATTTATTGTTTTCCCTCCACGTCGGAAGCGGAGGATTGGGGTGCCTTCTCGAGTTCTTCGCAGTAATTTTGCTCAGGATAACTGGTGCGTCATCGCCATCATCGTGGCCCTGGTGCCGCAACCGCCGGCTGGCCTGGTGCTTGTTCGCGTGGTCATGGGCCTCGTGGTGCGCCTGGTGCTGGGTGTCGATTCCGTACGACAGGGTGGTCCACGATGTGGCGGCCAGGGAGAGGGACAAGGGCCTCAGGAACTTCTTCGCCAGAAAAAACCCGGAGGACATATTGATCCTGGTGCTGGAAGCGGAGCTACTGATGTTGTTGTGTACGACAGCTGCACCTCTCGCTGCTCCTGTTGGAGTTGACATCTTCGGCGTGCTTGGTCGTGCTGGTAGTTCTCTACTGCCCGACTCCTCGACACCAACGGGCACGTCAAGTAGATGTAGTTCCCGACTCGTCGAGTAGAAGAAGTGTGCAGGACCACGGTCTCGGATCTTGTAGTGCGTGCTCGAAGAAAAGTTGAAATTTTTCAATTTTTTTCTTGGAAAGCGATTGATTGATTTCTGCTCCTCCCCTAAACAACTACAACTACACCCTCGACTGTAGTTCTTGTTAACTGGCTGCAGCTACTATTAGGAAGCTACAACGTCTCCTAAATTTTTTTCACATCAAGAAATTTTTGTTGCAATTCAGATTGTAGTAGCTGTACGGTCGGACCATGACAACCATTTTGGATTTGTTGTTGAAGCAAAAGTGCTCGCCATGGGGCGCTAAACTAATCCAATCGAACTCGAATCTACAGACAAACAAGTTTCTGAAGGCAGCAGGGACAATGACTTCATAACACAATGACATAAGGAGGGGAAACATTCAATCGTTTACAATCCACAAAGAAAGCAAAATTCCTTGTTTCACTTTTTTCACCTCTCAGCCTCTATCTCTTTCTCTCTCTCTCTCTCTCGTCGCTGAATCAAACTCTGAGGAGGTACTATGGGTGAAGATGCAAGTGCATGATCTCGTGCCAACAGGCCATTTCCGAAGGGCGATTTTTGACGAGCTTTTCGAACTTTTTATTGGTGGGAAAGTGAGGAAGAGGATCCGCTAGCTCAGCCGGGTATATCAAAGTACCACGAACAAACCAAGAAAACGAGGCGTCTGTTCGTCTGTTCTTTAACCGCGGACCAACGCTGTTGCAAGAAGCAAATATACGAAACGTGTACTTAGTACTTCCTTGATCATGTTCTTGACCACCTATATATTGGTTTACTTTTAGTGAAACATCAGAAACTCTTGATGAACTATCTTTTCACGTCCTTCTGGGGCTCCACAGATGTGATGGGCGGTCTTGCTTATTTTTTTAAGAAATTCGTGCCGGGATACAGCAACATGAAGGTCCGTTGTAGACGTTTCCTCTGTACGGTTGTGTGTCGAGTTCGATTAAATAGAAAAGTACAACTGAAATAACGCGCGGGGTCGCTAATAATTTTGCCTCGTACTACAGCTAATGCTAGGTAGGTTTGATGTTCTTGAAGTTCTCAGTCTTCATTCGGTTTCGGTTCTGGTCTCTAAAACTACTAGTAGTAAATGAGAGGTCGTGAGGAGTTAAAACTCTTTGTTGTCGTGGAGGGAACGAATTTTACGAATACGCTCTTTATTTAAGAATGTACAAACGTGTGTTACAGTACTTCTCTTCGGGGTCAAACTACGAGTGGTCTAATATGTAGTCTATGTTAATCTTACTGTACAGCTCAAAGCGTGACGATGCGTGGTAATGTTAATGTTTGCAAAACGAAGTGAAATAAACTCGTGTATGTGAATACTAAAAATTTCAAGGGAAAACAAATTCTTCTTCAGAAATATCGTTCTGGACTTCTTGCTGTTGCTTTCTCGCACAACAACAGCAGTATCTACTTACTTCCACCAACTCACACTGCAGCCGCGGCCGGCGGCACTGCTGGCTCCTTCTTCGCGGCCTTCTTCGCAGCTGCAGTGGCCTGTTTCCTTTTCTCCGCAGGGTCACCCAGGCAGCCAAAGATTAATATCGGACTGAGGAGAAACAAGGTCCCGTCTACCAAAATCTGGAGCCACAGCGGAATGGTGGGCGGCTGTAGTTTGTTTTTTTGGGGGTTGAATTTCCATGATCACGACATTGGATCTAGAACTACATCTCTTTCAAATGCAAATGGTGCGCTGGGTGCGCTGCTCTAAGTTTGTTTTCGCTTTGTATTCTTCCATCAAAGCAGCTTGTAGTAAATCTAAATCTTTGATGTTTTGTTTCCAGCATCAGGCCCAAATTCCAAGCATTTCGTATGAGCCGAGTCAGACTACTACTTGCTGTAGTACAGCCTGTGTACTTTTCGGGCTGCATCAGGGTCATTTTTGTACGTTGTACATACAACGTACAAAAATGACGCTGATGCAGCCCGAAAACAAATTCATAAACACTAGAAGTAAGTACCGTTCCCGGGTGTCCACTGGGCGTGTACTTTTCCTCTTGCGTCTCCTCATCCGTGCTGCAGATTTTGAGGCCCCCATGATCGGGGTCCTTACAGAAGAAAAAAATCCGATTCCGCTCGGCGACGTGAAAGTGATGGTAGATAAGTTGCTCCAGGGTGGTTTTGTTCCCTGTCCCGTCCGCTGCGAAAAATTTCTGCAGATCCGGCTTCACGTGGATGGTGAGGTTCTTCAGGTGGCTGTGGTCGTTGTTGATGAATCTCCGCACCTGGTCCCGCGTCTCCGCACTAACCTGGCTGAGGAGCGGGGCCTCGCCCTTTTGGTCGGTCACGTCGCGCGCGCAGGTGACGACGGCGAGGTGCTTGTTGGGCAGGAAAAAGGAAAACGGCTCCGGCGCGGCCGAAATGGTGGTGCGGAACACCTTCGCGTGCGCGCAGGCGTGCCCCTGCATGTGATGCACCTGCCGGAACTGAGTGTCGGACCCGCGGTGCTCCATCACCGTGCCCATCAGCACGTACTGCTTCGTCTTCAGCACGTTGCTGCACTTCGACGTCTTCCCGTCGTAGGCAAATTGCACGTTTTGCGCGTGCACCGGGTCAGCGGCCAAGTCCGCTTGCTCACTCGAATTTTCGTCCAGCACGCCGGGCTGCAGGTGCAACTCCTCGCAAAATTGACGCTTCTTCGCGTCCAGCAAGAGCCGCGCGCTCGCGACCGGCAGGTGCTGAAAAACGTCACGGGACTTCGCGCGCGGGTGCAGCCGCAAGTATTCGAAGGTGTCGAACATGAGACGCGCATTCACCGTCCCCGGCGAACCCAGTACGACTGGCGCCGGCGGCAGGGGGGCGGGCACGGAGGTAATAGTCCCGCCGGACTCCACGCACTGGTAGATCTGCCCCGGGTGCACGCGCGGGTTCGAGGGGGCGTAGGTGGCGGCGGTGGGGCAGTTGTTGTACAACACGCACTGGATGCCGTGGCCCTCGTCCCACCCGTCGTCGAATTCCGACACGAAGAAAAATTTGCAGCCGTGGACGGCGTTGCACCGTTCGCGGCAGTTCCGTGTGCCCTCCGCCTCGCCACCCCGCACGCCCTCCGGGATCCGGAAGCTCTTGCATTCGTTCTCGTCGACCCCGCCGGGCACCGGGTCGAACTCGATCGCCTGCGCCCCGAAGGCCGCGCTCGAGGGGAGCGCGGGGCAGGACGGCTGCCACCCGGCGCCCCGCGTCATCACACACTCCACGTTCGAGACCGGGTACAGCTGCATGTCCCCGCACGGCTGCCGCGGGGACGGCGGGGGAGGCGTTGTGGTTGTTCCTGTTTGTTCGGATGTTGAACTGCTGTCCTCATCCTCATCGTTGTCCTCCGCCGGGACCAAATAGCGGTTCTCGCGTCCCGCCGCCTGCGCGGCCGCGGCCTCCTCGTCCCACAACCCAATCATCGCGGTGCGGATGCGGTCTGGCGCGCGCAGACTGCGGAGCCGGCGCGGGCAGACGTGGAGGGACAGGTCGCAGTTCGCCGGCTCCGTGGTGCCGCCGGCCGGGTCTTGGAGTGCGAAGGTCTGGTCCGCGGCGCCTGCGTCCTGGCAGTACTTCGCCCCGGTGTGGATCGTGGTGGTGCAGGCGCCGTCGGAGTACACGGTGATCCACTCCTCCACCGCCGTCTTCTCCGCGTTCCAGATTTGCCGTGTTTGGTCCGTCTGCAGCCGGCCCTTGTAGTGCAGGTCCTGGTCCGCGAACCCGCGCACGCGCCACAGCTCGATCGCGGGCACCGCGTCCACGTAGTCCTGCGGGGCGGCGCAGCACGCGGCCACGCACTCCGCCCGCTCCTGGTCGATCACGCGCTGCTCCTCGGGGTCGTCTGTCCCGAGGTCCGCGTCCGGGGTCCGGCACCGCGCCCGCGGGTCCGCGTCCGACCGTAACAGGGGTAGGGCGGCTGGGCAGCTGATCTCCGCCTCGGAGCAGGGCACCACGTGCCAGTCCTCGTGCAACAGCCCCGGGCGCGGGACGGGGGGGAGGGTCGTGGTGGGTTCGGGGGTCGTCGCGTTGTTGGATGAGGTGTTATGTGTTCCATTTGTTCCAACTGAATGCAGAACATTAGACGTGGAATTTTCACCATGCGCCGTCCCAGCGATGACGGCGGCCTGCTGCTGTTTTACGAGCTGTTTCTGAATTTTCATCGTCGATGCCACTGCAGAAGTAGTGCTTCTACTACTTCGTGCTGTGGAGGTGGTCCTGCCGTTTCTCATTGTCGTCGTCGTAGTAGCTGCGACTCTCCTGTTGAATCTCTTGTTCATCTCTAGCTCGTGAAGCTCATGCTGCTGCTGCTGCTGCGCGGCTGCTTTCTGCATCGCGGCGAGCTGGAGGAAAGCAGACGACGAGGAGCCAGACGACGATGTTGACGCCGTCGCTCCTTGTCCTGGTTCCGCTGCCCTGACATTTCTTGCAGCGTCGGTGGCGATTTGGGTCTGCGTCCCATCCAGGTGTGCCTCGTCAAACTCCGTGTCCTTGCGCTCGTGCTGCTCGACCGTGCTCACCCTGACACCCGGATCTCCTCCTGCTTCGCCACCGGCAGGATTCGTCCCCTCCTCGTCCGGGTTAGAGAAGTTTCGGGCCGGGACTAGCTCGAAATCCAGTCGCGGAATCCAGGGATTCGCGTGGCCGGCCCCGTAGTTGATGGCGTACGGGTTCACCAGCGGCACATCCTCCACCGCCTCGACCGGTGGAGTTGTGAGATTTTCTACTTTTCCGTCTTCAGCAGTACGTGGCACCTTCAAAGCTGCCAGCGTGGCCGGCCGCAGCTCGTAGGTGAGGTCGTAGTAGAGCGGACAATCAATGCACGCCGGGTTGAACTTCTTGGAGCGAATGCGGTCGGTGACCTCGATTTCCACTGGTCCACCGTTCCACGGGACCAGCGCCTCCAGAAACGTCGGCACCGCCTGCGCGTGCGGGAGGACGGAAGATGTGGTGGTTGCCGTCAACATCTTCTCCCCAGTAGCGGGAACAAGTGCGAAGGCGAGCGACAGGATGGCTGTAGTTGTAGAGATCTTGGAGAGATGAAAACTTGCAGTAGGAGTCGTTCCGGGCGCTGCAGCAAGAATCGTCGTGACTGCTCCAGATGAACGGCCAGCGGCTGGGACTCTACTTCTCCCGCCGCGCAGGAGCATACTGTCGGCTTTTGTTGTTTTCGATTCCTGAAAATGGCGGCAACAAATCGAAGAATCAATTTCCTCAGTCGTCAGACGAACCTCGTCCTCATAAGAGTTTAGAAGTCCTTAGGCGTAGAATACGCATGTTGAACGAGATGCCTTGTAGTAAGTTTGATGTCGTCAGAACCAGAGGAATTTGATAAGGAGTAAATATAATCGGGTGAATTTGATCTTGCTGCTGTAAGGGGGTTGAATTAAAGGGGATAAGATGCAGAAGACTCGACTAGGACTAGCAGCAACACTCGTGCAAGTCTTGTGGTTTTGCTAGCTGCAAGTCGAAGTCCACCTATGGCTACTCCTGATGCGTGTTTGTTCGAGAGGATGGTGATCAGAAGTTCGAAATCGAAACACATACACTTTTTATGCATAATTAGTCGCTTGTTCTGTAGTACGCGTACGATGTTAAAAGCGTGTACGTGGTGCTCTTGCGTCACCAGCGTGGTACGAAGGTACGTCAAACACCAACAATCAATGTACGAGAACGGTGCAATAACGCAGAGACGAGTTGTGGTGGTATATCAACAGCAACAGATTTTTGGATTACGTTCTTTTTCGCTTTTACCGAAATCGTAAAGTAGTTAAGTAACATCTGCGTCGAGATCGACCGAACTTGACAGCTGGACACAAGAGCGCGAAACACGACCGCTAGGCTGTGAGCGCCGGCACGCATGAAGTAAAACATAACATCTGGAATGCAACTCAACGACGAAGGGAAAATCAAAACCGAATTTCAGGAGTATTAATTTATCATATGCCGCTTGCTCCTGTGTAAGGAGTAGGACCGAACGGTATTAGCGACTTTTCGACGCGTTTTACGGTGAAGTGTCAATGACACACGCACTATTTTCACCTTTGCGAACAATTCCCTAGGTTGAACCGACACCAGCATGAAAGGCTCGTACATGCGGCGGTTTTTCCGAGACCGACAGACAAGCGCATCCTTTGCCGGAATTTGAATTGTCAGTTGGCGTCACAGGTAATGAAAATAATCTTCCGAAAAAATGAAAATATAATTTGTTCGAGGTTCGGGATGCTAAGAATGAAGTAATTGAGCAAGAGGTAATCGTAATATCACATCGCGAACAAGAAGGAACCAGCTCAAGATGAAGGGTACTTTATACTTCGAATAGTAATAACGATACTCACGAATCGGAAGTCTTGCTGGCTGCCTTGGGTGGCTGCGTACCGTACGGGCCTTGAGCACGACAATAGAGGTGATTGGTTTGTACAAAAAAATTCTATCCGCCATGGAATAGTGCTTGAGCAAAAATATTTTTTTCTTCGAACTTAACCCTAAACACGTGCTGAATGTTGAAGGCAATTTTTATTAGCAGGCGGTGTTATATTTGTTGTCGGCATCGTTCACTACTTCGTTAAGTCGCGCACGGCTTTCCGTGGACAGTTCAAGGTGCGAAGTGCAGTTGTTGCGTAAGCTATTAATCTGGTTATAGCAGTTTACTTCGGCCTGCTTGCAGTTCAGATTTAAAGTCGCACTCAAGGGGCTATTGTCACTAAAATTGTGACAAAACTTGAAATAATTGGCAAGATATTGATAACACGATGTCGCGGCGACGGAGCTAATCGAATTCGCAGGGTTCTCGTTCTCGAGGAGTAGTCTCTTCGTCCAATACCACATCGGCCACTCGCTTCTGGCCTCCAGCACACAATTATTCGCGGACTCACACGTGGCAGGGTCCAGGCAGTCGTAAAAGGAGCCACGGCATCCTGTGCAAATATGTGTCGCTGTCGCTCGCTACAATTCAAATATGAAATAAAGCAAAGAGCCATGATATTACCCATTGTTCCACCCATCTTCGGTACTCACATGACAACACGTACTTACTCTCTTGGGCTTGGGTCACACTCACAGTCACAGTCCACCTGGGGCGGACAATAATAAAACGCAGATTTTTGGGGCCCCCTGCATTGTGCCCCTTTGTTGCAAATTAGAACTCCCTCGTTAGTACTGGATTTGAGGAAGAAGGCCATAGGATTATCATGATGCTGGCCTATCCCTAACCCTATCTATGAAACTCAACATGCTGGACCAAAAAAAATGTTAGCGCGGTCACAACTCAACATGATGGTAAAATTTCTGGGGCCGTAGCATCGTGTTACTTTTACCGCCACACTCAGTTTTCGACTTTTTCGAGAAAGCTGAGACTTTTCTGAAATGATCTCAGAACTTTTCCAAATCTGCTTTTTTCCACGAAGTCATGTTTTTTTCTGGCGGTGAAAATAATCACGTTGGTATGGCCTCAAAATTTTTACCGCCATGAGGCAATTTCTAAAAGAAAATGACGACTTTTTGACTTTCCAAATCCACCATAGCATCGGTAGAACTTTTACCGCCACGATTTTAATGGAAAATCAATGAAAAAGTGGCGGTAAAGATTCCACCGGTTCTATGCTGAGATTTTTGAGTCAAAAACGAGCACTTTCTAGAAGAAAATGCGTCGTGGCGGTAAAAATTTTGAGGCCCTAGCACCGTGATTATTTTTACCGCCAGAAAAAAGCATTACTCTCCCACATTTTTTGATTTTTTCTGAAATTTTTTGCGATTTGTCCTGTCGCAAAAGATGACAAGCAACAATTTTGTGCCAGCTGAGCTAGGCCATCAAGTGAAGATGACCAACTCCGAACCCGTAAAACCATCATCCCAGGCCCTTCGCTTTCCTCCCATGTCGCCACGCGGTGGTCTACAGCGGCGAACAGGTGCTGCGGGACTCGGGCGTCGCCTTCTTCACCCGGATCGCTGTTTGGGCCTAGCTAGTTTGTCCTCATTTACCTAATGCGCTTCCACTGGACGTCACTAGCTACCTCGAACTACTAGACTACGTCAGACAAATCTTGCTACGTAGCACCTGAAATTTTTTTATTTTTTTTTCAAAAAAAGCGATGCTTTTTTGCTATTTTTGGCGGTGGCGGTAAAAATTCTGTGGATATTGAGGAAGAAGGCCATATGATTATCATGATGCTGGCCTATCCCTAACCCTATCTATGAAACTCAACATGCTGGACCAAAAAAAATGGTCGTCGATGGTATCAGACTAAAGGATTTACGGAATCAGACTTATTTATGGAATCAGGCTATATGGGATCGGCTTTACCAGTGGAATCAGACTGGTGGAATCAGGCTAGTGCTGCATTACCCAGTCCTTGCTTTGCTTGCGCCCGCGCACGGTTGGCTGCTGGGAAAACGCAGAGCCACGGAAAGCCGGCCAACATGCCTACACATGCCAAACACTCACCCGACAAGCCCCGCGCCCGCCATTCGCTGGGGCGTGTCTTCGTTCTCCCCCCCCCCCACGCACCTGGACACCTTTCATACTCCCCTGCGCGAGTATGAGAATGAAAGGGGAGGGTGGGTGCCTCCCATAATCAAAGAATCTGGGCAGTGCGAGGCGCCACCGCTCGTGCCGGGAGGCGCTGCTCACAGGCGGACAAGGGCCGGGAAGTCGGCCACGCCGCCGGCACGCCCCTCCCCTAGGCATCGGTGGTGCCAGGTCGCTAGCCTACGGGAGCCGCCCTGCTGCGACATACAGATGGCTGCGCCCTCGGGAAGCTGGCTGCCGCTAGGTCGGGAGGCGGCGCCTGGGGGCGCAAGGCAGTCCCAGCCGACAACCCTGCGCCGCTGCGGTGCCAACCACTTCAAATGCGAGTGGAGTCGCCCCACCCAAAAACCGCCGACGGCCCCGGCCCGTGCGGCGATGAACCTGCGCAACTTTCTAGGCGCGCGGCCCACCGAACAGGCGGGGGGGCCGCCTGGTCAGCCGGTGCGCAAGGCCTGGAGCGCAGCTCCAAATCGTAGCCGCCGGGGCGGAACGCGGGGAGACAGACCAGGACAGGCAGGGCGGGGTGGAAGGCATCGGAACCGGAAGAATGCAGCGGCCGCGGCACATATATAGCGCCGCGCTTCTGCGCGCCATTAGTTACAGAGCAACGCAAGGGGCTAACAGAGGCGCCGGGGCGAATGGTCAGCAGCGAGCTGCGAGCACACGCGGCACATCACGTCTGCGGTCCTGTGAGGAGGCGCCTACCATCGCCCTCGGCCTGTCTCGACCGGATTTCGCTAAGTAAAAACACGAAAAACGAAGCCGATTTTGAAAAATTTGCGAGAGTTCCCCCCTTATTTTTCAACAAAAATCGCCAAAAAGAGCTGCTTTTCGGCTAAGTCCGGCAATTCCGGTCCCACAAAGCATCGCGCTTTTGCGCACTTTTCTGTTGCAGCCTAGAAGCAACGGGCGCAACGACGTAGGAGCGCTGAGAAGTAATAGACAGAGAGCAGCCGATAGGCGTAGTTCTAGTTCCTGTTTTCTATAGTTGGCGCTTATTTTCCTAACCATTGAGCTTTTCCTGGCTGCTTCAGATTTCACCTTGTCGACCGGGGTCGCGAATAACAAACTCCTGGCGCGTGTCTTAATGTGGTCGCGCATGAAGTACGCTGAGGAGCGAACAGAAACAGCTACGCGGACACACATACCCAACATGCAAACCAAGTCCCCAAGTACAATCGCAACGCACAGCATTCAAGAACTACTGTGGGCGCAGTTGCGAGGAGACCAGCGCGACCAGGCGGAGCTGCAAAACATGACGGACCAAAGAAATGCCTGTAGGGAGAAGGCATTTCGAATGCATACGATGGAGAATGCGCGGCCAACACATTCGTCGACGTATTCAGATTCCGCTTCTCCTGATTCTACCCATCAGCCTGATTCTAGTATCTTGATTCTACTCATTATTCTGATTCTACTATACTGATTCCACTTGTAGTCTGATTCCATTAGTCTGATTCCGTTTACTAAGTCTGATTCCCTCTCTTACCTATCATGATGCTGGCCTATCCCTAACCCTATCTATGAAACTCAACATGCTGGACCAAAAAAAATGTTGAAAAAAAAATTTTGAGGCCCTAGCACCGTGATTATTTTTACCGCCAGAAAAAAGCATTACTCTCCCACATTTTTTGATTTTTTCTGAAATTTTTTGCGATTTGTCCTGTCGCAAAAGATGACAAGCAACAATTTTGTGCCAGCTGAGCTAGGCCATCAAGTGAAGATGACCAACTCCGAACCCGTAAAACCATCATCCCAGGCCCTTCGCTTTCCTCCCATGTCGCCACGCGGTGGTCTACAGCGGCGAACAGGTGCTGCGGGACTCGGGCGTCGCCTTCTTCACCCGGATCGCTGTTTGGGCCTAGCTAGTTTGTCCTCATTTACCTAATGCGCTTCCACTGGACGTCACTAGCTACCTCGAACTACTAGACTACGTCAGACAAATCTTGCTACGTAGCACCTGAAATTTTTTTATTTTTTTTTCAAAAAAAGCGATGCTTTTTTGCTATTTTTGGCGGTGGCGGTAAAAATTCTGTGGATATTGAGGAAGAAGGCCATATGATTATCATGATGCTGGCCTATCCCTAACCCTATCTATGAAACTCAACATGCTGGACCAAAAAAAATGGTCGTCGATGGTATCAGACTAAAGGATTTACGGAATCAGACTTATTTATGGAATCAGGCTATATGGGATCGGCTTTACCAGTGGAATCAGACTGGTGGAATCAGGCTAGTGCTGCATTACCCAGTCCTTGCTTTGCTTGCGCCCGCGCACGGTTGGCTGCTGGGAAAACGCAGAGCCACGGAAAGCCGGCCAACATGCCTACACATGCCAAACACTCACCCGACAAGCCCCGCGCCCGCCATTCGCTGGGGCGTGTCTTCGTTCTCCCCCCCCCCCACGCACCTGGACACCTTTCATACTCCCCTGCGCGAGTATGAGAATGAAAGGGGAGGGTGGGTGCCTCCCATAATCAAAGAATCTGGGCAGTGCGAGGCGCCACCGCTCGTGCCGGGAGGCGCTGCTCACAGGCGGACAAGGGCCGGGAAGTCGGCCACGCCGCCGGCACGCCCCTCCCCTAGGCATCGGTGGTGCCAGGTCGCTAGCCTACGGGAGCCGCCCTGCTGCGACATACAGATGGCTGCGCCCTCGGGAAGCTGGCTGCCGCTAGGTCGGGAGGCGGCGCCTGGGGGCGCAAGGCAGTCCCAGCCGACAACCCTGCGCCGCTGCGGTGCCAACCACTTCAAATGCGAGTGGAGTCGCCCCACCCAAAAACCGCCGACGGCCCCGGCCCGTGCGGCGATGAACCTGCGCAACTTTCTAGGCGCGCGGCCCACCGAACAGGCGGGGGGGCCGCCTGGTCAGCCGGTGCGCAAGGCCTGGAGCGCAGCTCCAAATCGTAGCCGCCGGGGCGGAACGCGGGGAGACAGACCAGGACAGGCAGGGCGGGGTGGAAGGCATCGGAACCGGAAGAATGCAGCGGCCGCGGCACATATATAGCGCCGCGCTTCTGCGCGCCATTAGTTACAGAGCAACGCAAGGGGCTAACAGAGGCGCCGGGGCGAATGGTCAGCAGCGAGCTGCGAGCACACGCGGCACATCACGTCTGCGGTCCTGTGAGGAGGCGCCTACCATCGCCCTCGGCCTGTCTCGACCGGATTTCGCTAAGTAAAAACACGAAAAACGAAGCCGATTTTGAAAAATTTGCGAGAGTTCCCCCCTTATTTTTCAACAAAAATCGCCAAAAAGAGCTGCTTTTCGGCTAAGTCCGGCAATTCCGGTCCCACAAAGCATCGCGCTTTTGCGCACTTTTCTGTTGCAGCCTAGAAGCAACGGGCGCAACGACGTAGGAGCGCTGAGAAGTAATAGACAGAGAGCAGCCGATAGGCGTAGTTCTAGTTCCTGTTTTCTATAGTTGGCGCTTATTTTCCTAACCATTGAGCTTTTCCTGGCTGCTTCAGATTTCACCTTGTCGACCGGGGTCGCGAATAACAAACTCCTGGCGCGTGTCTTAATGTGGTCGCGCATGAAGTACGCTGAGGAGCGAACAGAAACAGCTACGCGGACACACATACCCAACATGCAAACCAAGTCCCCAAGTACAATCGCAACGCACAGCATTCAAGAACTACTGTGGGCGCAGTTGCGAGGAGACCAGCGCGACCAGGCGGAGCTGCAAAACATGACGGACCAAAGAAATGCCTGTAGGGAGAAGGCATTTCGAATGCATACGATGGAGAATGCGCGGCCAACACATTCGTCGACGTATTCAGATTCCGCTTCTCCTGATTCTACCCATCAGCCTGATTCTAGTATCTTGATTCTACTCATTATTCTGATTCTACTATACTGATTCCACTTGTAGTCTGATTCCATTAGTCTGATTCCGTTTACTAAGTCTGATTCCCTCTCTTACCTATCATGATGCTGGCCTATCCCTAACCCTATCTATGAAACTCAACATGCTGGACCAAAAAAAATGTTGAAAAAAAAATTTTGAGGCCCTAGCACCGTGATTATTTTTACCGCCAGAAAAAAGCATTACTCTCCCACATTTTTTGATTTTTTCTGAAATTTTTTGCGATTTGTCCTGTCGCAAAAGATGACAAGCAACAATTTTGTGCCAGCTGAGCTAGGCCATCAAGTGAAGATGACCAACTCCGAACCCGTAAAACCATCATCCCAGGCCCTTCGCTTTCCTCCCATGTCGCCACGCGGTGGTCTACAGCGGCGAACAGGTGCTGCGGGACTCGGGCGTCGCCTTCTTCACCCGGATCGCTGTTTGGGCCTAGCTAGTTTGTCCTCATTTACCTAATGCGCTTCCACTGGACGTCACTAGCTACCTCGAACTACTAGACTACGTCAGACAAATCTTGCTACGTAGCACCTGAAATTTTTTTATTTTTTTTTCAAAAAAAGCGATGCTTTTTTGCTATTTTTGGCGGTGGCGGTAAAAATTCTGTGGATATTGAGGAAGAAGGCCATATGATTATCATGATGCTGGCCTATCCCTAACCCTATCTATGAAACTCAACATGCTGGACCAAAAAAAATGTTAGCGCGGTCACAACACATGCAGGGGCAGAACACGTTGTCTTAGTATCATGCAAGCTAGCAGCAATTACAAAGTCGAAGGACTATAAGACACAACTTGCACAAGATACAATAGTCTCTTTGGAAGTGACGCGACACTCCTCTGCAACTATCTCCACGCACTCTTCTTTTGCCTCCAGGCCGATCGCCTCGAGCCGCACTGCGTTGGGGAACGTCGTGCTCACCGCGGCGCTGCATCCATTTCGAAAGCTTTCCCAGGTGTCGCCTTCGCCCTGCTTGCAACACGCCCCCGCCGGAGTCCCCAACGCACCAGAGCACTTGTCGCATTTTCCCAGCCCGCCGGCGCACATATCTGCGTCCAGACACGACGGCTCATCCAACCACTTCGGGTACGCCACGCAGGACCAGTACTGTTTGCTGTTGTTCTCTATCTCATCTTGTGTTCCTTGACTCAGGAACTGATAACCCTTCTCCGACAGGCGGTTGAGATTTTTACAAGTGTTTTGACCCCACTCGTTAAATCCTCCTTGGCTTTCCTGCCATTCGCAGCAGCCGGCTTTGAACAGGGGGCTGCTGACCTGACACTCAGGACATGGGATTTTGGGAGGGCCGTTGTCCCAATCTTCAGTCCCAGACTCGTCCTTAGCAATACAAACGCTTCCGCACTCCAAATGTGCTTTACCTGTTGGAGTGCCGTTTTCGTTAGTACTGCATCGCGGACAGGAAAGTGTCACGCCCTCGACCCCCACTACGGCAAAGGGGTCTTTCGTCGTCGACGTGGTGGTCGTCACCAGCACGCACTCTGCTTTGTGCCAACGATTACCGAGTGCTGCATCTTCAATCTTATCGGCGTTGGGGAAGCTGATATCGCTCTGCGGATCACAGGCATTGTCGGTGCTGTCAAAGCCCTTCTGACAGCAAGCCCCGACATATTCACTTTCCGCCCCAGTCCCAGACGGACACTCGGCACAAAGTCCTGTCTGCGTGCATTCGTCTTCGCACGATTCCTCGGCAATCCACTTCGGCATCGACACGCAGGAGAAGTAGGGCCCCCCGGTTTCGTCCAGGTATTCGTCCGTGACGCCGAAAGCCGTCTCTACTCCCGCGAATTCCTTCAGGTGGCCCATGAGAAAGCACTCCGGGGGAAATACTTGTGGACTTACAGCGTCGTCCATGAAATTCTGGTTCTCTCGGTCGTACTGGCAACAGGCACCGACGTACTTATCGCTTTCCAATTTACAGTAGTTGTTGTCTCGTAACGTGGTGCCATCCCGATTTACGTCTTTGACGATGCCCTCGCCGCAGAGTGGAGAATTATAGGTCCAGTCCCCCCATTGACGTTGTTCCATGGCGCACGCTGTCAAGCAGTTAAACACCTTGCCGTCGGCAGTGTTACCCGCGTCGCAGTCGGGACAGGAAATTTCGACGTTCGATCCCCTCGCCGTTCCGACATTGGGATTGGTTGCGTGTCGAGATGAAAAGTTGTATCTTGCCTCGTCCATTACATGCAGGGCCAGGGTAGAAACGTAGCAGATTCACTTGACCTCACAGGTGCTGCGGTATTTTGTGCATGTAGTATCTCAAATTCAGGTAGTACTCATGCGTCAAGGTGGGAACGCGTGTTCACACATGTTCTACTTACAGTGACTTAATACTTATTTCGCAGTATTTCATTTTTTTTTGGCTTCCACAACTTTCTGAAAATGTAAATGTCGATTCGCAAATTACGTCGCACATAATTAAAAATTATGATGCTTTCATTACTCCTCAGACACCCATGCAAGTAAACATCAACATGTATCACGGTATCCATCTTTTCATCTGTCGTGAGGAATATCTTTATCTTCTGAGGTCCTCAACGATACAAAAGTCCGAGAATTCATTTTCGCTGCAGATGGAGACAGAACACCATTTCACCAATGATACAGCGCAACCCGTCATCTGCAGGGGCTGTCCAGCGGCGAGGCAGTAAAACTTCGGCTCGGTTCCCAACGCATCCTCGGCACAGGTTGTGGCAATCGCTGTGCGTGAAATTGCGTTGGCTTCGCCATTGCTGAACTGGTTCGGCTGCAATGAATCGTCCATCAGGACATTTTTCCAATCAATACTGTCTTCCAATTGGACAAGATTCTCCAATGCTCCAGACGGCTGCGTGCAGGTTTGCCTGCGCTCGCAACAGGTCCGACCTGCCTGATAATCAGTTTCGGCATTCCCCACCCCGCCACGGAGGCACAGGGCCCGCACTCTGGCTTGATCGTCGCTGTCTTCAGAAAGAGCAAGGCGGCGCGCTTCGTCTTCAGGGGAATAGCTACCTTCCGCGAAAAATAACCCGCAATAGGTACCTTCCGCTTTCGACACGAAAAATTCGCCGTTTGCCGGATTCCACGGGAGGTCCGTCTCACAAGCACCCACTTCGCACTTCGGCGCGCACCCCCACTGGACCGGTGCCCTTGGCAGCCAATCGGGCCAACCTTCCTTCAGCTTGTAGTTGGCGTCACAGCTGTCTTCGGCGCAATTCTCATCGCCCGTTGCCGCACACGTGCGCGTTTGGGAAAGTTCACGACCGTTGTGGCAAACACATTCATTTGGAGTGCAACCGCTGACCACCAGCTCCTCGCCGCCGTTTTGGCACTCCAACGTGGGCGTGCCCGAGAAGCCCGCAGCGCAGGCCGCGTCTGACGCGATCATGGTGCTGAACTCAACTGCTCCTTGTTGAGGCTGCAGCGCATCGCGTTTGAGAACTTCTTCCCAGTTGATGTACACCCTTTCTCCGGTCATCACGTTCTGCAATGCCGTGTCCGACGGCTGCGTGCAGGTTTGCTTGCGGACGCAACATCGCAAACCAGAGCTGGGAGTGGAAGAATCGTCGGACCCATCCCGGCACTTTTCTCGCGTGATGGTCACGTTCATCTCTGTGAGCGCAGCATTGGCGTTCGCGTTACTGTTTACCACGTAGAACGGACACGCGCTTTCTGTTGAAGTTGCATCCCCTGACTCTTGCTCGTACCACTCCCCCGTTTCAGCATTCCAGGGCCACTCTGTGACACAGTCGCCGCACACCGGTGCACACCCCACTTGAAGCGGTGCGGGCCAACCAGGCGTTGCCGCATAGTGTGTGTTGCAAGAGGAGTCATCACAATTCTGACCCCCGTCCACGGCACACACACGTGTCGTGGAAACAAGAGATCCGGTCTCACACGTGCAGGTGTTTTCGGTGCAACCCTCGACCAATAGCTGCGGTCGCGCGGCTGAACAACGAAACGTTGGCGTGCCCGAGTAGCCTGCGGCGCACGCGGTCGCAATGCCGCTGAACTCGACTGGTGCGCCTTGCCCAGGCTGCAGCGCAGCGTCTTTGAGGACTTGCTCCCAGTTTATGGAGGAGCCAGCAGCGACCTCCCGTTCCAGAATCTGCAGTGGCGGCTGCGTGCAGGTTTGCTTGCGGACGCAACATCGCAAATTCTCGCTGGGGCTTGCGGGATCGGCGGACCCATCCCGGCATTTGGCTCGGGCGGTCTGCAAGTCATCCGTGAGGAGCGCGACCCTGTCGGCGTCACTCTTACTTCCGTCCACGTAAAACGGGCACGGGGCTGCGATGTCCGTTGACGTACCTGGTTCTTGCTCGTACCACTCGCCCGTTTGAGCGTTCCAGGGCCACTCTGCGGTACAGTCGCCGCACTGCGGCGCGCAACCAGTCTGAGTGCCTGCCGGCCAGTCTTGCTGTGGTGAATAGTTGGTGTTGCAAGTATCGCAATCCTGTTCCCCAGTCGCGTCGCAGGTGCTTGTCGTCTCCGGAGCCTTCCGCTCGCCATTTTCACACCCGCACTGGGGTGTCGAATCCACGACCAGTGTGTCGCAGCCGACAACCTGCACGGCTTGGTTCGCGACGGGGCAATAGAACTTCAGAGTGGTGGCGCCGTCATCACCGATGTAGTTGGCGAGGTTACAGTTGGTACCTGGGTCATTTTCGATAGCGTCAGTGTCATCCATTCCGGGCAGTTGTATCGAAGTGAAAAGTTGTCCTAGTTCATGTTCAACGACGAGGACGCCAGAAAACTCATCTTCAGTACTGGGCGCTACTGTGCATCGCGTCGTGTTCTTGTGCGCCCAGCAAGGCAGCCGATAGGCGAAATAAAACCCTGACTTTATTCGATGCATTATGAATCAATTCTCAAACGTAAGGAAACAATGAGCATGAGGCTGTCACATCTTCAACTTTGCATGATGCACGAGGTAGCTGTCGCCGTTGATCATGAACTATCGCACATTTCATTCTCATAAGCATTTCAGTCGACGTCAGCAGCGTCCTCCACCCGTCATCACTGGGGACGTTCAAAACCCTGTCGTGGTGTGTGAGTATAAACAAATTGATGTTCATCTTGTTCATATTCGGAGCTGCATTCGGAAAAAAACGTGTACCGATACTTTCTGTTGTGCTTTGTCGTGCAACCGGCGGGTGCGAATAAAAAAATCCTCTAAGTAGCTGAACGACGACGCATGCTTCCACCAGCACCACCAGGTTCAGTGGCAACAACAACTTTACTTTGGAAAAAATACAACAAGATGAAAAACGCATGTCCCTGTCCCTGTCGAGTTAGCAAAGAGCAAATTAAGTACCGTTCCTCCAAATCCGTCAGCGTATCAGCGGTCGGCTGGCTGCACCCCCTCGGACAGCAGAATGCCTCACATTGCGACTGCGGGAACGTGCCCTCGACGAGCCACTCACTCTCCGCCAGGTCGCCGCCCTCCGCAAGCTCGCACAAATCTTCCGCGTCTTTTGGAATGATGAACGCTCTAGTGGAACTGTCTTGTTCTTCGCACGTCACGCCGCCGCACTTCGGGTAGCAGCTTTTCTGTCCCGTATTTGGTACGTCTTCGCGCAGCTCGTACCCGGCATTGCAACTTTCGCAGAGCTGTGCGTCGTCCGCGGGGCAGTCGTTTGTACCGTCGAGGACACCGTTGTAGCAGAGGCAAACCGGTGGCGGGAGGTTATCCAGTGCAAGAAATCGACTTGTACACTGCAATTGTCTTTATTCCACCACAGGGCGGGGATGATAAACTTTTATGTAGTCTCTGTCCTGTCCTGGGATCGAGATCAACTACATTAAACCATAACATTGGACAGGCACAATTTTTACACTCGAAGTAGAGATCTGAGGAATTCACTCGTGCCTCATCTCTTTCCCTAAGGGTGAAACCGCTAAACGTCGTTTTTTTGCACTGGATAAGTTGTCGTCGTGGTGGAAACCGCGACGCACTCCTTTTTGTGCCACATTTTCTCAATCTTCTCATCCACGATCAAGTCAGCCTTCGGGTAAACAATTCCGTCCGTCGCGCACAACCCGCCCGCTTGATTGTTCGGGTCCTCGCCCTTCCGGCAACACGCTCCCTCGTGCGTTGCGTTGCTCATGTGCGCACAACTTGATGCGTCATCGGTGCAGGCGGGCTCTGCGATCCAGTTCGGCATCGCGACGCAGGAGAAGTACGCAGCACTGCTGTAAAACTCGCCGTCGGTGTCGAGGTATGCGTCGGTCACGCCAAAATCCGCATCTTGGTCCCGCAGATTTCCCAGCACTGCGCACTCCGGCGGGAAGGCGTCGTCTTCCTCAAAGGCGTTGAACGCCTTGTTGAACTGGCAGCAGGCGCCCACGTAGTCGGGACTGTCCAACAAGCAATGATTGTTGTCCGCGCCGTTCTTCACGGTGCCCTCGCCGCACAAAGGTGAATTGTATCTCCACGGGTCACCGCCTCCTGCCATGTTGCACGCAACCAAGCAGTCAAAAACGCGACCATTTGGTACATCGGCTTTGCCTGCCTCGCAGTCGGGACACCGGATCTCCAAGCCCGACCCCTTCGCGACCCCCACGTTGGAATTGCTCGCAGCTTCCTCCGTCTCAGTCGTAGTGGTCGTCGTCGTCGTCGTCGTCGTTTCAACCACCACGACAGTGGTGCCGTTCGAGGCGTTGGAAGAAGCGTTCGTTACATTCTGCAGGCCTTCCTCCTCCGGTGTCGTTGTGCCCGTTCCGTTGGATGCGTTCGTCGCATTTTTGTTTTCATCGCCTCCACTCACCAAGCCCACCCCCGGCGGAGTCAGCGGATTTACCGTCTCCGCGTTCTCCTGAAGTTCGCGCTCGGAGGGCGCCGTCGTGGTTGTCGTGCCTGGTGTCGTGGTCTTCGGCGGTGTCGTTTCATCTTCTTCCAGACTTTCTAGGTCCTGGCAGGCAGGGCAGTCCACGCGACACGGTGGCTCCTCTTCTGTTACCGTGGCCGTCGTCTCTAGAAGTGCGACCTTTTCGTTTTCCATCGTCGTTGCACTTGTAGTTTTTTGAGTTCTTTCCAAAAACGTGCCAGTGCCCGACGAGGACGGCAGCGGTGCGCCGGCGGGTGGTGTGGGTCGGTCCGTACTAGAAGCTGGAGTTGCTCCAGCTGCATCTCCAGAAGCGACCAATGTTGTTCCCTCGACGGGGTCTTCAGAAGGACTAGAGGAACTTGTCGCTGCTGCACTTGTAGTTCTAGTTCCTGCTTTACTTTTATCAGCTACAGTTTCATCGGGTTGGTCAACACCAGCGACGTTGGATCGTCCCGTTTTACGACCCGACGACACGAAGATGGTTGGGCCATGGGGCGATGGGGTCTTCTTTTTCGACAAAACTTGGAACTTGTATCCAGCTACTAGATGATGATGTTGAAAAAAATAGGGGGCAATGATGGTGGACAAGGCCACAAGGTAGGGGGAAAGGGAAATATAAACAGTCAACATGCTCAATGTTGATGTTGTTCCTCGGGGATATTAGGGTGGTGATCTTGGTGGGATATCTCAATAAGCTTCGTTTTTGTAGCACTTCGCCTACATCCTGGGGTCGTCACTGTTGGTACATCAAAAGAATAGAATTAGAAACATATCAAGCGATAATTTCACCGTAGAAGCAGAAGCTCGTCTCCAGCGGACCACGAGAAGATGGATTCAACGGAGAAGAAGACGATGAAACAAAACGAGTGTACGTTGGTGTCTTGTAGTTGCACGGGACGAAAATATGAACGAAAAACGCACGAGTACTAGACGAAAGTACGTAGTGCACGAATTTCCAAAGATGAAAACGATCACGATGACAACTTAGTACGACATTCTTCTGCATAAGAAGAATGCTGTGGCTGCGGCAACGGTGCGTGCTCCTGCTGAACGAGAAAGAACGAACTGCTGCAGATGCAGATGAGCCAAAAGATACATAAAAGTGTCTAAGCTGTACCAGGGTGTGGTAAGTCATGACGCAGGTCGTTTGTGCTCGTGGCCGATCGTACACGTCCTACTAGAGAGCGCGACCACGTCAACAAAACTATAAATCAGAAGCGGGATGAAACACAATCTTCGTGAGCGTGTCTGCAGCGGTACAGGATGTACAAGTCGCAAAAGTTTCCACATCAGCTATTCTATTCATTCAAAGTAGACGAGTTCGGGGTACATAAAGACACGCAGAAACATCAGAAAAGAACATTTGTAAAAATGCATGCAAGTGTTCGTACAAAAGTAGATGTAGAAAGACAGCGAACCAGAGTTCTTGGAGGAGAACTGTATCCATTCGCAAAAGGTGCGATGGCGTGCTTTTCAACATAAATTTTCTGACATTGGCACTTTCCAAACACCGTTCACTTCCCGCTCCCGGTGCCCACCTGAACAGCGGGCACGAGCCAGTGCAAAACGACCCAGAGCGAGCTGGTGAACACCATACACAACGCGTACCAGAGTCCCGGGCCGCCCACCGCGCTCGCCCGGGGGTCCGGAAAGTGGTTCGGGCACCGGTCGGTAAAGTCGAAAACCGTGATGATCAGTAGCGGCCAAAACCCAGCCACGCAGCTGCACACCGCCACGTTTTTTAGGGTCGCTTTGCTCGTCCGTCGGTTCCTTGTTCCGAAGAGAGAGGAAATGGTTGTGCTCGTCTCGGTTGTTCTCGCCGTCAAGCTCAAAGGATGAAATACCTGTGGAACAAGCTGTCCTGTTGGGTTTTCTTCTAGTGTAGTACCGGTGCTGGTGTTCTGCAGAGCCTGCGGTCGACGCGCCTCCACTACCGCTTTCGGAAATAAATCTTCCTCGTTCTCTTGTTCATCCATAACAGCGGCCGTGTGCTGCATTTTCAGTTGCTGCAACCGCAAAACCGTGAACAGCAGCCCGCAGAGCCGTACCACGATGCAGGTGTAGAGGTACAGGGAGGCGCGCCAGCCCGCGACGTGGCAGTTGTAGTGGAAGGTGCGCCAGGCGTCCAGCGAAACCTGGTCGCTCACGACACTGGTTGAGGAATTCGTACTGAATGTTGTGGTGGTTGTAGAGCTGCCACTGGCGCTCCCCGAAGTCGATGAAGAGGACCCGAAAGGTAATCCGAAATTGCTCCCGCCAAACAAGCTGCTGTACCCGTCTGCGGTCGTTCCACCTTGTGCAGCGGTTCTACTTGAGAAGGCGGCAGAACCACCGAACGCGAGGCGGGGTACGTGAGAAGTAGCTGCGCCAATTTCTATCGCCGGCCCCGCAGATGATGATCCTGCTGCGGAAGCGGAACTGTGCAGGAAGAATTCGTCGAAGTGCCGTCGCACGTCCGCGGTAACGAAGTCTGCCGCGGCAGGAATCGCGACCTGCGATAGGATTGTGCCGGCTCCGGGGTGACTAGTATCTGAAGACGTATGAACATGATCATGATGATGTCTTTTACCGTGGTGGCCGCTTTTGTTCTTCTTGTGTGATGAACGTCCTTGCGTGTTGTACGCCTCTACCCCTGAGCGACCTTCTCCAGATAAAGCACCTATTTTCATCGTCCCCGGACGTGCTGCTGCAATCCGGCCTCTTGTTCTCTCTTCCCTTTGCAAGAGCTGCTGCTGTGGCTGGTCCGGGCGATCACTCCGGTGATGGTCGTGTGCGGCTGATTTCCTCACATGATCCGCAAAACTGGAACTACTGTTCGTCGTCGTGGCGTTCACCACCTGCTGCAGCTTCGTCTCGTCGTCTGGTGCACCTCGGGAAACTGGGTCCAGATTCTTCTCATCGTCTGCAGCGTCACCCTCTCCCTCACGGTCACGGGCATCTTCATCATGATTCTCACTTCCATGAACTGCTTCCACCTCCACCAGCGAGCTTGCCGCATCGCTTCGGACATCAGTATGCGGACCTGTGTAGTCGGCCCCAGCGACTTCGTGTCCATCTCCAGTTGCAAGGTGTTGATGTTGCAAGTAAACGCTACCATTCTGCTTTTTGAAATTCCGCCGGCTCCCGTTGTACACCGACGCGATTTCCAGCTGCGTCAGTTCCTGGGACAGCTCCCAATAGGTGTGGAACACATACCGGCTGGCTTCGCTCTGCTCCTCCCGGCCCCGCAGGTTCCAGCGCAGCGTCGTCTCCGTGTTCTTCCCGGCTATGCTAGTTTTCGTTATGCTCCACCACATCGGGCCGCCGCGCACGTTGCCGCCAAGTACCATGACGAGCAAGAGGATCACTTCCACCACACTAATCGTCACGCCGGCCCGCATCCACGATTTCTGCTGCTTTAGGAGGGACAGAGTGGTAGTGCTAGGCGCAGGACGAGTAGGAGCGGTTTCTTCTTCATCTTCGATAGCACCAACATGTGGAACATCATGATCCTCGATGTCGTCGTCAGCTGTCCCTCGCTGTTCTTGGACATCCCTGTAGTTCTTCGACTTCGCAGGTACGGTCGCCGCGACGCAAGCCAACACGGTCAAACTCAACGCCAACACCGTTCCAAACGCGTACAACAGGTTCTTGTCATTCTCCACGACTTCTAGCATGATAGGTGTTCTTTGGAAAAATTACCGAAATTCTTGAAAATTTTTTTTATGCTTTTTTCCTCTTTTTTTCATTCCTCTGCGAGGACAAACATCACTCTTTCTACTTTTGTAATTGTTGGTAAGTAGTTTGTGCTTCTAGCCAGTACGCACACACAGGCCGCCGACACGGATACTCAAGTTTAACAGTTAGATTTAGAATTCATTTCAAGCACGAAGGTTCCATCACTCAACGTGGTAGTCCTCGTCTCTTTTCTGTCTTTTGCGAAGTCTCAACGCCAAACTCCCTCGAGTACCGAAACTGTCAAGGTCAACGTCCTCTGCATATCGAAATCAAAGCGAATTTGAAAAAGGAAAAGCACTGCATCGAAACAGATCAGAATTTGGCCGCCCGTCCCCGACCGCGTTCTCTGTGTGCATGAAGGATGACTTTCTCTTGCAGCATCGAAGGACTGTGAAAATATTTTGGGCATACAAGCATCTTCGCCGTGTGCAGCTCCTACTTACAACTAGGAAGGACCAGCTTTCAAGTTCTTGATATTGTACTCTACTAGCACTTGTGGCTGGGTGCTTCCCTCGTATCTTGTCAAGCTCTGCTGTGCGTCAAGTTGTTCGTACGAAAACTGACGAACAGATCACGATCCGTGAAAAAGAAAAAGTAAGCTCTGTTAGATCCTTTCATAGATTTTTTGAAGCTTCAGATTATCGCGAAAAACGAAAAAGACTTTCGAAAAGAACTCCATCCAATGGTGTAAAGAACAAAAAAATGTGAGTCGCATCTTACAACGAAAGCAAAGTATTTCGATACACCCGAAACGAAAACGATGGCGACATCGATTTCTTGTATAAAACTGGCGACGGCACCAGCTGGCTAGAAACAGCAACAGCGTGCTTCATGCTTGTCTAGCTGATATAAATCTACAAATTGACCTTCCCGGGATAGAACCTCGGCATCCGGGGGATTAGGTTATGATGGCTCCGCAGGTCCACCGCAAAATTCGCCTGCCGTTGGGCGAACGGTTTCGGCGCAAAGTGCGGCAGCTGGCGGGTGATGTCTTTATTACTCTGGGGTTCCGCGGCAGCTCCGGTATTTGGATTGAGGGTGTTCAGAGTGTCAACACTCTCGAAACCTCCTGCTCGTTGTTGCTGTGAAGATGACATGGATTTATTTTTTTGGTTGTAGTGGTCTCCCGTCTTATTTACGAGGTTTTCCTTCTCGCCGACACTACGCACATTTTTGTGCAACTGTTCCTCCCGCGCGCTTTTGCTTCCTCTTTGCTTGTTTTCGCTTCTACTGATGTCTTCGTCACTGCTTTCTTCCAGCCCCGGCGGGTCGGGGTAGTTTTTCCGTGGCGGCTGCTTGCTGTTGCGCCTTCTTGGCAACTTCAGACTGGTCGCCTGGTTGTGCTGGGAATTATCTTGATTGATGCCGTTGTAGTTGTTGCCCATCACAGACTGCTCTTGGACGGAGAACTCGTTTTGTGCTGCAGCTGCATTCCCGAATAACTGCTGCGAGGTATTCCTCGAACCAGCAGACAGAAGGCTCTTCCGCATTTGTATTTCCGCGCTCGTCTGGTGCTGATGTTGATGTTCTCCTCGAGATGTTGAGCCGGGAATTACATTTCCATTGTGGTCTCTCCGCGGACTGCGCTGCGCGGCGACGGACACGAAATCCATGTTTTTTGTTTTTCGATGCAGATTTGGTGGTTGGGGTAGCAGGTCGTATTTTTCTGCTGCGTCGAGGTGGTTATAGGCAAGAACTTGCTGTCCACCTAGCCCAACTCCGCCGACGGTCGCCGAAGAACCACCATGCGGCACTTTGCTTCTTTCTCCAGGAGCGTCTAAAATTGCTCCTGGAGCAGCACCACCACCAGCAGGAACAACTGCTCCCCCACCGAGAATGAACTTCATGTAGACCGGAATGCGGATTTCTGCACAGCAGCCCGCCCTTGTCTCCCCAAACACGGACAAGTGCCCGAAGAACTCGCCCGCGCCCGTCGGCCACGGTTCGACGAGCAAATTGGTGGACGCGCCCATTGGTAGACCGGTGCGGCTCAAGTCCTCGCCGACGGGGAGGCGGACGGCGCAGCCGTCAAGGTTCTCGGGGTTCACTTTCAGCGTTAGCAAGTGCTATCCTGAGTAAAGACATACCCACACCAGAGTCAGGATGGGGATTTTGCAACACAAACCTAGGAGTTTTGTGAGTCACGCATGACATAAACAGACTGTGCTGCTGCGGGAATGGCATTGTGTTTCGGGTGAGTTGATCAACCCAAAGACGCCGCCACCCCGGGCCCAACGGACCTGGCACTCCAAACTATCCTCCTCACACACACACATCCGCCAACGTATTTGTTGGACCTTTCCACCCAGCCCCCGCGCACAATATACAGCAACGGGACCAGAACTGGAGCATTCCAAATTACTTCACTATTTGGCAAAGCACAGTCCATCAGCGCATTGGAGGCACAGACAGATGTTTATCCTTGCCAGTTTCCTTATTGCTGCGAGAAACCCGCCGGGCACTAGTACATCTACTCGCACCCATAGATTAGACGACGCAGCACTTATTGTCAGAAAACAGACCAGGTCACCAGCAACAGATAGGAGGAGCTGCGGGCTAGACCATCTCCATACTCATTATGGACGAAGTTTTCTGTTATTTAGTGGGTCTTTTAGGAGGATAGTTTTTCAAGTGCCAGCCGGTGACAAAGCCGACCAGGTAGGAGCAGCACACGCAACTACCCCCAGCGCGCACAAGTGAAAGCTCGTGGGGGCAGGGCGCGGCCCCTTCATTCCGGGGTTGGCTTATCTGGAATAATCTTTTTAGAGCATCACCAACAGCAAGCTCTAGATGGAGTGCCGAGGAGAGTGCAGAAAAACAGGGTCGGGGCGCCGCAGCTGCACCTTGAGGACGGGCGGGAAGCTTTCCCGGGTATGCAGCAGTATCGGGGTAACCGGAAGTGTCGGTCCGGGGTGGAGAGAATTGAACAGGTGGGACATCAGGGCGGAGGGGTGAGGAGAGGTCGTAGACGCCGTGAACCCGTCCAGACCGGCTACGGATCGGGCGCTTCAAGGCGTAGGCGAAACCGGGCGTCGGCCGTCAGCCGCGACAGCAGGTTGGTAGAGCGACATCCGGTAGCTGGGGTTACTGGTGGCGCCGGGCTGGTTGGTTCCTGGCTCGGGTTCGGATGTCGGGGTCCTCAGGGCGCAGGAGGGAAATGTATCCAGATGAAAAATGGTGGAGAAATGCAGCATCACACGAGGACCATAAATCAGGAACAGCAATGACCTTAGCACGGTGTGCAGATATTTCGCGAGATACCGCTCGCGAATGGCAAAGAGAGTACCGAGGGCGCCCTCGGTCACACGGCAAGGAGGACTCGAGGACGAACCGCGCATACCCTGCTAACTGCAAAGCAGTTGCTGCGCGGTCCGAGGGGGCCGGCGTGACAGCACCACGCAGCAACCGGGCAGAGGATGTAGGTAGATATCGCTGCCCGAATATACCCAACCTCGTCAACATGCCGACGAGTCTAGAGGAATCATAGTACTAAGCAACATGCATGACAGAAGAGGCAGGGCGAGGACAGCACGCGCATACCGTGCTAAGTGCAAAGCAGTTAATGAGCGGCCCGAGGGGGCAGGCGAGAGGGCGCTAAATGTAGGGAGATGTCGATGCCCGGACATAACACCCGCTACTACTTGAGGACGGGTCTAGCGCAGGGTCTCTGCTAGCGGTATACTAAACATAATCAACACGCATGACAGAAGTGGCAGGGCTCTACTTTCGCATGCATTTCTCCATTCGTGTGGAACAACATATTTGACGCGGAGCAGCATAGTTGTCCCCAGGTGCTGTGGACTGGGAGTGTCGTGGATTCCGCAGGATCCTCCTGCGTCGTTTTGAAGATCGTGATGCGACTTTTTGAGTCAGAGTTCTAAACCCGCCGACCTGTCTACCCGATTATGCCCCAACGTCCTTGCGAAAAACGCCAAAGTTACCGACTCCGCCCGGCGGGATAAGGACAGCATTTTCCAGAGCGCGCGCAGAGACCGTTGAGCAGGCCCCAGCAGCGAGAAATTGCAACACGACGAGCGGGACGCTGGGCAGATCTTCATTTCTTTTTGTTTTGAGGGGATTCTTACGCTTTCATCTCTCTTCTTTCTAGGAACTAGGCTCCTTCAACTACACAGGCCCGCAGTCTTCCCCGACTGCAACTATGCGGCAACCACGCCTTTCTTTTCATCAGTCCATCTTGTCATACAAGGGGCCGGAGCGAAAAACCAAAAACAGACGCGAACCAGAACCACGAGGAGAACCAGACGACGACGACGCATGCATCTTCTTGGCCCTCTCTACGCCGCACTCCGCCTCCCTCCCTCGCAGGCTCTCCGTCGTGCTCGTCAAGAACTCCCAGTCGGCGTCGCCGAAGACCCGGGCCCGAACCTTGACCGTGGGCCGGTCGTGGCCTAGAAGTGGTACGATTCTCCTCTCGGGGTCCAGCTGTATAGGAAGATTTTCGGTAGGTGCGCAGTTTTTAGGTAGGCATGCAGGTTAGGTATAGAGCGCATCTTCGTCTTCCTCCATCATTGACAGGTCGTCTTGGTTCGCAGCCTGCGCTGCGATGGCGTCTGGCTTGACCTGCAAGCCCTCCTCGTCCGCCCCGCTTTTCCCGCTTCGCGGTAGGGGAAGACCCGTCACCGGGTCCAGTCGAAGCACTACTCCGCCAGCTAAAACTTCTGCCCGCCCCGTTTCCAGGCCATCTGTCTCGTCGGCCTCCTGGTATTCATCACCCAGGTCTGGGCTTGCGCTTCGTCCTGATGTGGTATGGGGGATTGCGCCAGGACTGCTCGATGGTTGTCCAGGGGGGGGAGGGGCGTGCCCCTGCTGCTGGGGGCGCGTGTACGGCCCCTGTCGCTCTCGTGTCGTGGTGCCTGGGGCTCGCCGGTCCGGGGGTATCCAAAACAGCGTGTCCAGGAGGCTCTGCGCATCGCCCTCCTGGGGCTGGGTTCGGTCGGGCGCACTGGTGCAGAGTCTGTGCACCGCCCCGGGAACGAAGTTCCGCGGAACGGCCGGCGGGTTGGGTTCCTGCGTGGCGCTTGCCGGGGGCTGCGCCGTTTCCGCCATTTCGATCATGTTGCGAAACGTCTGCGCCCCTCTGTTTACGTTTGCCTGCACCTCTGCGGGCGGCGGGACATCGTCTCTGTCAGGCCTCTGTCGTGGTTTCACCGGCCATTCTCCTTCGGGCGGGGGGACCATGCCCAGCTTCGTCAGGAAGGCGCGGACTGTGATGTCCGGCCTCCGGAGGAGGTTTTGCGAGGTCGGAACCGCCGGGCACACCGTCAGCACCTCCTCTTGGATCTTCTTGCATTCGCACAGGAGGACGTGTCGCGCGAAGTGAGACAAAAGAACATGGCGGTCGAGGTTTGCGAACTCCGTGTTCTTTGGGGCGTCTGCGTCCCCTGCGAGTTCTTCGGCCGCTGTGTCTATCGCCCCCATCTCCTCTTCGTCGATGAGTAACTCACTATCGTTGCCCTTCGACCCGGAAGAGCTTTCGTCATCCATCTCGGGCGGGGAGGGGTCTTGGTTGACCGACAACGCGACCACGGCGGCCACCTTTTCGCCACAAAGCCCACACTTGATGTACGAGCTGCCTACCCGCGAGTCGCTTGCCCGGGCCGCGTCTCTTCCATCTCCGCACAGTAGGCTCCAGGCTAGACGCTGGCTGGCCGCCGGGAGGCCCCGCAGCGTTTTCCTCGCGTCGCCGACTTCCGTGGCTATGTAGCCCCGGCATGCGCCCGTCATTGATGCCCGCGCCCGCTTCTTCACCACTTCCAGGATCTCTTCGCGGAGGCATGTCCTTGCGTACGCGCGGAGCTGTCGGAGCGGTATGCGCAGGTCCGTGAACCTTTCCAGCGGTTCGCTTGGTAGGTGTGTCTGCTTTTGTAGCAGGTCGGCTTCCGTGTGTGGACTGATCCCTGCGTGGCCGGGCGTCCAGAAGCAGAGAAAGAGGCAGTCTGGTCGTGTTCGTGCTAGATTTATCAGTGCCCGGCGGCACTCCTGCCATGTCTGCTCCGTCCTACTCGATAACACGTTATCCAACACCGGCGACGCGTCCACTTGGAATAACACTAGCCGGAGGCGATCGTCGTGTATCGGGGCGTGGGGTTCCCGGATACTATCACTGAGAAGGAGGACCGAGACGACAAAAGCACCCGCTTCGCCCCAGAATGTTGTGAGGCAGTGTCGGAGGCGGGCCGCAAGCGCGAACTCACCTTTTTGGTCGTCCCCCCGTCTCATCACTATTGTCGCCATACGTTTGCGGGGGCCGGGGCCCGCTGCGCCTGGTGCGGTTCGCGGAACGTCGCCCGAATCCGTTGCGATGAGCATCATGGCCGGGCCTAGCTGCTTCTCCAGTTTCTCGAATTCTTCCTTCACCAGCGCCGCAACCTTTGGCGTTTCCTCTTTGCTGTACTTCAGTCCGTACCGCTGAAACACTGCAGGGGCCGGCAGCAGAACAACGTTGTCAGGAAGCGGGTCGGCGGGCTTAAGGGTGTGGGAGATGCGCAGCTTGGTCCACCCCTCCCGGCGCAGGGGGCAGACTTCCTCCACTTTTGCCTCTTGTGCGAAGGTCTCGTTATCCAGGGCGATTGCCTGAATGTTCAGCACGTTGCGCTCCGCTAGTGCCGCCGTACTCGGGATCACGGCGCCCGTACTAAAGAAGGTCGAGTACACCGGAGCGGTGAAGCTCACGCGCAACATTCTGCGGAGGCAGGTCTCTGCCACTGTGTCGAGCCGCGCCAGGGCCTCGCCCGGGCAGAGAATGCTTTTCACCGAGCTGGCATACTGCAGACAATTAAACATCTTGGAATGGTACTGATCGATTAGCTCGACCACTGATTTGTCCTCGTCTGCAGCGGCTTCCGCCGCTTCTGCTGCGACCCTGCGCTGTAGGCCCCCCAGGTGTGCTAGCCATGCCTCCGGGTGTGGTGATAGCGGCACTCCCAACACGGAGATGTAGGCCGCTCTGTTAATTCTTCGCCCATTTCCGTTCTCCGCCCGTAGGGGTCTCCCCGTCTCACTGCCCAGCTGCGTCTCCACTTCCGGGAGCCGGAGGACCTGGCCGCATGCGAGCCGCACCGTGAACCTTCTGAAGAATGCGTCCTGTTCTTCCTTGGTTCCACTTGACAGCACTGGGGCTTTGAGGACCGCGATGCGCCAGTCGGCGATCGGGTACGGGATACGGCGCAAGCGATCTGCTTTGTCCGTGAGCTTTTGCTTCAGCTCCGCTTCTGTGTCGGCAGTTACGACGATCCCGATGTCGTCACAGAAACCCGTGATACAGTCGCACAAGTCGCTGACGAGGCCTACGATGTTCAGCCAATATTCGACCACGATCCTAAACAGGGCAGGGGACAGGAGCGTGCCTTGCCCCAACCCTTCGCCAAGGGGGAAGGCATGTGAGACTAGCCCACAGAGTACTATTCGCCCCGTCCGCCCACACATCCAGCGATAGATCACGCGGAGAATCTGGCGCGACGCCCCCCGCTCCTTCAATACTGTCAGCACGTGGATCACAAAGGCGTTCTCGTAGCCGCCCGCTATGTCGCCCACGACGACCCCCACGTACTTCCGGCGCGACTGCATCGCCTTCATCAAGGCGCGGATGAGTCCAACCGTTGGCGAGAGGCCTTTGATGAAAGCCGAGTTGTCCCGGAACTCGTTCACCAGGGCTTCTATCGCGCCGAGCACCACCGATTCGACAAGCTTGGTGATGCCACTGATCATGGCGATTGGGCGCCAGAAGCGCGGCACGAATCTCGTTGCCCCACTTTTCGCGTGTTTGAAGAGGAAGACAAACAAGTATTCCTTGCTCCACGGTGGCTCCTCGAAGGCGTTGATTGCATTGCAGATCAAGGTGACGAGCAAGTATGCGAGTGTCGTGCTCGCCTTCAGCAGGGCGACTGGTACCCCATCGACTCCCGCTGCCGCGTTTCCGTTTAGCCGCCGCATTGCTCGCACTGCCATATCGAGAGAGGGCTCCAGGGGAACCGAGGGCGCATCTTCTATCAGCTCCCGTGCTTGTTCTGCCACCGCCTTCTCTTCTTCCGGCGTGCGCTGGATGCCGGCGGGCTTCCCTTCGCAAAGGCGGACGCGAAAGGCCTCCATGCTCTCCTGCGTCGACATTGTGAGCGTGCCGTCGCCTTTTAGCAACGACAGATGGTTGGGCGGGATTTTGGCTTTGCGGACTGGCGCCCGCTCCGTTTTCAATATGTGCGCCAAGGTTTTGGCGGTGAAGCCCTGCGCCGATTTTGCCGCCTCACACGCCCGCGCGAGGACTCTATTTAGAGTCTCCTGCGTCATGCTCGTCCACTGGAAAACCCGCCGCCGCATGAGGCCCTCCGGCACTTGCTCGGTCCCTTTGCGTTCTCTGTCTTCCTCGGCCGGCACCAGTTCGCAGTCTACGCGCATATGCGTGGCGCAGTTCTCCGGGAGGAACGCGGGTAGCTTCAGCTGTGTCCACAGTTCTATGTCACGGCTGTGCGGCCGGAGAAACAACGCATCCGGTTGCGAATCCGCTGCGGGGTAGGTCACGTCGCTGGGCAGGAGGGCTGGCTGCATACCCCGCGCCTCGGCCGCCGCTGTTAGGGCCGAACGGAACGGGTTGGGTCTTGGGCGTTCCAACAATATTGATCCCGTGCTGATGTTCAGGTCGCCCGCAATCCCCACGACTGCGTCCTTGGGGGCGTCCGAGAGGTATCGCAACACCGCCTGCTGCTGCGCCATCACTTCGTCTCTGCCCGTCGCCCCCGTGATTGGAGGGATATATCCCGCCACTAGTTCGCCTGCTAGGTCTCCGTGTGCCACTAGGATTGCTGCCATGCTCGGGGCCAGCGGGATCTGTGTGCACCTTGCCTGCTCCGCCGGGCGGAGGGAGTGCGCCACCAGGGCCATGGCCCTTGTTCCCCTCCAGATAAAATAGCGCGCGCGAAGCGTCAGGTAGATGAGGTCGCTGACGGTTTTGGCGAGGTCCTGCGGAAGATCTGCCTCACTGACGACGACTACCAGCGGGGCGGCTTCCGTGATCTCATGCACCAGGAGCGGCCAGTTGCTCAGAAGGCCGCCATCCAGATTGAGCAACGTAATCTTCATGCGCCGCCCTTTGGACCACTCTTTGTCGGGCGGGGGCGGGCGCTCGTCCAGCTGAAGACGTAGCTCCGCCAGGTGGTGATTCTTTGACGTCGTTACGAGGTGTGTGGCCGCGTCCCGCTCCCCCGTCGCCAGGGCGGCCAGTTTGCCCAGCAGCATGCTGCCGATGCGCCCATGTCGCCCCACGCGGCACACCACCACGTGCGCCAACATGCTGGGCAGCTGTCCCACCGCGTCGCACCTGGTGCACCGGTAGAGCGTTGTCGCTGTTGCACTCGGAGCTACCTCGGGCACCCGGATGTAGACGGGGTGGCGGAGGTGGGCTTGGTTCGGTGCTTCGCTTCCGAGCCAGTTCGTGTATGGTCCGACCGCCGGCGGAATCCGCTCCGGGGCTAAGAAACTGGCCAGGTACGGGTGGACGAGGGTGTTGCCCTCCTTCGTATTCTTCGCCATCTCTTGCGCCTCCGCGACACAGTCGGGGCAGCTCCGGCCGTGCGGCGTCGGTCTGTTAGCAGCTATGCTGGTGCGGGAGACTTTCCGCACCGGCGCACAGATCATAGCTTCTTCTCCGCCCTCGCCGAGCGGTGGCTTGTCGGCGCCTATCCAGAAAGGTGTGTCGGGCGGCGCCTTCTCGAGCCGCTTCTGCAGGCCCTTGCCTTTGACGGCTGCTAGGTCGTCGGTGTTGTCGGATCTGCGGACTCCAGCGTCCTCCCAGTTCACCCCCGGATCCCCCAACGGCCACTCATTCGCTGCAAAGCCCCCCGCGTTTTTCAAAGTATCCGCTGCAAATCTGCTATGGTTGCGCGGGTCCAGTCCTACTGCGTGGTCTGTCTGCCGTAGTGCCAGGGCGTCGACCACCGCGGCATTGCAGGGGATGTTCCGGTAGTCCGGGTGGTTCGTGTAGGCCACTGCCAGAGGACCTACTTTGCTTCCCGTTGCCCGCCAGATTGCCAGCGGGACTGCCTCCATGTATCGCTTGGCCCCGCCGGGGACGGCCACGCCGGCCGACAGCGCCTTTCCCGCTGCGCGGACGCGCTCTGCCTCTGACTCGCCTGCGTGCGCCGGCCGCTGGATGTTGCGTAGGCAATGCGGGCCGACCTCCAGGAGCAGCTCGTGCTCACTCGCAGCGCGAATTGCCGCTGCGATGTGTTTCGGGGCGGACTCGTGTACTTTTCTCAGGATTGTTCTTGCGCCCGCTGGGATTAAGGCCGGCGCCAGTACGAATGCCTGGCTCTGTTCGGCGGTCGCGATTTGGTGCGGTGCCAGCTCCAGGGGAGGCGGCTCTACTAGCTGCCGCATTACGTTGGCGTCGTCTCCATCAGCTGCTGCTGCGGCCGCCGCCGCTGCAGCAGGATCCTCTATCATCGGCAGCTTCTCCTCCAACTGTTCCACGATTTCACGCCGCACCGCCGCCATCTCGCCCGTCCTCCGAGGGGACCCCACTACCGTAGTGCTTGAGTACTGTGACGCTGCGCCATTGCGGCCAAGCAGAAGGAGAGGGACTGCCCGCAGGCGTCGTTTCATGGTTAGGGTGGACTTTTGTTTGATAACTTTCAGCAAGCGCGATTCTTCCTACAGATACTTCGGCTACTAGATTCACGCTTTGATACTGGGCCGCTTGTGTTGCTCCAAAGATGGACCCCGACTGCTGGAGGGGGGGTGGGGCATGCAGGCTGTGGCCCCGTATCTGTCATGCCTGATCTGCTTCACCCTCCCTTGCTCGCTAGGCACGGTGGGGGAGACAACAGCCTGCATGTGCGGGCGGGGGAGTGGAGGACGCAATCTGCCGGGCGGAAACCAGATCATACAAGAACCGCTGCTACCAGGGCCGCCAGTCCAGCAACGACATACAAAGCGGAGGCCCTACCCGTGGGAGGACCCTGGACTACGGGAGGAGCACCTGGTAGGGCGGAGGAGGGGAGGCAGATTGCACCAGGGGAGGGGCGCGGGAGGCCCAGCTGTCGGCGCGTCCATCTTTGAGCAACGGACCTTCTTATTTTTCCGCCCGCTGGCGACCGCCTGGCGTTCTTTTCCGCCTCACTTGCGTCGGTCGTTAGCACTGGGCGCCACCCGGCGGACGTCCCCTGTTCATTGCCTGCGCGGCGGGAGCCCGCACGGGTGATTGTGTTTCTTTTACTTGTACCCCGCAGGCGCGGGCTGGTGCATGTTATTCTACTTGCGCCCAGTGCTATCCTGTGCGACTTTGTTCGCGGTGTTGGTCGCGCCGCCTTCGTCTGAGTTCTACTGTTCAGCGCACGGGAGGTGCAGGCGAGGCGCAACTTCTTGGTGCCTCTGCCTTCGAGCGATGACGCTGGTCCCCCGATTCACATCGAAGAGCGAGTCCTTTTCCTTGTAAAACGAGCACTACTATTCGGCGTTCTACAGATTTCCTCTTTTCACACAACAGCGAACTTAGCCTCAAATATGTTCTAGATTTTCAGTTCATTTTTCAGTCAACACCTGCTCCCCCATGGTCTCCCTCGTCGTTTCGCCTTACGCCTACTACCGTGTCGAGCCGCCCCGAGCCTTGCCCTCCCTCTCCTTGTTTTGGCTCGCAGCGCCACCCTGATGTCGGTCCCGGTGGTTCTGCCGTTGCCGGGAGCGGCTGCGGGGTCGCTGAGTGCGCTGTCTAGCGTCGCTTTTCCGCTGCCGGTCCCGCGTACTCCGCGATGGGGCACGTGAGTGTCGGGCTCGAGGCGGGGTCCATTCCTCGGGCTTGCTTACTGATGCCGCTCCGTCGGGCTTCCTCCATGGGGGTGGAGGGGGCATGAGGTGTTGCGACTTTACCTCCGCTCCACCGGCCGCTGAGCCCGCTGCCGCGCGAATTGCGCTCTCTACTCCGATGTTCTGCGCCACTGCGGTCACCAGTTCTTGGGCAGCTCGATTTGCCGCTGGGCGTGAAACGCCCGAGTCCTCCAATAGGCCTAAGATCGGGCGCTGTAGTGCTGCTGGTGCGCCACCCCCATTTGCTGCGACAATGCCCCGAACGCGTGCGGCCGTCTCGCGCGCCTTGTGCCGGTCGAGCTCCCCCGCAACAACAGTCTCTTCCTCCCCGGTCTGGAAGCTCCGGTGGCGGCCGAGGAGTTGCTGTCGCTTTTCTTCTGCTCTATCTGCACGCTCCTTGTCGAGTTTTGCAGCAACGTGTCCTCCAAACAGGGTTGTACTGCTTGGCTCCCCGGCACGTGAGGCGTCCTCTTGCACTGCTGTGATTTTGGGTAGAGATTCCGCGAGGCTGCGCACGACGTCGTCCGCGCTGGGCCCGGGCGCTTCGGAAGCCTTGGGGGGCCGGTCCGTTCTCTGCGGCCACGGCTGGGCCAAGGGGTTTGCGTTCGCCGGCGCTCTAGCTCCGCTCCGCTCCTGCAGGGCCGCCTTCTCGTTGATGGGCTCGCCACCCCTTTTGTCGCCCCTGGGGGGGTCGCCCTCGGTAGTGGGGCCGCCGTCGCGGTCCCCCGACTGACTGTCTTCGCCCGTCAAGTCGACATCCACCACCCGCTTCTCCTCGGTAGCAGTTACTCGTGAGGCATTTCCCCCTACCGCCGTCTCGTCCTCTGTTTTTACTCCGTGATTGCTAGCTCTGCTCGGGTCTCCGCCAACAACTATTTCCTCCTCTGAAGAGGACGTCTCCGTGCTGCTGTCGCCGGTGCTGCTGGACTCAGCGGGCGAGTCCTCCGCTGCCCCCGCTACCCCTGCGGCAGGCGCCCCCTGCTGGTCGGGGAACGATTGGCCGGGTGGCATGTAGGCGTGCTGCAGCGCCAGCTCGATGGCCTGCGGCAGGCGTTTTCTGTTTTCCTCCAGCCCTAGGCTAATGGTCTCTACCGCTCTTCGGATGTTTCGTTGCGGGCAGCCGGATTTCTTTAGCCTGCGTCTCAACCGGAGCGCCAGTTGTAACGCGTCGACGCCCTCCGGGTTTCCATTTTCCGCCTCATACGTTTCCTCGTCAATTAGTTCTTGGATGGCCTTCTTGGTTAGGGGTGGTTTGGTCCCGTGCTGCTGGCCGGATGGCTGATCAACATCCCCGTGCGCGGCGTTCGGCAGGTTGTGCTGGGCTGATGTAGTTTGGGCCGGCCGTCGGATGCTTTCGCCGTGGCCGACCGGTCCGGTGGTCGCTTCCGTTCTCCCCCCGGTCTTATGTCGCTTGGCTTGTCGTTCGCGCGACTCGCTTCTTCCTCGCTTTCGGTGGCGAGATTGTGATCGCCAACGGCGACCATGGTGTCCATGCGGGGCTCCGCCACCATTGCTGGTCGATTTCTGCATGGCTCCGCTCGGGCTGGTGCGCCGTTCGTCTCGCTGCCGGACTGCGCGAGCCGAGATTAGTCGAACTCCACCTCCACTGCCTTCTGCGTCTATGCGCTTGTCCCGGGCTTCTCCATGCGCTGTGAGTCACGCATGACAAGTTGCACTCTGCACTGTAGTGCAGGTTAGCAAGTGCAGCCGCATCACAGATTCATCTGCTCATCCTGTTCACAGCATCACAAATCCCAAAACACGACTGAAAATGGCTCTCATGGGGATGCGCATTACAAGTCTTCCTGTCTTTGCAAATCTGCATTAGAACTCTGGTGTGGGTACGTTTTTGCTCAGGATAAGTGCGTCGCCTTGTTCGTCAGCGCGATCTTGAAGGATTTTCGCTCGCCGACCTTAGATATCAAATGTAAAAATGTCTGGGTCTGGAAGACTTGGGGAGTTTGTCATGCACATTTTGCATGAGCCCTGACGTCTGTGATGCATGCCCTAGCATCACAGATTTTTTGAGGCCTTCTTGATGCCTATCGCGCATGGCAAATACCCTCTCCGCGAAGCAAATGTTCGTTGCCTTCTCTTTGCTGCTCATGCAATACAGATCTTTTTGGATTTCAAACGCAGCATCACAAGTTACATTCTTCCAGACCCAGACATTTTTGCACTTGATATTAGACACCCCCATGTCCAGGTAGGGCAGGGGGAAGGCCTCCCACGTCGGGCCGTCGCCCGACCAGGTGAACTTCTCGAGGTAGTTGGTGCACGAAGCGACGTCGTCGGGGGAAGAGCCCTGGCGGGACGCGTCTGTAGGGGGTTATTTGTAGTGATAAACACGAATGAAGATGGTAGTAGAAGTTGCTCTTTACACGGAAAACGCCCAGGGTCAAAGATAGTACACATCAAAGTCATCCGTGCCGGTGACGCAATACATTATCACACTATACCATCCTTAAACAGGGGTTTGATCCGCGTCTTCGGGATGCAATTCTGGGCCAGGATCTTCGCGACCTTCTTCAGGTCCGTATCGGGGTCGTCGAGTTTCCAGTAGTGTATCAAATGTAAAAATGTCTGGGTCTGGAAGAGTGCTAGACTTGTCATGCAGGTTTTCCATGACCCATGAGGTCTGGTATGCGTATGTAGGACATAGCATGACAGATTGTGTGAGAGTTCTAGCATGCCTATCCTGCATGAGAAACATCCTCCCGAGTTGGTCAAAACTGGACGACTTTTGGTAATCACGCAACACAGATTTTTGCATGCTTCAGATTTAGCATGACAAGTTGCATTCTTCCAGACCCAGACATTTTTACATTTGGTATAGTGCGTCCGGCGCCAGATGTCCACTAGATTCGTCCGCACCTTCTTCACGTTGGACAATTGCAACTGCGCCGCGAACCTCTTCGTGCGCTGCAACCTGCCCAGCCAGGGGGACCGCATGCACAGCTTGTCCTTGGCCGCGTTTTGGTCCAGCACGTCCGCGAGAAACACGAGAAACTGCAGAAACTCGTGGTACGTCAGCCCGGGACTGGTTTCGAACGCCGTGTGCTGGTCCGACGCCCCGTTGCGGTACGCGGCCATGTAGCACTGCTCCAGGTCCCGGATCCCGACGCGGTGCGGACGGAGGCCGAAGTCCGCGCTGAAATCCAGAATTTCGCGCATGGTCAGTGCGCGGGTGTCCGCGACGTCGATTCTCGTGGGAAAAACGGACTCGTCGTTGAACTCCTCGAAATAGGCGGGTCCGAAGAACGCGACGTCGCTGCCGTTCTGCTTCGCGATCTGAGTTATAGGATTTTGCGTGAGGGATGGTTTATGTTTTGTATTTGTCTACGAATAGGAAATAATTTCACAGTGCAACAAAAGCAATCGCATAGAACTCAAAGAAAAGGTTTAATAAAGTAGTTTTCCTTTTCTTTCATCTATCAAATTCATGAACATCACAGTCATACCAGCTTCTCGTACAGCCTAGCGTAGAACAAGTAGATGCTCCGCAGCGACCCCGCCGGCCGTTCGTGTCGGTTCTCTTGCACGTCCCCGAGGTCGTAGTCTCGTAAATCGAAAAAGGTTTTCACCTCGAACAGCTCATTCTTGTCCGGACTTGGCGCGGCCGCCAACGTCTCGATCTGGCGCTGAAACGCGAGCTGCAGTGGTGTTTTCCCGGTCTGCTGGTTGATTTCCACGATCCCCTGCTGTTTCGTTTTCTCCGAGAGGGGAACTAGCGACCGTTTCCGGATCTGCAGCAAGTTCGTCACCGTGGACGGCAATTTACTTCGCTGCTCCACCACCTTGGAGCTGCTTCGGGATGCGGCGAAGACCGAAGAGGCCTGGTGCACGGACTCGGAGTTGTAGTTGGGATCTTGTTGTTCCCCGTACGAGTGGCTTCTACTCGTGCCAGAGATCATCAGATCGGCTGCTTGTTTAATACTGCCGGTTTGAAGATGGTCTTGGTCCGCGACAAGAACTTCTTGATCCGACGAGAAGAGAATCGGCGGGCCGCATGTTGGCGGGTTGTTCCCTAGTCTAGTAGTTCCTGGGCCAGTAGAAGGACCACCTTCTGTTGTACTTGGTCCTCGCCCACCTGATCCCGGAGTCCTCGTGCCTCCACCTCTGCTGATATTAAGCCCTGAAGACGTTGTTGTACCAGTTTTGCTCGTACTCGAAGGCGGCACCGTCGGGGGCCGACTCGGCGGAGGTACTGCACCCCCACCACCACCAACGCCACCACCTGGCGTGCTTCCTGCGGTGACCACGGAGCCCCCGGAAGGAGTTTGTCTGGGTTGCGATGTTGGTGGAGGAAGTGTTGGCGTGAGTTGTGTGCTTGTTGTTCCAGCGGCAGGAATAAGCGGTGACTTTGATCGTGTTTCTCCTCCTCCTGGAGTTCTCGTGTAGGACGAACCCCCATGATAACCTGCTGCGTCGGATCCACCACCTCCCGGCACAAGAACCGGCGCGGCTACCAAGACAGGCTCGGTCACAACCCTCATTTTTGCGGAAGAGCCAAGACTGCGCGCACTCGGCGGACCTGCACCGGCAGTTGCGGATGTAGTGATAACTGCAGACGCGGCTTGAACAGTTGTAGTACTGCTGTTATTATTTCGATCATCACTAGCAGCACTCGGTCCTGCAGCTCCTTCTTTCCTGCCAGATGGCACTGGAGCCTGTTCCTGGTTGCCGCTGCTGTTTATCGCCGCCGCCCTCGCACTGTTCCCCCGGTTGACCCGCGCACTCACCGGCCGCAACGCCGCCCGGGAGCTGGAGCTCGGCGCGGCGCGGATGTCGATAGGCGCGGCTGGCGAAGCCGCGGAAGCTGGAGCAGGCGGAAGTATTGGTTCGAAGCTGTTGTACCGGTCGTCGGCTACGGCTTTTTTAGTATTTATTCCTGTTGTACTTTTTGGCGGGTCGTGCATCTGTTCCGCCAATGGTCCTGCAGCTTTTGCAGCACCCCTTTGTGAATGATGTTTCGTAACATCTCCAGTGGCAGTGGCTGCACCGGTCTTTGCTACGGAACTTGTAGCGCTTGTTGTTTTACTGCCTGTAATTATCCCAGTTCTTCCACCACCGCCAGCAGTTCCTGCTCCCCCACCGGCCGCACTCCGCCCCGCACCACCCCCAGACGTCGTACTAGTCGAGGAAGCGGCGGCAGCGTGCGCGCTGTATAGCCGTCTTGGGTTACTGTAATTATTGTTCCCACTAGTCGTGCCATTGCTGCTCGCGCCGAGCCCGCCTCCGCCGCCCCCGGTAGCGAAAGTGGAGAAACTGGTCGCTGAGGTGGGCGTGACCCGGGACGCGCCGTGGTTTGGGGCCGAGGTCGCGCGCGTGTTGGCGCCGGCGGAGGAGGTTGCAGTGCCGGAATTCGAGGACGCTTGTGAGTGGGAATTGTTTTGCTGGTGCTGCTTCTTCTTGTTGTTTTTGCTCTCCTTGTACCGCCGGATGACGTCCTCGAGGTCGGCATCGTCGTCGTGCAAGTCCTCGTCGATGAAAGAATCCAGGAACGGCTGCATCATGATGGTTTTGTAAAACAAGTTCTTTCCTCGTACAAGAACTGCTGTGTGTTCGTTGTTGACACGAAATTTTTATCACGCACTTCGATAGATGGTCTATGCGCACACGTAGGTACGTTGGTCTGTTCGTGAGGACCCAACAACTACTCGAGACTCCCTTTCGGTATCCCTAGTAGGAAGTTGTATCCATGCACCCTTCAAAGATAGGATGATGATCTTCCGCTGTTCCAGGGCAGATACGGCTCCCACACAGAATAAACAGTTCATTTTCCTCCCTGTTTCCCAGGGCACTTGGTCTAGTTTCTCTCCTCGTCGAGGCGATCGAGGCACTTCAAAATCACAGCGGCAGAGCACGACGACGACTGCGAACCGCCGCACGAAGAAACGCAACTAACTTATCCGATGTCGCCCCTGCAAGTAGTGAGCCCTCAACTTAGTTGTACTTCTCAGACGCTCGCTCGACTTCACGACTCCATTTCGGTGGATACGAATAATTTAGCTTCAAACAGTTGACTTCACGAAACACGGGCAAAGCAAACAAACAAACCCAGAACTAAAAAAACCATATGGATATGCTGACAGCACGAGAATTTCGCACTGCAGCGGGACGGCGACAACCAGTGACAAATTGAAGATAGTTTCGCACAAGATCATGTGCCAACAAGCTGCCTATTTTGGTTTTCCAAGTGTTCTATTCGGTCAATTCGCAGCGACCGAAAAAACATCGCTTGACCTTCTTTTCGAAAGAGTTAGCAGAAAGGGAGTTACACCCTGGTTGTTCTGATGGCAGTGCTTTTAGCTTGGCTCTTGTTTTTACACTCAATGTTGAGTTAACACTACACTCGCCGCCCTAGTTGGGATTCCATATACTTCGTACTTAATGTGCGCTCTTGGTTTACACCCAAACCACTCCTGGTGTGCGAGTTACACCCAACCGAACCTACCCGCAAAAGGGAATACGCGAGAAGAAATTAATTCCAACTCGATACAAATGCAGAAGAAAAACTAACAACGCTAAAATGCATTCAAAAACAAAGCTCACGAACAATAAAGCTCAAGTATCGAAGAAAGTCGAGGAAGCAATGCAACAGCAACAACCTTTCGGTGAAACAGTAAATTTCATCCGCAGAAGCAAGTACAGCAAAGAACTTTTGTCGTCCTGAAGGTCCAAAACTGGCAGCGCAAGCAACAAACTGCAGCAACTGAATTTATTCTCAAGAAGTTCGAGATCTATCAAAAACACAGCCTCGACGTCAAGACTACAGTCTAGTAACCAGCAGCTCTCGTCATTACTTCGAAAGTCAATCGTTAGCTTTTTTTTTCTTGATTAAATTATTTTCTACTACACCCAAGCTACGCCCCATTGGGAAATTCAAAATAGTAAAGCTAAAGACTTCGTGATTGTCCAATGCACGAGGACCAACTGCCGACCAGCGCCCCTGCATCTAGCTCGAACCTATCCTCTTCGCCTTCAATGCTCCTAGTCGTTGTTAAGTTGGCTTCATCGATCCGTTTGTGATCTGCACAGACGAAGAGGACTTCATACATTCTACTTACCGCACCACGTACATAGCCAGGTCATTTTTCGCAATCCAGAAAAAAACTCACTTTTGTTCGGGAAAGTTATCGTTTCGTCCGTTGTCGTGTTCCGATAGTTTTCTTCAGGAGTGCGGCGATACAGCAGGTCGTGGCGCAGGAGCCGTAATTCCTTCATTTCCGACACCAGGACGCAGCAGATGTAGTATAATGGCCTCGCGTTATTATATTCGAAACATATATGAAAGCCCCGTCCTTCCTCGTTTCTATCATCTACCGACTGTTTTCGAATAGTACGTCGCCGGGTGAAAATACCTTCCGCCAGTTGCGATGCAAATGACGTGGTACTACTTCCTTGCTTCTCAAAATTCCATTCAACAGAAATTTTAGAGTAACTCTTTTTAATTACAGAGGGAGGTCAGGGTCTTCGCAATATAGGGGAAAAGGAGAAACTTCTTCACGTCAAAATCTATCTACTTAAAGTAATTCGTAATTAGCTCGTATTTCGTATAGTAGCGTCGTCGCTGCTGAAAGCACCTTACAGCAGCTGCTAGACGAGCACGGGGCAGTTATAATATGCCGATTTTTGTCGATCCACGGACTTTCTATTTCCTTTCTTTATTCTCAGGTGCTTGTGGTTTTCGTTTTCCATCTCGTAGCAAGTCGGGGGTGGCGCGGACGGGACCTCACTGATGAAACAACACGCCCGCCCGCCCTTTTGTCCGACCTAAAAAGGCAGAATCTAACGGTAAATGTATACCCACCGTGTGGCCTTCGTCCTCGTCATGGTCATATAATTACGCTGCCACCATTTTTTGCTGTCCAAATCTACTAGACTTGGAGCGCAAAAAATCTGGTGTGGTATTTTTCGTGGTGAGAGGGTTGTTTTGATTTGCTACTGGGTGCTGAAGCATGAGTATGATCTCGCCAACCACTGCCTTGTGCTAACGAGGACATCTACGAAGGTGGTGAGTCTATCAAAATCCCGTAGAAAGTGAACTCCGGAAGATCCCACAGACTTCAGAGTGAGTGGTTTTCTATTTTAGGATCCTAAAATAACTTCTACAAATCAAAATGTATTGAGTATCCGCCTGCCTCAGAGTGAAGCAGGTGGAAGCAACGGTAGTACCGGGTACTTACCCGGAAGAATTGCTGGAAAAATAATTTGGCCCCCGGAGGAAAGCCATCAATATCAAATCGACCAAGATACAACATCGCCTTAGGAGTGGTGCACGAGGGACTACTTTTCTATTCGATCGACATTTTTTTTTGTAATATTTCAATGTTTTTTATACTTACTACTTTTCGTGGAACTCATACTTGAAACGATCTTTTTTACGTAATTTTCAGGAAAAAGAAGGCAAAAAGACCATAAGAAGGGGGACCACCGCCACAAAAGAAAAACGCCACGCTGTAGTGCTTCTTCTCGTTGGCTCCTCCTTGTAGGTCTGTTCATAAGATAATTTTGGCAAGTTTCCATTCCTGAAAACACGATCATCGCGATCCGCGACCCCCAGTGTTAGAAGTTCCAGCACCGTGCGGCGCACTATACTCGTCCCAGTGCGAAGTTCGCTGCTTTTTCGCTGCCCGGCGGCCGCTGTAATCGTGCGCTTCAGCATCGTCACTCCCGTCAACAGCATCCCGCTGCCGGCGGCGAGAGCAGTGTCGGTTGGATCGATCATGATGTTGGCCGGTCGTGCGCGATTGGTTGTAGTAGTGATGAGCTTCTTCACGTTCTTCCCGGTTGTTGTAACGAGTCCGGTCGTCAAAAGGGTTACTAGTTGTCTGCTGGCGCGCGGACCGAGTACCGTACCTGCTTTTGTTTTCAGAGCGGTCTGGGTGAAATTCGTGATCGTAAGGCTCTCCCGCGGTTGTGTAATTGTTCCCCTCAGCGCGTCGTTCTTCGTCGTAAGAATGATCCGCTCTTTTGCCACCTCCACGACGTCCTCGCGATTGTGCATCGCGGTCAGTGCGGCCGTGATTACTATTTTCGGTGTTGTTCCTTAGGTCCCGTCGGTCCTGACCCCGGTCGTCGTAGCGGCTCGTCCCCTGTCGGCGCCCATCAGGAGTCTGTTTATTGTTTTGAAACAACATGACCACTCTGGGTATGATGTACTGAATTTTCCTAAACATCAGAGCCACAAAAATGCTCCTCTTGTTTTTGTTACAAGCCACAGCCGCGAAATTTCAAAGTTTTATTTTTATCGCGTTTTGCAATCCGCGAAATTTCAAAATTTTATTTTTATCACCTTGGTTCTCTGAAACTGCTGCAGTTATCACACTTTGTGAAGCCGCGAAGTTTCAACGCCTTATTCTTAATCAATTTTCATACGTTTTCAAATCCACGAAGTTGCAAAGTTTTATTTTTATCGCGTTCGAAAATCCGCGAAATTTCAAAATTTTATTTTTATTCCGAATCTTTCAACAACTTGGCTTGTATTCGCAAAACTGCAAAAAAGTTCTTCAACATCAAATACAAGCTCATACCACCTGTCCAGCTGCTCCGCCGCCCGCGCCTGTGGCTCCTCCACTTCGGCTCGGAACAGCTCCTGCTCGCAGCACTTGTGCTGCGGCCGCCGTAGAAGATGCGGTGTTGCGCGTCTCTGTTTCCCGTGTCGATGTGGTGTTCGAAAGGTTGTCATCACTACGCGCACCACGACGACGGGTTCCAGTGTCATCTTCCCGCTCGTTTAAGCTTCTTTTCTTCCTGTTCGATCCCTCGCCTGACGCAGCTCCTTCCTCTACTCGTCCAGCTCGCTTGGAAGGTTTGCCGTGTCCGTTGCTGTTGTCGTCTGCCTGATCGTGTTGAATAACACCGGTATTTTCGGGTTGTGCATTGCGGCGTCGTCGCAAGGTAGGTTTATTATTTCGTCCTTCTGACGGAGTTCCAGAAGCACAAGCAGTGCCACCTACTACTTGTTCTTGCAGGTTCTTCTTATTCGTCAACGTGACGCCGCCCACCCGGATGGTTCGATGCCTATTGCTTTCGCCAGAAGTACAAGTAGAAGTTCTTTTGGTCCTCGTGGCGTGGAGGTTTTTACTTTGCGGCTTTTGGTCAACATCATGATGATCGTGAGAGGAACTACATGGCGTCATGTCCACCGTCACCTTCATGGCAGGTGGCTGGTAGTCGCCGAACCGGCTCTTGCCGACAATAGCACCCGCAGAACCAGCCGAAGCAGCACCGCCAGGGGCAGCAGTTGTTTTACTAGATTTCATTTCCCCGCCTGCTCCGCGTGATCCCTCCTTGTTCTGCTCGCGAAAAGACGCTGGCAGCGGAATCAAATTTGGGTTGTTCTTGTTCATCAACTTGTTCATCTTCGGGGATCCAGCTTTATTATTCCCTGTTTGCTTCTTTCTTTTACCACCTCCACATCTTCTTCCGGATGAATCGGCTCTTGCAGTATCCTCTTGAGCATTTGCATCTGTGGAGCATGAGCCGAACTTGCAGCCACTGTCCGGGGCCTCTTTTGCTTCTCCACCTACTTCGTCCCGTGAAGAGGAGGTACTACGAGCATGCAGCTTTCCCCGTGCAGCTCCTTCGCGTTCTTTCCCATTACTTTTCCGCACAGCTTTATTGTTGCCGTTCTCGATCATCTTCGCGTTCGCATTGTTAAGCAATTTCCGTTGCCGCTCCACACGGTGCACCTTGTCCAGCGTCTGACGCAACCTCGAAATACTCTTCTCCCGCGAAGGGCCACCGCCGCCCCGCTGCATTTGCGCCGGTGCCAGTTTTCGCAGCCCCGCGCTCCCCGGGCGGTGGCCTCCACCACTCTTTCTGCGCGGTCCCCGGGAACGGCTCCGATGGGCAGGGCGATGGACACGAGAAGTGGTCTGGTGTTGAGGTTCATCTTCATCATGCCCTTGCTCGTGCACGCCGTCAACATCTTTATTCCGGTTTTCCCTTTCCCGGCCAGCACCTCCTGCTTCGCGATGTTCTTTCCGAAGATACTTGGTCTCTGCTTCCTTCGCGACTGCTTTCCCATGAACATCCATGGTTTGGCTCAGCGCATCAATCACCTTTTGGTTTTTTTTCTCATTGCTGCGCCGAAAACCAGGAGCATGAACAAGAAATTGCAACTTCAACACGAAAACCAAAACACGTACACGACTAGTTGTACCTTTGCTTCAAAATAAATCTCGTCACACAGAGGTCAACAACTCCAGAATTTTACTTTACATGTAGTACCTGTGTCAACCCCCCGGCGATCTGAATTTCTCCGTAGCCCGCAAAGATGTCCGTTTCGGTCGACGCCCGAATCTCCTGCAGGTTCGCACAGCGATCACCGGCAATCCTTGAGATATCCACCCCCGACATTTTCACGATCCGCAGGTCCACCGTGGCGTGGCACGTTTGCAGCAACCGCGAGGAGCGTTGATGTTGCTGATGGGAAGCCGACGCATTATTATACGTGTTTGCTCCGTTTGAAGTTGGTGCAGCGCCAATCGAGTCGTAGCGAGAAGCGTGGGCAGGATGCCGCTGATGACGGAGATTTTCGTAGGTCGTGCAGGACCCACTGCCACTGGTGTTATCAATGATGCCGCGTCGTGTGGACGAGCTGCAGCTATTCATTACGTTTTGTTCAGAATTGCCACCAGTTGCCAAACCACCACCACAGGGCACCGAAGCCGGGTACGGATTCAGAACTTGTGTGGCAACGGATGCTGGCACGGTAGGTCGTTGCGCCACATAAGAAGCGTCGTAGGTACTGTTGCCTTCGTCTATTTCCGGCGTATCATGAACGTACTGTTCCTGAGCTTGGTCTGCCAGAACGTGATGGTTTTTGTTCTGATCGTCCCTCTCGCCACTATACTCGACAGCAGGATGTTGGAATGAAGCCACTTGATGTTCTACTACTGACGGTGGTGCAGTAATAGTGTCACCAGTTTTCAGTTCTCCAGGTTCGATAATATCTTCAGTGCGACGTTCAGTCGTACTGGTGCACATCTTGGAAAATTTCGGACTTCCGGTCATCTTCCGCTTCCTGTTCGTGCCCGTTCCGCCGCCCGAACGGCGCATATTGCCACTACGCAGCTTCCCCGGGAAGAAGCAACGCACTTGCCGCTTTCCGACACGACGCACCACGGCGCCGGGAGCGACGCTCGCGAGATCGATGGGGGAACGAGGGGCAGCTGCAGGGGCTCCTGTCGTGGGGTCGCCGTTCTTGATCTGATTTGGTAGCAGAGCGGTGGCTCCGACGTGGTTTTGCAGCAGCTGCGGTTGTCTGCCAAAGCCTCCTCCTTGTTGCGGTTGTAGGGAATTATGACCAGCACCAGTTTTTTGATGTTGCCAGTGCGCCGCTTGGCCATGACCATGCTGGATGCTGGTACTAGTTTCGCCCGCCACTGCAGGAGCTCCAGCCGTACCAGGTGGCGACCCCAGGTGCAGTGCTTTTGCCAACTGATGGTTGCTGTCAAAGTCGACGTTGCCGTGCTCGTGTTCGTGCTTCAGCCACCCGTTCTCGAACATGTTCTGCTGGTCCATCTCTACTGCTTGTTCCGCTGAACGACCCGGAATAAAATGATGATGACCACTTTTAGAAGTACTAACACCCGCAGCACTAGAAGCTCCCGTTTGATGTGATCCGCCGTCATACGGGTTTAGGATCTGGTTTTCGGACATGACCGCACCTTTAGCATTACAGCCGTGCTTTCCCTTTTTCTTCCTCTTTTCCGCCTCATGTTTGGAAGTAGATTTCTTCCGTTTTTTATCCTTGTTCATCTTCGAGGAGGAGTGAAACATGGCTTCGTCGCTGTCGCTGCCGTGATCCTGATCATGATGCTCCCCCGGGGTGTCCTCGTTTTCTACCCCTTTGGAATACTTCCTTTCCCGAGGGGAGAAGCCGTATGACAGCGCACAACTCCCCCTCCCCCTCATCTGTCATGCAAAATGCCAAATCCACCCTTTGCCTCTTCCTCTTGGCACTGTTTGCATGACAAGCTCACTCTGGTAGCCCAAATAGCACTAGAATCCAGTGTAGATTTGTCATGCAAAGCCGGCATTCCTGCTGATGCTTGTATTGCCGTTCATGCTATACAAATGAGGGGGAGGGGGAGTTGTGCGCTCTCATAAGCCGTCATCGGAAGCTAGATCCCGCATAATCTCCTCACGGGCGATCGCCTCCGCGTCCTTCTCTATGGGAGTGTCAGAATCGAAATTGGCAAAATCGAAAAACTTGTGATGCACAAAATCGATGTCAGTTGGAGCCTCAGTTTCCAAGTGGCACATGACAAATTTCGGGAGCACCCAAATCCAGTCTGTCATGCTGTTTAGGCACAGAAGACTGGTCCTGTCATGATGCTACTCTGGCAGCACATTGTATACCCCTAAACAGGCTTACAATCGGTCTCATTTGCCTGCTCCCCAATACAGCCCTTCAGTGCCCTACACTTTATGCATCACAAATTTTTCGATTTTCTCGATTTCGATCCTGACACATCCATATTCTCCGCCTTGGATTTATTCTGCTTGGAACCTTTCTTCTTCTTGTGGTTTCTCCGTTTCTGAGTTGTACTATCTTCCTCGTCAGACGAATTGTCACTCTCCTGCTTGTTCTTCTTCTCTCCTCCACCACCAGCTGCCATCGACACGGCGGCCAGCTGGTGTTGCAGCATCATACTCGCGTAGTAACTCGAACCGTAGTTATACGGATTGTGGTCCACCATGGCCGCGGCCTTCAGCTGCATCGGATTGTAGCCAGCAGCGGCTGCGGCAAGGGCCGCCGCGCCAGAGCCAAGCATGGAACACCCCGCTCCCGCGGCGTAGTAGTCGTAGTTATGATCCTGGTACTGATGCTTATTCCAGTGCTGGTGGTGCGCGTGCGCCGCCGCCCGACTGCCCGGCGGCCCGATCAAAGCCCCGTGCGGAGCGGAGTTGTGCTGCTGGCGAGAAGTTGTACCACCGTTCGGATAGTTGTTATGCAGCTGGTGCTGGCCGTGTGGTCCGCCTCGGGTGGATGAATTGGTGTTGTTACAACCAGCACTTCCCATCGAACTGGAATTGTTGTACTGCTCGTCGTCGTTGTATCAACAGGAAAAATCCCCCCTCCCCATATCGAAAAGGAACGCCTTAAAAGGTTTGTGATGCTGATTTGTGGCCACAAGTCGCGTCTGTCTTGCAAGAAAGCAACGGCACCCGCTCCGCCCCGTCATGCAGGCGGTTTGTGATGCTGTTGGTCCTACAGCACAGGCGTTCCCCATGCTAAGTGCCTAGGCCAAAACCTCTGCGCACTGGCATGACATTGGCCTGCCGTCCCCTACTGCAAGACAAATCTGATTTGTGTACGCAAATCCAGCATCAGAAATTTCGTTTCGATATGGGGTGGGGGCTTTTTTCACTTTGATACGTTGTACTGGTTCATCATCCCGGCGCCCATGCTTCCGCCTTTGCCACCGGAAGATGAATTCGGTCCGGATCCGCCTCTATGATTCTCCCATCCGCTACCCCCGCCCCCGTAGTGGTTGTTCTCACAAGAACCAGGACTCGTCCCCTTATTTCCGTTGACACTATTCCCAAAAACCGGGGACGACATTTTCGGAACTGGACAAAGACCGGATGTTGACCCACCTGAGTTCGAGGATGGCGGTCCATCTGGTTGACGTTCATGATCCCCACAAGAACCGCTGCTCGAATTGTACAGGCCATGCTCGTCCGGACAGGTATTGGTAGTGGGATGATCCTTCCCCAACATTTGTTCGGATGAACAGCTAATATCTCCGTGCTGTTGGTCCTTCGGACCAGAAACGTCGGTCGTCGCACACCCAGAAGTAGAACTCCCTTGATAATCATTCGTCGACATGTTGGCTGGTGCGAAAACACTGTTCGCGCCTCCGGCATTCACGCAGCCGAATGGCGGCGGTGGCGGGGGAAAGAAGAGCTGCTTTGTTCCGGGCGGATTTGAATTGGTTCCGGATCCGGATGTCGAACTACAGCTCTTGATATCGTCATGCTCCCCAACGTTTGCGGAGGAAAAGCTCGTGTTCAAACCGTTTGCGCTGGGAGAGCAGGAAGCTCCTGAGGCTCCATTAGAACAAGACGCGCCTGGCGCACAACTGTAACTTACGTCATCATACCAAGACATGCTGTTATTTCCATGGTTATACTGCTGGTGATCGCGATCGCCAGAACGGCTGCTATTGTAGCCGCCGGAACCTCCGTATTTGTTTCGCATCGAAGTACTAGAGCTGCCGTTGTAATGATGATCGTTCAGACGCTGCGTCGTGCTGTAGCCCCCGCCGGTCATCTTGTTATTTCCACCAGTGTAAAAATTTTTGCCGTAGTTGATATTGGGGTAGTTGCTGTAACTACCGCCCTGATAATGCTGAAAAGGAAAAGAACCTCCTGAACCATTGTCGGAACAAGAACCATGGAACTCCTGCTCGTGTTTGCGGCGGTTGCTTGCGCTAGAACTCGGGTCGCCGGTTTGATTGTTGTTGTTCTCCTCACTGGCTAGAAACGCCATCAGTTGCTTTTTCTCCGTGTCATCCATCTCCTCCGCGCCCGCAGTCGTCGCCGGCGAGCCGCTCGCGTCGTCGAGCACCAGCGGCTGCCACTTTTCACCCGCATGATCACGAATCCGGATCCCGTCAAAGTCGTCGTGGCGAATATTCGAGGTACTAGTACTGGTAGAACTGGAGGATTTATTGGTTTTGTCCGCACTCCTGCTTGCTCCTCCGTCTTGCTGCAACGACCTCCCGACACCATGAACATCAACCGGGGGCGTCGCGTCTTGGTCAACGCCAGAACTTGATTTGCTACTGTTCTCACCACGTTCCTGCGCCGGAGCGGGTGAAGTGGTAGAAGTCATGGCGGAAGCAGAAGTTGTACTAGGTCCAAGAACCGGGGGAGGTAAGAGAAAAGGATTGTTGCCGCATGATGATCCATTAGAGTTTGATTTGTTAGTCAAGTTGTCCTGATCTTCTTCCGCTGCCGGCTGTGGTTCCTCCTCGTCCTTACGGAGATCGCAACTCGCTTCGTCAGCGGAAGAGGTGTTTGACGCAGCTCCACAACTGCTCGATGCACTACAAGAAACAGCCAACGTGGAGGTGGTGCGCTCCTGCAACTGCTCGCTGCTTGTTTCCTCTTGGTCCACATGCACAACCGATTTGTGCTTTTCCTCAAGATCTTCCGCGGCTACTGCTGCAGCAGCAGCAGCTTTGTCTTCAATGGTTTTATTCGCAGGTTCGCTGTCATTTGCTTCATTGGCATTTTTATCAACATGGCAATCTTCGGGCTCCGGCTCCTTCTGCTCTTCATCACGGGAGGACGTGGCCGGCTCCTTCTGTAGTTCCTCGCCGGGGGTATCAGTACTACCATGTTCTTCCAGGCTCCTCGTACGCATTTCGCGACTCTGTTCAGGAGGAACAGCCTCCGAACTACCTTCCGCATCCGGTTGCTCCGATGTGATGTCCTTCTTTGCTTCTTCGTGTGCGGAAGGATCTTCACGCTGCTCGCCCCCAACAGCTTCCTCCTCTGTTTTCCCTTCTTCAGGAGCATGTTCTTTATTTCCTTCTTTCGCCTCGTTTTCGTCCACTGCAGTAGCTCCTGTTCCTGCATCGTTTTTCCTTAACACGCTTGTTACCACGACCTCCTTGTCTTTCACCGTGACTTGTTCCAGTGCCTTCATTTTCGCGTCATCATCGCCGTTACCCCGAGCAGGTGGCCCCCGCCCCGCCTCTGACTTCAACAAGTCCGACATCCACTCGGGCACTTCAATGTCCAAATTAGTACTATCCACCTTCTTGTTCATCCGCTTGCTCAGCGGTGCCTGGATCAGTTCCCCATGCTGCGGGACGATGTTGCTAGTATTCATGTTGTGGCAGTTGCTCCGCGGAGAGCACCGCTTGGCGCTGGCCGGAGCGTTGGCAATGTCGTCGAAGGTGACCATGCGGCTCCTGTCCGAGTTGTGATTATTGTGGTGGTGATGTGAATGATGTCCTCCTCCGCCAGAGGAACCACCGTGGTGGGGCTGTTGGTGGGGCGAGTTGGTCCTGTACATCGTTCCCCCGTAGCTGGTGCTCGTATTGGTGTTGTTGTAATTAGTGCCACCGCCAGCTCCATTCGAACTCGTGATAGTGTTGGTTCGACTCATGTTATTGCCGTTGTAGGACGAGCCGTCGTTATTGTACGACCGGTTGTTATCATGGTTATTGTACCGGTTATTCCCATTCCGTCCGTAATCCTTTTCGAACCCCGGCGCGCGGATCGTCTGCCCCTTCCCACGGTTAAAATTACTACCGTGGTTCATTCCATTACAACTCCGCTCGTAATTATTCCCGCTGTTGTTACCCCGATTGCTGTTACTGTGCCCACCATCACCGCCACCGGCGGAGGTAGTACAACCCCCGCCGCGCCACTCCCGTTCGCGTTCACGCTCTCGGAGCTCCTCCTGCGCCTGCTTGGCCGCCTGTGCCGCCTGCCAGAAAGACTCCAAATTCGACGGATCGTCGACGTTCGGACAGCTCCGCTCTACGCTCTCCACTGCCTTCAACATTTCGCTCAAATCCCGTTCGCGTGGAGGACCGTTTTGCTCCATATTACCCCGCAAACGCACGGTCGCGGTGTGCTGGTGGCGGTGGCTGTACCGCCCGCTGCCACCGTTGTTGCTCCCCAAGTCTACTTCGCGGCTGTTCATCCCGGGGCTCGCTCCGTAGCCCCCGCCGCGGGAACCAGCCTGGTTGCCGTTGCAGGACGAACTGTTGCTGTAGTCGACATCTGGTTTTTTTGTAAATTTCAAACTTGCGAAGGTCTCGTCATGCACGACCCTTCTGCTGTCCATTTTATCTTCACGTTGCACAAGAACGATCGAATGAATGTTGAGAAAAAAAGTAGTAGTACGCACTCTACAACGTATATGACTTTCATACAATGGTATTTCCATATTTTTACCGTAACGCCCGCCACGCGCGCAGTTCCGTCCAGAATCCTGCTCCCGTCCGAACATCCGGCCACGGCCGCCATCCTCATCCGCATGCGAACGCGGCCGTGCCCAGAGGCTTGTTTGAATGATGTGAACATAGCTTGCCAACATGCGGTAGTACATGAAAAACAGTCTTTCTTTTTAGTGAACTGAATCCATATCTGAATGCAAAGGTGGCGATATAACTTTTTGAATTTCTTGCATCATCAGCGTACTGTACAACATCTTATACCGATTCCCTCCGTCCGACCCCTCGTCATCCCAGCCGGCATCGTTTCCAGAGCAAGGTATGAAACGGAAGTGGATTTTTTGTCAAAGCACAACCAGCTTTTTCTTTTTTTTTCTACAGCTGAGAACAAGCAAAACAAATACAAAAGCAGACGAAGCAGAAGCACAACATTCTTGGAAATAGCATTGGCAGTTGAAGACTATGCGACGCAAACATAAACAAACAGACGGGACCACCAAGGCTGCAGTAGTAACCAATTATCACATAATTCTCATCCGTCTCATACCGCTCCCACGCCCTCCGCCCGGCGAACGAAACATCTCCGGGCGATCGTTGTTGAACAGATCATTGCGTCCTGGGGACGGCGACCCAGAACCTTAGGAAAATGGATTGTGTTGTGTATTCCTTCTGGTTTTTTACCACTTGCCTGCGTTCTCTGTGTCTGTCATAGATACTACTCCACATGAAAAAGGAACTAGAAAGCTATAATATCGCATGACAAACAGTCGAAATGACAAGGTCCATATTTATACCTTCCCCTATCGATGCAGTCTTTAGCAAATCTTCGATGAAGCTTCCGCTGCTGTTGGACTCCGGATCTTGTAAGTATCCTTACGAAACTACGACTCGTGCACACTGATGCAACTGAGACTGCCAGTTTGAAAATAAACATGCACATGTATTCGTAGTTGTATTGTTTGCATTCAACGTATGATGTAGTTCTTGTGATGGGAGACCACGAGGCATCGGAACAATGAGGTTTGCGTTCTAGCAAACTTACGACAAGGGTCCTCGGAGTTTCGGTATGATAGCAAAACCGGCGGAGGGTTCATGGGGTCGACAATACCCTCCGTGGTAATCAGGGAGGCGTTCCGGGTTCCACCGCTTCCCGATCCGCAGTTGATGAAGTTGCTCACCCAGGTGCTTGCAGAAATCCCCGAGGAGTCCGTACAGTGCGTGGTCTCGGTGAGACTGTTCGAGCGGCATGAGGCCAGCTCCTGAAAAAAGTTGTCCACTACGGCATCGGAGGAAGATGGGTCGCTGCTGGTACTGCTAAACGGGTTGCGCGGGGGTCCACCACGACCAGTCGCACTGCTCCCGCCGCCCGGGCCGCCGACCACGTGGTCTAGTAGGCTTTTCGCGTCCGCAACACTGTCCGCCAAAATGCTGCCCGGTGGGCTGGCGTGGGGTGGGGGCTCCTGGTCCCCCAAGAGCATCTCCTCGAGCCAATCATTGGAGCTGCTTGTTTCGTTTCCACCCAGTAGAGAATCGAGCGGCCCCATGCTTCTGATGTAGAAGCTGCTCCAGCGCTCCAGATTTCGAAGGTAGTTTGTTGTTGTGTCAGCACTTCTCGCTGTTGTTGTCACCGCTTGGATGGTTCTTTATTTCTGCGGAAAGAAACGGGAAACAAAACGTTGCTGTTTTCGATCTTTTTCGGTGTAGAAGAAAAGATGACGAAGGGGCTGGAGAGAAACCAAGAAACGAACCAGCTCCGGTAGATGATGTAGTTGTTGATTTTTGTAGTACAAAAGTGTATGCCTTTCCCTTCCGTCTTCCACCAAAAAGACACGAGATTGATTTCTTTGGGCTGTTGTTCCGCCGCAGTGCTCCTAAAATTGTAGTACTATCGAGAGATGAAAAAGAGCGAAAGCGGAGTTCTTCCTTTCACGGTCTGTTCTACTTTCCAAGCTGGTCGTCCAGAAGATGTTTTTTTTTTACTTATTTTTTGTTTTGATGAGTTCGAAACGGGTTTAAGACTTAATTTTCTTCTCCTCTAGACAGATATTGCTCCACCGCGATCGCAATACGCAGTCCGTTGAAGCTGCTAGTATGATTCCGCCGCTTTATTTTCTAGACGCAAAGAAAAGAGGTTGCGGTTTCAATCTGCCGGTATCTGCTGTTCTTTCAAGGAAAGCAAAAGTTGTTTTCCCTGTAGTACTAAAATCCGCCTCTTCCGGAGTGACGGTCGAGTAGAAGCCGACGGAAAATTCCTGGTTGTTTTGTTGGTCCGGACAGAATCAGAAATGAAGATGTTGATGTCAAAAACAGCCGTACTTAGAATTACTCCACGGGGAAGATGAAAAACAACGGGCCACCTCGAGGTTTTTTGTTAATTTTCAGAGACGAAAGTTGTACGTGCTCGGGAGTGAAGAAGAAGAAGATTCCGAAAGAGTTGCTATCTTGAAAACAACGAGAAATCTCGATTGTTATTGCTGGGTCGAAGAGCCGAAGCCCCTTCAACAAAATTTTGGTTCAGTTGCTTCACGCCTTTTCACAACCAAACTAAAAATTGTTGGATTTGATGGTGTATTGTTTTTTATTACACTTACATACTCACATACTTACACCGTTCGCGTTCGAGTAGTAGTAATAGAAAAGCTACCTCCTCCGAACGGTTCTTCTTCGTGGACCCTACAGAACCAGGTTCACAACCCTAGTCATGCATATTCCACCGGGAAAGAAGTCTTTTACTTTTTTTGATCCAAAAATGTCCTTGAGATCTCGACGTTTAGTGGCACAAAATATCGCCGCATCAATCTGACGCACCAAAAACCCTGCGCAGGTTGATGAATAAATCGAAAGATCTAGTATCTGATGGGAAAAAAGACACGTTATGGGTTGAAAAACTAACTTGTAGCAAAGATGTAAATTTTCAACCACACATGGTTTTTGTTCCTATTAGACTACCACTACACCACGAACTGCTTTTATACTTGTGTTTTTAGTCATGTTTTCTCCATGTGAGGGTTGGCGGTTGATGGATACTGATTCTACTTCGTTCCTTGAATTTTTTACTTCGGATTGAAAAAAAGGATAGTTGTACAAGTACTCACAAACTCGGGCGGTTGTTTTCGTTCGGAAAAATCGATTCGAAACTAACTAATTCTACAGATCCAAGTATCAAAAGTTGTATCAAAATCTATCAAACCCGTGTTTCCTCACCATGTATGTATGTGTGATTCCACTGTAATGAAAACCAACGTAGAGAAAGCTTTTCTAGCCGGCAGTCGTAGCGATTGGGATTCGCGAAGCTCAAGCTTCACCATGACCCTACCTGTCATGACCTACTAGCTATGCCGTTTAAATAAGTAAGTAAGGCAATGGAACCTCCTTTCAAAGTCGAATGGCGACAGCGGCTGCAAGGAATGGTGGTCTATCCTCCTTATCTAGAAAAGAACCACAGGATCCAAGAAATCGGGCTGCGACTCCTTAATTAGAACCGGTAGATCGGCACAAGACAACGTTTTGTCCGATGAAAATCACAGAAAGCAAGGCCACAGATCAAATTTTGCGATCCGCGTTTCTGTGCAGATAGGGGGCCTCCCGCTTGTGAAAATTATCGTGTGGACCGCCCGCTGTGGGTGGTCCTTAGTACGGGGAAATACAGCTCGAGCTACTGCTGCTGAACACAAGACAGAAGTACAACATATACAATAGGCGTGGGCCTGTAGGCGTTAATTCGGGGTGGGTTGGTTGGTCGGTTGGTTGGTTATGCAAATGATCCGTGGAACCGAACCCGCTGCGTTGTGTCTTACGTTTTTCTGAGATTCGTCTACTATCACCGCTGAAGCTGCCTACCTACCCACCTACCACCTCTCTTTACGATCGTACTACCGTGTTCGCGCCGACCCAACTACCTACCTACCCCTTTCCACCCAGAGGAGATCGGCGACCACGCCTACCGACCCACCCACCCGCCTGCCTGGTGGGTGGGTGGGCCGAGCTTGCGTTGCCTATTGGCCACGCCTACCGACCTACCCACCCACCTGCCTGGTGGGGGGGGCAAGCGTCCGCGCGCGGCCTATTGGCCACACCTACCGGCCTACCCGCCCACCGGACTGGTGGGGGGGGGTGGGGCGAGCGTGCGCTGTCTATTGGCCACGCCTACCGACCTACCCACCCCCCTGCCTGGTGGCAGATGTGGGGCGCGCCCGCGCGCGTTGCCTATTGGCCACGCCTACCGACCTGCCCACCCCCCCACCTGCCGGGTGGGGGGGGACAGGCGTGTGCTGCCTATTGGCCACGCCTACCGACCTGCCCACCCACCTGCTTGATGGGGGGGGTGGGGCGCGCGTGCGTTGCCTAGTGGCCAGGCCTACCGACCTACCCACCCACCTGCCTGGTAGGGGGATGGGGCGAGCGTGCCTTGCCTATTGGCCACGCCTACCGACCTACCCACCCACCTGCCTGGTGGGGGGGGGGGCAAGCGTGTGCTGCCTATTGGCCACGCCTACCGACCTACCCACCCACGAGCCTGGTGGGCGGGTGGGGCGAGCGTGCGCTGCCTATTGGCCACGCCTACCGACCTACCCACCCACCTGCTTGATGGGGGGGGTGGGGCGAGCGTGCGTTGCCTAGTGGCCAGGCCTACCGACCTACCCACACACCTGCCTGGTGGGGGGATGGGGCGAGCGTGCCCTGCCTATTGGCCACGCCTACCGACCTACCCACCCACCTGCCCGGTGGGGGGGGGGAAAGCGTGCGCAGCCTATTGGCCACACCTACGTACCGACCTACCCACCAACCTGCCTGGTGCGTGGGAGGGTGGGGCCGACGAGCGTGCGTTGTCTATTGGCCACGCTTACCGACCTACCCACCCACCCCCCTGCCTGGTGGGAGGGGTGGGGCGCGCGTGCGTTGCCTTTTGGCCACGCCTACCGACCTACCCGCCCACCAGCCAGGTGGGGGAGGGGCGGCGATGTGCTGCCTATTGGCCACGCCTACCGACCTGCCCGCTCACCTGCCTGGTGGGGGGGGTGGGGCGAGCGTGTGTTTCTTAGTGGCCAGGCCTACCGACCTACCCACCCACCTACCTGGTGGGGGGGGTGGGGCGAGCGTTCCTCGCCTATTGGCCACGCGCGCCTACCGACCTCCCGGCCCACCAACCTACCTTGGCACGGGTGAGCATGCGCTGCCTGCTGGCCACGCCTACCGACTCACCTGCCTTGGCACGGGTGAGCAAGCACGCGCTTCCTGCTGGCCACACATGCCGACCCACACGCCCACCTTCCCTAGCAGGGGTGAGGGCGCGCCCTAAAGGTTCAGCGTTTCGACCAGACACAGACAAACTTGCACCCAATGCGATCCCAGGCCCTTAAGTTTGTTCTTGGTTTTCAAATTGATTTTGATCCTCAGTGTTGACTTTGTTGTGAGAGAGTGTCACAAACACAATCACAACGAGAAAAGAAAGACAAATCCAAATCCTCTGCCTCAGGGTGGGTCAGGCCTTCACTGGTGCGCCTGGTTTCATTCTCACAAGATGAAGCCGAGTTCCTTCGGCGGGAGGAAGAAAAATGTCGCAGCTCGTTCTCTCTGGCCCTCGCCTGCGCACGCAGTGCGCTTTGTGGCGGGGGTGGAGAAACGCCGCGCATAGATGTATTGCCTACCTCAGTGTATGTAGTTCACTCTCTCGCAACCAAAACCCCGACCACTTGGAAGGGGAAATCGAAAAGCTGCCATAACAGTTGGGCTTTAGACTTCAAGTGGCGCGCCGCGGGTGCGGTCGGCGTTGTGGCCGTGCCGCGCCCATAGATCCCGAGCAACCAAAAGAACCACAGGCAGCTAGATCAAAGAAAGCCCTTTGCGGACGGAGCGCTTTTCATCAGGATGGGCATTATTTCACCCATTTCGGTGCCCGCGATAGCAAACCGTTTACGCGGGAGCCTTTGCGGGCCACCACACTCACACGGGCCAGGCGTCGCCGGCCTGCAGCCAAGACTGTCTCTGCGCAGTTGTGGTTCATCACTTCACTCTAACTGGGCGCTGCCCCAGCTCCCGCATTTTCGTTGTCACACGCATCAAGAAACAGGTGGGTGGGAAGGTAGGTGTAGACGCGCCTCCGTTGCGCCCCGCAAGTGGAAATCGCCCACACCTGGAGGACACGCGGACGCATCATTGTCGAATGGCGACCAACCAACCCACCTACCCACTCAGCCACGAAGGAGGGCGTGCTCTTTTTTGTTCCGGTTGATTATGAATGGACGAGAGGAGCGCCAGTATTACGAGGTAGGTAGGTAGGGAGGCAGGTGGGTAGCGTGCATCTCATTCCCGATATCAAAGCGCAACTTTCTCCAGCTTCGATTGTGGGAAGGAGAACGTCGTCGACAGGATCACGTACATCAGGATAAGCGAAATAGCGACACCGCGATGCCGAACATGTCTCGGCCACAATACGTCCACCACCAAACGTAAACCAGACGCGCGTCGAATTCACCACGCACTGCGACTCCGGAGGAATGTTTTTCCATAAGCCGCGACGGCCCGCCGTCTTCAGCATTTGCATAACCAACCAACCGACCAACCAACCCACCCCGAATTAACGCCTACAGGCACACGCCTACTCAACATATAAGTACTTACTACTCAGGCTCAGTGCAATCAGTTTTCTGCAAGGCAGACGCAGCCTGTCGCTGGCACCTCGCGTCGTTTGTTCGCTATTGGTTCACAGCCACACTGGAAAAAAGAAACATATTGATGACAACCAAGCGACATCTTCCGTAGGAAAATCTAACCTCCCTACAACCCAATCGGCTGGTTCAAATTCTGAATGTCTTCCTCGCTCGACTTCAGCAGCGTTCTCCCGAGCAGTTCCGCGGAGTACCGTGCCTCATCCCCCGCGTACAGCGCGTCCTGCCCCAGTTTGTCCCCGTCAAACGGGCTCACCACCGGCACGCCCCGCAGGTGGTCCGCGAAGGGGACAGCGGTCGCGTTGTAATTTTCGTCGTTTCCCTTCACCCCCTCGACCAGCGTGATCTCCCGTCCGTTCCGGGGCATAGTTTCCCGAAAATTCCCGTTCCCCGCCGTGTTGCCGAACAGCACGTCTTTCAGAATCGCGGAAAAGGAAGCTGTGGGGTTTTTAGTCGTTCTTTTCCCGCCTGGTTCCTTCTTTGTCTCCACTATTTCAACCACCGTCGGTTTCTTCTGCACGAACCAGGTGACGGTTTCCTTACAGGGCGGGACCGTGAAAGAGCCGTGGTAGCGGAAAAATTCGGTGCTGTCTGCGAACCAGTCGCCGACATTGAGCGCCTCACCCACGTATGACAGTGCACAACTCCCCCTCCCCCTCATTTGTATAGCATGAACGGCAGTAAAAACATCAGTAAGAATGCCGTTTCTGCATGACAAACTTACACTGGAGTGTAGTGCTCTTTGGGCTACCAGAACTCGTCATGCAAACAGTGCCACCAAGAGGAACAGACTGGATTTGGGATTTTGCATGACAAATGAGGGTGATGGGGAGTTGCGCACTCTCATATGACGTCGTCTTTCCCGAGCAACTGGGTGGTGAACTCGCCTTTCGGAAGCGTCGAAGCTTCCGGTTTGGCCGCCTGGGTGGTTCGTTTTTCATCTGTTTGGAGGTGATTCAGAGCACGACAATCTTTTCACCAAATCTACCTTGCTGTACAAGTGCCAAGAGCACCTTCATCGCTACTCACGGTAATTGTAATATCATCAGAATCAGAAATTTCGGAGCATTTTTCAAGTTTCTACAAGTACCTCCGCCGCCACTGCCGCTGCCGCGTCCTTGGCCACTTGCGACAAAAACGTCTTTAACTTCTGCGCAGGACCAGAAACTACACCACTTTCCTCCTCCACTGTCGTAAAATTCACCGGCACGGCGAAAACGATCAGCGCCTCCGAGTCAATTCTCTTATGCGTCAAATGTAACTCTAGCGGGTAGTGTTTCCCGAAAAACGTGTGCTCGCTGTCCATGTGGAGATTCGCGGTAACCAAGTTGTAGAAGATGTTCTCGTAGCTGACCCCACCCAACCCGTTGCCAGAAAACTTCACGGAGATCCCGTGCCCGTTGTTCTGCACGACCAGTCTCTGCTGCTGGTCCTCAAGCGTCGCGGATTCGTACTGCAGGAAGATCTGCCGGTTCGGGGTGCTCGCGAAATACGCTGCTCTGTCCACGGGATCTTTCCATGGCGCGTTCGCGTCAAAATCAATCGGCGACTGCTATAACCCGCTCAGGTGCTACAATCTCAAACGTTACAATAGAATCTGGAATTTGTGTTGCAAGAAGTGCATTATCAAGCCAACTCTCATAGAATTGCGCATGACAAGTTTCGGAGCTCCGAACCGCACTAGAATCTGGCGAAATTTGTATTGCAGAAAGTGGAACGCTCTGCGAGTCTGTCATGCTCATCATGCAACACAAATCCCAGATTCTATTGCAACGTTTGAGATTGTAACGTTTGAGCAGATCATAGCTGCCCCTCGCGAGAGTTGCAGCTGCCGGCCTGCCACTCCTGGCCATGATACAGGTAGGAAAAATCGTTTGGGCTGGTGGGTGGCTGAGACGAGCTGTTTTTGGAAGAATGTTGTGCAGAAGTTCTTGATGTTCTGGCATGTTCATGCTGTTGAACAAGCTTGACGGCGCTAGTAGAAATTGTGACTATCGAAAACAAGAAGGGCACCGCCGTGCCAGCCGCACATAGTATTTCCAGCCGACTTCTTGATGTGCTGGCTTTCATGCTGCGCACTGCGCCTCTTCGCAATCGCGGCATGACGCAAAAGATAAAGAGCCGCGCGCCAGTGGCGCGGGTTCTTCAATACCGAAAATACCTTCCAACTCACTATTGGGATTGCTTTTCCTTGTGACGTCCATCAAATTTCTAGCGAAGTAACACGAAGAAAAGACCACGATGTATACACTTACACGCGACGATATCTTCACGAGGAAAATAAAGAGAGGCCAACACTCATACAACGTGAACAGGAACGGGATAACAAAAAAAAACATCGCGGATCCGCAAACACGCTTGATCGTGAAAATCGCCAATTTTTTCAATGATCTTCTACGCATTGACTTTATCCGAAGACAGCAACTTCCACCAGCGTTGTTGACACAGACAACAAGAATTACGATTTGCAAAAATGGAAATAGACAAAAATCCAAAGCCACAATTATACTGTGAGCATTTTGGATCTCCTTTATTCTTTTCGAAAAAAGCCAAGAGTTGTCACGGATCAAGCAACAAAACTTGAACACTTCCTCTCTTGCTGTGGCTCTAAACACGACCATCGCCTGGTGCGCATAGAGCGAGGGCGAGCTCGCCTCCGTCTAACTATAGTTGTGTATGTGTTTCTTGTGGCATGCAGCGATAAAGATTATCTACAGGAGTTTCAGTCACCGAGAGCATCTCATTATCAGCCTTCCACGGGCACAAAGTCGACGTCTCAAGAAGATGAAACGTCGACAAATTATCCTGCCATGCGTGTTGAAGGGCCGAAGACAAGAAGCCGATGCTGATCCAACAATATCATTCACCGTAACTGATCACACTTTGCAGGTGAGACAGGGTTTTTTGCTACTGGCGGATAAAGATGCAACCTCCTCTTTTGTCGGCAGCATTCCCTCCTCCTTTTGTTTCAGCTCCTCCTCTTCTATTTCGTCCTCGACCGACCTGCTCATGTCCAGCCGTATCATCTCGTCCGCGAGTGGTTTTTTCAAATCTTCCCAGTTGATAAAACTCAAGCTGGTCAAGTTGTAGCTCGTCGTTTCGTTCCGCAGGAGGGCCAAGTTCCACTTCGCCTCCTTTTTGCAGACCCAGGTGGCCTTATCGTGGCCCTCCCAGTCGTACCACTGCTGCGCGGTCTCCTGCGGCGCGCAATCCGGTTCGGTCTCGCGGCCCGTGCAGTTTTTCGCCATGTTTTCGTAGTTCGCGGGCGTGTTGTCGCTCCATTTGTGCTCCTGGTCCTGGTCCTGATCCTCGTACCCGATCCAGGACGTGAGACCCTTGGTCAGCGTGAACACGAACTCGTTCTCCTGCTTCCCGTGAATGCTACACAAATTCCCGCCGCGCTCCTGGCACCAGGCCTCAGCCTCCCACCAGGTCTTCTGCCGCCACACGTGAATGTAGCAGTGCTTGTGGTACAACGACCAACCGAGGTCGGGACACGCGGTCGGGTGGTAGATCTGATACGGAGAGTAGGGGTGAACATGATGGATGTTTGTAATTGTATGAGGTTGCGCAAGCACTCATGCTGCTGATCGCTCGTATTCCCTATCATAACCACGTAGTACATGCTACTCCTCGGCGACGGATGAACAGGCTTTCTTGAAAGTATCTTTGTATTCTATACCTGCGTCTGCATCGACGGCACGTGCGTGGCCGCAACGGTTGCCTTCTCCGAATCCCTGCCATTTCCGCACCAATGGTGGAAGTCTTCTGCTCGTCTCAAGCACGCGGCCGGCGTGTCACCCGCCCCGAGCATCTGTTCGCCATAGCGATCGGAAAACTGGGTCCCCGCGAAACTGGGAAACCGCTCGCACCGTTTTGCGGTGAGCATGCAGGTACTGTCGGCGTTAATGCCAGAGGTTGCGAGCTGAAAAAAGGTGAAGAAGAGAAACGGGGAAGGAGACGCTGACATGGTCATGGACATGATGTGCCGAACGCTAGAATCCAAATAAGGTACTGTCTCAGGGGAAAACAACAAACATACTCGCTTTGTCGGTTGCGACAAAATCAAATCGCTAGTGAAAACGAGCACCAGGGACGGGACGCTGCATATTTGTCAACAGAGAAAGAAGACTCGACGGGTTTTTCATTTTATCTCAAAAAAAAAACGAAAGGCATATCGTAATTCGGATTCGGTCATCCTTTCATACAGAAACAGGCAAACACGCTACTTTCATCGGTTCTTTAAAATGGACGATATTAACAGGAGGGGCGTGCTACTGTGGAACGTCAAACTACGTTAAATTGCAAGAGCAGTTAGTTGCTGCTGAAAGGAAAACCGATCTGTTACTTATGTTACTGTTTGATTTTGCTTAAGTACAACAACCTTCATTGTTTCGTCTCTCTTGAGTGTTTCTTCCTCGCTCTCTCTCTTCGCTACGTTCGTGTTTTCAATCGTGGTTTCTCACTCTGCTGGGAAGAAGAACTCTCTTGTGAACAATAGAAGGCTGTAGAAACATTGCAGCAAAAAAAACAGCCAGTATGCTGTACGCGACAAGCGCAGATAAATCCACTCGGAAGAAGTGTGGCCGGGGGTGTAGGCGCTGTCATTCCTCCACTACTATTCCCTTTTCTTGCACCAGCAGTTGGGAAGTCATTCAATTTCACCGAGTTTCCGCCGAAAAAAACCAGTTCATTCACTTCCTCCAACCTCACATCCAGCGGATCTCCGTCCCCAAGCACACACTCATCCTCGTAATTCGGCGTTGCGCGGACGTTCAGAAGCACGTAGCCAAATAGAATACCAGGGATCAACACGACTAAAACCGTTGGCGTGAGGAGAATGAACTGTAAGAACTCCGACGTTGCCTCGGTCGACGCGGAAAAGAGCAGGTACAGAATATCAAATGTAAAAGTGTCTGGGTCTGGAAGAATCATGCTGCTTCTGCATGACACAGAAGGTCTGGCATGGAAGCTCTAGCATCACAGGTTTCGAGAAGCTTCCGCAATGCCGAATCCGCATGACAAATCCCCCATTTTGGTGACAGAAAGTGAGCAGCTTTTGCTGCCTATGCATCAAAGATTTTTGTGTGTTCTGAAATGTGCATCACAAGTTACATCCTTCCAGACCCAGACATTTTTACACTTGATACAGAAACGCGTAGAACGAAACGATCGAAGCCACCCACGAAGCCAGGCCGCAACGCTGCCGGGAAGACCACATTTTGATTTTGGTTTCTATTTTTGTTCTAGGGTACTATGGCTGGCCATGGTATTCCAAAATAATGTTTGTCGTTGTGTGTGTTTTTTTGATGTTTGTGTCTTTGTATTTGTAGGCTCAAGGCAACTTAGCAAAGAGTGAGCGCTGCTTGCCCAAAGGAGAACGAGAAAGGAACAACCGTAGCTTTTTCCCATCCAGGTGCTGCAGCATCCGCCCACTGCACAACTGCTACTTAACTTTGTTACACTCACTTGCGTACAAAAATGACGGCGCAAGCCCCCTGGGCACGATTTCTTCAACGAAAAAAGTTTTCAAGTTTGCGTTTGGAAAAGAGTATTAAAGCACACCATTCACTTCATGATTTGTACATCAAGAGTTTCCACCTCGCCTGTAGCTGTCAGTAGTATAGAATGTCGATGTCGTGCAGCTTACAGCTAGGCATTCAATCCAGCTTCGGCGCGAACTCCGGGCCGATTTTTGGCGGTTCATTCTCCGGGATCGTCAGTGTGGGCGCCGAGTTGTCGATGGGCGGCGGAAACTTCGCCTCGGGCAACGCTTCCGGGTCACCGCCGCACGGGTCTTCCGCGGGAGCCGCGGCTGCAGCAGGTTCTGTTCCCGCAGGTTTGCTCGATTCCTCGGGACTGTCACCCCACCCGGGTTCCGGCACGAAGCAGACAAACTCCTTCCCCCCGACCGCGTTGATCTGTGTACAGAGTCTTTCGTTATTGTACTGGCAGGACGGTAACTTCGGTTCCCAGTGGTCGCACGGTGGGCAGTTGCACACGCACTCCCGGGGGTCCGGCGGCCCGGCACAGAAGGCGTTTAACTGCAGTTGAAACAGGTTGACTGCCTCGCTGATCTGCGCTGGCAGCGGCGGAACTTTTGGCAGCGGTGCCAGTTCATCCGGCGGCGGCATCCCCGGACGCTCCGGCGGCGGGGGCGGCGGCGGTTCGGTGGCCGGGGGGCACGCGGCGGGTTCCTTGTATTTCGGGTCGGGGCAATTCGGACAGTGACAGTGACAGGGATTTGGGTGGATGTAGCCCAGCTGGGAACATTTCTGCTCTAACAGCCTGGTTCTGCTGCTCTTGTTCTCGGCGACAGCGTTGGCTCCGGTTATTTCCTTTCTCGTCTGCAGGTGAGTGAAGAGCGTCACGGCTTCGATAGGAGAGAAAATGCTTGAGAAATTTAGTAACTGTATGATGATTGTCGCGCAAAAACAGAAGCTAGCCGGAAATCGTCGGCTGCTGCGTGCACGACTGCAACCTGCTCGGCCGACAAGCACATCCGCTGCCATCTTTTTTGTCCTATAGACGAGAACCGATTGCCACCGCTGCTGTTTGGTTCCCAGATCAGAGGTTCAATTTGAGCTTTAGAAGTGCGACGGTACATGCAACAAACAAGAACGAAAGAACGTGCTGCACCCACCTTGTTGGAGGCATTGAAGTGCCTATTCACCCGAAAGGCGAATGTTCACCTTCGAAAGAAGTACTTCTTTTGGTCCCCAGAGAACACGTTGCCAGAGCCACCAATGGTGACGGCACAGCCGAACCCGCAGCTGCGCCAGTTTCTACTGAAATTGATTCATGGTGTGAAGATGTGTCAGAGCATGGCACATGAAAATGATACATGATGTTGTCGTCTGAAGAAGAATTCGAAGTGGGTCGTGATGATGAGTACAACAAGGAGCGCATCAGGGTGCCGGCGTGGTGGACAAAGCACGCAATAAGAACTTTGTCAAGAATTATAATATCCACGCTCAGCATAATTGGTCTTCCTCTACTTCTGAAGATGGACCTGCTACAGCTCTTCCCTCACTGCCTCTGCCGTCCGACCAGATGTTTGTTCATGTGCTTCACAATCGCCTCGAATTCTGCGTTGGCCGCGTCAAACCGCTCCTTCAATTCCGCGTGTGCCTTCTCCATTTTCGGCAGCTCCGCGTCGAGGCTTTCCATCTGGTCCTCCATATCCTTGACCAGACCGTCGTGGCTGCGCATGACAAACACCTTCCCGCAGGACACGTAGGTGTTCACGTCCTGGCACTGCGTCTTCACGTACTCCTTGGTGACCAGTTGCGCTCGCTGCTTCTGCTTCTTCAGGAAAATTTGCTGCTGGAGCTGCTGCAGCTGACCGTAGAGTCGCTGCACGTTCTGCTGCTGGTCCATCAGCTCCTGCGGGGACACAGAGAGTTTCTCCTTGATGTCCTTCTGCGCGTTCAGCTTTTGGGACGCGGAATCCAAGAGCTTCTTCAAATCCTCGGTGTTGGAAGCTGGTGCAGCGGCGGAACTAGAGGCTTGCGCGGCTTCTGCAACCTGGTCGTCGTGTGTAAATATCGAAAATTGCTCGTGGTCTGAATCTCAATGTCTTCCAAATGATTTTTGCAGATAAATTTGTCAGGCTTATGGCTGCATGTTTTTACTATTTTTCTATACGATTGAATGATGCTATAACAATACCTCGATCCCCGCCGTGCAAAAGTCGACCGCTTGCTGAAACAACCCGTTCAGGAGACTGGCCCTTGCGGCCCGGTAGTAGGCCTTCATATTGGCGTTGTCCAACGCCAGACACCGCTTACAATCGTCCACGCACCCGGAGAACTCGCGGATCTGCAGCAACACCTGCGCCCGGTTGGAGTAGAGCTGGGAGAGGAGCACTTTTGAGTCCGCGATCATTTTTTCCTTCTCCGGGTCGGTATTGTCCGCCTCTTCTGGCTTCAACACCCCTTCCTTCACCTTTTTCGCCCGGTCCTCAGCCAGTTTCGCCTGGTTCTGCAGGAAGGTGCTGAGTATCGTCACGCCCGTGGTGTAGTGCTCGCCGGCTTGTTTTAATTTCTGCTTGCTGTTGTTCGCCTCCTTCAGCGCTGCATTCCCCTTGTCCTTGCACTGGCGCGCAATGTCGGTGATGTTCGTGCCCCCCTGCTGCTGCTGGACCTGCTGGAGGTTTTCGATCTCCTGCAGCGCGTTGTCGATCCACGGCGTGTTGACGCCGGGAAGTTGTCTTGCTTTTAACAGGGACGTTCGCAGCGCGGGCAGGTCCTGCTTCTTTTTCGCCTCTTCCATTTCAAGAAGGACGGAGGCGCCCGCGGTTGGCACCGGGACGCCGGGGAGGAACAGACCCTCCGCAGCCTGGCGCGTTTGATCTTCGGAGGTCATGATATTTTGGAGGGGGTGTAGTGAAGTGCAAAGTGGGTCTTGATAGCACTACAGAGTCGTCGCTTTAAGATTTCTAATAGTCTTCTGCAACGGTCGCGACGACATGCATTTTGCTCGCGGTACTAGTGGCGTCCGCGTCTCTGTCTACTTAGTAGCCCTGATCAAAAATATCAGAGCAGACTTTTGCACCACCTAATTCTTGCCTGCGCCGGGTCATTCATTGTAAAGTTCTTTAGTACTTACGAAATCCTCATCTTCTTCAGGCTAAGCACGAAAAAAAATTGTAGATGCACATCATGAACGAACCGCGCATGAAAAAAATGTACCATCGGAAAACTTCAACTGTCGTTTTATGATCAACGTATCTCTAATGGATTCTGACCACTCGACACGTCCGTGGATCAGATGATTGATTTAAATTTTGGTTTTCATTTAACACCAGAACCTTACCTTGCTCATAAAACGTCTTGTGGAAGAATAGATTTGATTCACTTAGCGCAACGACCTTACTACAGATCCCGTCGAAAGAAGATCGGTTTTTATTCTTGGTTGAAGGATTTTTTAAGCTGCGCGGGGGTCCTATGGGTTGAAGATGAAAGAACCGCCACTACATGCAGAACAACAATGTGCGGATTCAGAAACGATGTATGTTTCCACTTGCACTTGGTCACCGCCAGCGGAAGTAGTTGCACCTTTTTTATAATTTATCTTCGACATAACATACTACGAGACCCAAAAAGAAGTTGTTCCATATGAAAGTCGATTTTTTCCGCGATCGGACGAAGAAGTATTAAAAGCCGAAGCCCATCATACTGGCTGAAATTTTCAAAAAGTCCTGTATTCCCGAAAGAAGTAGTCTTCGTCGTGCGTTGCTATTTGTAGTCTAGTTGTACTCGACAACGTAGACGAGCAAAAAAATACTTCAAGAGTTTTTGCAGGTGTAGCACTTCCACTTGAAGATGTTGATATCATTTTCATCTTCGCACCGACCATTATCAAACCAAAAGCTAGTGGTTGATCGATATTTATAGTAAACCGGTCCGCGTTCTTCTTGCAAAATATCGCATCGTCATCGTGTACGAACAGTTTCCGAATCCGCTTTCACTCTTCCGATTCCTCCATCCCCATTACGTGATCAAACTGCTATCCCATTTGAAATCAATGTCCCCGAAGATGTCGATCGCACGACCAGCAGGTGACTCATAACGCAACTCGGCATGGCAAATAGGGTCATGTGCTGTCATGGTTAGCACATGAACAGGTACAGCAGTAGCAACTTACTTGATACTTTCACGACAACTTTATGCGCAGCATGACTCTTTCGACTATTCCATCGCCATGGGAAAACTCCAGTTGTTGCAAATAGCGTGAAGCACCACTAGGCGGACAAAAATTTCCTCATTGGGATAACTGCTCCATGGGATCGACGGTAGAGACCATGTAGCCAAACTTCTGCAAAAACTGGCCGTCGGTGCTGCTTTTACCATTCCCTTGTGCGTCCGTTTCTTCGGCAGCAGAGGTGGAAAACGACGCTCTTTTCCAGGCACTAATTCCATTCTCTCCACCGGCGCTCCCCGCTTCCTCACCGTCCTCGCCATAGTAATTTCCGCGCACTTTCTTGTGAAAGACCCGCGTTTTCCCGGTCACCTCGGCGGTAATCCCGCCCTGTGGTTCCCTCCCTGTGCTGCTCGTCGCTCCGTCCTTGTTGCGCACGGCGACCCCCACCACCGTGCTGGCGGGCTTCGCCTGTTGGCCGTAGGGACCGAGGGCGAAAGTAGGCTTGGCACTTGTTCCGTCGTAATTGTCACCGGAAGAGGACGACGAAGAGGAGCCAGAGGTCGACGCGCGCAAAGCTGCTTTCGAAGTTGCTGGCATGGAGGTCTTGTGATTATCGTTCTTCCAGAGCGCGGTCGTGGGGCGCAGCTTCCAGATCGGCAATGCGGCGGTGCGCTGCAACGACGTCCGGAATATTACGGGGCTCGATCTTCTTTGAGCGATTTTGCGGATGGCTTCTACGCTGATAGAGAAGCTTGTCAGCACGGAGGGCAGACCGCAAAGAAAAAAACGCGAGAACAAACGCATGATAGATGTTGGCTGTGACGAGAAGGAATAAATTACGAGCTAACACAGCACGGAAAAAGCGCAAGCTGGCACTAAGTAATCGCAATCACATCCTTGTACAGATTACACAACCACCAGAAAAGGCTTGGAAAACCTCGACGATCAGGTTCAGGTGGATCTTTTAGGCTTATTACGACTCCTTAACGACAACATCCATCACAGAAACACAGTGGGAAGAAGCAAAAAAAGTTGACCCCAAGGTGAAGATCAGAAGCGGGAAATCTACTTGTTGTAGTGCTGGACCGCAAAGGGAACACACTCGTGTGCTGGCTGTCACCAGCAATGTGCCCCGCGGCCCAGCGGCGAGGACCACAGCGGTCCTTCACTCTTAGTCCTTGTGTGATTTTTCTTTCTGTTTCTTCGCACCAGAAACCTTGCGCGAATCTTCTTCGAAACGTCAACACACGCGATGAAACGAAGGCGAAACATACCAAAATGATGACTGATGCGTGGTCATGTTGCAATCTCTGCAGCAATTAGCATCGAATCGAGCCCTACCAGGAAGTCAGATCTCGTTGATTCCAGAAGCTGCTCTATCAAGTACTTACTCCACAACACCATCATCATCAGCCAACGACCGCTACAGCGATTCTGATTCCCCGGAACTTGATGGCGGCTGTCTCCCTGGCGCTCCGTTTGTTCCTTCCGGACCTCCCAGACCGTTTGCTCGTCCTGTCGGCGTGTTCTGCTCATCTCCCAGCGTCGCGCCGTCTATGGGTAGCATGTCACCACCAGCACCAGCCGCCGCAAGTGCAACATTGCCGGGCCCTATAGTACCAAGGCCACCGCTCTGACGACCTCCAGTTCGTGGTCCCCCCGGAGGGGGCGGCGCATTATTGCTACCATCTACTTCCCCCGCCGTCGCCACCTGCTCGCCGTCCTCGCTGCCGCCCGCGGGCGCGACGCCGGGCGGCCGCTGTTCTGCTGTTCCTCCACCTTCGTTGCCGCCGTTATTTGTCCCGTTTGCGGCCGCCAGCTCGCGCTCCGCTTCGTCGTGTACGTAGCCGCGGATCACGACGCCGCTGTTGCGGTAGTGTCCGACCGCGTGCTCGTAGCTGTCCCAGTGGATTTCGCCCGTACGTGGATCGATGTGGTCGTGCGGGTGATGGCCGTAAAAGTAGCGGTAGGCGGGCTTCAGGATGCAGAATTCGAGGAACAACGCGAGAAGAACCGCGACGACGACATCCGGTCCGAGCTCGTGCAGAAAGTAGTAACGCCACGAATTGTCCTTTTTCGTTTGGAAAATCGCCTTTTCCTCGGCCATGTCCTGCCGGGTGGAAAATCGAGAGAAAAAAGTCAAAGTGATGAGCCAAGGCTGATGGATACGCAACACTTTCGAGAAGTACAATCATGAGCTGGATTTGTATAGCAAGGCTTGGTGGCAAATTCAATATCAGCAGCCGTGGTGGAAGTGCTGCAACTTCACTGCTTGAATAGAAAGGCTACGACTACAGGCCCTACATCCACCTCTACGGAAGTCGAAGTACAGGTCTTCCTTGCCTCATCAAATAATTTGGACTCTTCCATAGCTCCTTGTCGATGCTCTCCCTCCTTTCCATTTCGAGCGAAGTCATCTTACCCTGCCGCGCCGAGTATACAATGCAAAAAGGAGTCATGTTCATGTGAGGCCGGAACCAATAGCATGACCTAGACCTCCTACACACTGCAAGAGAAAACCGGCGTCACAAATAAAATCCTTGCAGAAAAAAAAGCAGTAGCAGTACGGATCTCATCTTTCTAATTCATTGTTCTTGACAGTGTATTTTTTATCCCGTTTTTTTTACATGATTAAATCGCATTGCATATCATCGCCACCCGAGCATCGAAGACAATGTTGAAGATCAGCGGATTGTAGGGGGACCTGATTTATATTTTTTAGATAGGGTGCATTTTCACATGAAAAGCAGATGGACAAACTTTGTCCACAGGGTTCTGCTCACGTGGATACTCAACCGCGTTGCAGGTGCAGCCCTCGTCCGATGTGAATTTCTCGCTACCTATTCGATTTTCCTTTTCGTTCCTCCGCTCCCACGATCGATAACCTACCCTACTCTACAACAGAAAAATAAACAAATATCGATACTGCACGTAGCATTTCCCAGTGGGGGGTTTTTCGACATTGAGCAACCCGTGCTCGAGCGTGAGTTGCGTGTCTAGCACCTTGAACCCCTTGGTACCGCTGTATCAAGTGCAAAAATGTCTGGGTCTGGAAAAGTGTAAACTTGTCATGCAGATTTTCCATGACTCATGAGGTCTGGGAAGCGGGACTTAGCATGACAGACTTTGGGAGGTCTCTGCCATGCCCATCCTGCATGAGAAGCTCCCTTCCAATTTGGTCAAAAGTGGACAGCTTTTGGCACTCATGCAACACAGATTTTTGCATGCTTCAGATTGACCATGACAAGTTTCCACCTTCCAGACCCAGACATTTTTGCATTTGATACGCTGTAGACCTTGGCGATTTCCAGTTTGCACCAGTTCTCGGTGTCGGTGACCCACAGGTCCACCATACGCTTGTCGTACCACGTGACCCCACTCAAATCGGTCCCGTTATGGGGGTGTCAGGATCGAAGTCGACAAAGTCGAAAAATTTGTAATGCATAAAATGTAGAGCACGTAAGGCCTGTGTTGGGGAGCAGGCAAATGAGACCGATTGCAAGCCTGTTTAGGGGAAGGCGATGCGCTGCTGGAGTACCATGACAGGAGCAGTCTTCTTTGCCGAAACAGCATGACAGCCTGGATTTTGGTGCTCCCGAAATTTGTCATGCGCCACTTCGAAACTGAGGCTCCAACTGGTATCGATTTTATGCATCACAAATTATTTCGATTTTGTTGATTTCGATCCTGACGCTTCCATACCCGTTCAGGTGGAAATACAGGGCGGTGCGCTGTAGAAACTGCTCGACCGATTGCGGGCCGTGGTTGTCAAAATTCATGTCCTTCTCGTTCGGCGGAAGCGGGTAGCCGAATGGGTTATGCGAATGAGTGAACAGCTGGAAACAACGTATTAGACGCTTGCTGTTTTCATTAGACGCTTGCTGTTTTCAACAATCAATTTATCTTTGCTGGCACGAGGACGGCACGAGAAGATTAATTTTTATATCTATGCAGTTGCTTACCCAAGTTACAGGATAGACTGCCATTATCTAGATGCTGATCTTTCTTTTCGACAGTCGTATTTAGAAGTGTCGGAAACAACAAGAGGACAAAAAGATGATGATGTGTTCCATTTTCATTCCATAAACGTCAAATTTCGTCAAGTCCATGAGGTCGGGTGTGGTCGTGGTAGAAGCCGTATGGAGCGGAAATAAAGTGCGCAGCAATGCCTTTCGAACAAAGAAAAAACTTTCTCGCAAGAGGGCCACGCCGTCAAAACGTGCAAGAACAGAGAGGTGTCGACTCTTGATTATGCGTAGCCACATACCAAATAAATGCGTGCCAAATCCATTGCCACTGCCCCACTAATTTTCCTGCTTCGTAAGAGGACGTACTCCTCTCGGCTGTACTCGCCGTCGCCCCGTCGTCCCCCGTCGTGGTGAAGTGCTCGGCTATGTGCTGCTCTCTCTCCATAACAACCGACGTGGTTTCGCCATCGTCTTTATTGTTACCGCTCGCCGCAGTTTCTCTCTCTCCCACCCCGCTCTTTCGCACCTGCTGGCTAGTACCAGTGCGTTGTTCCCTGCTGTTCTTATGCCGGCTGTGTCGCCGATCCTGGCCGAGCTCCATCGTGCTGCTACCAGTTCTTCCGGATGAAGATGCTTGTTGACCACCACCAGCATTACGACGCCGCACGACGCCGTGCTCGACGACGTCCTTGATGCTGGAGAGGGTGAGGAGGGACGCGCAACGGGGTGATTCGACCGCGGTCTTCATGGCTTGTACCGCGTGCTGGCCGACGCTGCGGAAAAACTCCACAATGCACTGCTTCTCCGCCGGGGTCAGCTGCAGGTTATGCGGTGCAAAAGCATCGCACTCGTACTAATCCTAATAATAATTGCAACTATGCATGACAAATCTTGTCCTTAAGGTAAAACAGCATGGCAAAATCCAGTTCTCATGCTGGGAAAATTTGTAATGCCTTTCTACAAAGTACGATACTTTTGCAATGCATACAGGTAGTTCGGCGACAAATTTTCTTGAAACGCGTGCTGCAGGTGGTCCGCAGCGTCCTTGTGGCCAATGTCAAACCACTCCAGGTAGGTCGTGATCTTCTCCGGAACCGGGTCGACGCGGTTGGGCTGGGCGGCGACGAATAATAGGTGGCCGCCGAAAGTTGTGTGTATTCCCTCTTGCTGCAGCCATGGCTTATGTGGAGTCGGCTGGAAGAAAACCAGCGAAACGAGAAAACGTGCACGCCGGAGAGAGGAAACAGGGACGGCCATCATCTGCGAGCTTTATTTACTTCTTCTGCAATTTTGACGCTAAACGCTCGTGCCATTTTCCTTCCTGTTCTGCTTGTCGTTCGTGGGTAACTGTAACGGAACGATTTCAGCTTGATTGCCATTCATCTCTCATCAACAAAACACAACCTAGTACGAATGCGTCGGCCTCACTTTGCCAGCTCGACACCGAGGCGACCGCTCTCCGTTAAAGCCATCACATCTGCTCTCAACAGTAGCCAACACATGCTCTTGTTGAAGACTCGTAAAAGCTACGTGCTACGTGCATGCGTCCCGCATCCACGAACGAACGAAAGCGAACATCGTCATTTGTTTCACATGCTGCAATTTGAATTTTGATGTATAACGTACTGTAATACAAACACGAGGATTGATGCTTCATTTCAAGCGCCGTCTCATTCGCCGGGTTCGGAGCCCACCACGCCCCACAAATCGACTCCCATCTGCTCGAAAAGCTCAAACAGGTCCAACATGACCCAGTTTTCAAACAACAAAAACTTCTTCTTGGACAATGAGCACAATTCAGCGCTTCCGCCCCGCGCTTCTTCTTTTTCCGACGCAGGATTGCTGTTGCCTTCCTCACAATAATCCTTCCCATCCGCCACACGCCAAAAGCTGAAATCGCGCATGTTCAGCGGATTCTTAGTTGCCTCCACCCCGAGATACGGCCCTAACTGTGTCGCGTAAATCGAGGGCCAACCGCCCGAGCAGATGTAGTTCCCGTCCGCGATGCGTACAAATTGGTGCCCGCCCTTCCGGTCGGGCACGCCCTGGAGGAAGGGTTTCTGGTGGAAATCTTCGAACTCTTTTAAGCCGACCGCGGTGCCGATTCCCGCCGGACCGTACCACCGCATCCGCTCCGCGTCCCAGTACCTCGCCATGCCCATTTTTTTGAATTTTTGCTCGTCGACATCTGCAGCCGCAACTACCTTGTGCGTGGCGGCCAGGCCCTTGTAGCACATGGTCTCCACGAGGTCGAGCGACGTCTTCGTCGCTTGGAAATACTGGGCGAGCGAAGCAGCTGTAGTATCGTTTTCGTGCACCTCGGATTGCGTACTACTAGGCTGCTGCGGTGAACTGTGTAAGTCCACGTCAACGACCACATTCGTCTTTTCGACTTCTTCAGTGTTGTTGACCACTTGTTCAGCATATTGACCTGGCGCGACGTGCGTCGTCGGTGTCGTGGTCGACGAGCTACTGCTCACATGGCGCTTCAGCTGGTCTTGGTGCCCGTCCCCGCGGTCCAGTTGGATTCCGAAAAAGACATCTTCGCTTCGAACTTGCACGGCTACTTCCTTTTCCGCATCTTCACAGCCCTCTTCTCCGCCACTGGAACTACGAATAACCTTATTGTTCAGAAACTCCACCGGCCGCAGACCCCCAACCGGCGACAGCTGTGCTCCCAGACAGCCCCACGCTCCCTGGTTCGCGTCCTCGAGTTCGAGGCCGAAGAGCTGGCGGAGGAGGTCCCAAACGTCGAGAAGCAGAAAAACTTCTTCGATTCGGTCAGATGCTAAACACTCGCGATCTGGTGTTTTATCTTCCTCGTCCTCGGCAGCTGCAGCGTCCCCGCTCGCAAACCGGGCGTGCACCATGAAACGCAGGTGTGCTTCCCGTGGCACAACTGGCGTTCCGAAATCCTGCAGTTGTTCTTCGGTGTTTTTATTGTGGTTCATCTGTTTCTTGTTTATGTTCCGAAGAAATCTTGATTTCGAAACTTTTTTCCCCAGGAGCCACGTCGACAGACCGGTGAGAAACGCATCGACTTTGCAGTCTTGTCGCTCGTCAAAAGTTGCGGTGGTGGTCTCTGCTGATTCTAAAGGAGGAGCATCTACTTCCAAAAACCGTTGGTCAAACTGCAATCGCCAGGAGCCGCAGGCCGAGGCCCACAGGTCGGAGGAAGCCGGTGCTTTACTTCCCGAAGAAGATGTAGTGTTGTTTCGTCCTTCATGTTCTTCACCCGCGTGGTCGTGCCTCCTGTGCTGCGTCCCCGTGAACACTTTTCCCGGGTCGATGCCGTATTCGGGCGGGTTGCAGTGTATTTGGTCCCAGGTGTCGTACTCGCCGCCGAGCAGCGCGTGCAGCGTCAGCTCCGCACACTCTCCTTTTTCCAGCAAATTTGCTAAAGGTATTGCGAAGTGACTTTGGTACTCGGCGACGCCGGTGAGAGTGTTCCAGGGTTGAGACAGGTTGAAGGTCGCTGGCGGGGGCGCGGCGGTGCTGTTGACGTCGCTCTTCTCGTCGTACTTTGGCTTTCCCGGTTCAAATTTTTCCAAGTCATCGCCAAGGAACAAACCTTGTGACTCCGCTGGAATAGCCGGAAATTTCCGCAGGTACCGGTCCAAAAGGATCCTTTTGCGCCGGGAGCGTGCAGCGTGCAGCCTGGCCTGCGCTGCCACGTCGGTCGGAAAGCGGGGATCGTCGGGGAGGGGGCGGGACCGAGGTTTCTCGGCGCCGGCGCAAGTAGAAAGCTGTCCGTCTGACATTATCTTCACTTCACTCTCGGAGAAAGTGTCGTTTTCGGGGAAAAAAACTTTGCCTTTTCTACGGAACGGCTTTGATCCCAAAAAGCAATTTAAACCAGATCGAGTTGCACTCTCTCCTGTTTGCACAAAAACTACAATCAAAGATCTGAGATCTCCTCTTTTCACGGAAGATCTTCGGCTGCGGTTGCAGAAAGAAAATTGCTTTCAATAGCAAAGAACAACACGTTATCACCGTCCGGCGCTAACACAAGGCTTCAAAAAATCATCTCTGTTTCTATGCAGTTTCTTTCACCGCCCATCAGTGCACCAATTCAAATGATTCCGTGCACTGTGTGTGAATTTACGCACGCGTCTCGGCCTCCAGCCTCAGCAAATGCAAATGCCCCTGGCACCTTGCGAAATCACTTCCTCAGAGGCAGAGGCAGAGGTGTCAGCCCAACTATCGACCGTCGTTTGTGCAGAACGAGTGCAAAAAACCAAGCATGCTGGCGTCGACGGGGCCGGAAGAAGAACATGGCGGGCCACCGCGGGTCATGCGCCAAATTACGCACTCCTCATTCGGAACGACACCCATGCGGACCGCAGTTCTGTAGGTGTGATGAAAAAGAATCATGATTCATCGATGCGGTAAATTCATTATATATTGGAGTGCAAGAACTTCCAAGTGCAAAAATGTGAATTTCAGTTTCACATCGTAGCAATGCAACAAAATCGATCAAATCAAAACTTACCGGGTATCTTCCACATGTCCCGCTTCACAGATGTCCTTTGCTTTCTGCTGCCCAGTCGCTTTATTCTGCAACCCTGACGTCATCCTATCAGCTGCTCCTCCAAGCCGCGCATCATGATTTAGAGCTTGGACACCCGTTAGAATTTTGATGGGTGATTTTTCAGTGATTTTAGGGCTATACTCTCAAGCATGGCGCCGAAAAAAAGACGCCTCATTGCCTTCAGAAGATTTCTTTATTTTTGTCCCTGAGAGCAAAGGAGAAGATACCAACAAGAGGAGACAAAGGAGGGCCAAGATACAAGCGCCATACCATCGGCATTCCAGGCAAAATTTTCAAAAATTCAGAAGGCAAAATGCGCAATTTCTAATGCGGCGAGCGCTCTCAATTTTTGCGCTGCTTTTTTCGACACACGAGACCAAAACTGACGTCGCTAAGCCTTGCCGATGTCCCTACTACCACCGGGATTGGCACTTTTTCGATGCGAATTCTACCAGGCCAAATCGGCAATTTCCAATGCGGGTTGGGTTTGGATTTTTTTCCGTCCGGATGTTGGTGATTTTAGCGGTGACTTTAGGGTGACTTTATGGCGACTTTACGGGTTGCGTGCCGGCAAACTGCACGCTATGGTCGATATTTTGGCTCCAAAATTGAGAGCCAAAGCATCTTTTTTTGTTGTAAAGTCACCAGCAACTTTTGAACAACTTTTTTGAGCCGCAAAACAACTGCTTTTTCATGATGACGCCGTAGCGTGCGGTTTAAAATTATTTCCGATGGCGCTCTGTGTTTTTTTTTGGCTGGCCTTTTGCAACATCCACGCACAAAAACGACGAAGCAAATTCACCAGCGAACAGAGAAAAGCACAGTGGTGCTGAGAGCATGCTCTTCTGGTGTTCCTCGCGATGTTTTTGCGACGTTTTTTTTTTTTCAAAATCCACCCGAAAAACATCGCCAACACAATGCAGCGCCCGCCTCAATTCCTTAGCCTACTTAGGCAAATACTCACCACACGCCTAGAGCAGGCACGCATCGGCGAACTCGGAAAATTAAAAACCTAACGCGCCCCCTTCCTATAAAATCACTATAAAATCGCCCGCCTCTTTTCTAACGGCCGTCCAAGCTGTAAATCATGATCCACCTTCTTCTTCGAATTCTTGCTCTGCGCCAATGTCCGTTGGCTGACCGCAACCACCCGCTTGAGCTCCGTTTGCTTCACTCGGTAGACTTCCTCAAAAGAAAACCCATACGCATCCTCCGCCAATTTCCGAAAGTCGTTCAGTGGGGGTTTGTAGTCTGGAAATCTTGTCGAGTTTGCCCACAGAATCTGCACCGATTTTTTGCAGCACTTGTTGTTCTCCGAACTAGTATCCAGTAAGAGTTTCAAGGTGTCCAACAAAGGCTTGAACAGGGTCGGAAAGTACACCACTTCGGCCATCAAAATGTAGTCGAGGTCCCGACACGCTGCGGACAAAACCGCTTTGATTTCCTGGTCGGCATACCAGTTCGCCGCCACCGCCCTGACGTTCGTGTTTTCCAGGTTGCCGTGCATGTTCTGCACCACCAACAGGTCGTCCGTCGCCACCGCGTCGTGCCCGTAGGCGGCGCAGACCTGCGCAATCAGGGCGCACACGCCGCAACCCAATTCGAGAAACCGCAGCTGCTGTTGATCCTTCATTGCGTCCGCGGGGGCTCGGGGTAGTGGTTGGGTGTCGGTTTTGGTTTGTTTCTTTAGCTGTTCCTGTTGTTGTACCACCTCCTCCGATGAAACATTTCTACCTGTTGTAGAAGGCAAGCTCAGCGTGCTTGAACTAGACGAGGAGCTTCCACCAATTTTTGCATTTGCCGCGCCTCCTGCTAGTACAGTAGAAGAATCCGCCGTGGACTGTGTACTGTTGGTGTCGTCCGAGGATGCTGGAGGACAGCGGTTTATTCCAGGTCCCTGTTTGTTTGAATCAGCGGCAAGAACTTCTGCTGCACCAGATTCTGGATCTTCCTCTCCGATCACCAGAACGGGGTTGATGTCGTGTATCTCCAACCCTGCTCCGAAGGGTGGCGAAGAAGAAGACGACGCTGCCGTGGATTTTGTGCTTAGTGTAGCCAGGTGGTCCGGCGAGGTTGTTGTACTCGGCTGAGATGATGAGCCTTTCTTCCTAGCTAGTTCTGCATGCTGAGCACGACCAAGACTTCCAGGGAGCAAAATCGTTTTCTCTACGAAGTCCGCGAGCGCAAACGCCGCTGGCCAGAGCTCGAAACCCACGCCCTTCGACGGGTAGTATTCCAGCTCGAGGAAAGGCGGTGACGAGTTATCATTTGATGCTGGCGCCTCGCCCTGTTGGGATTTCTCATCCCCTTCCAACGGTGGTTGAGGGTTCTGGCTTTCTCCTAGCAACGGGTAACGAAAGGACACCCCCTTACCGGGTTCAACGGACGACGTAGCACCCATCCTGGCAGTGTGAATGTCGTAATCCAAATCAACCGACGGCGAAAGATATTCTATGAGCATAGAAATGGTTTCTGTCTACTTCTCTACTGAATGTGAATCTGATGTATGACGAGTATTCCTTCTTCCTCGTGTCTGTGACACGACAAACTACACACACTTTGTTTTCACCCAGGAGTGCTTGTTCCCTCTTGTAGGCAGATGCAGCAAGAGGAACCACCCAGAAAAACTAGTAAGTACCCAGTCTACTTGCGTTAGGAATAGCTGTACTTTGCCCTTGTGAAAAAACATCGAGAAACTTCTGTACCAGACACAGACAACCTTCTGTAGCGGAACCGCTCCTTTCCATCCGCCGCAGGAAATGAAACGGCGGTCGACACCGGTACTTCCTTCGATGCGGTTGTTCTTTTTGATGAAAACAAGTAGGCGCGGTCTGTTAGCAGATGAGTTTCAGGAAGTCAAAGTAGTTGCGTCGCTGGTGACTCAGTAAAAAAGTATATAGATGCAAGCCACGGCAAATAGGTTTTCTTTTCTATCCTAGACGTTGTGTCACCGTGCTGTTTTGCGTTATTGTGAAGGTCGTGTTGCTTGGTTTGCAGAAAATAAAGACGAAGATTTCGTGAAAGAGCTAAGAACGAGGTGGAGCGTGCGAAAAATCTCACATTGCCCAAGATACACGTTAGAAACGAAGTCGCGAGTCGCGGTATCTTTGTAAATGCTATAATTTTGAAAAGTTTTTATTCTCGTGGTCGTACAAAATTGCTGAAAAATGGTGAGTACAAAATTGCCAGCTCTACAAATTAGAATTCTATACGGAAATGAAATGAAGCGCTCCAAAGAAAAAAGGACCATAAATCATGCACGTTTTGGACAGTTGTAGTACGGATACCTATAGTTGTATGTTTTGGAAAATTCTTCGGCCAGTTCTTGTCTGCAGTTGTCGCCTAAATTGGTCGGCCCATTTGGCTGTGAAAGTGTTGACGCAACTACAGACCGAGACCAAATAAAACAACCGTTTTTACGTTGTGTTTCCGCGGCTTCTTCAGACCCCTGGTGGAGCGCCTAGACCGTTTTCTCCACCCCACTCCGAAATCACGCCGAAGGAACTATCTTTGTTCTCAGCGAGGTCGTGCGCCAAACTGGCCGTGCTGATGCCAGCGATCTCGTCCCCTGTGCAGCACATCTTCAAAGAGCACGAGATCCACGGCTGGTGGTTGCAAAGCGCTTCCCGTCCGAAGTTGTGCGCGTAGGCTACCGAATCCTGGAGGGTGGTGGCAAGAAACTCGTTCACGGTGCGAGCCGCTGTTCTCTCCGCTCCAAAAGACGGCAACAGGGAGGATGAAAAAGAAAATGGAAAACACAAATTCGAATTTTCTACGGAAGATAATCTACTTCCGGCGAGGGACGCGACGCCGCAACAGGACGCAGCTGCAGCGGCTAGTGCGGCGGTGGTGGCGAGAAGTGGCGGCGGGCCCGGTCTACTGCGGAAGAGTTTGTTCATCTTGTTGCAAGGACCTATACAGGTCGTGGGTGAAGCAGCTGGCACGAGGACCTCGGAAGTAGTTGCATCAGTTCCTCCAACGCAGATAGGAGCGCCGCGATCTTGTTCTACTCCGCTGTTCCTGCTATTGTCGGCGGTGGTTTCGGTTTCCTTCGAGCACGATGAAGAGCCCATTGATGTCGTTGTAGACGAAGCGGAACTTTCGCTTGTCGTTGTTCCCCGTCGGCAAAAACAACAGCATTTTTTACCGCGCTTGATGTTCATCTTCGCACCGACGTCTTCCCCGGGCTTTGGTGTACAACTAGTTTTCTTCCTGCGCCACGAGAAGATGGACTTCCTTGTCGTTTGCTTGTCATCATCCTCGCTATCGCAGTACAGGCTGCGCAGCTGGGACCCGTCTACTTTCGCTGGCGCTTGTTGTTGTGGTTCGGAAGAATGATGATCCCCTGCTGGTACCGTAACCGATGTACTAGCCCGCTCTTCACTGTTGGAGGCGGTGCCACAGCACTCCACTTCACCGAGATCTACATCATTTTTGTTCTCCTCGTCGCGACAAAGCGGCGTCTGTTCCGAACCTGGTGTTTCCGTGTGATCTTCAAGGGGCGGCTCCTTGTTTGTCATGAGCTTGGTGATCTCGTGCTCGCCGTCTTTTATGAAGGATGCTGCCTCGACGTCCAGCAAACCGAGGTTGTTCATTCCTTGGCACAATGCGTTCACGACGAACTCCTGATCGTCACTCGGTGTCGGTGCTGCCGTGCGGAACAAAACTTCGTGCTTGTCGTTTGCCGGAGACATGTGACCGTCACCTTTGCTCATGTCGAACCTGGATATAGAAGGTTTAGGTTAAGGTTTATTTCGGTTTCTTTTTTCTTCAATAATTCGTGAGTAGATACCTCCTACGATCACTTCAAAAACAGGCTCGTGGGTGCGATCGCGGTCAGTTTATGTTTTTGTTTATCAGCAAGATGCGACGACAAGGAAGAGGAACAAGAGCAAAACAAACCAAAAACAGTCCGTACTAACTTACACTTGCAACACAGGTGGACGAGGTTTATTCGCCTTCGCCTCGTCTTTCCCGTCCGCCGCACCCTCGTTGTTCTTGAACTTGATCAGGTCCTCCAGTCCAGCTAATTCTACCTCCTGACCGGTCGTCGTCTGAACACCCGGCGGCGAATCCGAATCGGAATCGTGTTGCAACGGTGGTCCTCCCGGTAAGAGCTTGTTGTTCTCATTGTGGTCTACTTTCATTTCATCACGTAGTTCACCACCGGCTTCCTGCAGCTGCCCTTCCTGCTCCCCGTCGGATAAGGAATGCTGTCTTGACAAGACCAGTGGTCTGGCCACCAACCACTCGGCGTCATCGTCCACCGAGGGTGTGGTGGCGTTCACATTCCCCGCCCGCTCCTCCTCCTCGTCGTCCAGTGTCATGTCGAAAAGTTGGCTCGCGCCGTTTTTTGCCGCTATTTCTGGAGTCGCGTACAAAGAGTTCTTGTTTTTCCGGTGATCCTGTGCTTCCGGGGAGGAGGTTGAAGAGGACGCCTCAGTTGGTGGGACGTTGTCTTGATGCGGCGGCTCTTCTTCAGAACCTTCGGTCACCTTAACGTCGGTAGAAGTGGAGTTGGCGCTTGCTGCTTCGTCGTTCGTCGTGCTCGGTGGATCCAACAATATCGTCGTGAAACCAGATCCAGACGGCAGAGCGATCGGCTCGTGGTCGACGTGAAGGTCCCCCGCAACTTGCTCTTCCTTTTCGTGAAGAGCAGCCTCGCGGGATCGCGTGTCCTCACTCCCTTTTCCGCCGTTTTCCGTCTCATCGTCATCTTCGTCTTGCAGACCTTCACCTGACGCAGCAGCTTCCCTTTCCGCTGTTCTTTCCTGCACGCTCGCCTGGCTCGCCTCCACTACGGATCGGAACTGCTCTTGCAACGCCAACCTCCGCTGCATCACGTCGCGAAAGGCCTCCTGCCACTTTTTCTGCGCAGCTGCTTTGGCCTCGTCCTGCAGATCCTGCGCTTGACCAGGTGCACCTTGCTTTTCGGCATCATCTTCGGATGAAGTAGTCCTAGAAATCTTTTCACGTCTTTTTTGCTTCAAGGTGTTGACGTCGCTGCTCTCCTCAAGATCCACTTCGCTTTCTTCCCCATCCCCGCCACCAGCACCACGACCACCTTCCGCGCTCCTATTACTTGCTGCCACAAGTAGATTCGACGGAGGTGCGCCTTCTAGTGGCGTCAGGCTCGTCAAGTAGGTTGGCAAGAGGTGCAAAGCGCCGCCGCCCAACAACATAGGGTGCATTTGCAGGATTGAAGGTCGCGGCCCGCCTGCTCCGGAGGAAGAACTCAATGTAGACGCCTGCCTGGACATGGGCGTAACGGCTGACGCGGCTGCGTCTAAGGTTTCGTTCCGATTGTTTCCCTCCGCGCCGAGGTTAAATCCGTCACTCGACGATGGTGCGCCGGTCTCGTGGACTTCCGTCGGCGGCTGCGCGTCAACAGGAGCATCACTTGAAGACAAACTCTGAGAGCAAGTGCGCGGAAGGAGTGGAACAACTTGTGATGCATTTTTCCCAGCAGCACTTGGAGGTGTAGCGGTAGAAGAAGAGCACGGTTGTTGTAGCAAGTCGGCGGTTCTTGAGGACGAGGCCGTGGTGCTCAAATCCGAAACGCTGGTCCAGCTGCGGGACAGTTTGTTGGCGAGGTTTAACAAAGACCGAGCATCGGTAGTCGTGGAGGTGGTGCTTACAATGAGCAGCAAATGCAGGAGAGAGCTGCGGGAAGATTGTAACATGTTGCTAGCCTTGTGAATAAATCGTGTAAATGTAAAAGTAAAACTAGGAGGTGGTGATGCGCAAATAAATAGGTTATAATTAGAGATTGTTCGGATGCAGACTTGTTCCGAAGGCTGGACTCAGAGAGTCGTTCACAATCACAACACCGACTAGGCTACCTACAAGTGTGGGGGACGGCGAGCAGTAGAAGATGAAGAGCCTCACGTAACAAAAAAAATTGAAAAGATTCGTATCACCTGTTTACAACGTTCAACAGCACAAAGACGGTATCGTCCTATATTGAGGTTGACGATGACCACAAAACGAGCTTTTAAGTATATGAACTTCTACTTTGACTTTTGTACATAGCGACCGGCTCGAACAACTAGAGCTGCAGAGCTGACAGAGGAACAAGGTCTGCCGCAGCCCCTTCATGGTGGTGCACACGACCAAGGGCCGTGTTCAATGACATTCAGATTCATCCTGCGTGTCGTTCTTTCTTGCATCGTAAAATCCTCAACTTCATCAGTTACATGCATGCATACGTTCTACTTCCTGGTATCGTCCTTCTTCTCAGGAGCATGAGCAAATTTTTCCTTCGCGTTCTTGCTATTCCTCCAGCTGTACAGCGCGGTTTCCAGCAAAGGCACTAATCTTTCTGGGTTTAAAATCACGGCGGAGTCCCGACCGGGTTCGGAGTTCTCGAACTCGCTCCAGGAAAACACTTGGTATCGCATCTTCTTCACGTGCGGAAAGTGCTGCCACAGCTCGTCCTCCATGCCATTCGGACAGCCGAGACACTCGCCCATGTGGTTCCCGAAACGGAGTTTGTCCTGGATTTTCAGCCAGAAACTGGAACTGCGGAGGGCGTTGAAATTGTCGTTCTCTGTGGATGTTGGTCGCGGCAGCATTGTCGCAGCTCTCTCTTGTCCTCCCGCGCCAGCGATCTCCGCATGGTCACCATTTTGCACGAATGCCCGAATCTTCGCGTTTTCCTCCTGTGAGACCTGCGCACCGTGGCCCCACGGTCGGAACAGCAGCGCCATGAGAGAGGAGAAGGGTCGTGCGAAAAACCCGACGGGGGCCTGGTAGGTGGGGAGAATGACGAAACTGCCCTTGGGAAGGAAGGGCAGGATGGTGGAAATGCCCCCCGACGGCGTGATTAGCACGGTCGTTCGGAGGAGTAATTGCAGCTGCGCTCTGAATGTCGGCAGGCGCCACGACGTGCGGCAGATAAGGCTGGGTGTACTATCACTCTGCTGCACCTCCTCTGCCCGAGAGCCTCCTCCAAACGCGAGGGTCTTCTCGAGCTCCAGTCCTCTCTCCCTCACCGCTTTCGCGATTTGCGCGAAGTTGTGGAAGCCGCGCTTGCCGTGTTTTTCCACCAGGACGACTTTTGGTTTTTCCGGTACGAAATTCGGGTCCAGCTGGTGCCACAGAAGCAAACTTCTGCGGAATTCGTGCAACAACGAGGTTTTCCCGGCGTTCAGCTCCGTGGAATCAAAAACCCCGTTTCGGCCGGGGAGGACGAGGTTTTCGAAACAAATGTAGCGGAGATTTTTGCCAGTTGGAGCCGACGACGTTCCGGGCCCAGCTTGAATAAACTGCTTTTCCATCGTCGCCAGCAGGGACGTGAGGTCGACAAAGTGCCCCGGCCGCAACCCCGTGCTGCTGGTGAAGTTGTGCATGGTACCGCCAGGCGGTGATGGAGGTTGTACAACTTCTGAAGCGCCGCCAGCAGCACCCGTAGAAGAAGTTGTTCTTGATGTGCTCGCAGTTGTACTCTTTGCCAACAGATGCGCACCGAAGGCGTGGCGAAATTTGTGGCAGATCTTGGCGCGTCCGGCGTCAAAGCCCGCAGCCTCTTCGCAGCTCTGGAGGTGGAGAAAGGAGAGGAGATGGGTTCTTGGGTCCTCTACTGCGCTAGCAGAAGTTTTCGAAGCACCATCCCCGGGGGCTGCTGCACTCTTGTTTTCCTGCTGCAACAAAACCTCGTTCATCGGTAAAACGTCCAGGGTTCGCAGCGCGGAGTAGATGCCGAACATGTCCTCCCACAGAACGTGTCCGAGGTTAAACGGGTCCGCCTGGTCGAATAACACGTGCACGCCGGGAAGCTGCAGAAACACGTCCTCGCCCTCTTTGTAACTTGCCTTCCAACCGGCCTTCTTCTCAACCCTCGGAGCAAACGAATTCGGGTACCGTGGCCGCCCTTTCGTTTTCCCGTAGTAGCTGGTCTCGATGTCTTTCTTCACCGCGGGCTTGTCGCTGAAAGCGCTGGTCGGCTTTGCTTCTAGCTTGTCGCGGAACGACCAGGTGCGAATCGGATCCTTCTCGGAATATTTGGCGGGAAAAATTTGCAATGATAGAGGACTGCGACTGGCAAGTGTAGAGCATAAGCATTCAATTCATGACGGACCGTGCTCGGGATGAAAACAAATCAAAAACCTGGTGGTTATCAAAGCGACACAGCTCATCATTGCAACCTGCTTTATTCCCGCCGATAGGATTGAACTTCGTTCTCGCCTGCAGGCTGACAAAATCGGCGAAGAACGGATCGCCCTCCTCGCGGCGGAAGCGGAACTTGCGCTGGATCCCGTACTGCCGATCGTACAACGTTGGTCGGTCCGGCTCGCCCACAAAGATAAAATCTTCCGCTTGCAGATCGTAGCACACATTGCGAAAGACGCACTGGCGCTGCTCGTTCCGACTGGTGTAGCCGCCGTGCCCAAGGATCTCGTTCTGGCCGCCGACGCAGGTCCAGTCCGATCTCGGGGGCGGCGCGGGCTTTGTCTTCGCGCCGAAAGCTTCGAGTACGTCTTCACTTTTTGGAAGAACGCCGTTTTTATTCTCGTGCTGCTCGTCTACTACGAGAGACCGGGCGGCTTGCTCGTGGCCTACAGGTTTTGTAGTTTCGTCTATCGGGCGGGCCGTCCCTGTTATCTCGCGGTCGGTTGTTTCCCCGCTCGTCGTAGAGAAAGTTCTCCTTCGCTCGCCGAGCTCTGGGCCTTTTGAAGACGAAGGGGGTGACGATGGATTCTCCTCTGCCTCCGTTGCTTTGCACATCGGCAGCACGCTGGAAAGGTCCTCGCTCGCCCGCGCGGCCAGCAGCAGCTCCGGCGTTTTCGCGGCCCTCAGCCAGTAGGTTGTTGCCCACACAACAAGCATCAGCATCGTGACGGCAACAGTTCGCGGCTTGGTTTCGACCAGACGGAGCGACATGCTCCAGCACGAAGCCGGGGCGAAAGAAGGCATCTTGGGGAGCAGGTGCACGTGTACTAAAGAAAAGCGACGAGGAACTGAAACAAAACGAGCGCAACTAAACGGAGTGGACGAGCACGGCGTACGCTGCCAGCAATGGCTTGACAGGAGCGCTCATTACCTAGTTTTTGACGGGCCGACAGTTCGTGCTGCTCAGTCTTCCTAGTCTCGCATCTCGGCCTTGATCGAATTCACCACTTCTGGCCTTCGAGGAACAGGCGTACTCCTTCTCCGCCAATAGATTCGCGATCGTGATCGACCAGCACCTCTGCAGCAGGTCAGTTCCACATTAAAAGCTTACATTTCAACAAGTTCTTTCAGTCGACGTAGGTACAGTGCATTCATGAAATTCTCCAATCCGTAAATTTGTCTTTGCGAGAAAGACGTTCAAGTCCTCTTCATTATTGAGCGGCTCCTCTATGTTGATAAAACGTAGGTTGCTTGCCGCAAAAAAGTTTTCTTCGATAACCACGGTGTACTTGGATCTCGAACTAAGTACACTCGATGCGGTTAAGTGTATGCTTCGAGCTCTCGCGCCAATCGTTGCACAGGGTGGCACTACATTTGCGTGCTGGTTTGCCTGTTACGCAAGTGCAAAGCCACTTGATCTTACAGGCCGGTTTCGTCCGCGCACGAAGCCGGAGACTGCACATTTTTGGTGCAGCTTAATTTAGATGGTGTTAACCTTGACCTTGACTTGAAAAATTGTGGACCTTTAAAACTAAAATCATAAATCCTACAGCAGGTTCCTTTGCATTCGGAATCTTTCTTGAAACACAAACATCTTCAATCTTCAAAACAGCTATTTATACAATGTTAATGATTGAGATTCGCGCGTCGTGTAGCACTAGTACTATCCATCCGAACACGATATTTTTGCTTCCCTAAACCTATTCCTTGGAGCTCTCATTTTTCTCCACGGCCGCCTTCTGCAGCATCTGCGCGAACAGACTGTCCGGCTTTGCCGCGATTTCCGCCGGCGGCCCGTGACTCTCTACCACGCCGTCCTGCATGGTCAAGACGTAGCTGTAGCACGGAATGATGCTGTCCAGCGTGTGGACGATCGACAACACACAGCAATTCGGGTTCCCCTTCGCCTCCTCGGACAAAACCGTCTGGATTTTCAGGTCCGTCGCCCGATCTAGGCTGCTCGTCGCCTCGTCGGAGATCAAAATGATGTTGTTGCCCGCCCGGCGCGCCGCGCGCACCTTGATCAGGGCGCGCGCCACGCAGAGTAGCTGCCGCTGGCCAAAACTCAAGTCGGTGGCGGTTGGGTCGACAAGGAAATCATCCAGGCCGCCACGATCCAGGACGAGTTGCTTCAAGCCGACGGTCTCCAGTGCCTCGTAGACCAGGTCGTCGTCGAGAAAGTAGGGGAGATTTTCTTTACAGTTCCCTGAGGACTCGGTCGCCGAATTCTTGTCGACGTTGATCTTCTTCGTTCCTGCCGTCGCACTTCCCTCCCCGTAATTTTCGTATTTGTCCAGTTCATTGTTCACGAAAATCTTCACGTTCTTCCGCATCTCACTGGGTACCAAGCTGTGTCTGACCGGACCGGAAAACAACAACGGATCCTGCGGCACCGCTGCGAGGTACGTCCCGCGGAGCGCGGCGAGGGCGAACTCGGAGATGTCGGTGCCGTTGAGAATCACTTTCCCCTCGTATTGATCCACTAACCGGAGCAACACCGCGAACAGCGAGCTCTTTCCGCTCCCGGTTCTCCCGACTACTGCGGTGGAAGTGCCGCCCGGTAGCTGGAAGTTCACCCCCTTCAACGCGTAGGGGTTGTGCGGCCGGTAGCGGAGTTTCACGTCTTCAAAGGAGAGCATCATGGCAGCGGGAGTCGGGCGGGGGTCCGTAGTACCAGGGGAAACCGCCGTCGCAGGAGCAGCAATTCCACCTGCGACTCCGGTGAGTAGGAGATCTTTGTCCGCGAGCTTTGCCATGGTTTTCGGGTTGATTTTTTTCTCCTTCACAGCTTGCTCCTGGTCCTCCTCACTCGGTAGCACCGTGTACTCATGGACCCGCTCGACCGACACCATCTTCGCCTCGAACTCCGTGCGCATGCGCACGCTCCAGTTGAACAAAAACGTCATTTGCATGCTGTACAGGATCACCACCGCAATCACCGGCTTCGCCAACCCCTCGTGCACGTATTCTTTCCACATTAAGAGGCAGATTGGCATATGCATGGCAAAAGTATCGCACTCCTACTCGTATAAATGCATTACAAATTTTTTCAGCATGTGCATGCGATGAAACAAAATTTGTAATGCGGATTTACCTTAAGAAAAAGATTTGTAATGCAGGACTGCAATACGAGTACGATAGTTTTGCACAGGATACGGCACTAGGGTCAGCAACACCACGGACAAGGCTTCCAACCGCACGCCCCACCACCGGTTGCCCTGGTTCATGACCCAGTAGCTCTGGTGCTGCACGTCGACCAATTCTGCGAACTTCTCGTACCACAACGCCCCCTGCCCGTGCGCCTGCAGAACGGGTAGCCCCTGGAGAAACTGGTCGAATTTTGAGAAAACAGGTGATTTGTCCGCCGCGGCGTTTCTCTGCAACAACCTCGCCAACGGCCGGAACATCTCCTGTGCCACGATAAACACGTACATGAAGAGCAGCATCGGCACGATGAAGAAGGGCGCGCCCGCGGAAATCACCACCACCGCCGTCGCGAGTTTCACGACGCACTGGAAGTAGGACTCCGCGTTCTGCGGCAATTGGTGGTCGATCACGTCAAAGTCCGCAGAACACCGGTTCAGAACCCGGCCGACGGGGGTGCTCTCGTAGAAGCTGATCTTCGCGGAGGTCAGGGCGTGGAGGAGGTTGCGATGCATCAGTTTGGAGATGGACAAAGTGCCTTGGACCAACAAGATCGCGGCGGCGTAAAAGAGGAGAACGAAGAGCAAGGAAAGGACTCCGATGACGAAGATAAACTGCACGGCCTCCTCATCCGCCCCCTTCTCGTCCGCCCACCAAGGGGACAGAAAGTCGATCGCGTTGTCATCCGCGATCTGTTCGTAAGCGGAAACAGGCGCTCCAGTGTCCGTAACATCTCGGCGTTTGTCGTTTTGCTCCCCGTACTCGGCGATGACGTACTCAATCAGCATCTTCAACAGCTATCCAAGAAAAAAGCTGCGTTAGTGTAACTTTCTTTGGCTGACAGCATGACAAATTTGCTCTACATGACAGAGAAAACCTGTCATGCGTGGCTTGTAGGGGAAAATACACATGAACAGAGGACTTCATGGTTGCCTGGCATGACAGGCGTAACCCTGTGGCATGTTCTGCATCACAGCTTTACACTTACACAGTTTTTTTCTTGCATAGCAGCGTGTGAACCACCAACGCCACGACGATCATGGAAATCGTTCCTGCCTTCGTGTTATCAAATGCAGATATGTCTGGGTCTGGAAACTTGTGATGCTGGTTGGCGAATCAAGAGAACGCCAGAAATGACGGCTCAGCATGACAGATTTTGAGTCCTCGCTAGGTGTTGCCTATTCTGCATGATAAACTGGGTTTTTGCATGACACAAAAGTGGCACTTTTGGGTACCTTGCATGACAGACTTGACAGTCATGCTGGCAGCGCATGACAAACCCCAACCTGGCACTTTTGCAGACCCAGACACTTTTGCAATGCATACGTGTGCGCCGCCAGCCAGACGTAAAAGCGGAAGGGGACCGCGCCGGCGCCCTTGGACTCGATTTTCTCCTTTTCTTCCTTTTTCTTGCTATCCGCCGCTGCCTTCTCTTCCTCGGTGGTCATCAGATTCACGTCTTCCAAGGCGGACCGGTTCTTCGCCTCCGGCGAATTCGGTGGACTGGACTCCGGGCTGATCGTGTTCCCGTCAGCTCCTGTCGCGGCAGCCTCGCTCTTCCTCACCACGGGCTCGCAGGTGACTACCCCCGTTTCCGACACTAAGATCTTCTGGTTCCGTGTCTTCGCAATGTTGTTCGGGGTTTTGCTGCAGACGATGATCAGAGTTCGGTTTTCCTCCTTCAAAAAAGTGACCAACTGCTCCGCCGTGTGCTTGGACACATGCACGTCCAACGCTGCGAACGGGTCGTCCAGTAGCAAAACCTTTTCCTCCGAGTACAACGCGCGCGCCAGACTCAGCCGCGCTTTCTGCCCGCCGGAGAGGGCAATACCCCGGTCGCCGATCGAGGTTTCGGCTTGTTGCGACATCTTCCGGACCTCCTCGTCGAACGCCACCGCCTCCAGGCACTTCCACATCCTTGGTTCGTCCAAACCGCGGTATAAGAGTGCACAACACCCCCGCCCGCTCATTTCTTGTATTGCATGAATAGCAACTCAAGCGCTGGCAAAAATGCAGCTTTTGCATGACAAATTCCCGCAGGATTGTAGTGCTGTTTTGGCTTCCGGAATCTGTCATGCATGCAGTGCCAAGAAGCAAAGGGCGCACTTGGGATTTTGCGTGACAAATGAGAGGGAGTGGGAGCTGTGCACTCTCATACGCGGGGAGAGCCGAACACGACGTTTTCCTGAATCGTGCTGTTCATGACCCACGCGGATTGCGGGCAATAGGCGATTCGCTCCGGGCGGGAAACTGGGGGAGGAGTTGTTAATGCTGCACTTGCATCAGCTCCCGTGGCGCTTCCACCTGCTTCTTCCCCTCCTTCTTCTCCGGAAGTAGAAGTACTAGGAGCCACGACGTCCAACGTTCCAAGCAACGCCTGCAAGAAAGCGGTCTTTCCACTCCCGACCGGGCCCTCGATAGTGACGATGTCGCCGAGTGGGATGGAGATCTCGGATCCGAATTGGAGACGAAAAGTGCCTTTGGTGGTGGATTTCGGAGACTCGGGAAGGTCTTCCTTCGCTTGTTGGTCTTCTGCGCTTGTTGTTGTTTCCTCTGGTTTCTCTTTATCACCTCTTTGTTTCTTCGGGGAGCAGCAAAAGGTCGTCGATTCCAGCGCCACCTGCGGCAAACTGGCGCGCCGCCGGCCGGGAACGCTGTTTGAAGACGCTTCCTTCTTCACTGGGGACGACGCCTCGGATGATTTCTCTTTGTCCTGCGTCGGCGCTTTGCTGTCGGGGACCCAGCGAAAGCACGCGTTGTTGCTGATCTTCACCGTGTAGGCGGATTCCTGCTGTAACTGCTCGGAAATCGTGGTGTCCTTGTTCGTATTCGTATTGTTGTTCTCTTCGGTATTCAGTGCGCTAGAAGTTGTTCCTGTATTTGATGCTCCGGAGCTGTTCATCAACGCCACTCGTTCCTCAATCCGCCACGGTTTCGCCTCTTGCAAGAAAGAATTCATGCGGTCCACTGATGCCATTAACCTGCGGTACATCATCAGCATGAAGCCCATCATGGACAAGGGCATCTGCATGGTACTGAACATGGCCAACATTTCGAAGGACTGCGTCAGGCCGAGGCGGTTTTCGAACACAATCTCTTCCAAGATGAAGGCGATGAGCAGCTGTAAAATCGGGATCGAGATCATGATGGTCTGGAGCAACCACTTCGCGCGGAGAAACCGCGCGTGGTAAAGCAGTTCCATCTCCCGTAATTCCTGGACGTACAGAATCCAATACGTCTCCCTGGCGATCATCTTCGTCACCCGCATGGTTTCCAGCATGTCCGTGACCGCGGCAACGTATCAGAATGAAAAATGCCCCCACCCCCGAACTTGAAAGCATTTGTATTGCAAACCTTTCCAAATGAAACATTGATTCGCCCTCTTGCACCTATCAGCATCACAGGTTTCCAATCGTGAATAGCGAAAATTTGTATTGCAAAAGACCCCAGCAAGAGCGGCGCTTGTCATGCAAGCGATGTCGGATACACGCCTAGACTCTGCATCAGAAAGATTCATACTCCTTTCATGCATAGATAAAAAAGTTCTTCATTTGAAAACCTTACGCATGACAAATTTTTGCAATTTGAGGGGTGGGGGGCACTTTTCACTGTAATACAACGCGCTTGTCCTTCACGGCCAGCCGCTTCTTCTCCAGCGTGTATCCCCTGTAAAAACGTCCCAATCCCAGAGCTGTCATGCGGATTTGCGATGACAAGAACATTTGTAATCCGCATCCCCATGAGAAGCGTTATTTCTAGTGGTGACGTTTTGGAATTTGTAATGCTGTAGACAGGATAAGCAGCAGGATTTGCCATGCGGCTGTCCTTACTAAGAACCTGCAGTCCGCCACGCACTGCAACTTGTCATGCGTGACTACCAAAGCTTCTAGGCTTGTGTTGCAAAGTCCCCATCTTGAATCTCGAGTGGGGACGTTTTCACTCAGGATAGCGTACCCAGATTCTTCTGCAAGCGCCAGGCCAGCGGCATCAGCAAGCCACCGCCGATAAATCCGAGAATGGCGGACCAGCCGATCAGGACGGAGATGTAGACAGTACCGAAAATCAACGCGATCGGCATGATGAGCACCCATATTGAGGAAAACAGGTTTGTCACAGTCATTAACTTGGAGGTTTTGCATCACAAATTTTTTTAGCATCACAGCTTTTCCTTGTATTGCATAGCTACAGACAAGAGAAATCCCATATGAAGTTAGACTGTGCTGCATCTTTACGCATTACAGAAATTTTTGTATTGCAAAAATGCGCATGAGTGATCGCAACGAACTTTTTTTGTTTGATAACCCAGTGGACAAAGGGCACCGTGTCCAGGATCGCCTGGGCGTCCACAGATTGGAGGTTGGTCAGATTGCTGGGTGAATTTTTCTTTCCTTTAACACGGTAGTCTAAGCGTAAGCATGCCGTAGTTGCCGCATAATAATCATTTGCTGTCACGCTTTGCATTTGCATCAGGAAAAATCCCTGGACTAGATCGTAAATGAAACTTCTTACTTACCCCAATTCCCTGGTCGCGGGTTCCATGTGCAGTATTTTCTCGAAAACCGCCAAGGCGCAGACCCCGCGCATCTGCATGCCCTCCCGCATCGTCCAGTGCACGCCGTACTGCAGGCCCAACGCACCGCCCATGCGCACGACGAATAGAAGGACGATGACCCAAACGAACTTTACCATTTTCAGTTCCGCTATGGACGTGATCAGCAAGGTGATAAACACCGGACCGGTGAAATCGGAAACGGACTTTGCGAAGTACCCCAGCCCCGCCAAACTCCACTCCAGGCCCCTATCATGTGCAAAAGTATCGCACTCGTACTAATTGCAAATATGCATGACAAATCTGATTCCTAAGGTGAAACAGCATCAGAAATTGCATTCGTCATGCTGAGCAACTTTGTAATGCAGTTTGATGTACTAGTGGGATGCTTTTGCATTGCATAGCCCCAAATCTTCCACAGTGTGCGGAACAGGTGCCGCTTGCTGAGGATTTTCGCCTTGGCTTTTTCCTTGGTCTTCTTCGTCTTGTCGTCGTCCGTTGGGACGGGCTTGCACACGGCTTCATCTTGCAACGCGCGGTAGTCGGCGTCCGTGATGTTTTCCGGGTACCACCGCCGGTAGACCTGATAGTAGAAAAATTATCGCGTAACTCTGTCATGCAAAACATGCAAGATGGGTACTACGTCTCTCTGTGTCATGCTCGTCAACATGCATAAGTAAATAAAGTACTAAATGAATACCTGTTTGTAATTGTAGTCCGCTTTGTTCTCCCCCGCGATGGGCCACGAGGTCTTCAGCGCTTCCGCCCGAATGCGCTCCAGCTCCGTTTGCTGCTCGTCTTCTGTGGGGAGCAGCAGTGCTTTTTCCTGTTCCCGCTCCAGCTCCAAAGCGCGCTGGACGCCCGTGTAGATGTAGCCGTAGCCCCACACGTAGTAGGGCTCCTCTTTGAGCCCGAAGATGTTGTCTTCGGACATTTCGTAGGCGCGAGAATGGGCTGTGGACGACGAGAAGATTTGAAAGATTTATACGGAAACCTATAAAACTGACGCGGGTAAAATTGCAGAAACAGAGAGATGATCCACTTGCCCGATAAGCAATGTGAAATTTCACTTTCCAAGAAACGTAGGCATAGCGACGACAATGAGGGATTGCTTACGCGGTCGAGCAGCTAAAAAGACAACATGTAGACTTTCAATTAAAGGACGTGCTCAAGCAATGTCGAAAACAGGTCGTAAGCGACTACGTGCCCTGCCTTCTCGGTCGTGCCACTATTTTTCATCTGCAATTTGAATCTTTTGGGTGAAAGTAGACGCAGCATTAGTAGTTGAGTAAGGCGAAGCGCTTCAGGTCGGGTGCGAAATGTAGTGCAATATCAGAGTAAATAGATTTTGCACATTGAAGACTTTACTAGATAAGCGATGCTTAGTTGGAAGATGAACGGGGACCAAAAAGAAAAGGCAGGGATACTAGGCGGGTCAGGAAAGTATACGAGACACTGCAAAAAATTCATATGGTTGCAACGACAGCGACAGTGTATGTTCCGATTTTCATTATTTTGCGCTACCAGTAGCATCAACGACAAAGACGAATTTCTTCGGATTCATCGAAGTTTCTTTCCTAATTGTAGTTGTACCTACCAATCCTCCCCCGGACACAGACTACGAGGTGGACAAGCTGCGTTTTAAGTCTAACAGATACGCTCAGCATAATTTGCTTCTTCTTGCAAGAACAAATTGTGATTGAGTGCAAAAATGTGGCAAGAGGACCGACGTTTTGACATATCTCATAGTCCCCCTGTTTGAACATGAACATGACCGGATGTAGCCCCCGCATGCAAGAACCAGAACGAGCTCACTCTACCACAGTAGTGGCAATGGCACAAACAGCAGAACATCAGCCATGTATGATCATTGCCACCAACGATGTAAGAAGCTGCTAGTACCAACGCTATCTACACGATGGATTGAGGTTTTTCATCGTACTTTCTGTTTTGGACGATCGCGGTTGCAGGTGAGTCATGAAGCAGAACAGCATGCAAGAGCAAGTCGTGTAAAACAATTGCAATATTAGATACATGATTGTAATATTGTCTCGCTATTTCGCAAAAAATACGCTCATCATTTCCATCCTTCTAAAAAAGCTACTCTACTACGAACAAGCCCGTTTTCTTTTTCTCTACCAAAGCTGATGATGACATGGTCCTTACGCCGGTCCCCCGCGCATCGTGGCTGTCTTGCGCAACTCCCCCTCGACGCCCGTATGGAAAAGCGAACGCGATTTTATCATCATCATGTTTGATGTATCGGATCTATCCTGGAAGTATAATGGCAACGGTCCTCCTTTCTCCACACCAGGAGATGATGTTATGCTTAGGTTTCCATGCTTGCTGTGCTCCTTTGAAAGGAACTCATGTGACAACTGATAAAATTCATTTTCGCTGTTCCATATTTCGCCTGCTCATGCATCTCTTTATTTCGCATGATGTTGCGCAGTTGCCAATCCTTCGAGCCCATCGGCGGATAATCCCGCATGCGGTAGTGTCGCACGTCCGCGGCGGTTTCTGTGTTTTATTCAAACGTGTACAATATCACTGCAGCTTGTCATGCGTAGGAGCTATGAAAACGAAAGGTATCATGGCTTGTGATGCTAATGCGAACAAAATAAAGGTGAACTAGACTCAAGTAAACTCTATGTCAGTTATACCGTTGTTGTCAAACCTCGCAAAGCGTTTGAACGGTGGGTCCTTGGGTGGTGGCAGTTCGCAGTTTGGCGGTGTGTTCTCCTCTTTCGTGCAGGTCAGCGGCCAGCCAATCGCGCTGGGAATCTCCTGTTCGTTGGCGCGCCAGTCCTTCTGGGCCAGCTGCGCCTTTCGCGCGACCACGAGCTCTGTTTGTTTGAGTTTGTCAGGTGCGTGCTTTTATCTATGCTTAAGTAACACTTCACAACCTCATGCAAGAAGAAGAATCTCAATCTGCCGACGATGCATCAAGCAGAAGCATTACGAAGAATGTCTCTCATACCATCTCTCGGCAGTTCAAAAGCGGGCTTCGAGGGCGGCTTCGGGTTAAACAGGGGGTCACAGTTCCCCAGTGATCGCTCCGTGGTGCGCACCATTCTTTCAAAGTTCGATGTACTATACTTACAAAAAGAAACAAGAAAGTAGCACACCCGCAGCTACTACTGGAAGTTGTATTGCGATGAACATTGCGTACTTCTTCTTACTCATAACGTCTAGCGCGAAAAAATCCCAACATCCCAATGAAATCCGCTTTGCAGATGATCTTTAACCGACACTTGCAAGCCAATAAACTTTGCAAAAAGCGTGACCCGCCGCTCGTCTTTCGATACAACGTATACATACTCCCTACAACGAAAGATCGCGGCCAGTACGACAAGTATTGCCCAATTCAACATGTGGGTACCCAACGACAAAATCAATGTGTGCAAGATCATCTGAGGACCACCGCCATGAACGTGCACTTACGACCTAACCTTGGAAGTACGAACCGCAAAGCGGCAGAGTTGACTTTTTTTTTACGAAGGCACTTCTGACGACCACGGAAAAAGGGCCCCAAGACTTAAAAACCCCTTGGAGGCGCGCACGAGCACGAGGACTACCACAAAGAATAAGAAACAGTGGCTGAATGGAAAATGCAGGTTTAGGCTTACCGACGACCCGATGGTATCAAGAGCAAACTTGGAAACACAAGAGACGACGCAGCTGCACTTTCCGGTTCTATTCGTGGCTCTTCGTAGGTATGATGTAAGTAGAGAACTTTCCGCAGTGTACATTCACGAAAATTCAATAATCATTGTTTTTCCCCCAGCGCTGCAACAAAGCGGCGCACTATGTCAAGAAAGTAGACGAGCAGGACTACTTTATTTCACATTCACTGTTCAAGCAAGTAAAAATTTAAATTTCATCGCATCAAGAAAAAAGCACAAAAAGGCTTGTTCTACATAAAAAACCACACGAAAATAAAAATTCTTCTGAATTTAGAATCGATATTAAGATTTCATCAAAGAACAACACACTACTCATGCAATTCGAATTAGCAATGGATAGAGTCTCTGCCTGCTCCTGTTGCATCATTGTTCATGACGACAAAGAATATTCAACACGATCTTGCCAGTTGTATGATCTAAAAACGCTTTATTGTCTTCACATCTTCGCCATCTTTTTGAATCCTTCCACCTCCGCACTGCGGTCCGCCGGGACTTTGTCCAGAATCTGCGACACCCACTTCAGTTCCTCATCGGACAGCATGGTGAACTGCAGGTACGCCATGTGCGTCTTCCCGAGAGCGAAGAGAAAGTCGTAATCAACAAACTCGCTCTCCTCACTACTCGCAGCTGCTAAGCCTGTAGTTCCTTCCTCCGCACAATTTTTCGTGACCAGCGCCTTCACGACTAAGCTCAGGTGGTCGGTTTCGATACTTGACTTTTTGAAAATGCCCGGCACAATTTTTGCCGGAACGAAGTTGACCAAGTAGTGCCTCACGTGCGCGATCGGGTAGTTACGGAGAGACATCATCGTCCGCTGAAAATCATATGCGTTCACCGGCGTCTTGAAACTGTGCTTCTTCACCTGCTGCGACACTGCTGTACCGCCGGGCGTGAGGGGTGAGGACGCAGCAGCTCCTGTTGCGGTCGCGGGACTGGTAGCCGGTCCTGCTGTACTTGACGCGGCCCCGCCAGTATTGATGCTACTCGAGGACACTGCCGCTTTCGAAGCCAGTTTTTCGGCCTCTTGCTCCCGTTTCTTCTCGACCATTTTGTTCAGAATTTCCCGTTTCAACTTCTCTGCGTCGTCGATAAAATCGTTTTTGTTCCCCGGGTATTCCAAAACGCGGTTGATGTCCCGCAAAGCGTCAGATAGTTCTCTCCCTAATTTCAGCCGGGATTGCGATCGTTTGAACACCGCTTTTTTCACCGCCTCGCGCACCTTCGGGTCAGAGGGCGTGGCACCGGTGGAAGAGGCCGCGTTGTTTAGCTCCAAAGATTGCGCGGCGTCGCGTTCGCACTCCTCGTACTTTTCCAACTTGTAGTTGGCAATGGCCCGGTTCGTGTACAGCACGGCGATTTTCGACGATTCGATCTTCTTGGTCGTGGCGAAGGAGATGCAGGTTTGGTACTTCTCCACCGCGTCCTGCAATTTTCCCTCGGAGAACGCCTTATTCCCGGATGCCTTCAGCTTCTCAAACTCCTCCAGGTGGGTGTCGGCTGGCGAACTTGCGGTCGTCCGTTGCGGCGGCGCAAATTTGGCCGGCTCTTCGGACTTGTTGGCGGCCGCGGCGGGCTGCGAAATCATGGAATGTGAATCTACATGTGAAATAAAGAATAGTAGCGAACGAATAGTCCCCCATCGGGTCTTAAAAAGATCTCGATCTACTCATAAAACACAAAAAGTAGCCGCTGTCTCTGTGGTATACCTTCTCCTGTTTCCCCGTCTCTACTTTTCTCGTCTCGCTATCCGAGTCGCTGTCCGAGTCCGCCTGGATTTCCAACCGCGTGAAACCCGGCTCCACGGGCTCGAACTCCGGCACTTTCTCGCGGATATCAAATGCAAAAATGTCTGGGTCTGGGAGGATGGAATTTGTGATACGTCCTGTGGGTCACACAAAAATCTGTGTTGCGTGATCGCCGAAAGTTGTCCTATTTTGACCAACATAGTAGTAGCACCATTTGACTCCTGGCGGGTCGGCGTTAGAACAGATTTAGCCTCTGCCAATACCTGGGCGTTAGTACAGATTTAGCCTCTGCCGGTACCCCTAGGTGGATACCCGATCCACTTCCTAGCTACCACCCGGCTGAGCGGGAGTTTCTCATGCAGGGAGTTTCTCATGCAGGATAGGCAGTATAGAGACGTCGCAGAATCTGTCATGCTAGGTCCTGCATTCCAGACCTCATGGGGCATGGAAAAAATGCATGACAAGTCTGCATTCTTCCAGACCCAGACATTTTTTGCATTTCATAGCGGAATTTCGCCAACAGTTCCTGCAGCCCCGCCGCTTCGGCGCAGCACCTCATCGCCACCTCGCAGTCCTCCAAGCCGGCGGAAAATTCGCCCAGTTCGTACCGTGCCTGCGCGCGCCGGTACCGCGCCTTTGTGTTGGTGTCGTCAAAGAGTAAGGCGTCGGTGGTATGCACTGCAAATATGTGTGGGAGGTCTGAAAAGTTGTAATGCAATTCAGTAAAGTGAAAGCACACTGCAAGGCACCGCCAAGCATGACAGATTTTTTCGCGCCCACGTGTTGCGTGTGCTGCATGAGAAACTGCGTTTCTGCATGACAGGCAAGAGGAGCTCCTCTTCGTGGACACGCAATACAGAACTCAGGATCATGCCAGGTTAGCACAACAAATCTCGCAAAAATCTTCCAGACCCAGACCCATTTGCGGTTGATAGGTGGCGACCTTGTTGGCGTAGCTGTAGTCCTTCATTTTCAAGGCCGTAAAGGCCGCGTATCAAATGTAAAAATGTCTGGGTCTGGAAGAATGCCAAACTTGTCATGCAGGTTTTCCAGGACTCATGAGGTCTGGCATGTAGGACATCGCATGACAGATTCTGTGAGCGCTCTATCATGCCTATCCTGCATGAGAAACTGCCTCTCGATTAGGTCACAAGTGGGCAGCTTTTGGCAATCATGCAACACAGATTTCATACATGATTCAGATTTAGCATGAGAAGTTGCTTCGTTCCAGACCCAGACATTTTGGCAATCCCTACCGCGTTGGAAAGAAGCATCGAAGCCTGGACCGCCGACTCGGGTGATAACGTTTCATCTTTATTCCCTTTCGTCATCGTGAAGACACACTTTTCAAAAACTTTCCTCGCCTCCTCAAATTCGCCCTGTTTGAACAGCGCATTTCCGATCGTCTTCCCGGTTTCCACCCCTTTCGCCGTCGGAACGACCTTGAAGTCCGGGTAAGGATCCTCGTCGCGGCCGGTTGCTGTACCTTGTTTTCCAAGGGAGACCGAGGGCGCTGCTGCGGCTTCCGCGGCTTCTGCGGAGGTGGAAGCTGCGGTAGAGCAGCTCATCACGGGCAACTTTCGGTACATCTCGTCGTTCACCTTGACATACTGGGGCTCTTCCTCTTGTTCGCCAAGGTTCTCCGCGCCACCATCGCTGCTTTGCACCTCCGCCGGATCGATATGAATTGGAAAAGTATCGCGCTCTAACTCTATGTTTAATTGTAGGCATGCATATTAACAAATCCTAGTCTTAAGGTTAAGCAGCATTACAAGTTGCATTTCTCATCCTACGGAAATTTGTCATGCGACTTCGACTAGTACGATACTTATTTGCAAAAATGCATAATCGACGATGACAATCGACTCGGACGTCGTCGTGCTGTACTCTTCTTCGGTGCTCGGCGGCGACATTGCTTCCTGGTTGTTCGGTTCCTCGTCCTCCTCGTCCTCACTGTCGCTGACTTCCGCGATTTGCATGCGCTGGAAAGCCGGGGCGGAGGTTGTTGCAGCAGTTGCAGTGGCGGGGGCTGCAGGAGCAGCTCCTGCGGGTTTTACTTTCTTTTCCTCCGTCTCGTCCTCTGACTCTTCACTGGACGAGTCTTCGGTGATCTGCATCCGCTGGAAGCTATGAACTGCAAAAGTATCGTACTCGTAGTACTAGTAAGTAATTGCGGTTATGCATGACAAATCTCTCATCTCTCCTAAGGTAAAACAGCATTGCAGATTTGATTTGTAATGTTGCGCTGATTTGTAATGCGATTTATACTAGTACGCTACTTTTGCACTGGATAGAAGCCTGGCGCCGGCTTTGCCGGTTCCGCCTCCGGCTTGGCGGTACTACTGGTTTTGGGTTTAATATTTTCGTCCTTCTTCTTCGCTTCGTCGTCAGAATCTTCGTCCGAGTCGCTCTCCTCCACAATCTGCATGCGCTGAAACTTCTTTGGTGCGGAGGTACTTGTGGAATCTGTACTGCTAGTTGACGACGAGGAAGATGATGTTGACGCTGAACTAGAACTGGCGGAGGACAAAGCTCGAAAAATCTCACTCGATGGCAACACACTGCCACAGGAGCGAAAGCATCCGCCGGCTTTACTACTGCTTTTTCCTCCTTGTTCATCCCAGGCGGACTGCAAACCCTTCCGGACCTTCTTCTCCACTTCGAAAAACTTGTCCGATTTGCTCAACGAACTAATTTTCTTCCCGGTCGTCGCTTCGAGACGAGAGACATACCAGTCTAATTCGCGCTGGGCTTTTTTGAAATTCCCTCCTTTGCACTCCGCGTCCGCGTTCGCGAAGTGTTCATCCGGGGATAAAAGTGGTTTCATCTTCTGTGGAGCTTGGGAAACTGCTGCAGCTTTAGTCGACGTGGAGGATGATTTTGATTTTGCGGGGCTTGACTTCATAACCTTTTCATCTGCGACTTTCACCGGCTCTGGATCCTCGTCCACGTTCTCGATCTTTATCTCATCGTCCTCATCGCTCTCGTCTTCCGACGAACTGCCCTCCGTGATCTGCACGCGCCGGAACTGCCCGGGCTGGGCGCTTTCCGTGATGGGCATTTTCTTCTTCTGGTCGCGACTATTAGAAGTTGTACTACTCGCTGCAGAGGACGATTTATTTGCCGCCCCCGAAGATCCCGGCAAGAGCATCTTTCTCGCCTCCCGCAGGTCGCCGTTGATCTGTGCGTTTTGCGGGTCGATTTTCAGCGCGCTCTGAAAGTCCGCGACGGCGCTCTCGAAGTCCCCGATGTCGTAGTTGGCCTTCCCGCGCCGGTGCAGCGCCTTCATGTAGCGCGGCTGCAGTTCCAGGGCCGCGTCGCAATCGGACCGGGCATCCTTATCAAATGCAAAAATCTCTGGGTCTGGAAGAATGCAACTTGTCATGCTGTTTTTGGACTCTAAAAAAATTTGTATTGCATGACCAGCAAGAGGGGCCCGGTTTGTGCTACACGGACAGGGCATTTCTCATGCGGAAGGTGCATCAGTAACCCCTCTAAAAGTCTGTGCTGCTTGGTCATGCATTACAGGCATGATGGATCATGAGAAATCTGCATGACAAATCTTGCATACATTTTTGCATTTGATAATCCTTTGGTCGGAGCAGTTTCAGGCGAACTAACGCACGGTTGGTGAGGACAGCGGGAGCGTCGGATTGGTAACGAAGGGAGCGGGAATAGTACCTGGGATACAGGTGTCGACGTAGAACTAGAAACAAGAACGACCGTACATGTTCTTGGCACTGAAAGAGATATTCTTGGTCACACGATGAATACCATGCGTTTCAAAAATCACATCGACATGACCTAGGGATGAAGAATCTCGGCCAATTCATCTACTAGCAAAGTTTCAGTACATGTCCGCCTCTTCCAAATCGTTTGCGTAAAACGACTCGTTGCCCTTTATTGTGAGGAAAAATCCCCCCTCGCCATATCGAAGAGACGCACTTTTAAAGATCTGCGATGCTGGTTTCTGGTCACAAATCGAGTCTGTCTTGCAAGACAGCAAAGCCGGAGCTTACGCCGCATTTCGTAGGCGATTTGTAATGCTGCTGCGCCAATGGAGCAGACGTCTGCCATGCTAAGTGCCTACCTCAAGCCACCCTTTCCGGGCTTTGTATCTGCTTGGAGTGCTCTACTGCAAGACAAAGCTGATTTGTGTACGCAAATACAGCATCACAGACTCCCCTTTCGATATGGGGAGGGGGGATTTTTCATTTTGATACCCTTTTCCTTCTCACTGGTCGCGAGCTGCTGCCGCTGCACCTCCGACATGTTGCGGATCTGTCTAATCTCCTGTGAATTGCAAAAGTGTCTGGGTGTGGAAACTTGTAATGCTAAAAATGAATGATAGACGCACTGCAATACGCAGCTACGCATGACAAATTTTTTGGGGGCCATTTCTTACGTATTCCGCATGGCAAACAGCGTTTTTGCATGACAGATAAGAGGGCTTTTTCGTGACTATGCAACGCAGATTCTCGACCTCGAGTCACGCCAGACAAGCATGACAAACTTGCAATCTTCCAGACCCAGACATTTTTGCATTTGATATCTCCTTGTCCTGCTCAAAGTCTTGGGTTTGCTGTAACGCTGCCTGCCGCGCCCGGTTTTTCTCCCGCTCCGCCTCCTCTTTCGCTTCCATATCCTGCTCCATCTTGTCCACATCCACCTGGTCCCAATTTCGGTAGTAATCCTTCATCTTCGTCGTGTCCCGCGCGTAGCCCTCGTTGGTCTTGTTCGGGCCTTCGTCGTATTTGTCATTGGCAACGTTCTCCCGGGCGACCACATCGGTCCCGTCAGAACCCCGAGGGGCGGGTAAAGCGCCGCCGGATTTACCTTCGTTGATGTAGTTACGTGATGTACAACAGACTGACTAGACCGAAAATGATCATCATGCAAGTCAGAAATAATGACGAATAAACTGAAGGCTGAACAAGCACCTATTCAATGAACAAGTACAACATACAGCTTCGGTTCTACAACGAGAAGAACTCGTCCAGTAAAAGTCATACCCTGTGCTTTCCCTGCTTGCCTGAGCATTTCGTCGGTGCGCTTGACCTCATTCTCCCAATTGAACAGGTCGTTGTTTGCTGCTGCTTCTTCCTCCGCCGTGGTAGCTCGTGGGTACTGAATTGCATACCTGCGACGTCAACATATTCGGTATATACATTGATGAGCATACGAATACGATGTACAGGCACGAGGAAGCAATAAAGAAGCGCAACTGAAGTTCAAGTTTCTGCCTTTCAACTTCCACGCCCTCTCAGCATCAGCAATGAGAATCACATCGTCAAAGAATGGCGAATACAACAATCAAAGTGATGCTGATACAATTTCGGGTTCAGCGCCTTCAGCTTGTCCTTGCAGGCCTGGTACAGCTCCTTGTACATAATCCCATTATCCTGTGCAAAAGTATCGTAGTCGTATTGCAATCATGCATTTAACAAATTTTCTTCTTAAGGTAAATCCGCATTACATTTCACATGCTCAGCAAATTTGTAATGCAATTACTACTAGTACGATACTTTTGCAATGCATACCCATCTTCCTCCAGCAACTGGAGGTACTTGAGCACCACTTTCGCATTCGTTGCCTCTTCGACCGCGGGGAAGTCGATGTCGGTCAACTTTATCTCCGAAATATTCACCGGGGGCGCCATCTTCTTCGCGGAACTATCGAGGATGATGCAACTCTTCGCTTTTTACCTTGACGATATAATCGCGAGCAAGAGCAACTCGCGTGGACTGACTGCTATTATCGCACGAAAAAAATATATCATACTCATATTCACGCGAATTCAACCATGAAAAATTGTCATTTTTTTGGAAAAAACACAACATTTTTGTCGAAAAACTCAAGTATTTCATCAGCGATTTTTTTTTTCCGGCGACGAATTTGCGTGGTTTGGAGAAGCTTCAGTGATGTCATTGCGCCCGATGGGTCTGCATTTCTGGGCACACGGTGGGCTGAGAGATCAGCTCCCGCCCGCCACCTAACCAGCAGAGTTTGCATTTTCCCGGACCTGCCAAGACGGCAGCTCCGTCGCGCCTGCAAGAGCCGCCCTTGCCTTTTCTGGCTTCGGGCCGGCGGCCGGGGGAATGGGCGGAAAGGGGCCACATATTTGGCCTCGAAAAGATGGCCGTTCCGTGCGGGCAAAAAAAATATATCATACCACCTTGGAGGCCCCTACACCTCTCTCGGGACACCTGGTCGGCGAGGTCCGGCCTTGTGAATTTCGACAGCAAAATCTGCAAGAATTTTGCGGCTTGTCGAAATTCCAAAACTGGCGACTTTCTGGTATGATAGATCTGGCGAAAAATATGGCCGCTAGCCCGTGCTAGAAATAATATATCATATACGTAAAAGCGACTGAGATTTCTCATTTTTTCACTTTTTCCCATTTTTCTAGAAGAAAAGTGGCAGTTTTTGCATATGATATATTTTTTTGAGCCGATGCTATGGTGAAAAATATGAAGAAATTCAATTTTTGGAAAAACGCCAATCACGATGGTATAGAGCGGGTCAGCAAAACTGAGAGGTTTTGGATTCAGGTCGTGCTAAAAAAAATATATCATACCGCAAAAATTGCCACTTTTTGCAGGTTTTGCTTCGATTTTTTGCTCAATTTTGCGCGTTTCTCGCATTACAAATTGCCACTCGAGGCGGCATTTTTTGGCTCCGTCTCTGGGCGATAGCTGCCGCGGCGATCCTCAGCAGGCGAGCCAGGGGATGCCGCCGGAGGTTTGCTCGCGGAGCCTGGGTTGGCTCAGATGAAGGGGCGGGCCCGTAGGCCTTCGCATGGCCTCGGGCTCATGAATTCCAGAGCACCCCCTCGCCCTTTGGCTCTGGGCAAGGCCGTAGCTGACCTTCTGATGTTGAGGCCGGCTGTGGCGCCGGCAGTCGTGGCATGCCCGCATATAATCGCGAGCAAGAGCAACTCGCGTGGACTGACTGCTATCCTCAACACTGGAATATTACTTCTAGAGTTGCGGCGGTGAAGTCGCTCCGTTGGTGGACTTTTAGTGCGGCTAATGCTGTTGAGAAGCTGAAGCACATCATTTCAGTTTATTCTACTACACATTACCCAAATTCAATATGAGTGAACACGAGCACGACCGATGTTATTTGACAATAGATGAAGAAAATACCTAAGAAGGACATCAACGCGCGACCATAAGAAGTTTTGTATAGAAACTCGTCTCCTGTCAGCACGACTCGGACTCCATAGAGACAGATGTGAACTCAGGAGTAAAACTACACAACCATATATCATACAGATTCAGTAGATTCAACATGTTCTCGGGCACTGTTTCTCGATCTCAATGATGATGAACGGTGGAAGGAAGATGAATAAAATCATCTGACGAATCGGTCAGCGTTCTCGTCGCAGTGGGGAAAAGTGGAGCTGGAGCACCGTTCTGTCGACTACATCCGCACTCAAGCATGACGGAGACGGACGGAACGACGAACAACTATATATCGGCCTTGCTCGGCCGCTGCGGACTGCCGCCGTGGAAATAAAATAAACAGCTTTGACAAACAATTGTCGCGCTTTATTTGTTCACTACTAGTGTTATTGAAGGCTCCTGCCACTATAGAAGTCTGCTCTGTGGTTCTTTGATATTCGCTTTTATTTTCAACATGATCAGCACGAGAATTATAAACTCACGCCGAACATTCAGATTTCTTTCTAGTTCCAGCATCATTCTACTTTAAATAACGCTGTCGGAAACCAAATTTAGACATGTTTGATGCCGATGCGCCGTGTCTTGTTCCGTATCGCTACGCGTGACAGCACATTGCTCTCACATCGTCGACAGTGCAAAAACCGCGGAACTCCATGCGATGAAACTTGTTCTGGTGCCAAGTGCCAATGCCATGAAATGCAATTTATCATGCATGACAAATAGCACGAAATTAATACAAGAGAGCCCTCCCCTTTTCCCTTCTCGCGAAAATGGAGTCGAGGAGCAGCTTCTGTGGTATAGCGACGAATGGTTTCGTCCAGCTTGTCCCTACGTACCGAGGATACCGCATCCAATTCGTCAGCCGTAAGTCTACAGAGTACAAAAAATCTCTTAGCATCCGAGTGCGTCGACAAAGGATACCGCATCCAAGTTCGTCAACAAGTACAAAAATTGTCTTAGTTTCGAAAACTGCTTTCGTGGGAAACTTGTGTATGTCTATGTGTTTGCATTTCAGAATTACTTATCTTTTGCGTAAGAATCAATAAGTACGTCAAGAAAGTAGACTTTGGTCGTGTCTTCTTGTCGGTAAAGACCTCGACGTGACCGTGAGTCTACAGTTAAGGTGTGCTTTAGTTTTCTACTGTGACGAGCTGTATTATAGCTTGAGTCCTCGACCTCGGCACCGTGAGATATGATCATCATCATTGGCTTTCATTTTTCTGCTCCCGGCTGTACAAGAACTCCTGGTCCTGCCGCCTCTCCTGCATTTTTTCCATCCTGCTCCATGTCCACGCTGCCTCCTCTTCTCAACGAGGACACTGGTCCTAGGTCCGACGCCGTCACAGCTGCAGTGGCAGTAGACGTTCTAGACGGCCGCTTGACCACATCTTCAACGCATTTCGCGATCACGTGCCTCGGCTGTAATTCGAGTCCCTCAGGAACCCCAAACTTCTCTTTCAAGCGAGACGACCGGTTCTGCCTTTTGTTCATGCGCCTCATAGCCGGCTCGCACCCCAATTTTTTCGTGAAAGGACCCCAACCTTCTTGTTGGTCCAAGGCGCAAGTGACTAGAAACGACTTGCAGTCCCCGTTCTTGGGATCGACGACCGTGACGTAGGCGGAGCCGTCCTCGGTTGAAGCTGCACCTTCTGGCAGAAGATGAACATCGGAAAGCATCTTTTTCAGGGCTTTGTCGTGTTCGAGAGCTGCCAGGGGACTTCCTTCGAGGTTATAATTTCCACTTTTTCGCACTTGTTGTTCGAGTACCTTTTGCAACTTCTCCCAGAGCTCATGCTCGAGTTGTAGCGCCTGCTGAGTGCGGCCAGAACTACCGCTCGAAGAGGTGGAGGACGTCGAGCCCGCGGCCCAGGGTGTTGGAATGTTTGAGACATAAAAGCTCCGTCTCTCGCGCCCGAACCACTCTTCCATCGGCCCGAGAAAGAAGGAGAAGCGAGTATAGCCGGCTTCTTGGCGGGGCAGTAGTTCGCGGTTGACACAGTCGGTGATCTGCTGCAAGGTCTGGTTCACGACGTCAGAAGGTGCAATAGTTTTCATCCGCTCGTCAAAAGTCCACGGGCACTGCAAATCGCTTTGTGGTTTACAGTAGCCGTAGCGATCCCAACCATCGAAGAGTCTGTACTCGGCGTCGCCGCAAGGTGGTGCCACTGGCTCCTCGCAATATAATCCCACATAAATCCCAACCGACAAGACGCAGATTCCCGAGCCGACGAGAAAATGTCTGAAGCAGAGGCAACAGGAGTTCGGTTGATGTTGGCCGCCCTTCGGCCCGTGCCGGTCACGATCCTCGACCTGATGTAGCCGTAAGTAAGGCTCCCTTGCTTGGTAATTCTGATCCGATGTGGTGGTCGGAGAAACTCGAACTGCACGATCTGCCGCAGCCCCCGACGACGCAGACGCAACCCCGCAAGAACGGCGTCCGCCTGGAAGGAACGCATCAGCAGAAGTAGGAGCCCCTCGCGAGGAGGACGACGCCGGCGCGACTTTCATCGTCTTGCTCGAAGACGAAGATGAAGATGAACGTGGAGACGAAGACGAAGATGAAGATGAAGTGACGCCAGCGCCACTGACTTCTTGCCCGAACATGAAGATGAACGTGGAGAGAAGGAGAAACACCGTCTTCTTGTTGAGGATCAGGTGGACCATCTTGTTGGAATAGATCATCTTTTGGGTGCGTGGAGAAATCGAAAGGCTAGTTTGTTGGTCCTCCTTGAAGGCAGTACTATTGGAGATACCCTCCGACCAGAAAAACCGAAGGCACTGCGATGACGCTCTTGAGGCGTAGTATGTCGAAGTTTGTTGACACTGCTGGTTCAGGTTCGTTGCAACAGAAGGCTAAGGCTGCTAGTGCTTGTACCACTACCTCTACGTCTACTGGGTGAGGATCGGTAGCTTGGCTAGGGCCAGGGGAGATGAACGAGGACTGTGAAAATATTGATCTTTCTCGTGAGGGGAACCGGAACGAAAAGAATTTAGCGATCTTTTGAGCTGCTGATCTAGATGTTCTATTTCTCCAAGCTGACCAGATCGGGTATAGAATTTTGGTACTACACCAGATCATCTATTATTTCTCTGCGCATTTATTGGTTACCAGATCTTCATCAGCGCTGAGCTCGCTTTCTTGAACAGCACATCCGTATAGCGTTACCGTTTTCCTTTTCGCATCGCAGACGCGTTTCGCTGCTGGTGCAGATGATGCTCGATGCTTCGGCAAACTTCGCGGTACAAGAACTTCTACATGGGGATGCGATCTTTATCATCCAGATTGTTCGGATGGAGCTCGGTGTCATTTTTTTGCTCAACAGGCTTTTTTTAAAAAAGCTAATGGCTTTTTTATTTTTTCTGATTCTACTGCCGCTTGTTCTAGTCTTGTTTTTTTTACCGCACGGTGCTGTCGCGTTGTTTTCTTATATGTCATTGGAGGATTTGATTCATCTAGTTTACCCTTACTTTTACTCTAACATCGAATAGTTCAAAAAAATGCTCCTATTAAGAGGAAAAATCCCCCCTCCCCATACCGAAAAGGTATGTTTCCGAAAATTTGTGTTGCTGATTTGCGACCTCAAATCGCGTCTGTCTTGCAAGAAGGCAACTCCACAAGCTCCGCAGCATTGTGCAGGCGGTTTGTGATGCTGATGGGCCTCCAGCACGGACGTTTCTCATGCTAGACGCCTAGGCCAGAGCCACTCTACTTAGGCTTAGTATGGGGCTGCATTCCTCTCCAGCAAGACAGATGTTATTTGTGTACGCAAATCCTGCATCAGAAACTTCGTTTTGATATGGGGAGGGGGGATCTTTCCTTTTGATAGCTCCGGGATAAAACACCAACCCAGTACGAGGACACGAAGGGCCTTGTCCTAAAGAAGCCCGTTTATGACAGTGCACAACTCCCCCTCCCCCTCATTTGTATTGCATGAGCAGCAATACAAACACCAGGACACGTGGACGAGCCTGTGCATGACAAACTCATGCGCCTAGTGTAGTACTGTTTGGGCTTCCAGAATCTGTTATGCAAACAGTGCCACAGGGAAGCAGAAGCACTCGGTGGATTTGGGGTTTTGCATGACAAATGAGGGGGACGAGGGGGAGTTGTGCATTGTCATAGCGTTTCGGCCGTTCTTTCCGAACTTGTTTATTTCCAGGCGGCTGACTTTTGTTCGTGGTCACGGGAGCGGCTCGCTTTCCAAAAAGAACGCCTGCCGCTTTTGGGTTTGCAACTTTCGCCCTGCCACTGCCGGTGTCGTGATTTGTGCTTTTCTTGTTGGCGGTAGTTCTTGCGGCACTCACTACAGTAGGCGCCCCTGCTTGATTTATTTTTGGGCATGCTGAAGATTTCATCGCGCTGCCAGTGGTTACTGGAATTGTGCTTTTGCTCTTTGTAAAAGCAGTCAATTTACCGTCATCCAGTGGAGAAATGGATTTCGAATCGGAAAAACCCGAGTCCGAAAATCTCCCAGACCGCCTGCTCGACGAGCTTTTAATGCTCTTCGCATCATCGTCGTCGCATCTGTCGTCTTCCGTAGTACTCGGTCCTGCTACTTTATTCGAGTATGCAGGGTCTTTCGCACTACCGGGTTCGACAAGGATTGGGCTTTTCTTGGCGGCACTCGCCGTCGCCACAGTAGGCGGTCCTGCTTTATTTGGGTATGGTGGTTTCACCCCACCGGTGTCGGAAATTGGGGTTTTCATCTTCGCGGCATTCGCACTCACCACAAGAGGCGCCGGTCCTGCTTTCATATTTGGGTAGGCTGGTTCTTTCGCCCTGCGACTGTCGGAAATCGTGTTTTTCGTCGCGGCACTCAGTAAAGTTTGTGTGGGCGGTTCTGCTTTACTACTTGGTTGTGCTGGTTCTTTCGCCTTGTCGGTGCTTGTTGAAATTGGGGTCGGTATTTCCTTCGCGGCAGTCATTCTAGGCGACGTTCTTCGAGGCGCGGCCATAGTCGATCTTATTCTGTCGATGATGACGGTGTCCTTTTGCGCGTTCCGTTCGCGGTTCAAGTAGAGGTACAGGTTTTCCAGGTGCATTCCCAGCTTCGCCAAAAACTGCTCTGCGCCCAGTTGATTCACATTCTCCGTCTTCAACGCGATCGACTTCGCCGGCGTGTCAAGTTCACGACCTACTGTGGGCCGAACGCAGATCGGCGCGAGGCGGTCAAGTTTGTATTCTGGCAGGGGCGGACGAGGAGGTTTGGATCCGAGAAGTTTGTACTGCTCTGGCCGGGGGGGAGGAGGAGGTTTATTTGAAGATGGTACGTCCCGTGAAGCTGGTACTGGTTCTAGTACTTGTTCTGTTCCTACATTGTATACAGTTGGTGGCGCGAGGAGGTCAGAAATGTTCTTTTTAGCTGCCTTGTCGGACGAAGATTCTGGTCGTAGTAGTTCTTGCGGTGGCAATGGTGGTGACCGTGAATCACCACGACCAGGAAATCCTCTTGCCAAAATTTCCTTTATCTTCTCCTTCTGCCGAGCAACAATTGCAGCTTTTTTTTTTGCTTTTTCTTTTGCTAAAACTTCCTTTAGCTTCTCACGTGGAGCAAGAGCTAAAATTTCCTTCACCTTCTCAGCTGGAAGTACAAGATGTTGAGCACCAGCAGCACGCGCAGCTTTTTCTACTTTTGCGGAAATTTCGGTATCCTTGAGCTTCTTCTCAGCTGGAGCTGCAAGAAGAGTACCAGCAGCACGCGCAGCATCTGCAGCTTTTCCTCTTTCCAAAATTTCCTTGAGCTTCTCAGCCGCGTCCTCGAGCTTGTCAGGCGGGCCAATTATAGGTCTCCTTGTGGACGACACCTCTTCAAAGCTGGAGTTGTGGCCTTTCACGACCTTTGTCTGCTGCTCTCCTTCTTGTTCTTCGGTCTTCTTGTTGATGTTGCCGACGACTCCTGATAGAATTTTTCGAATCTTCTCCAAGATGATTTCGTCTCCACTAGTAGATGTCGTAGTTGACACGACAGAGTTCTTGCCCTTCTTTGCCACCTGCTCTCGGTCTTCTTGTTCTTCTTCTTCGCCTTGCAGAAGAAGAAGATGAAGAGTGTCGTTGGCCCCCTTTGAAGAAAAAGAAGAAGATGCATCTACATCTTGAACAACCGCCTCCGCAACAACTGCGACCGGGAGAAGCAACTCCTCTTCCCGTTCCCGCATGTCCTTGTTCGTGATGTGAAAGAAGAAATCTCCTCGGACGATATCAAATGCAAAAATGTCTGGGTCTGGGAGATTGCAGGAGTTTGTCATGCATCTTCTCGATCACGCAACTGGTCTCTAATGCACGCAAAAGCATGACAGGTTTTGCGCAGGCCTCCTGATGTCTATCCCGCATGAGAAATTCCCTATTTGCGTAGCAATAAATGGGAAGCTTTTGGTGCTGATGCAATACAAATTTTTGCCTATTCCAGAATTCGCATGACAAGTTCCCACTCTTCCAGACCCAGACATTTTTACATTTGATAAACCAGTAACTGCGACAACTCTTTTTGCAGGTATTTTCTCCGCGCCGGACAGGTGACCGCGGGTAGTTTTTTTACGTCGCTTTCGCTGTAGTCGAAAACTGCCGGTGGGGGTCGGGTTTTCCTCCTCCACAAAGGGTCAGCACGACGAGCAATCTTTTGTTTTTCTGACAACTCTTTGTCTCCACCGAACAGAACTCGGTATGGAAACGTCAGGTTTGAAATCGACAAAATCGAAAAACTTGTGATGCGTAAAATGTAGGGCACTGCAGGCCTGTATTGGGAAGCAGCAAATGAGACCGAGAGCAATCCTGTTTAGGGGCATGCAATGCGCTGCCAGAGTGGCACGACAGGAGCAGTCTTCTTTGCCCAAACAGCATGACAGACTGGATTCGGGTGCTCCCGAAATTTGTCATGCGCAACTTGGAAACTGAGGCTCCAAGTGGTATCGATTTCATGCATCCCAAATTTTTCAACTTTGACGATTTCAATTCTGACACCCCCATACTCGCGCTTTGTTCCTTAATTTCCGCAAATACCCGGCGACGAACCCCGTCGGCCTGAGGTATTGTGACGAAAAATCCCCCCTCCCCATATTGAAAAGGCATCCGTCGCGAAATTTGTGATGCAGATTTGTGGCCACAAATCATTTTTGTCTTGCAAAAAGGCAAGCGGTGAGGGATGCGCCGCATCATGGATGCGGTTTGTCATGCTGCTTGGCCTACGCGGCAGGCGTTTCCCATGCTAAACAGCTAGACCCTTGCGCACGTAAACAGTCTAAGAATCTGCCCGCAATTCCTTACAGCAAGAGAGACCTCATTTGTGTACGCAAATCCAGCATCAGAAACTTTCTCTGATTTTCTTTTGATATGGGGAGGGGGGATTTTTCATCTTGATATGAGGTCCAAGATCTTCTCGATCGAGCGGAAGAAGGGCGGAATTGCGGAGGAGCTCTGGATGGAGACGCAGCCGACAATAAGGGCGGCCGCGACCGCGGTGACGCAGGCGAAATTGCAGGCCGTGTCGAAGGGGGAGATGAACTGGTCTTGATATTCAAGGACTTTATTCCTTGTGATCCGCGACTTCGTTATCCGCGTGAAATTCTTCGCGGAGTTCGTCGGGCGCAGGAAACACGGGTGTTGTTCTTGATGTTGTTGGGGAGTGGTTGATGATGATGTGGTGGTGGTACTACTATTATTATCCTTTTTCTGGTCGGTAGTTTTCAATTTCAATTTCATCTCGTCGGAAACTGGTGAAGTAGTCGACGTCGTCGTGTCTGCATTAACAGTTCCTTCTTCAGCGCGAGCTGCACCACTGGATAATTTCGAAGATTTCTTCGCCTTTTTTCGCTTCAATTGTCTGTGGTCTTCAGCTGGACCGCAACCGCTGGCTTTCGATCTCTTCGCCGTCTTGTTTCGCTTCTTTTTGATGTTGATGCTCTCGCTGTCTTTTTGTTTATTTTCATCGGTTCTATCTTCTCCACCTTCCTCGTTGTTCATCATCTTCTCTTTCGCAGAAGCGGATCGGTGAGTCCCCGAGACCAGCAGTTCCGTAAGGTCCTGTTCGGATACCAACTCGTTAAACAGAAACAGCGCCAGCCGCTCCACGTCCATCCGGGCACTGTTCGCCAAAAATGATCCTCGTCCAGCGAAAAAATTCCCCATTCCGGCGGAGGTGGCGGCTCTGGCACTAGCTCTACCATTGTTGTTCATCCCATCTGGCCGCACCACTACTTCCGGTGCTAGCGCGAGCCACTTCCCGAGAAACTTCTCAGTTTCCCCACTCTCCTCGCCCCACCGGTGCTCCACAACAAACTCCATTCTGTTACTTTGCAGCATCGGCCAACTCTGACAAAAGCGCACGAGGCACCCCCGCGCGGTTTGTAGTGCGGCGGCCTTCACGCCGAGGAGGGGCGCGGGAGGTTTATTGCTGTGGGAGAAGAGTAGATTCCGGTGGTTCCGCAGAAACACGGTTCTCCACACTTCCTCCGCAACTTCCCCGTACTGGGCGAAAATCCGGCGGATGCAGCTTTTCAGTGACTGCTGGGTCTTACCCACCTGCTCGCAGGCCTCGCGATGGGTTTCATCTGTGAGAGTGAGGATTTTGTCCAGCGTAAGAAACTGACGCTTGGGGCGGACGTGCAGGTTTTTCAGATTTGTTTTCGGAGCAGGATTTGATGTAGTTCGTGGGGTGTTCTTACTGGTGGTCGTCGACGTCGATGTCGCTGCAACCAGAAGAGGAGATTTCTTGTCTGGGATCAACATCTTCATCCCGGTCTTTTTTAGGGTCGTCGATGTATTGGTTGAAGATGAAGAAGAAGTCCCAACTTTGATGTCCGTGGAGTTGTTGTTCTGAAGATCTATCTTTTCAGGAAGTGAAGATAGCAACGTATTTTTGAAGATACCATCATCCCCGGTAGAAGTTGTAGAAGCTTTAATATTTTCGGAAGTAGTAGATCCAACGGCTCCCGGAGCAGGTGGTCCTGTAGTTGCAGCAAGAGGAGGAGCTCCTCCTCCCCCTGAGAGTCTTTTCATAACAGTCACTGTTTCGACATCGGAGAGCGAGATCTGGTCTTCTTCAGAGGACTCATCGTCATCTGCTTGTTCAGAACCAGCACGCACTTGTTTTCCCTGCTTTTTTGAACCATATCACAGGAAAAAGTGTAGACGTAGACGGTTTTAAGAAAATGCAACAAAAAAATTTTGTGAGCACCCTAGAGGATATTACGAATGCCATAAAAACACGTGCTCACATGGCTAGCTATTGCGGGACTCCTTTGTAGCTTAATTCATTTGCGCTAGCTAGTGCAAAAGGTCTGGGCGCCGTCCTGCCGATCCATCAAGTGCCGTTCGAGGAGACCTGTCTGGACAACCACTGTTCCTGGCCCGGGGTCGTAACGCCCCAGAAACAGGTCGGCTGGGTGGAGTCTGCAACTTTCCGGCTGAGAGTCAGGCAATTGTCCGGCGGGAACGTCAGCAGGGTCTCCCTGCGAATCGACTATGGCACGCAGTCTAGATGCGACGTAGACGGTTTTTCTGGGTTTTTTTGTTGGTCAGGGCCACTTTTTGACCGGGTGGCGAGCGTCTGGGTGGCGGTGGCGGAGTCGGAAGAGGGGGAGGACGCAGAGAAAACGCGGCAGTTTGCACGATGCGATCGTCTTTTCCGGGTCCCCTACTCATGCAAAGTTTTTCAACGTTGCGACCGGGTCCAGGAGGCGGCACCGACGTGGAGGCGAAACAGGGTGAAGCTGCACAATTTGCCTCCCGTGGCTGGCGACCTTTCGCACTAGTTATCTAAATTCAATGCAGCTACATTGGAGTCCCGCGGTAGCTAAGATCATGACCTACTTGATTTACACCTACTCAAAATTCCTACAGGGCACGCAAAAAATTTTTTTTCGAAAAATTGAAAAACCGTCTACGTCTACACTTTTGCTTGTGATAAGGACTCATCGTCATCTGCTTGTTCAGAACCAGTACGCACTTTTCCCTGCTTTTTCGCAGTTTGATTTGCTCCACCTTCGAGGTTCTCTACTTCGACGGACACGGAGGAGGACAGCTTCGTCTTCACATTATGCGTCGTGCTGAAGATTGACGTACTCTGTTCCGTTTTTACTGCGGCCGAGGAAGCTGCACTAGAAGACGACGCCACTTGTTCTGTAGAAGTTTTTTTCAGAGGCATCTTCGCTTCCACCCTTGGAGGCCGAATCCCTTGCAGCGAGATTCTCCGGCGCTTCCGAGTCGCGACAAGGTCGGTGTTCACTTCGCGCTTGCCGCCGGAGGAGGTAGTAGAAATCTCAGATTTCTCCTCTAGTAGTTGAAGACCACTGCTGCTGTGGTGGTCGTCTTCGCCAAGTAGATGAACATTTGGACGTTTGAGTTTGTTTGGTAGCAGAAGAGCCTCGGTGTTGTTGTCCTCGACGAACAAGTCGTCTTCCAAATCCAATGTTTCCGCCACAAAGTCTTCTATGTCATCATCATCGTCAAGTTGTAGACCGTGTGAAGAAGATGTCGTGCGATCTGCTGGCAAAAATGAACCCTTTGCAGTGTCAGCACCTCGGCCGACCACAACATCTTTCCTTTTCCGTTCCTCCTCGAGCATCTTGCGCGCCAGCTCCCGACACGAATAGCCCTCCCCCTCAAACTGGGCCATTATGTGCAGAATTGCAAGTAAAAAGCAGTCGGTCAGCCGTGGGGGGCTTTGCCTGGCCTTTAGCGGCGTGTGGTTCATCTTCTGCAAAAACACGCTCGCCAGCTGCATCGCCCGGCCCGAGAAGTTGTAATTCTTAGACAATTTTTCCAGCCGCTGCAGCTTGTTCACGCTCAGTAATGGGCCGCGCGTTGAGGTGTTGTCGTTGTTTTGTTCAGTGTGAACATTATTGTCGGGGCCAAAAAAACCTGGTTCGTTTTGTGCTATTTCCTCATATTCTTCCATCACCCGTTGCGTTTTTTCCCTCGCAGCTGTCTTCGGGCTCTTCGGCGGCCCTTGTGCCTGCTGCAACTCCTCCTCGTCACCGAAGAAAATTTCTTCGAGGGTCAATTCCCTCTGTTCCTGCTGCACGACGGAGGAGGTGCTCCTGTCAGGCATTTTTGCACTGTCTCTACTGGAACTTTTGGCCGCGTCAATGGTCGCAGCATCGGTTGATATTTGTTCGCCTGGTTGATGTTTTCCTTCGTCCGACTTGAAAACCTTTTCCCAGTCTGTTTCATCGTCGTCCAAAACGTTCGGAGACAAAAGTTTATTTGACGGCTCCCTCTGAATAGTTGGCTGTTCTTCTTTGTCATCTGCTTGAGCAACCGCTTTCTGCATCAAGGCAAATTCCTCATTTTGATGTTGCGCCGAATTCAATCGATTGGCCCTGTTAGAAGAAGTACTCGGTCCACCGAACGTCGCACCGCCCGATCGCGGCACAGTAGAAGGCCTAGAAGAAGAAGATGAGCTACCAACACCAACTCCTCTGCCAGTACTGCCCATATTCATTCCACCCCGCGGAAACAGACCACCACCACCCCCACGACCCCGGTTCTCCCGTATCGCGTGCGAATTGAGCACTTTCATCCGGTCGAGAAAAAACAGCTGCGAGCGGTTTATCAACTATAAAAATGTCTGGGTCTGGAAGATTCTGACACTTGTCATGCACGTTTTGCATGAACCATGACGTCTGTAATGCATACCGTAGCAATACAGATTTTTTGAGGGCTTCTTGATGCCTATTCCGCATGACACATGCCTTCTCAGCGTAGCAAAAATTGCATTCCGTTTGCTACTCATGCAATACAGATTTTTTTGGAATCCAAATACAGCAGCACAAGTTGCATTCTTCCAGACCCAGACACTTTTGCATTTCATACGGTTGCTGGTGCCACCGTTTGACACCATGGTGGTTTGGGTAGCGGTGGACAGCTATCAAGTGCAAATATGTCTGGGTCTGGAAGAGTGCGCGATTTGTCATGCTGCTTTTCCATGACCCATGAGGTCTGGAATGCAGGACCTAGCATGACAGATTCTGCGAGACCTTTCTAATGCCTATCCTGCATGAGAAACTACCTCCCGACTTGGTCAAAACTGGACGACTTTTGGTAATCATGCAACACAGATTTTTGCATGCTGCAGATTTAGCATGACAAGTTGCAATCTTCCAGACCCAGACATTTTTACATTTGATAACAGCCCCCGAATCTGCTTCCCGGAGTCATCCTTCGTGAGGCCAAACCGCTGACTGATGTCGTTTTTCGACCCCAACACGTCCGCCCGGGTGTTTTTGTCCTGCGTGTTCTCGAAAATCCGCCAGTCCGTGCCAAAATCGATGTTCACGTTCTTTTGCACCACGCCACACTTGGTACAAACTAATCCGATCAGGTTGTCCTGAATCAAGGCGGTGGACCCGCACTTCTTGCAGGCACCGGCGTCGTCTCCACAGATTCCCATTTTATTTTACTCGATGCTGGGTTTTTCTTTTTGTACAACGCTTTTACGTGTGTAGTGTGAGATGAATCTGTAACTGCTGGAGAACCATCCTAAGGAGACCTACGAGTCTCTTCATCGTGAGATGGAACTAAAAACAAATCTACGAAAATAATCCACCGTAACTATCTGAAGTATTCCTGCTTTATGTCTACTCGTTTTCTGTCGCTGTGAAGTGAGATTCAGAGGACGGGTGTTGAAAGAATGATCATTCTTGAAACAAGAACCTATTTTTATTTAGAGTAGGATCTCGTGGTTTCGCGTGATTCAGATCCAGGAACAGGTGTCGTATATCTGACATAATCGGCTTTGACCGTGATCGCTTTTCAAATTTCATTTGTCGTTTGACCATGATCAAGAACATCAGCTGTAAGCGCCTTGAGACGCGACGCTGCCGGTACTCTTTCACCCAAATTTGTGTGTACTAGAGGTCGTTTATTAGGTCTTTAGAAGCGTTTTCTTACCTCGACAAAGTCGACTTTCAGATCGACCTCCGGGTATTTAATTTTGAATTGCGTCCTCGGACTCCAGCGGACCACCTCGATCTTCCTTGCCATGTCTTCAAAAATATGAACCTGGAGTCCGGGACCACGACCAACCACAATATTACAATCAGGATCCCGAATATATTTTAAAATTAATACATAACAGATTTCTCGAACTTTAGACTCCATCAAGAAGATGAAATTTAATTTTACAACACAAGTGGAACTCAAACGAGGGAAATGGCAAATGTTCAAGTCAATCAACCGATTTCAAACTAGCATTTGGTAAAATAATTCGAAGTGCAACAAAACCCTAAATACATTTTTCAACCCGCACACCTATCGGAGGTATGTGATCGAAGAGACAGATGAAGAGGCCGCTTCTGTGGAGGTTCCAACACGTCGGAACAACTAATTTCAATATAGATCTTTTTTTTTGCCAAAAGCTAAACGTCGAAGTAAATAAACAATTTCTTTTTTTATCGGTGCTTTATTTTGAAGATATGGTAGCAGGCAATTTGGCTGTGAAAAATGACAACTAATTTTTAACGCCAATATACTTAAATTGCAGTCATCCAGCGGCAGAGCGGCAAGGCATAACAAACTACACAAAGAACAAACAGAAGAAAAACTCGTTCAAAAGGCGAACACGTTCACTTTAGCTTCAACGCGGAACAATCTGGTGACGATTCGGGATGTACGCGAGCGGGTTCAACAACGCCGGGACCCAGCCACCGTAGGCCCGCTCGCACCCCTCCCTCCGTCGATTGTCGTACATCGTAAAATCCCTTGCGGTGCAGGTCTTGAATCCGCCGCCCCACTCGTTCTCGACGCAGCAGTCTTGTCCATTGCCGCCAAAGGCAGGCTCTTCTTCGTTGGCGACACGAGTGAAACGAGTCACCGGAAGACACCCTTTTCCTGCATCCCCCCTCTTGTACGCGCACCTCCAGCTTCGTCCGAGAACGTGGGTCGAGACGTACGACGAGCTCGAAATATCTGGTGTTTCGATTGAGTTCTACTTCTAGGTATGGAAGACGAGGATAATACACACATATTTCTGACAAGATAACTGAAGTTGATATACACCCGTTAGCAGAAATCTGCTGTGAACGCTCCTGCATCATGATCATGATCAACTTCTGGTTCAGCGCTCCAAATAAACGAAAAATGAAAGTGCGAAACTAAAAACTTTAAAAAATCGACAAATATCATTTTTATATGAATGTGACTCAGATTATCTTTTTCAATCTTTATCATATCAATGGATACCATCGTGGCTGATCTCTTCGATAATCTCGTCGGTCGCCTGGCTGGACTCCGGTTTCGCGGCCTCCGCATCTCCGTCCGCATTCAGCCCAAGAACGGAGTCATCCTCGTCTCGGCCTCCGCGAAAATTCTTCTTGGGCGGCTCATACGCGTCCACGAGACTGACCTTCGCCGCACCGGCGGAGAGCGCCATCAACCCGGCACGGCCACGCTGACCGCAGCGGGGGGCGGACTGGCTCCGCTTCGCTTTCACCTTTTTATCCAAGGTGGGGTGCTTGCACCTGCTGCCGGACCTGCAAAAGCATTTTCAAGATTGAAGGTTTTTTTTTTTGCGTAAGCGTACGTTTCAGAAGTACTCACGCATCATCCGATCACGGTTATGGTTGACATTTACGTACGAAATTCAAACAAGCTCCGTATCGTCATGTCGCTGGGCTTCAGCTACTCATGCTCATACATGACACAAAAAAAGAAAATACCTTTGGCAGCTCCGCTCGCGGTCGTAGAGGTCGGTGTAGGATGACATGATTGATGTGATTCTTGTTGGAATTTCTGAGGCCACAGTCGCAAGTAGATCTCCACGTGAGGAGGTAAGTGCCTACCAACTCGTCACTGTTCGACAAAAAAAACTATAAACATAAAGTAAAAACGAAATCCCCCATTAATACTAGAGTTCGGTTCCACTTTCACGATCAACATGACGAACGATGCAGGAGCGGGACCCACGGCTCTAATACGATACGGTCCGAGTGCGCCGGGCTCAGTACCACTCACGACAGGCATAGGAAGACCAAGACGAAGTGCAATTTACGATTATTGAGATTTCGATTTTTGTCGTCCGATATTTTTCAAAATCTCCATACGATTGTTCCGACACTTGACACTTGTTCTACTTTTGCATTCCCACGAGTATGTTCCAAGTGATATCACGCTAGTGAAACACTTCTCGTCCGGTTGGACTTGGAGGATCCCAACATAGAGTCTACAATATAAGCAGATACAGTAACTACACAGATCGATGACAGTTCGTACTACAACATAACGGAGACATAATAGATACGCGCAGGCCTTCACTTCCTACGACGTTGACGAGCATGACGAGAGTCATCTTCTTTTGGCTTGACAATGGATTTTCATCACGCTGTGGTTTTCAATGCCTCCATTTCTGTCCTCGGATAGGAGTCGCTTCAGAAGCGTTTCCTTACCTCGACAAAGCCGACTTTCAGATCGACCTCTGGGTATTTCTTTTTGAATTGCAGAATCACATTCAAGCAGCTAAGACAGGGGGTCCGTCGCACGGCGAGCGAGATCCAGCCGGTTGCAGTTGCTGACAACGGTGGTGGCCGCGCCTGCGGTGTTGCATCAAAAGAAACCTGCTCCGTTCGTCCCGTAGCTGCCGTATCGATTTCCAGCATTGCGTCGAGTTTTGCCAGCGCCAGAAATTCCACGTCTCGGTCGCGTCTGTGGCGGAAATCCCACGGCCCGACGGAGAAGCTCGGGAAAGGACGACGGCACGATGAGGCAGCAGACGGAAGAACTACAGGACGACCAGCAACGAAGCCCGATGGGGAAGGATATGCCGATCCGGTAGAAGTTGTACCTGATTCCAGCTCCACCCCAGAGCCGCTGAAGCCACTTTTTCCCGCAATGCGCAGCTCGTAGCTCATAACGCCCGTGGTGCGACATGTGGAGGACGCGGACGGCGACGGACTGTTGCATGAACTTGATGTTCCTAGCAGTGAATCCCTTTCCTCATCTCCCAACAACAGCCTCCACTGCCGCAGAACCTCCCGAGTGTAGCGCGGACCAAGGTCGCTGAGGTGCGAGGCCTCGAGGGTGGCACGGTGAAAAACTCCTCGCTGGACCGCACGAACTTCGCGGGACCGGAGCCAGAGAGCTGTTTTGCATGTAATTGTAATGCTAATCCTAATGCGTGAACAATTGAACAAAAACATCACTTCGTTGTAAAGACAAAATTCACATTTGAAACGGTACAACCTGACGCTGAACTCCAACTGAAAATCCCTGGTGTCCGAGCTGGAGCGATTCACGATTCACGCAGAATACGTCGTTGCACATGCTTACGTACTTACCTTCAACTTCCTCGCGAAATCCTTTCAGCCCGGTCCATTCCGCATTTACGAAGGTGTGGAGGAGGAACAGTCTGTACGGGTCATCATCTTCTTCGCTCGTAGTACCTCCCACACTTCGCCTTCGGACCAACTGCTTCAATTCCGCCAAATTTTTGGCGACCAGCCCCGTCCACTCTTCCGGACCAAATGACTTCCAGAAAACCCGCAGCCAGGCCGCGGGGAGACGGAGAGGAGGTGGAGGAGAACCAGGGGCCGCAGCTACTCGATGTTCTACAACTTCCAGACTTTTTACCATACTACTAACGTGCTCCTCGAATAACCGTTGAAACGCTGGTGCATTCGCCAACGTGAAGTCGTTCTTGACGCAATGCACCGCGAGTTCTGTCAGTTTTTCGAGCGCTCTAGTAGTGCTGCTGAGTGGAGTGCCAGAGGAACCAAGATCCGCAGGCGAAGACGAGGACCAACACGTCGCCGGTGGTTGTACTATGAACCGGTGAAGATTTTCCGCGACTTGTGGCAATAGCTGGTTTTTGATCTTTCCTCGGTTCGGAAACTGGTCGATGGCGTTTACTACGGCAAGCATGCGGTGGAGACAAGCGTGTTTGCTTTTGTCATCCATTTTTTGTGCCCTCCCCGTCGTGAGGACATTGCTGCCGCTAGAAGCGTGGGAACAAATCATCTGCTGCTCGCAATACGCTAGAAATTGCCTCTCCAAATCCAGCGCGATGCACAAATCGCTTACCAATCTGCTCGGGAGGCGATGGTGGCGAAGAAGCGGTAGGGGATCATGGCGACTTTTAATACTGCAAGCTGCCGAAGAACTTCTGGTTCTTCGGTTGTCAGAAAAGAACATGCGACGGAAGACGTAATGGGACAGTGTGTGCTTCAACGGCTCCGACAGTTCTTGGTGGTTCTTTCCATCGTTCCTCCTGGAGGTATTTATTTTGGCCGTTTTAATATCCGAAAAACCCCCACCTGCTAGCCGTTTCTGCATCCTGTGAACCGTGACGACCAGACTGCACAGGTCTTCGAGCGATAGTTTGCCAAGTGAGATCCGCCCGAGCAGGTTGGAAAAGTTCGTTACTGAAGACGAGGCCTCTACTCGTTGGTCACGACTACTGTGTGCGGCTCCCAGCTGCAGCAGCTCCAGCAAGTTGTCTTTGTTTTGCTGAAACTCCGAACAAGTCTTGACCGGAACGCGCAACGCAAAGCGCTGCAGTATGTTTTGTGCGAGAGCACCAGAGAAATCTTTGTTGTAGCGTTCTTCTGTTGTCCTGGTTGTAGTGGTGGTCGCTTCATCAGTGTCATCGGCTTCCACTTGATGCAGTGTGCCACCAGGCGTCGTGTAATTTTCCGGTGGTCGCCTCAGCACTGCGGTTGTGATCCTCTGCTGCCAGGAAAGATTGGCTTTCTGGATCAACTCCCCGCGGTCCTTTTCGCCTGATGAATTATTTCGCCTGGTGTTTCTAACCGAATCTCTTTGTGAAGAAAGCTGCTTGAACAAAAAGCTCTCCGCCGCCAGACTCTCTAAAAGACTCAATTTCGGCCCACCGCCGACCAGAGTGCCCTTCAACCGCATGCGCCAGGCGCTGTAGTCGTTTAGCGCGGCGAGGTCGGTGCTTTGCACGATTTCGCGGTGGATTTTGGCGGCGTCAACATAGGATTTGGCAGCATGTGTGGTTGAAGTGGATTCTTCCACCGGCTCGTCTCCAGCAGTCTCGTCCGGACCGCTCTCTGCGTGATCACGGTCGTGGTTCTCATCCGCACCGAAGTCTTCTTGTCCGGTAGGTGCTACTGCGGATACCGACGGTCCACCTGGCGCAACACGAACCCCTTGAAGATTTTGCGGCCCTTGTTGTCCTTGAAGCTTCTCAAGCACTTTCCGCAGGATCCCGGCAAGCTGCAAGGCCAGGGGCGCGCTTTGTGCTGCTGTACTGTGGTTGCCTTGCTGCGCGTGGTGATCTTCGGCTTGATTAACCGGAAAGAAGGGATTCCTGCCCGGTGCACTAGTAGATCTTGAGCCCGTACTGGTATCCGGCTGACCACCCGTACTGCCCCTTGGAAATCCTCCTACTGTATCATCTGGAGAAATTGTTCCTTCTCCTCCTTTCAGCTCACCCTTTCGGAACTTCCGTGCGAGCGCCCAACGGGACCGCGAGTTGTACGGGATTGATGGTAAGCTGCTCGTTTCTGATGTTGCTGGCACTGCATCCATCTTACTGTCATTAACTGGCTCTTTGTCTGCTAGCTCAGCATCATCTGGACCGCGATCCTTGTGCAGGTTCTCCTTTTCGCTGGCTGAGAACAGAAAACCTTTGCGCTTGCGCTGATTAAACAGGAAGGGCTTAGTAGTTGCCGTCATCGACGTTGTGGGCGAAGATGCCGCTGTCATTCCCGGAGCGCCGTCCCTGGCAACTTCTGCAGAGGATGGAGCTGACGATCTTGCTCGGTGCTCGAGGAATGTATGATTTTCTTGTTGACGGATCGGAACCAGGTCATGGCTAGTACGCGTTGCAGCGGCTGCACTGCTGTTTTGCCGGATCCAGTTCTCCAACCTATCATCTGCCTCGAACGCCCTGTAGTCATCCGAGGCAGTGACGACACGGTGGTAAGACGGTGGTTCTTTTGGATTTGGAGATGCCGTCGATGTTAAAGCGGTGGTTTGTTCATCATCGTCGCTCGGCTCCACCGAGGTTTTTACGGATGAAGGAGGAGAGCCGCTGCTTGTTACATCCGGCTCGTCCCGCTCTTTTGCAAGGTCGGCGTTCTTTTCGGGTGCGGCTCCTGCGGGAGGTGCAGCCGGGTTTACTTGTTCCGTGGCAGAAGTGGCGGAAGCCGACGCCGCCTCATTTCCACTTTTCCCGGAAAGAACGCCAGGTGGCTCATCTACCGTGGTAGAAGTTGCCATCTCTTCGAGCACCGCCTTGACGTCGACGGGGACAAGCAATGGTGCGTGCGGTCCCCCCAGAGGTGGAATGAAGGGTTGTAGAAACGCCCCGGCATGATGAACGACCCTTGGTTGGTGCACCACTTTCACCTTCGGTAGCGCACTTCCATTTGGAGGTATCAATTTCTCCTGTTTCTCCTTCCCGTTCTGGTCGTGGTGTTCGGTCCTCGATAGCAAATATCGTCTCAGCGGCACTGCAGAGTAGCCCTGCTGCTCGTTGCGCTTTTTACCACCGCTCGTGCCATTTCCGTTCTCCCCATGTTGATCTTCCGCAGACACGTCTGGCACTGGAAAGTCGTTGATATCGTGACTACCAGCTGTGCTCTCAGGCACACGGTCGATCAGATCGTCTTGCGAAGGATGGTGTAGATCATTTGTTTCCAGTGCTTGCGGGGTAGAAAAATCGATTTCCACGTGTTGCTCGCCCTGGTGACCAGCGTCGTCTGCAGGACCACCGGTTGTTCCTTGCAACGCACTGTCGAGATTCAACTCTTGGATGTCGGTGTCTTGAAGATCTTGATCGTGATCAAAACCTTCTAAATTCCCACCGTTCAGCACATCCAGATTCCCCGTAGTTCCGTCGATCGGCACTGCGATCACTGTCACAATATCTTTTTTCCCCGCGCCGGGGGTCGTTCCTGGGACGTTTGTACCTCGTCCCGAAGACGCCAGCGCCTTCCCGAGCGTGCGCTTCAGCGCTGCGGCAAGCTGGCTGCGAAGCTTTGCATTTAACCGCACCGGCTGCGGGTTGTGAGTGGAGGCTGCAGTATCTGTATCTCCGAACACAGGAGTCAATTGGTCGCTGTTGAGCGGGATAAGACTCGTTGTTGTACTAGCGGCCGGAGATGATCCTATCGTACCTACGCTAGTACCGTTCAACAAAGCGGTTGTCGGTAGCGCGCCAGCACCGCTTCCAACAGTTCCTGTCGCTGGGTAGGCCGGGAAGTCGGTGAGACACAGCTTTTCGAGCATCGCATTGGAAAACGTGCCCCGGTCTGCCAGGACGTCGAGGAACTGTGGTAGAATATCCGAAATCAGAAACGCGTAGTGCTTCACGGTGAGGGGGAGAAAAGAGGGTTGGAGTTTTGCTGCGGCGGGGTGATCCCGCGTTCTTTCTACCAGCCGTGTAGATGAGCTGCTTAGGCGCGAAGTCTTGTGCTTGATGTTGATCTTTCCGAAAAATCGCTGACTGCCTCTCCAAGAGGCTGCTGCAGCCACCCTCCCTGCTCGTTGTCTCCATTTATTGTCGTTGTGGCCCCCGCTTGTCGTGGTCCCCTTCGCGGAGAGAAGATTTTTCCGAAACCGCCGACACCGCACGACCCTCTTTTTTTCCGCTGATCCCAAAGATTGCACGGAGATCATGTTCACTTTCTTTCTACCACCAACAAGGCCCTTCGACTTCCTTCCTCTGCCATTCGCAGCGATCCACTTGGCCAAGTTCTCGAACTGTAGTGTAGTCTCCTGCGTCGAAGTCGACGGTTTTTGTTCAGTCGACACTGTATCATCATCCGGGTCGAAAATTGTCTTTCTTCTGGGTAGTTGTTCATCTACTGGTCCTCCTTCTTTATTGTCCTTCGCTGCAGCAGCACTAGATTGGCCGGCACAGGAGCTCTCTTCCGCCGTTGGAGATTCTACTTTCGTTTTGCTGGGTTCGGTGGCCATCGTCTCAACGTCCTCCAAAAGCGCATCGTATCGTAGCTTCCACCGCCATCGCTTTACCTCCGGATCGTTCCTCCCCAAGTGCTCAATCTTCTGCAGCAACGCGAAAAACACGTTTTCGGTCAGGGAGAGAGCTGCACCTTGGTCACGCTCAGAGGTGGAAGCGGTTGATGATAATGTATTATGCGAAGTTGTGTTGTAGCTCTGGAAAAACTTTGCGACCTTCTTGTTGCAATCCTCCTGGTGCTGAGAAATGAACGACACCTTGTTGCACGTGTTTTGCGCGTAGTTGCGCCGTCGAGAGGTACTAGCTGAGCCAATATTCTGTTTTTGAATGATCTCCGTAGTTGCTTCAGCGCTCAGCGTCTGGTTTACCCGTAAGACATCCAAGCAAAGCTGCTCAAATTGCAGGTCGGTCAGTTTCGTATGCAGGTCGTCTTTGTTGCTGTTTAACAAATGCACCGCCCTCCGCAACTCGCGCCGGGCCGCGCGGGGCGGGGGTTCGGACGCCGGAAAAACTACCGGTGGAGGAGCATCTAGTGCAACTACTTCGCTGGATTCGTGGTTCTTCGCTGTATTTCGTGTTTTACCATCAACCATGTATTGGTCTCCGCGGCTAGAAGACGAACTGCAGCTCCCTCCGTAGGTGTAGTTTTTGCCAAGAACCTTTTCCAGTGCTGGCACGGCTGGAGAGATGTTCGAGTTGATGCTCGTGTTTGAAGCCATGCCTTTGGCAGCTGTTTGTACTGTCGTGGAGTCGCCCGATCTTTTCGCGGTTGGGGCACCAGCGTCCTGATCACCGGATTTGACAGTACAACTACCATTCACTTTATTTTCTTTCCTCAGTAATTTCACCCTGCCTCGCCGAGAGGCGTGGATTCCACTTTTCTTCTGCGCCCGCGGAAAGCGACGCGCAACCGACCGCTCCAAGCACTGCACGGCGCGTGCAAACGAGTTCGCGGCCGCCGTGCTAGTGCCACCACTTCCCGTCATTTGTAGGTACACTTCGTGTTGCAGCGAACAAGTTCCTGCCCACTATACTCTGAAAGTACTTAAGTACTTAGCAGTGCCGATGAGCTACTGCTCCAGCGTCTTTGATAGGATGAAACAAAGCACGAGACTTCAACCATACCAACCTTCCTTGCTGACGCGCAAACGCGCCGCAGCACTCGCAGAGGAAAAAAAAAAGAAAGAAGGCATGTGCAAACGAAAATGCAGGTGATCTTCATTCGCAAAATTGAAATTCTACATGGGCTTTACTGGTAGATTCAGCTGCCAACACGATGATCCTGTTACACTAATGTGAATGAAACCGGGAGAACACATAGGAGCGCGGAATTTTTTTGAAAAGAAACGGACGACGGGCTTTCGATTTCGTCCGACAAGCAACAACGATTTTTGACAATTTTCAGGGCTGCGTTATTGGAGAAAAATTGTCCTATGTATTGGGGTCAGTGCAGTGCTTTTATTTACACGGTGGAAGATCACGTCTACTTGCAACAATAAAGACACGAAACTTGTTGTTTCAGCACGGTTCTAATGTACTCCTGCAAATGTCTATCGGTGAAATTTTTGCATCGTGGGAAAAAGAAAATAAAACAAAAAGCAAAAAACCAAAAATGTAATCGGATCATGATCAAAAAGTTACAGTACAAGATCTATGCCACGTTGTCATTTTCACATACCATAGCACCAGATATTGCACTTCAAAAAGAAAAACTTGCGTTTGAAAATTTCATCACACGTACTAACTCTACTCCTTCCGCAGCACCAGAATCCAGTCAAACGGCCCGCTGTTCAGTTTCTTGAACTTTTTCTCCACGGCAGCCTGCGTATCAAGTGCAAAAATGTCTGGGTTTGGAAGAATACATGTTTGTCATGCTTGTCTGGCATGACTCTTAAATCTGTCATGCACGTTACCCAAGCGCTCCATTTTTCTGTGATGCAGAAACGCAGTTTGTCATGCAGAATAGGCAACACCTAGAAGCTCAGAAACTTGTCATGCTGAGCCAGCATTTGTGGCCTCATCATGTTCATGAGACGCCACCCAGCATCACAAGTTTCCAGACCCAGACATTTTTACATTTGATACTGCGAGGTGTTATTCGAAATGCAGTCGAAATCGATCTCCGTATCCCAGGTAAACTCGGCTTTTGTGGTGTGCAACACGTCAAACCCGACACTGTTGACCATTTCGATAATTTGTTCCTTGATGTAATGCTGCGTCCGGACCTCCTGGTCGCCGCGTTTCACAATGCCGTTCAGGAGGTCTTGGCGGGACATCTTGGCGTTGTACCTGATCGTGGTGGTTTGATTTCAATAAACTGCGCTAGAAGAGAGAAACTTCTAGGTCGACGTAGTAGTCATCATGCACTAAAACCCGCGGCAAACAAATTGTTTTCGTATTCGTTCACACTCTAGTACAGAAAAAAACACCAACACGCAAAATGAAAATTCTGTACTTGTCAATCCCCTTCACCAGTTGCGAGCATTCCTTGCCGGGCCCGTGCTGGACCGCCCACAGGCCGAACAGATGCGACTCCAGCGCGGGCACGAGGAGAAACAACACCCCCTTCGGTTTCAGGCACTTGTGAATCGTCTCCAGAATCCCCACCTGCACGTTCTTTTCCGGGGAAAGCAACACGTTCGCGCACACACCGAAGTCAACACACTGGTGATTATCGCAAGGAAAAATCCCCCCTCCCCATATTGAAGAGGTAGGTTTTCGAAAATTTGTGTTGCTGATTTGAGGTCACAAATCACGTTTGTGTTGCAAGAAGACAAGGGCAGCAGCTTCCGTCCCATTATGGAGGCGGTTTGTCATGCTGTTGAGCCAACATCACGGACGCTTCTCATGCTAAGCGCCTAAGTCAAAGCATCTCTGCTCAGGCTTGATATGGGTCTGCAGTCCTCTCTAGCAAGACAGATGTGATTTGTGTACTCAAATACAGCAACACAAATTCCGCTTTCGATATGGGGAGGGGGGATTTTTCCTCACAATAGTGATTCACCGGCAGCTTTGCCTTGATCATTTGCTCCACGGATTTCGTTTCCGTCAAGGAGATATCAAATGTAAAAGTGTCTGGGTCTGGAGACTTGTGATGCTGGTTGGCGTATCATAAGGCGGCCACAAGTGCTGGCTCAGCATGACAAGTTTCTGAGCTTCGGGGTGTTGCCTATTCTGCATGACAAACTGCGTTTCTGCATGACAAAAAAACGGGGCTCTTGGGTAATGTGCATGACAGACTTTGGGGTCATGCTGGCAGAGCATGACAGACCTTCCATTCTTCCAGACCCAGACATTTTTACAATTCATAGGAGATCGCCGGGCGGAGGATCTCCACGTTAGTGAACTTTTTGCACTTCCGCTCCGCCTGATCTAACAGCCCTTCGGAGAAATCTAACCCGAGGACCTTGAGAAAATGCTTCGACAGGGTCGGGAGGTATTTCCCAACCCCGCACCCGAAATCCACTGCGACCTTTTTCGTGTCCGCGTGCTTCTTCAGGATTTCCAAGATGTGCTTGGTCTTGTCGGTTTCGATCGTGGAGAGAATCTCGTCGTCGTATTCCGGGGCAATGGCGTCCCAAAACCCGGAGTGGGACACAATGTCGTTCTTCTTCACATGCTTTTCGAAGTCTGAGGCTCTTTGCTGCTGGGGACTCCGTTTCGGCGACAGTGTCGGGCTGTTGGAGCTGGAGGAGGGAGCTTTATTTCTCGTCGGGCTTTTACTTTTCCTCATAGCAGGCGCCGGCGTAGTGGAGGGGCGAAGCTTGGGGGAGGAGCTGAGGCTCGAAGTCTTCATCGCGGTGAGTGGCTTCTGGACACCCGATTTGGGGGAGGAGTACTTTTTCATGCTCGACATAATTTTGGTAGTTCTTTGCACTACTAATATTCGAATGGATTGAAAGCAAAGCGAGGAAGGAGGTTATTTGAAAACGTTCCGCTGGAATAGTCTCAAGTATAATTTTGTTGTGTGAGTTTATTTTTTTATTCACCGTACAAGGATGAGCGGGCACCACGGTAGGAAACTGTAAACGTGCAGGTTCTATTCATGAGCTTCGAGTTTAACAGCTAGGGAAACGGTGACTGCGATGCGTACGAAGAAAATCATTGGAAGAACGAACGAAACCGAGCGCACGAACGATACGGAAGTGGAACAAGAACCGCAGATAGAAAACCGAAACAAAAATTCGTTCACGAAAATACGAGGTAAGTAGTCATTGTTGACGAACCGAGAAACCACGCAAGTTTTTCTTGACAACGAAACCGAATTGGCACGACAAAAAGCACGAGCAGCTAGCAAAATTCAACTCCAACCGATTTCAGGATCCAGCAACTACTCCTACCACTGCCGATGTGAGCCATCAGCCATGCTTCAGGTGCTGATAACGAAAGCCGGCATAGACACAGCAACTTAGCGACACACAAAGCATGTCCTGCTCGCTCTCGTGCAACAGAAATTTGAGTTTCTTGAAGCCTCACAGAAGAAAAGAAGTGGTCGTCTGAAAATTATGCAAATGCAAAATGTAGTCAATGTTGATAAGTATTGTACCTTTATTCTCGTCGCGAGCTGCGCAAACGAACCTAGCTTGCGAAACAAGCTAAAATAATGCTGAAAATTCGTAAAAAGTGAAAAAGTCAAAAGTTGCTCTCTACAGCAGATCGTGTGAATATAGATGAAAAGGTTAGTACAATGGGGCGACTTCAAGGAAAATCTCGGAGAATCTCCTTGGCCCAAGGAGATTCTCCTGGACCCCCAGGAGAATCTCCTCCCCTCCTCCCCCTCCTCTTCCTTTTTCTTTTCTTTTTTCTTCTTTCTTTTTTTTTTTCCTTCATGTGCTTCTTTTTCCTTCATGTGCTTCTTTTTCCTTCACCTCCCCCCGCCGTCTCGCTCCCCTTCTCCTAAGGAGAATCTCCTTGGCAAGGAGATTCTCCCCGAACGTGGGAGAATCTCCTTGCCAAGGAGATTCTCATAGCCCGCCGGCCAGAAAACCACAAAAGCGGGACTTATCGCCCTTGGGGTTGGGCGCCCGGGCGCAGTGCAATTCCAGGGGCGAGGCGCCCTCTGCGGCCCAAGCCGCATCTTCAAGGGCGGGCGCACTGCCCTATGCGGCCCGACGCAGGCGCAAGCTCAAGGGCGCAAGACCCTACGAAGCCTTTCCCGGGCGCCCTGCCGACTATGGCGCCGCGCTAGAGGGCGCTTTGCCCCATGCAATCTCACACGTGCACTGCCCTATAAAGCCCGAAGAACGGCCGCAATTTCACGCCCATTCTGCCCGATGTGGCCGTTGCGAAGCCGCAACAAAAAGCAAGTCGTCCCTCGACCGCCTTAACGGCAAGTCGCCTCTCAGCCGTTCGCACCAGAGCGCATCAGAGGCAGATCACCCCGCACCCGCTCTGGAGCGACCTCAAAGGCAAACCACCCCCACGACCACCTAGAATCGACCTCAAACGAAACACAAAGCGCGCGAGGCAAGTCGCGCAACAAGAGCTCAACCCCAAGCCAAGGGCCAGGCGCCCGGCAGCCGCTCAGGCGCTGCATGCTTGCGTGGGTGCAATTTGAAAAGGAGACCACCCCTCAGCAACTTCAGCGAGATTGCAAGGGCAACGAGCCCCGGGCTGTTCATCTGGCGCGATTTCAAGGGCACCCCGCCAAGGCGGGCCCTTCCTAACGACCGGAGCAACAGGCCCTGCAACTTGCGGCGGCCGGCGCCCCACCGAGATAATGACTCGGCAACATCAAGCCCGTGGACCCACGACCCGGGGTAGCCCGAGTACAACACGCCAAATGCCCACACCCAAGAAACCAAATCGCGCGCCCGTGAATGAAAGAGATTTTCGCCGGCCAGCCGCGAGCGAGCAGACACGTATGGCCTTCGGCGTAGGGCAAGGAAGAAGAAGAGCACGATCGCGGCACGCGCGTGAAAAAAAATTTGTGTCGGCCACCCGTGCAAGAAATTAGAAAGGCGCGAGGCCGAAGCAGCGAAGCCGCGGATTGATAGCGCAAGTGCAGGCGCGCGCCAAAAAAAAAAATGTCGGTCGCCCGTGCGAGATAGAAACTGCCGAGGCGCCGGCGCGAAGCAGCGAAAGGTGGAGCAGTGCGCGCCGCGCGCGCGAGCAAACTTTTTGTCAGCCACCCGCGCAAGAATGAAACGGCGAGGACGTTGGCGCGAGACAATGCAGGTTGGAGCGCGCGCAGCGCGCGCGCGAGAGAAAATTTTCGCCGGTCACCGGGCCGTGCAAAGTAGAAGCCGCCAGGGCGTTGGCGCGAGGCAGTGCAGGTTGCAGCGCGCTCAGCGCGCGCAGCGCGCGCACGAGAAAAAATTTTCGCATTCGCCGGCCACCCGTGCATAGTAGAAGCCTCGTCCAGCGCGTTGGCGCGAGCCGAGGCAATACAGGATGGCGCGCGCGCTGCGCGCGCGAGGAAGAAAATTTTTCTGGTCGCCCGTCCAAGATACGAACCCACCAGGGCGTTGGCTCGAAGCAGCGAAGGAAGGGGCGCGCGCAGCGCGCGCGGGAAAGAAAAATTTTTTGGGTCGCCCGCGCAAGATAGAAACCGCCAGGCCGTTGGCGCGAAACAATGAAGGATGAAGCGCGCGCGGCGCGCGCGAGAAAATTTTTCGTCGGTTATCCGTGAGAGACAGAAACTGCGCGGGCGGTAGCTCGACACAGCGAAGGATGCAGCGCGCGCTGCGCCCGCCCGAAAGGTTTTTCTGTCGGCCACCCGTGCAAGAAAGTGCAAGTTCGCTGGCGCGCGCGAGAAAAATTTTTGTCGGCCACCCGTGTAAGAAACTGCAAGGGCGCTGGCGCGATGCAACAAAGGATGGGGCGCGCGCACCGCGCGCGCGAAAAAAAAAATTTTCGGGCCCCCGTGCAAGAAACTGCAGGGGGGCTGGCGGGCGCGAAGCAGAGAAAGGTTGGGCGCGCGCGCAAAAAATTTTTGTCTGGCACCCGCGCAAGCAACAAACTACAAGGGCGCTGGCGCGAAGCAACGAAAGGTGGAGCGCGCGCAGCGCGCGCGTAAGAATTTTTTTTTTGTCGGCCGGCCGCCCATGAAAGAAAGCGCAAGGGCATCGATGCGGCGCAACGAAGGGTGGAACGCGTGTGGCACGCGCGCGACAAAAATTTTTGCCGTGCGCTCGTGAAAAAAAAGCGCAAAGCCGTCAGCGCGAAACGACGAGGAGCGGAGCACGTGCTGCGCGCGCGCGGAGGCAATTTTGAAGGTCCGCGAACGAAGGCGCGAGGCCGTCGGCGCGAAGCAACGACGGGCAGAGCGGGCGCGGCACGCGCCCGAAATAAAAAAAGCCGTTGCGACGGTGCAGAAATTTGAAGCGCAGCGCCGTCGGCGCAAAGAAAGGGAGGACGCAGCGCGCGCTGCTCGTGTGCGGAGCAAGGTCGTTGCTCTGCAAGGCCCGGGAATGCGTGCGAGCAAAAAAAGCTAGCCGGCTCTTGCTGTCGGCCGTGCAAGCCACACAACCGCACCGGCTACAAAGGGGCCCACAGGTAGGGGCACGCGCGCAACGCGAAATTTTTTTTGCATTTTTATTGCTAACCACTGGCGAGAGAGTGCGCGCGCAAAAGCAGAAGCTGTCCTGTTCTGTCCAGTTTCAAAGACGAAAAACACCGAAAAAAAGAAATGCTGCCACCGCGCCGCCGGGAGCCAATCAGGAGGAAAGCTGCTGCGCGCGTTTTGTATGTAAGGACGGAGCTGCGCAGCCTGGGCTGATGCTGCAGCAAGGCTGGCGCCACGCGGGCGGGGCAGGCGGGCGAAGGGCAGGGCCAACAAGTATTCCGCCCCCGGTGCACAGGCGGGCCGGGGGCTCTTGGTGGCAACGGTCGGCGCGCACGTACTTTGGCCCACGCTCGTCCCTTCATCTTGCACGAGCGCCAGCGCTCGTCTTGTCCACTATATCTTTCTATGCTTGCTATGAGCATGAAGCTCAACGCCAGCTCACAGTTCAAATTTTATGGGGGGGAATCTCCTTGAGGGAGAATCTCCTCAGGCCGTCGGTAGAATTTCCTTGAGATTTTTTTTTTTCCAACATGGACAAGCGCTAGAGAGAATAAAATCTCAAGATTTAGTGTCGCGAGTTTCAGAAAAAAAGGCTTATACAGAGGGCGTACAATCAAGAACTGTTTACGGTGTGGCAGACAATAAATAATCCGAAATTATTTTCGAGGTGGTGCTATTTCGTTTTAGTTTTGTACGGACGCGGGCGGTATTGTTGAAGGAAGTAAAAGCGACGCCTCAGCAGAAGAAAAAGCGAATAAATAATGTACGAAATGCAAAAATTCATTTGTAAAATGTCGCTTGTTGGTGCGTTGTGTTTCATATGAAATTCGAGATTTTCCTGCAAAATTTTTTTTAAGCGGATAGTATACAGTTCAAAGAGCTAGCCCTCGGAAAAAATACTGGGCCTGTGAAGAAGGCGCTCCACCACGACCTCGACCCAGCGCTAGAAAAAGGAATTGCAATAACGGCAGATGTACCCGACCCAGAAACACATACACATCTAGTACAACTCTTGTCTGACGAAGAAAAGGATGAAAGTGTTTCCGCATGTCAAGAAAATCGAAGATGGTGGAGCACTACCACGCACTAGTAGATCAGGAGTACGAGTAATACACTCCTCGTCCCTCCACAAGATTGAAGCCGAACAGCATGCGAAAGAGCGAGCAAATCGAGTCAAACACGAAAACGCAGCCCCAGCAGCAGTCGTCCCGACTCCGGTAGAAGACGTAGCACCGGCCCCCGCCTGTGGACGAGCCGCAGCTGCTCGCCGCCCCGTCTGGGTCGGCGCAACAGCCTGCACCATCCCCACCACCTGCAGATAGTTGCAGTAACAAAGCCGCGGCCGGGCCGGCGGCAAAAGGCGGAGAAATCATCGTCGTGGCATTCTGATCACGACAAGAGCTGCCTCCGATGCAGGTCGGTAAAACCAGGTTGCAGTTCCGCCGCGAAGAACGGGAGGATCTGCAATTATCGGCACCATGGGACAGAAAAGTATTGTCGTAGGGGACTGGGGGGAGCTGCGAGGTCCACGGAGCATCTGTTCTCGCAGGAGTGTCGATCCAGCTTGGGTAGTTCTCCCGGTCTTTCGCTTTGTCCTCCTGTCGCCAGCGTTGCGCTGGAACGTGGCCAGTTTCGTTCCGCTCTTCCAGGGGAAAATCCAGACCCGTTGTGTTCATTGGGCTGCAAGTAGGTACGGTTTCTGTTGTACATCCAACGGGAAAAATGCGGCGTAGCGTCGATAAGCTAGTAGTCGTGCCAGCATTTTCTCCAGTGGAGGGTTGACTCGTCGCCTCCTGTCGTGTAGTACTTTTTTGTCTACTTTCGTGGCTGTCTTCACTCCGAATTGTAGTTTTGCTCTCTTGTTCAGCCCTCGTTCCTCTGTTCGTGTTCTGGGAAAGAAGGTACGGGCTCCGTTCTCCCGTTGATGTAGCAGTTCGCAGCCGGTAAATGGGCTTGCCCTGTCTACTTCTGTGCTGATTCTTCTTGTCGCGAAGCAAGTGCGATAAATATGCCCAGTGCTGTGCCTCTTCTTGCTCCATCATAGAAGCATGCTGCGATCTTGGTTCGACGCTGGAAGCTCCTGCGGCACATGACTTCGTGGTAGTCTCTGCTGCGTTCCTCTCGGGGGCACAGCTCGTACTTGTGGCACACGACCGTGTTTTATCTGCAAGTATGCTCCGGCTGTTGCCGCTCGGAGCCGCGTTCGAGCTGGTGGGTGTAAGCACTCTGTCGCCTTTTGCTGATGCTTGTTCTAGAACGGGCGGTGGCTGGTCAGCGCTCCCGGATGCGATCGGGCGTGTGGTCCTTTCGCCTGTTGCAGACGTCACCGACAGCATCAAAGGACTCCTCCCAGCGCTCGGTGGACTGGACCGGAGACTGCGCGTGCTCGAATCCATACCCAAGCTGCTCCCGCTGCTGTCGAGCGACCCCGGCGCAATGGTGCTCCCGGAAGAGGAGAGACGGCAGAAATTCGCCACCGCAGTGGCGCTTGGTGCACCTCCGCTTAATAAACGACTCGCCGATTCTTGTTTGTTCGTATTCTCTGTTGCACTAGAGGTGCAGACGCTCATGCTGCAGTGGCCCTCGTGAATCTGCAACAGAGACGCACGTACTCTATCGCGGCTTGCGTGCTCCTCTGCAAGGAGAGTGGCGGTAGGTAGTTCTTGTTCTGCGAGTTCTTGCGCTGCGTGGTTCTCGGTAGTTCTTTTCAGGTCCTCTTCTACCACCTCCGGCCCGCAGAACATCGTCGTGACATGATCTTGTGCTGCGTAATTTTGACTATCCTCGCCTTCCACAGGCAGTTCATGGCCGCCTTCACGCCAGCCTTTTAGAACAGGCTTCCTTGCCGGTTGGGCGCCTGCCGTGTAACTGGAACAAGCCGTGCTACAATTCGTGACTCCGGACGCCAAGCTTCCCGACGCGCAACGGAAATAAACCGCCGCATTTTTACACGCCGACGACTCTCCACCACCACCAGCCCCCGCATAATTGGAAGATTCTGTCGGAAAAATATCCGCGGCCTTCTCATAGTCCCGAAAAGAACCACACACCAACGCGCTCTGTTCCTTCGCGTTCGTGCGCCAGAGCTGCACCATCCGGCCGTAGTTGAAGGCACAGAATTGCTTTACCGCGGGGTCAATCGCGGGCTTCGTCGTTTTCTCGAATTTGAGTCGTGCTTTGCAGCACAAATACGGCCCGCCAGTCGCGGTGAGCGGCAGCCCAACGTGTGGACAGTCACTGGCGGCGCTGATGCACGTGTGCGAGCTTCCGCTGCTCTGGTTGGACTGCCCGGGCGTCGAGGACCGACTTTGCTCAGTACTAGAGGTGTTCATTTGTAAGTTTGAGACCGCTGTAGCGGAGGTAGCAGCAGCACCGACCGGGCACGACGACTGCTCCGTGGGCAGCGTACGTTGATTGTCGTCTGAGGCGCCGGAAGAATGTTCATGATGCGGTTGCGCTCCCCGTCGTGCATCTTCTGAACAGTCCACAAGAACCGTTTTATTCAAGCTCGAGGCAGACGACGCCGGCGATTCTTGTACCGCGGCAAGAGTTGTTCCGCAAGGCGGCGGCCCAACCGCGAACGGGAACAACCGCCCAGCATAATATGGAGCTCCAGGGTCCTCGTTGGAGGAGTTATTATTCATCGTGCCGGCCGACATCAGAATAGGTCCCTCCGCCGGCGGGACGACGGTAACCCGCACTTGCTCAACGGCCTCGACGCTTCGGAGGGGCTGAAACTGAACATTACGGGCTGATGGCGCGCCGGTCCACCCTATCGCATAGCTCTTGTTCCCCCTGTTCGTAATGAAGGAGGCTTTGGGCGGCGGCGCGTGGTGCTTGACTCCTTGTTCCTGCTGTTGCGATTGGGTTTGCGACATCGACATGCCAGAGCCCGCATTATGAGAGATCAAGTCCCTCCGATGTAGAAGCGGACCTTCCGGGATGTAGCCTGTAGCTGTCCACGCCTTGATATCGTCTTCGCTTCGTCCTGCCAGCGTCAGCGACCCGCCTCCAGCTACGGCCGCGAAAGGCAGCCGCGACGGTGCGGCGCCGGTCGTAGTGTGTGGTCCTCGCGGGGCACTAACGCTGCCTCTAGTTGCGGCATCTGTCGTTGCGCCGTCCGCGGTCTGGTGTAGTTGTTCCAGAAAACCACGACTGTGATTGAGTTCAGGTTGAGGCCGTCCGGTATGCTGGTGCTGCGAGTGGTAACTTTCAACTGCCTGCGGCTGAGGCCATGGTGGCGTGTACGTACTATCTGACGGCATGTCTGCGGCATGGTAGAGCACTTCGCTCGCCAAGACAGAGTGTCCAATCCAGTGCGGCGGAAAAGGGCCGCTAGTTCTTGCGGGCACCGCTGTATCCAGCACTGCATGTTGTAGCTCCCCCCGGGCGACAACGGCGTTAGCGTCATCCTCGCGGAAATGAATCGATGCACCGGGATTATACGGCCCGGCACCGGCGGGTGAGACAGAACTAGTCGACGCCAAATCGTGCCCGCTTTGACTCCCTAGCTGCAGACAAGAACACGGAAGAATGAATATGCCGGCAATGAAAAGCGACGTCAAAAAGAAGTGCTGCACAAAGATGCGGAGAAGTGCAGGCGTCCATTCCAGAAGGCGCGATGGTATTTGCGGAGGGCCATCCATGTTGATAAAATTTCGTTTCTTCAACATCATCGTCATCGTTTTTGTTTATTGCCTGGCTTCGCAGCATTAAATTAGAACCACAATGGGGATGGGCGGCGTTGGAAGTTCACATCTCCTAGCGCTAGGACTAAAAACGGATTCGCTTTATACAATACCTGCACTGCTCTTAATTTTTAATTCACAATCATGTTGAGCCGCTGTATATATGATGCGTCTGCTGAAAGTACGATCCACCACACGGAGAACATATCAACCGAACAGAGCCGACAGATACCATCCTCATCATGGGCACCATTGCGCTTCTGGTGCTTGCCTTCGGCACGGCAAGGCTATCATCTACTGTCTTCTCATGCGACCGCCGGCCCGAGAGAGTGAGCGCTGGCCCGGCGGCCAATGTTCTGCTACACACGTCTGACGCCACTCCACAACACGGGCGGGGACACCTTGCTGCCCGTCTACGGTGGGTGCCTCCCTGCTAGCTACCTGCGGCGGAAAGCCGGGCCGGTCACAAAACTCGCCGCGGACGCGTTCGCCCACAGACAAGTGGGGCGGGGGCGGCGGGCTGGGTGGCGCCCTACTCTCGCGGCACGCACGCAGCCCAAATCGAAGGCCAAGCGCCCCGCGTCGCCGATATTATTAGAGCCACGCGCCGACCCCTAGCTACGCCACCCAGAAATGGGCCGGCTGGCAGACTGGCGAGGGATCGAAAGGCGGGGCGGCGCGGGGCGACGGGGGGAACGGCCCCAGGCAGGCGCACGCGCGCCCCGGGCGGGAGTAAGAGCCAAAGCGGCGCGCGGCAACGCACTCGGCTGCGTGCCTTCACGCGCGCGCCCGCCCCTTTGCCGGCGCAATTAAGAAAGCGCCAGCCGGCGCCCGCTCCGCTTCTTTGTCGCCCCCGCCCACCCTACCTGCTTGCAGGCCTCCGGGCTCTGACTGCAGGCGCATGGGGCGGCGAAAGCGGCCCAAGAAGGAGCCCACCTGCGCGCCCCCCGACCAACGTCCGGACCTCGCCCGCCGAGATTGCGTCTCCACACACCAAAACACCCGGCGCCAGGGCGCAGTCGTCATAGTCCTGGACCGCCCGAATCGTGTTGCCGATGGCGTCCCGGGCTTCACTTGTGCCCGCTGCAAGCGCCTAAGTGCCCGCATGCTGTCAGTGCCCCCGCTACAGGGCAAACACACTGGCCTGGGGATTCTTTTCAGGGCCACCAGGTGCGCGCACAAGGGGGCGCGCGCGGGCGCCTCCCCGGCCGCGACGGCCCGCGCCTCCCCGGCCGCGACGGGCTTCGTGCGCGCAATGTCGCCGGGGCGTTTGCAGCGCCGCACAAGTTAGTCGCAGATCTGCAGGGCCATAGCTCGCCACCACTGAAAGCGGAGTGGAGGTAGCGGGGGCCTGGGGTGCTGGGCATCGCCGTACCCTCCACAAGATTGATAGCGGCGCCGCGCCCATACGCGTCGCTGTCGCGCTGCGTTTGCGCTGGCTAGGCGCCCTGAGCGCACTTCGGGGAGGCGCACGCCATTTGTTCGCCTCACTCCTTGCCGCCCGAAGAGCGTCGGCCGGCCAGCGCGCGGGATCCCTCCGCTCTCGTTAACCGGCCCGGCCCCGGCGTTCTGCGGCGGGTTGATCCGCGGGCCATGGTCAAAGGCATGCGTCGCGGCGCCAGCGCGCGACCTTGTTCGGGCAGAACACAAGGGGCAGCGAACTAGAGCCAACGCGTGGGCTCGGGCCCGCTCTAGCTCCGGCCATCAATTACACGCACCGCCTCCCTGCCGCGCCCGCCTTCTCCGCTGCGTTTGTTTCTTGTAAGAGAGCATCAAAGTGGGAGCGCGCCGTGCACTCAATGCCGCCTTTTCATCTCCTTACTCAGCTGAGACAGCACACACACTTCGGGGGAACACAAAGACGCCGCACGCGCAACTTTTTAGTTTCAAACCGTAGTCTTCTTTGTCTACAGTGCTCTACTAGGTCAACGAACAGTATTTCTTCGCTTCAGGTGCATTTTTCAAACTTGACAAAATTACAGCTCGAGCAGATCCGAGGTTCGCTTTAACTTTGACAGCAATGACCGGGGAAAATAAAATCCTCAAGAGGCTGCACTCTGTGAGATTTATGAGGCCGTGACAGTGACTGTGACTTCTCCATTTGCGCTTTTCGTTATACTTTCCCTACTCGCCCAACAATGATGTAACAAGTAAGTACTTATTACAAACGCCTTCTCTTCCTGTTTCTGTGGATTTACTCTACAAAAAACTCAATCCGCGGCCTCTTCCGGAGTTGTTCACTAATCGCACGCTCCGCTGGCGTTCCAACTCCTCCGCAGTCGGCGGCCCGGCACCGCAGTACCAGCGAGCATGAAAGTTGCAAAAGGACGGCACGGTGGACAACATCACACGAAATAAGCAGTAAATTGAGATGAGAAGTGAATTTATCTATTGCGGCAAGCAATTCGTGTTACTTCTTCGTCTGGCCATCCAATTTTCGCTAAACCCAATTTACGTAGAGGTTCCGGTAATTACTGTCAACATTCTGTAGTCCGCTCATTATACCATTGATGTGTTGATCATTTTCACTCACTTCCGCGGTGTCTGATGAAAAGCTGAAGTTTCTTCTGTTCCACCGCGTGCCGCCCCTGCTGGACGGGGAGGGGAGGTCTGGGTCCGCTCCGTAATAGAACTCCCAGACCGACAGCAACATATCGCCGAGCATAGTCAGGGCTGCTGGTGCAGCTGCTCCAGTCGTGGAGGTTGCGGGGGCCGTATCATGTTGTACATCTGCTGGCACAACAAGCATTTGATGTTCTGAAGGTGATGTTGCACTTCTTTTCTCCTGCAAAATGGCTTTTAAAAACGGCTCATCATCTTCATCAGAGTGATCTTCTGCCAGATGTCGCGGCCAGCGTGGCGGAATTCTGTGGTGACATACTTTCGTGTCGCTCTTTCGTTCCTGATCTTCTGCTCCGACAGCTCCACCTGCAAGAAAAGCACGACAAGCAGTACTACTGCCAGTAGTAGTAGTAGTACCTTCCTCATTATCCGGTGGAGAGATGCAGATTTGTCCTGGCGCTGCTCCTGCCCCTTGCTTCTTGCTGCACTGGCACCATCCGCGCGCGCTTTTGCAGATCGAGCAAAGCCTGTCCTCGGGTACGTGGGCGGTCCAGACCTCAAAGTCCGGATTTTCCTCTGCCCACTGCTCCAACGCCCGGGCCAGCATCTCCTGGTGCTCGGCGACGGTCAAAGTGGCGCGCGTGGCGGGGCGGACGCGGAGTACTTGGCTTCTTTTGATGTTCGGGGAAGAACCAACTGGATGTTCTGCTGACCCGGATGAACCTGCTGCCGATGCCCTTTTAGTTGTTGTTCCCGGACTGCGACTGCTGCAATCGGAAATAATGCTTCCACAAGATTTGTCTCTTTGTCCTTCATCCGGCAAAACGCTCGTGTTGATCGTAATCTGACACTCCACGATCTGCTGCGGACCTCCACACGAAGGGTTGATGTTCCGTCGCAGCTGCTGCAGCGACTGACTGCAGTGCTTCGCCCAGAACATGTGCTGCTGCTGCTGCTCCAGGAGTTGTTGTTCATGTAGTAGTTCTTTGTTCCGCCACGCTTGTTGTTCGTCGCGAGCCAGACAGCACGACGCCACCATCGCAGCAAAAAGTCTTGAGCAGCACTCCCGTGTTGAACTGTGACTTCTACAGTCCACCGGAAAAGTAGATGAAGCGCCAGGCGCTCCCGGCGTCATCAGTGCGCTGGAGTGATCCGGACTCGCCGCCCAGAAAGGGGTGACGCTCCCCAGCGGCGTTGGGTCCCCACCAGTCGTGAACGTAAGCCGACTGGCGTCGCTCGGAAACATCGTGCTGGCACTTGTGCCACTGCTGGACCCGCGGGAAAAGTGCGCGCTTTTCTGCAAAAAGGAGCTGTCTGCTAGTTCATGCTTGGAGGTCGGGTTCGTAGCGAAGAGGCTGGTGGAGAACAACCCGTGCGTGGTAGTAGTGTCTTGGTCGTCCTCGTCGTTATCGAAGTAATTATAGCCGTCCTCTACTTGTTGCTGTTCCTCCTCGTCTTTATTCCTCTCATCATCCAAAGCGTGGTGGCCATCTTGCTCCAGAGGTAAGCGCAAGCACGAGGACGATGCTGCAGGAACAAAGTTCGACGTTGGCAGCGTTGCTGGGAGTTGTGATGCAGAAACACGACTACACTGATGGAAAAGAAGCTGCTGATTTCTCGCCACACAACTCGCTCGACTGCCGTAGTCCCCATGATCTGCGATCTTCGGCTGCGGAAAGTTGAATGCGAATTGCAAACGGTTGGCAAACTGCTCGAACCCGCTACAACCATTTGCCCCAGCACCTGCAGTGCCACCACCCTGACTGCCGAAGCTCGCGGTCAGGCCGATTTGCTGTACGACCCCGCCACAAGTATTCGCCGTGAAGGACGCAGTCAGCGAGCCCGATCCCCTCGAAGAAGACAGTAAATCCGACGACGATGTAGTCCCGCTAGCGCAGCTCGAGAAGAAGTTCGTGCCCGATGAATGGGCTCTTTCCAAAGAGGTCAAATGACAATCCCAATGTTGACCCGCTGTTGTTGTACTGGATCCAGCAGTTTGGTGTTGTTCCGCATCTTCCGGTTGCCGCTGACGGCGCGCTACTCGTTCTTGCGCTTTCTTGTAATCCTTCTTCAACATGCGTCGCACGCTCTTGTTCGAGGAACTGGCCCCCGACAGGAGAGAACTCCGCGACGCTGCCAACAAAACACTCTGTTCCGCGCGGTTCGCCCGCCGGAGGTGCTTCTGCCGCTTCCTGGCCCATTTAAGAAAGTAGTTGGAACGGGACGACGCGAGGCTAGCTTTGGTGCGTTTGGTAGAAGTAGATGTGGTGAGCTTCTTGTTTCGCAAATATGAAAGATGGGTCGGTGAGTTCGCTTCCAAGTCCGTCTCGTGCTTGCCGCGAAGCTTTACCGCCGCTGAGCTCCTGAAAAAAGCTTCCACTACGAGGTTCAAAATGATCAAAATTGAAAATGTCACAGCACGGCTCATCTTGTATTCTCATGATGAAGTACTAGGTGATAGTAATGTACAGAACTCCTGCGACCTTCAGTGCTCATTTTTGCAGCCCGATTACGAGTGGAAGAGAAAGTCAAAAAAATAGCAAACACGAGCACGAAGAAGTGCAGCAAATAAAATCGGCTACGTCATCGCGAAAGAAAAGAACATAGAGATCGCCGACTGAACAGTCCTGCGAAGATCCGTGCAAGCAGGTAAGCGAAGGCTTGTATCGTTTCGGTCGTGAGCTTCTTGCGTTTGCATCGCTCTTGTATGGTAGTACAGTTGTACAGGAAAAAAAGATCATTTGAAACGATTTTTGCGTCTGCGCATCCGTGGTTATTGTATGCGTTGCAAGTATTACAACGTCGCGGCAGCATCTACTGCTCTCGCAGCTTCTCCTCCAAGCGCCGGAGAGACCGCGCCCGCTCCCGCGGAGGACTGGTGTCACTGCTCTTGGACGATAGCAAGTCAGCCGAGCTTTCAGCACCAGCGTACATCGCTATGTTCTCGCCCTTCAGATGTCCCTTACCGCGGCCCGCAGCACGATCAGCAACTCCCTGCAACAAAGAGACTACACCACCTCCATCACCACTGCCAAAATCCGCTCCTCGCAGAATCTGGCCCATCCGCGTCAACGATTCGATCTCCTCCGCCCTTTCCGCCTCCTCGTCCCGGAAACTTTGCAAAAAAGGATCACAAATCGCCTTCACGCCCTCCACCTCTTTTCCCGCGGCTTGTTTTTCCTTGTCCGCGCTTTCTAAATCATCCTCCGCGGAAGTTTTTTCGACTTGTTTCGCGGACAGGAGCGATTTCACGTCAGAAAGGGCTTCGTAGAGTTCCGATTCTTTCTCGCTTGCGGCTTTTAGATTTTCTTTGATCGTCTTTTTCTCCTCACTGTGCTGTTCCTGCGCATCCGCAGCCTCCTGCGTTAAATTCTCCACGATGTTGTCGACGAGAGTCAGCTATGCATTGCAAAAGTATCGCACTCATAGATACTAATTGCAGTCAAGCATGACAACTCTAAACTTTCTACCTGATGTAGCATGACAAACCCCACTTTTGTTCTTCGAAAAATTTGTCATGCGATCTAGGGATACTTAGTTAGTATGATACATTTGCAATGCATATCAGCACCGTTGTATCCACTTTCGCTTCCTGTAGCAATTTCTTCGCGTCGGTGAAAACCAGCTTCGCCTGGGCTCTCTCCGCTTTACCGGCTTGAAACGTCGCTTGTTCCAGTTTTTCCGTTTGGGTTAAGTCGAGGATTTCTTTTTCTACTTGGTCGTAATCGGTGGACACAGATTGTACTTTGGTTTTCAATTCGGCAAGTTCCGCCTCCGCTTGCTCCAACACGGAAGTTGCCTTTTCGAATTCCTCTTCCTTCGAGGCAAGCTCCTTCCCGACTGATTCCAAGTTCTGCTCGCAATCCTCTTGCTGTTGGGCGGCTTCTTGATTTTCCTTTTTCGTCTGCTCAATCCGGTTCTCGATGACCTTCAGGATCTCCGCGACCGAAGAAACATCTACATCGCCGCCGGTGGTTTCTACGCTGTTCTTATTGTACAAGGCATTTTGCAACTGGAGCCGCGTGTTCATCCTCATCTGCAAGGATCTTCTTGTCATTGCTTGCTGTGCAGAAGACGTAGAGCGGTCATCACTAGACGCGGCGGTGCTGACCTGCAGAAAGGAAGATGACACCATTTCCTGGACAATTTGCTCCGCTGTTGGGACGTCAACATTTTCGACACCATCGTCTTGTTCTGAGTCTTCGACCAAACTGAATCTTTGTGCCAGGAATCCCTTTTTCTTGCTTTTTCGCTGCGCTTTTTTCCGGTCCTTTCTCACCTTTTTCTTGTCCTTTTTGCTTTTCATTTTCTGGTCGTTGGTTCCTTTCCCTTTTTTTCGCATACTCTTCAGTTTCTTTTTCAGCTTCAACTTCTTCTTTGCTTTTTTTACCTCTTTATTTTTCAGCTTTTTGCGATTGGCCTTCTTCGCAGCTAAAGGAGACTTTTTTTTGCTCTTCTTGCTATTTCCGCCAGCAGTTGCAGCAGCTTGTTTCCTACCGTCGCTTTTGTTCTGGCTGTTCTTTTTCCCCGTGGCGGTAGCAATTTTCACTTTCAGCTTCTTTTTCTCTGGTACTCCACCCTTCGTCCCCGATGCGGACGCCGCTGCTTTTCCGGACGTAGAAGCAGACGCAGCGTTAGAACTACTACTAGAAGCAGCACTCGATCCAGCACGACCTGCAGAAGCCGAAGATCCGGCTGCGGACGAAGTTGTAGAGGACCCAACCGCCTTTTCCTCCTTTCGAACTTCTTTTTTCGTAGGCGTTGCAACACGAGCTCCACCAGAAACTCCGCTATACTTCTGCAACTCCGAAATCGCCTTCTGCATAGCCAAAGATTCCTTCTCCATATCTTCCTTCACCTTTTTCTTCTCTTTTTCAAACCTCGTCAAATCCGCGGACCAGTCCCTCTCCTTTTTTTCCCTCTTCGCTTCCGCCAAATCCTTCGTCGCAACAGCGAGTTGCTGCTCCATATCCGCTTTGTCCTTTGACAGCTTCTTCAAAATCTTGTCCAATTTCCCGACCGTTTTCCTCCCGGAGGCGGTTTGTTTCTTGTACTTCTTCTCATTTTGTTGCTCCAATTCCTCCATGTCCCTCCGGTCCCGCACCATCGTGTCCTGCAGCGTCCGAAGAATGCCGAGAAGCACGTCCTGACCAGAGGAAGATCCACCTTGTTGTAGAACTTCTTCCCCAGCTCTAGCGGCACCCGTAGCTGTTGTATCCATCGTCGTTGTCTCCGACATCAAAGACGCAAACAAAGCCGGCTCGCGTTCCCTCAACATTCTCCCCGTGCTTCCCTGCAACAAAGCCCTCGCGTCGGTTTTTTCCTTCTTCTCCAGCACGACCAAAGTGTGGGACAAGGACTGGAAGTTTTGCGACAGATCGGCGGATTCCGTTTGATATTTGTTCTTCTCCTCGTCTCTGTCTTGCTCCAACTTGGTTAAGGAAAGCTGCTTCTCTTCTAAACTTTCCATCGCCTCGCGGTACTGCACTTTCAACTCGGCGAGTTTCTTCGTACTGAGCAACTGCAGGTCAAAAGCGTCTTTTGCGTTTTGTTTTTTTTCTTCTTTTTCCTTCTTCGCTAAAGTTTCGCCCTCTTTTATCGAATCTTCCTCCTTACACCATAGTTTTTCCTGCTGTCTTAAGGCTTTTTCCTTCTCAGCCAGCATGTCTTGAATCGCGGTTTGGACCTCCGCGAGCTGCTGTTGGCGCTTGGTGGGGCGTTGTGGAGCAGCTGTTGGTGCAGAAGATCCGGCTGGTGCTGGCGGTTGTTGCTGCAGTACCCGCATCTGCAGCGAAAAAGCGGTGTCGGCAAACACGGCAAAAAAAAACGCTCCAGCTGACCAGCATACCCAACGTATTGGCGGCAGCCTGGTCATAGACACACCGCCCATCATGGCGTACTTCGGTCTTGCTTCTTGCCACGCTGTAACGCGGCCGCTTTCCAACACGGGTCACTACATCTTGGTTACGTGTGAAAGGTCGGGTAGCCACGGCTGCGAATCACAGCCACAGCGATGAAGTAGCCTAGGAAGATATATTTGGCGATGTTGAGAAGTCTGTTGTAAGTGTAGATCCACAGATGAAAGCAAAAGAACTGCTAGTGAACTCGTGGCTGCCACGTCGTTCAACCTTAAAACCGACCACAGACCGACCTGCACACCGAACCGGACACCGACACGATGCGGCCGATAAGAGGAACTTATCGAAAACGTCGAGAGGCACACATGATTACAGATATTAAAGCGCTCTGATGTCCCAACGGGTTTCACACGACCATCACCGCCGATAGTCGCAACAAGAAGTCCGTGAATTTCTATGCATGCTAGTGCTTAAATGCTTTACGAAAGAAGACAAGAGCGTCGTCAACATGTTGCTGAACGTGAAGATTGTCATTATCTGTGAGTTTCTTGAAACGTCGCACAAATATGAAAGTCATGAACTATGCGCAGAAAAAAGAGTTTCTATCTTGCTCAAATCTCGGAAAATTATCGTGTTACGCCTAGAATTTCAAAAATTCTGAACCATGGTGGGTCCTTCAAACCCCACCCACGCTACTTCGCACCGTTGGCACGAACTTCATGGCCCGTAGAATCCCAGGCTGTGGCAGGGTGTGGTGCCTCGTGCTTACACCTTCTTTCCTGACAAACTGCGGCGTCTGTTGGGGTACTGGGTGCGGGGCCGGTAGAGGTTGCTGTGCCTCGTCGACAACTCGGGGTGGGTGTATCATCGAGGTCGGAGCGGGGGCCGCAAATTTCACAACCTAGAGCATATTTTGCGGAAAAAAATACTTATGGGAGCGACGCTGCACATCATTTTCATGCAGGACGGTCGTGCAGAAGATTTGTTCTTTCGTTAATTAATATGCAGCTACATACATGTACAAACAGAACTCAAGAAGACCAACGAGAAGAAGAAGATGCTCTATGTACATTACCCTTCCTCCCGTCCCCGAAGTAGTTCCCGCTCCCGGCCCGGCGCGCGTGCCTCGCACTCCTCTGGGAGACTGGGTTCTCGTCATTCCCCGGGGGGAGTGGCCCCGCGGCGGGGCGGCGGTGCCAGAAGCTGCGTTTGAACTTGGTCGAGGCGATTTCGCCCGGGAGGCGGAAATGCTGGTCCCCGCCGGAGCTCCACCTGCCGCTCCACCTCCACCTGGTCTCGGCGATTGCGCCCGAATGCTTTTCTGCTTCTCCGCAGGTCTCGGTGACTGCGCGCGGAGCTTGTGCGGACTTGTACCAGATTCCTGCTTTCGGGAAGCGGCGATTGTAGGGCGTTGTCTCTTTTCTATAGAGTGGACAGCTGGGTTTTGGGAAGTACTGTGTGCGGAAGATCTGTTGACGCTGGTGTACGACTTCTCGTTGGTGCTCTTTCTAGGTGAGGAAGCTCCTATCCGGTAGGAAGAGTTTGCATTTGCATTTGCCTGCGGGGGTACCAAACCCGCAGTCGAGTATGAGCTTTTTGCTGCGATGATCCCTGCAGTCGTTGCCGCAACATTCGTCTGCACGAAGTGCGGCTGCGGAGGTACTACGTGATGAACGTGGGCCGAGGACTGCTGATGCTGCGCCATCACTGACTGCTGCGGATGATGCGCGGCGCTCGTGTACTGCGGAACGCTTACAGGTTGTTGAGCTACGTGGTGCACCACTGCACTTCCAGCTGCCGTAGAGGTAGACGCCTGCATTCCGCCACCGCTAGCAATAAACCCCGCACCTGCAGTTGCGTTATGTGCTGGCACATTCGCATTCACGCTGCTCGCAGCAGTAGCGGTGCTGGAAGACGTTGTCCGCAGCCCGAGTATTCCCCGACTCGCTTTTTCCTCGTATTGCTCGATGAGTTTCTCTTTATCCCGCACTTTTTCTTTATCAAATGTAAAAATGTCTGGGTCTGGAAGAATGCAACTTGTGATGCTGCGTTTCGATGTCTAAAAAATTTGTGTTGCATGAGCAGCAAAAGGAATCTAATTTTTGCTACGCGGAGAGGGCATTTGTCATGCGGAGTGGGCATCAGGAATCCCTAAAAAACCTGTGATGCTAGGGCATACATTACAGGCATCATGGGTCATGAGAAATATGCATGACAAATCTTGCATTCTTCCAGACCCAGACATTTTTGCATTTGATACTCTTTCAAATCGTGCAAATGGTCTTCGCGCATGCGATTTTCCCGATTGCTGATTTCGAGAAAATTCTGCAAAGTCGTGATTTCTTCTAATTTATCCCGCAGTTGGTCTTGCAGAAACAGAATTTCGCTGTCTTTCGACTCTGTTACTTCTTGCAACTCGGTTTTCAATTTCTCAACCTGCTCCTCTGCTTTATTGGCCTTTTGGTTCAGCTGCAAAATCTGCGCCCTTACCGCCGCGGTGGAAGCTGCACTACTTGGTTGGTCTGTGGCGGTTTGTGCCTTAAATATTACCGTCGGTTGGTGCGGCGGTAGGCCAGAGCCGTGTGCTGTACGGGCTGAGAGTAAACCACCTGCTGTTCTTGATCCCCTAGACGTCAGTTTTCCGTGGAGTTGCTGGTGTTGATGGCCGCGAGCCTGTGAAGTTTTTTTCTGAATTTCTAGGCATGATCTCGTAAACAGCAGCACTGACAAATAACAAAAACAAATACGCTGAAATGCCCACTTGATGATGAAATCTGATGTGAAGAAAACAAGTCTATACTGTCGGCACTCGGAGCCCCGTGCTTCCGGTCCTGCTACTCCGCCCGCTTTGTAAGCCTCCGCCCGCGCGTGCTGTTGTACTACTTGCGCTGATTGCCGTGCTTGCAAAACTCTGGTCTAGACGGGCCGTTGTACGATCTGTGCCTTGGTGGTACTCCACAGAAAACGATCCCCCGCCAGAGGTGGTCCTCGCACCTCGTAGTACAACCGGCGTCGTGCCATCTTCGACTTGGAGGACCGCAGCACAGCTACTGCTGCTCAGACCAGTAGCACTCCGCACCTCGCGACCAGTATTACCTACATCAAGAACATCGAAAGTAGAACCCCCTTGATAGTGTTCCTCCGCGACCCGTCTGTTTATTTCGACGTCTTTTTGCGACAAACTCTGCTCCAGCTGTTTCAGCAAAACTTCTCGCTTCTTCAATTCGAACTCCGCAACCGGGACAGCAGACGAGACTTTGTTCGCCAAGTCCCCAAACTGCACCGGTTCGCACCAGGGATCGGTCAAAATATCCCCCTTCGTGAACTTATGGATTGCAAAAATGTCTGGGTCTGTAAGATTCTAAACTTGTAATGCTGTCTATGGATTCTAAAAAAAAATTGTATTGCGTGACCAGCAAGAGGAATCCAGTTTGTGCTACGCGGAAAGGGCATTTCTCATGCGGTAGAGGCATCACAGAGTCCTCTAAAAACTTGTAATGCTAGGGCATGCATCACAGACATCATGGATCATTCAAAATATGCATGACAAACCTGGCACTCTTCCAGACCCAGACATTTTTGCATTTGATAGAACTCCGTCCGCTGCGCGTACACGTTCCGCATGGCCTCCAACCGCTGCCGAAACCGGGAGTAGCTAATATGCATTGCAGAAGTATCGCACTACCTATTAGTTTTAGTCAGCGCATGACAAATTTTTCCAAATAAAGGTGGAAAATTGAAATTTATCATGCAGAATAAGGTAAAAGAACAGATCTGTCATGCCAGACTTGCATTCATACGAGTGCGATAGTACTTTTGCAATGCATAGGTCCAGTAGTGCAGCAATTGCTGCTGCTGGTTTTGGAGATGTTGTCCCGCTTCTAAAACGTAGCTATCCGCCAAAACGACTTGCATCACGCGGATGACTAAAACTTCTTCGTGATTTTCGCGGTAGATGTCCCAAATGAACTCCACTTCCAGCTTCAGCCCGTATCGCGAGGAAAAATCCCCCCGCATCATGCCGGCGGTTTGTGATGGTGTTGGGTCTAAGCATGGACTTTTGTCATGCTGAGCGCTTAGGCCAAAACCTCTCCTACTCAGGCTTGATATGGGTCTGCAGTTCCTCTACTGCAAGACAAGGCTGATTTGTGTACGCAATTCAGCATCAGAAGCTTCGTTTTGAAAGGGGGAGGGGGATTCTTCTTCGTGATAACCCGTCCTTTGGCCTCACCTCGCGACTGATCAAGTTTGCTTCGTCCACGCAGTTATCAAATGCAAAAGTGTCTGGGTCTGGGAGATTCCGAGACTTGTCATGCAGTTTTTTCAAGCTCCCCCACGTCTGGAATGCAGGGCCTAGCATCACAGGTTCTGCAGCTCCTTGGTAATGCGTATTCTGCATGAGAAATGCCCTCTCAGCATGGCCAGAAGTGGGCATATTTTCATTTTGATTTTACGCGTTCTGCATCACAGATCTTTGTAGGATCCGAAACACGCATGACAAATTCGGATCCTTCCAGACATCCAGGGATATTTGCATTTGATAACAGTGGCAGGCTTCCTGCAAGGTGGCGAGAAACGCGGTCCCGGCTTCTTCCCCCATTTTCTCGTGAACGTCCTCGATGTAGAGCTTTAATTCGCTGTAGCTGTCGGAGTCCGCAGAACTGAGGAGGGACGACATTTTTGTCGATAGTTGCGAAATGCTCGTGTCACTGTTATTCCCCTCGTGAACTACGTCGCTTGTGGACGAAGTACCAGGGTCCACAGTACTTCTACTAGACACCACCACCCGAAACAGAAACGCGCGGCCGATCAAAATCAAATCGCCGTGCTTGCAGACGCAACTTTCGCCAAATTTCAACGTTCTCCCCCAAACGGAAACAGCGGAGCAGGTGGTGAGCGAGGAGGGGGTCGCCGCTGGTTGGGAACATGTAGGGGTAAGAACGCTGACGCCGTCAGCTCCCCGAGAGGAAGAGGATCCCAGTTCGAGGGAGGAAAACGGATTTGGCGCGTGCACCTCCAAGACCAGTTCATTTTTTGTGGTAGAAATTTCCTCCTCGTCGACGCCGCCCAGGCCAGTATTAGTGGCCTCTTCCTTCGCGACAACGCTAAACGAGCAGACCTCCGCTTCGGGGACTCCGAGGCCGGCTAGGACAATCGGGGCATAATTCATTTTGGCGCCGTTTTGCTGATGTTCTGAACCTGCGAGTTCTTGTACAGACCCGCTCTTGCTCGTGTTTGAAGCCATTTCGTTTGGTGACTGCTGTGGCCGCGATACTACAGCCCCCGGCGGGCTCCCTACCACGAGGCGGCGACAAGGTGCAGCTTGATGCACCATTTCATGATCTTCTGCGTTCTCCGACACACCCGCCTCGTCGCAGACAAACTGGTACTGCAACCGTCCGCGCAGCAGCCGGTCGTCGCTCTCGTTGACGAGGGTGATAATTTTTGCGTTCTTCCGTGCTGATGTTCCCTCGTGGTTCGGCTTGGTGTGGCCGTCCAGGATCAGCTGATCCGCCCCAGTGGAGGTGCCTGTTGCAGATGAGGACCCCGAGGAAGAAGTAGTAGACAAAATCCCCAACCGCCCCAGCGCACTGACCATTCTCGCTCGGTACTGCGCAGAAAGACAGGACCGCCACTCCTTTTGGAAAAACTGCAACAGAGATTCGCGGAACTCGATTTCCTCCCGTAGTAAATCGGTCTTTTCCTCACTTTCCGCACTTCGTTCCAGTTCTTTCTTCTCCGCGGTTAACCGATGCACGACCTCCAAGTGCGAGTACGCATTCACGCGGGCGGTGGTTTGCAAAGAGCGCACATTTTGCGCCAGCTTCAACGTTGCGACCGTGTTTTCAACATCACAGTTGCTGTTTGCCACACAGGCGAGCATGTAAGTGCGGCAATTGGAGGTCAGGGTTTCCTTCAACAGAATGGTCAATTGCGACGCCGTCCAAGGAATGCATTCCGAGGGCTCGGAGGCAAGGAGGTTGATGCAGTGCGTCAGGTTGGCAAGGGACGGGTTGGTGGTCGAGGAGGCTTTAGTTGTATTGTCGCTCAGGTTCAGGTAGTGATCTCGGTCAGAATTCATCGGTGATGTACCAGGCACTTTACTACAACCCGGAAGGTCCACGAGGAGAACCACGCTGCGCTTGCGGTCCAGTTGCGGCTGATGGAACAAAGTATGCGAAGATGATGCTCCACCCTGCTCTACTTCTCTCGGTGTCGACGTTCCTACTTCCGGAACAAAGCAGGAACCTGCTCCAACCTGAATCTCGTTACAACTACGACCTGACGCGTTCGTTCCCGCCGTGGCTCTCCGTGCCACAAAGCTCGAATTCATCACGACGTGGTCACCTGCTGTACCTGTAACACTAGAGCCAGTCTTACTGCCTCCTCTCGCAGACAACGTAGACGCGGTCAACGAACTACCGGCGTTCTTGTTGACTACACTGTGCGACGAGGAGTGTTTTCTGCTGGAGGAACTGCGAAGATCAAGATTATTGTTGTTGTAACTCAATCTGGTAGGTTTTAGCGGTTGGTCGAGATTAACCGTAGCGTCGCTGTTTGGCGTCAGCAGCATCTGAGTTGCCTCCGACCAAGTCGCGGATGTGGTGGAGCTCGCGCAGGCGTTGCTGCTCTCACGGTGGTTCTGTGCTGGCGTGGTGGTGAGGTGATTTTGAGTGTGCGAACAAGCTGTTGTAGCAGTAGGAGCAGAGCAGCCACTGCCGCCCACAACCGTGATGATTTCCACCATGGCGCAGACCGTTCCGCGCGTCTCGGAAAACACGACGCCCTGCTGCAACGCGCGCTTTTTCAGGGCGAAATCCAGGCAAAACTTCGCGTCTTCGACCGTTGCGACGGTTTGCCGGTGCAGGTTCGGCAGCAGCATGCCATACACCGGATGCTCCTTCAGTTGCACCGTTTTCGACCCTATCAAATGTAAAAATGTCTGGGTCTGGAAGAAAGCCAGACTTGTCATGCAGGTTTTCCATGACATATGAGGTCTGGTATGTAGGACAGAGCATGACAGATTCTGTGAGAGTTATGTGATGCCTATCCTGCATGAGAAACTGCCTCTCGAATAGGTTAACAGTGGACAGCTTTTGGTAATCACGCAACACAGATTTTTACATGATCCAGATTTAGCATGACAAGTTGCATTCTTCCAGACCCAGACATTTTTACATTTGATAGACCCGGCAGCGTCCAGCAAGTCGCGCGCGCGGTCGTGGAAAACTTATCCTGAGTAAAAACGTACCCACACCAGAGTTGTAATGCAAATCTGCATGCTGAAAATGTTTCTCATGCGGAGCTCCATGAGAAGCATTTTCTAGTCGTGCTTTGCAATTTGTCATGCTCCACTCAGCATGGTATGCTAGATCTGTGATGCTGCTGAGCTAGCTGAAACAGCACTATACTACGAATCCAAATTTGTCATGCAAAACAGCCAAAACTTGTGGATTTGTCTAGCCGATTCCCCATCTTGACCATGGTGTGGGTACGTTTTTACTCAGGATAAAATTTCAAAAATGCTCACGCCCAGCGTCGTGGTGTTAGAGGTCGTGCTTTTAGGGACGGTGTTCTGCGTTTTATATTCCCCGTCCCCTGGTGTTCCTGCATCGTCCTCCACCACCGGTGAAACTGTCTCCGTATGATCCTCTGGGCGGTCAATAAAGGCAGAAAGCAACTGCTCCAATAGCTTTGCGTAGACCCCGTCTTCTGCTTCTGTTCCGAAAATCGCAGAGCTCTTTCCCGTTCGCGCCGCACCGTAAGCGAACAGGCAGGCGTTGACGCCCTGGATAGCGTCCTTGGCGAGGGCCGTGGCGAAGTAGGTGGATACCTGATACGATCGTTTGTAAGGGAGGATCGCCATCACGTAGGTATTCCTTTTTCACACCGCCATGCACAAACTAGACGATGACTGCGATTTCCATTTCACATGCAGGCGTACATGTTTGTAAAGGAGTAATGGATCATAACATGCCAGACAGGACACAGACTGCACTAAAGGTGAAAACAAATAACTAAGTCAACGTTAGGCACCACAAAACATCATGATAGATACGTCTTTTCCCGATTTACTCCTGCCATCCGTATCGTCGTCGTCAGCAGGAGATACTTTTGCACTCGTGGTGTCAAAGATCGCATCGACCGCAAACTCCAGGCTCGGTGCGTAGTCAGACAGACCAGAGTTAGAACCTTCGAGCGAGCTAACGGAATTATTATCCGTGTGGAGGTGGTAGGCTCGGTCTCCTCCTGCGCCATCGTCTGGAAGTGCGAGGTGTTGGTCTTGCACAAGAACATCACCTCGAATAAAAGAAGAAGTGTTCCTGGCTTTTCCCGTTCTTTCCGCTGGATTTACCACAACGGTGCAGTCCTCCAGGTTGATGCTAAGAAGTTGATGTCCGCCATTTTGTTGTGCTGCTGTCCTCGCACACGGCGCACCCGGGAGGTCGTGCTCCGCTTGACGAATTAGTTCCTTTCGCTTCGAAGGCGCCGAAAGCTGCACACCCACCACAAGGTGCTGCGGCGGAGGGTCGGCTTGGGTGGTCGTGAAAGACGGATCCATTTGGAAGATCGGGAAGGTGCAAGATACGCCAACGTCGTCGAAAAACGGGTCGGCCGGCCAGGCAGGCAGTGGCGTCGTACTTACGCGGGAAAGTAGGGTGGACCCTTTCGACTGGTCGTGTCACATATGTTGACGCAGTAGAGGGCTGAAGTTTATTCAATGACGCAACATTCTTGGCGCCCGCGTTTGTGCTTCCACTTCCACAAGTTGTAGAGTAATCAATTTTTCCGTTTGAATTCATATTACTAACGGTAGCGTGAGCGTCTCTCGACTTTAATCAGTCCTCTCGCACTCTCGCTCCTCCGTTCAGCGTGAATGCACAGAATGCAAAAGCCACCCGCAACTGGACAGTTGCGAACTGAAGATACTTTCTGGTCCGCTCGAGGAATAAAGCTAAGACGTAAACTCTAGCGCAAAGCAAACGCAATTCGGCAACAGCGGCTACTGGTGACACTGCAAAGTTCATTGTGCCGCAACGGTGCTAAGTAATGACTAGCTCCCGTTACACCTTATATCCTTTGTACTTTTGTCAAGACAAAAATTGCACTGTTCCAACGTAAGCCAGCGCAATCCCAGGCTCTGGCAGGAGGTATCGTCGTGTATTTCTAATTATCAGGATGAAGTTTTATATGCAGAAGCAGATGTTCTTTGTGAATGAAAATGATGTCCTAGTCCGTTTCAGTTATTCGGATTTTCCTATAAAAATCGACGACTAGTGTGTGCTGGTGAAAAGTCCCCTGCGATGTGCGCATTGCTAAAAATTATCGTTCTAGTCACCAGCCATCGAGAGTGTCGAGTGACACGAGCGATGCAAGAAGCTAGACGCAAGCGAGGCGTGGAAAATCAGTTGCTTATTTTCTGCTCCTAATATGCCTTGAAATTTACAAAATTTTCATATTGTACAGTTATATGGTAGGTGTCATGTCTGGATTCTTTATTTTTCTGAAACTGTGTGTCTAGAAGTAGTTCTTCTTGAATACCAAATTATTATGTCGATACACCACCCGCATTTCGATTTCATTTTGCCATTCATTAGCTGTACCTGCGAGCTGATATGTGAATATTATTTTGCTATTGCTTTCATCAATCCTATACTCTGCCATCGGTCTATTTCGCCTCTGCCTGAAACATCTACCTCAAGGTATTTTCGTATTTTTGTACAAGGAAGAGGGCATAAAAAAAGCGGCACACGCCCACCACCAAAACCGCCTCTGGTGATGGAGTGGTTCAAAAAAACGTGAGCGGCAGGGTGGTTCTTGATGCTGATTCGGTATGGTAAAGTTATAAATCGCGATGTTCTCAAACAGTGTAAAGTTGCTTGTCAAATAAGGTGTGTAAAGTTTGAAGTTTAATAAGGCAAAGCTGCTGCTAGCTTGTGCTTCGATCTTGTTGATAAGGTATAGTAAAAGAGTAAAGAGGTGAAGTTGCTTGGCCAGCACACGAAATCAAATAGCAATCCCGTGGCACCGTGTGAAAAAAATCAAAAGCAGCACTAGTAGTGCTTGTGGTTTTCAAGGTTAATACCCGTTGTACTTGTACCCCTTGGTGGCCCTGCGAACAAAAATACTGCGTCCACTGCAAACAAATCTCCACTTCTAGGGCGCCTCCCGGATTGCCAACGGCTCGTGCTGCGATCCGCCCCGCCAGTCTTGGATGGTTTGCCGGTTGAACCGCATGGCAGCGTCCTGCTTCAGCTCCTTGTTCTCAAAGTGCAGGCCCAAGGTCAGGCGGTCATTGACTTCGGTCTTGTTTAGCGGGAAATCCCAGGACTTGTTCATACGCGCGTACAGTGGCTGGAAACTGACGTATTTATCAAATGTTGTTTTTGTTGTGCAACATCTTTATCTTCACAGTGCATCAGCATGAGACAGTCCTCACTGGTGCTGGGACACGGACAACACTTTCAGTGAACTGGTGCCTGATGACAAGCATCATCGTCCAAAACTTTCCTGTACCTTCCGCCGATGCCGAGCAGTTCCATTTTCTTCCTCTCCCGCTCTGAAAGCGTGCCATCTAAATGAGTTTTTAAACGTTTCGGTTTCAACTTCCATTTTTTGGAGTTGACAATTATGCGCATGAGAAATAAAGCAGCAGTTGCAGCTGTAGGAGTAGGAGACGTTGTTCTATGCATGACGACAAAAAAACGTACAATACTGGCCTCGGAGGCGACAATGGATCCCATTCCGCTGGGGTCGACATCGTCCATGTAGGATTGCGCCGACGGTCGGACCATCTGGGGGTATCGGGATGAAAAAGTCCCTTGACGCTCTTGTTGCTGGGGATCTTTCAGTACGAGTACTCGAGTAAGTTGCAGCAGCTTGGAACGCCGTGCAGCTAAAGGCTGCTCATCTATGACGGTTATTTCTGTCAACATGCATTTCGAGACACAGATGTACTGCGTGCAGCAGCACCTGGCTCCAACCTTTACTTTGTGTTTGTTCCTCCGCAACGAGCAAGAAAAAAACCTTTTTCATCTCCATATCCCTCGGGGTGTCAGCATGGGCTGCATGTAGGATTGCGATGGCCTCGTCATCACGCCCCGCGGCGTGTTCATGACGGTCGAGTTGTTCGTGTGCGGTTCGGTCTCCGGCTCGCCTTGCATGGCCGATTCGTTCAAAAGCTGCTGTTGAAGCTCACTGTTGGATGATTCGTTTATTTGTGCATCAAGAAATAAGGGTTGTATTTCTTGATGTCCAGGAAAGTTGTGTAGCGAGCAACGACAACCGTAAAGATCCTCTTTGTTCTCACGCAACAGCAAGAAACAGCATGAGCATTCTTCTACTCATGATCCTTAAGTAAAACTAAAAACAGTACCTCTCGTTCATCTGTCTCTCGGCCGATTTGGTGCGCTTTTTGCTGTTTCCGCCCTTGGCACGCATGCGCTTCCGGTTTCTGGCTTCCTTCGCTTGTGCCTTCTCCGTGTCGACACCAGCCCACTTTTCCAGCTGCGGCAACCTGGTTTCATCATCATCATCATCATCATCTATCCTGCGTTTTTTTTCTTCTACTTTTGCATTCCAATGCGAATAATTCCGTTGTACTTCGTACCAGAAAACATCTTTTGACATCACGTCTGGATCTGACTGTGTGAAAATAAATCAAAACGTAACGACAAAAAGAAACTGACTCTGATACAGCGTTTGCCTCGCCCCCGTTACCGCGGCCCCGACGATGGGATTAAGGAGATACGTGTCCGCCGCGCTGGCCGTCCTTTTTCCGATGCTGATATGCAATACAAATAATTCCCGCACGCGTACAAAATGCATCACAAATTTCACCAACTTAGAAGAAGCAACTTGTCATGCTGAAGAGGTTCGAAGGAAAAGTTTGTAATGCGGAAGCCACATTTGGACGTGTACGGGAAATTTCCTGTGGATAGCCGAAGAAGTCAAAGGGGATGGGGATCGCGGTGTAGACTTTTTTCGCAAAGTTCGTATTACAATGAAAATGCCCCCTCCCCATATCAAAGCGGAAATCTGCGATGCAGATTTGTGGCCACAAATCAGCTTTGTGATGCTAGAAGGCAAAAGATGCGGACTGTAATGCTGCCTAGCGTGGGCAAGCCTTGCAGCTCCAGGATGACAGGAGGCAACTGGAAGTGGGAAACAGCATGACAGACTGCCCGCAATTTAGGCCGCAGCTTCGTCTCTTGGCCTTCTAGCAATACAAGTCGATTTGTGTACTCAAATGCAGCATCACAAATTCGCGCATCTTCCGTTTCCGATATGGGGTGGGGGCTTTTTTCACTTTGATAGTTCGCGCCCTCGCCCTCCCCGGAGGTGCTGCCAGATTTGTCCTCACTCGGACTGTCGCTGCTGTGCTCCGACTGCACGGCCTCACTCTCCGTGGGCGACACGGGGACATCTTCGCGTTCGTGCGTGTTTCCGTACTCATCCTTTAGCAGGTTTGGGTCTGAGGTAGGCTGAAATTCCTCGACAGTCTGCAGACCCCGCTTCACGCCCGCGGGCCCGCGCCGGGTGGAGGACGGCATCGACCCACCACTGTGGAAAGTAGGAAGGTTGTTTACCATAGCCATACTTGCAGTGGAGCTTCTTCGTGTTTCAATCTATCAAGCTCTGTGCTTTCTATGCAAACACCAGATGTCGTGATTATTGTACTGAAAAAGAATGTATAATGAATTGTTTTCTTTATGTGCTGTTTTTTTTTCCCCTGTAAACTCTCACGGTCACGATTTTGGTCTTGAGTCAAAATAGTATGGTTTCTTCACACGGCATAGGCCAGTACCTAGAAGTGCGGGTCAAACTCGAAAAAAAGAACAATGAAGCACAGCACGACGGGGTGACAGACAGTGACAGACAGCACATGGATTCTGTAAGTAGACCGATGTGATAAACAGGTGGACCCAATAAAGCACTCTAACTCTTTCAACAAACTTTTGTATGTGGCCCAACGTGCTTGAAGATGAGGTCTTCTTCCAGAATTATTATTTATCATACCTACGGGTGGACAACATTTACATTAACATTTGGTAGGACTTCAAGCAAGGACCGACTCACGACCGATGGGCGCAGAGAAAAAAAATCAGGGTCACTCAATGGATTCCGTTTTGCTGTTGTTTCATTTCCCCATCCCTTTCTAGAAGTTCAAGTTGCACAAAGTAGCCCACTTTATTTGTAAAGTGCTACTACATCCCAGTGACCACCGAATGGCGCCAAATCTTCGCGCTTTTGACTTTTTTGAATAATGATTGTAACTGCTCACCAGAAGAACAAATTTTACACCGCTGTGTACACGCAGCTTGAAGGCAGCGGATTTTTAGCACTTGAAGCTTTCTTAATTTTACGTCTTTACCTCTGTAACCAAGTAGCACTTCCACTTAGCGACTCGTGCTATTTTTTCGTTTCGTTCCGGGTGGTTAGTGAGAATGCTGTAGCTCCATGCGCTTTTCTTTTGCTCTCCAGCACGATGAATGAACCGCATCCAAAAATAAACTTTGTTATCTTGGAAATAATGCTTGATCTACTGTTACGACAGAGCTGCGACAAGACGTCTTCCGGAATTCATTTTTCTCCACTAGCAGGTGCGGCGGCGACATCCTCGCTTACGCCGGCCTCCGTCATAAGCTCGCCGATAGACCTGTTAGTTTCGTTTGTTGTAGTTCAGTAGCGTCATGCATCACAATTTCTAGATACGGATCTACCTTCGTGCATTTCAAAGACACCAACAGGCACTTCTATCCTCCTGCTCGATGAGAGATCAAGAGGAACTGGAGTGTGTAAACGAATATACTTTTCCAAATCGTCGATCCGCCCTCCCATGTCGTCAATACGGTTGACAATGCCGTCAGACATGGTCTGGAACCTGCTCTGCATCTCTTTCAGCAGGTTCTGCACAAACAGGGTCAGATCCTGGTGCTGCTCGTCAATGGTCTGCTCGAGGGACGCCATTTTCTAGTAGTGTAGGTACTACTCGCGAAAATAGACTATACCTTTTCCGAGTGACAAGCAGAAGATTAATACCTACAGCTTACTTCTGCGCTCTACTTGTCGTGCTATTAATTGTTGAAAGTTGTGCCTTTTTGTAGTCAAACGTGGGCATTTATTTTCTTTTTCAGGGAGTACGATATCGGTGAATGAAGAAAGAGCGGAAGACGAGAAGGGGTCTTGTACTTAAGTGATTGGGGGACAATGACAAAGTAAGAGGATTTATTCAGCGCACGAAAAAATTTATGACAACCTTCCTTCTTCGAAGCCGCGCACGACAACAATCTCGAGTAACCATCACAGAGGATTGGATGGGAAAAAACAGCAGCTCAAGTTCTAATGCAGCTATGTGTATATGTAGAAGTGCATTCATTCTCTTACTCTTTTGATATTTGAAACTCGGTCTTCAATATCGTCGAAGAAAGGGTTCCGGTGAAGCGGTGGACGAACACAATTCAAGTTCTGTTTCAGTGACAGTCGCATGTGATGCTGCAACAGCTGTGCAAGACAGAAATAGTGAATGCAAACAGAAGCACGCACGGATGACCACTACATCGACACATCTGAAAGGGTGGCTGTCACAACAGGAGAAAAAAACTCATCAGACACGAGCACGCTGCCCCGCGCTGTCTCAAAAGCTGTTCTCTTGTTTGTCTACAATAGTGATTTACTTCTGGGGTTCTTGTTGCTGGGCTAAATTGTTTCTCTGACATTTCCCCATCAAGCAGAATGGAACCGCGCGCAGGTAGCTAATTCTGATCCTGGCGCGTTAGGACGACTTTTGAAGGTCCTAACGCGTCGCACCAGCCGTTGGTGTTCTCGAACTACGTCCTCAAACTCTCCCGAAGTAGCGACTGTGGCAGCCCCCTCTCCGCTTGCTTACTGCTGCGTCGTCGAAGTTTGTCGTAACAAGAACGACGAAGCGATCGCCTAGTAATTGGCAAACGGATGCGGTGTGGCCGTACCTTCATACATCCACTTCCGCATTTTTGCCGCCGCAGAGTCCCCGTGGTGGTGGTACTTCGCCCGTCGCGAGTCCATGGTAACCCACAAGAAGATAACCACGACGATGCCAATGAACAACGCGGCCCACGCGAGCGGCTCTACCTTGGCAGCCATGATTTCGCACAGAGTGCAAAACTAAACAGATAAAGTCTGGTAGGCAAGCTCAAAATCTTTGTGGTCAGAACAGCAAGAATTTTGTTTGGCCAGCAAAACAATTACAATGTGGAGCACGCTTCCTCGACTAACAGCAGAGGAGGTGTCAGGCGACCCAGCAACTCTCCTCGAGAAATTGGCCAGAAGAACCAAAATACAACAATTTCTTCAGAATGATTGAATGTGAGAAATAGGTCTAAGGAGAGACGAAATTATAGGGGGACCGTCCGGGCGGCACTTGGAGTGGCTGAGAAGTCGTTGTCGTATTTGTGCTGCATAAGTATATCTTCTGAGAATCTACATCTGAACTTTCACGACCACGTTCTGAAAATCAACAGAAGCTCTAGCTGGACGAAAAATTTAAATTCACGAAAGTTCCACCGCTGCTTGGCACGACGCACGAACGTGGCAATGCGCTGCCGGTGTCTCTCAAGATGACAAATCATATCATAAGCACGATTACCGACCTGACCGTTTCCGGCTAGACGATTCGACCGACAAATACTGTACGACGTCGCCGGTCGTTCTTTATCTTTTGATCAGCAGGACGAGCACCGACACACAGGCCAAGCCTCTGTGGCCAGGGCACGGTGGAAGAACACAGTTCAGGTTCTGTTTCAGTGACAGTCGCATGGCTCGTGGTGATGCAACAGCCCTGCAAAGAAGTGATGAATACAAAGGACACTCACGGACGACAAAGACAGAACGAAATTTTTTCTTTTGTTCATGATCACTTGCACAACAATCTCTTGCTCACTCTTTCCACAGCTGCATGAGTTGGAGTTGTATCTTACTTTTTCCAAGCGTTGCATCTTACTTTTTTTTTTTTTGCGAAATCGAATTCATACAGGCGAATGATTTTTCATCATCCGCGGCGGTGGCAAACCATCTTGATTTTTGTTTTTCGCTCCTCGACCTGTTGTCCCAGCAGCTTTGTTTTTGCCCGCAAAACTATTGCCCGGAGCAGGACCTCCACGGCTTCCCGTTCCTCCTCCCCCCCCTCCCCCACCGCTCGACAAACTCCCCGTCGCTCCTCCGGGTTTCTCGACGCACAACCACAGGATCAGGTGCGCACTCGGCGGGATGAGAGCCTTGAAGCCGCGACTGCCGAACGCCTTGCCCGGGGGGATGTACGCGAGTGCTTTGGAGCCGACGCACAACTGCACTACGGCTTCCTCCAAGCCGGGAAAATACGCGTTTTTTCCCAACTTGTCCATCCGGAGCGGTTTGTGGCGGTTGTACGTGGTATCGAATTGGAACGCCTTGTAGATCAACGTCGGATTTGTAAAGGTACTTCCAGCTCCTGTGGTTGTCGTCGTCGTTCCAGATGATATGCATTGCAAAAGTATCGCACTCGTGTGGTCGTACTAGTTGCAATTGTGTATGACAAATCGAAATCATCCTCTTAAGGTAAAACAGCATGAGAAATTCCGATCGTCATGCTGAGCAAGTTTGTAATGCAATGACCACTAGAAATACGAAGATACTTTTGCAATACATAGATGACACGTACCAGCCAATGTAGTGAACGTCGACCGTGCGGTATTTTTTCTGATAATTCGAGCTGCTGGACCAGAAGGTTTTTGCGGTAGAAGAGGCAGCCGGTAGTAAAGACGAATGCTGTGTTGTGGCAGTACCCTGTGATGCCAATTTTTGCAGCGACTGCGGCAACATGACTGCGGTGGTACCTCCTTGTGCGGAAGCTGTACTCGTTCCCCCCGCAGCTGCAGCGCCCATGCTCGTCGCGCTGGATCCACCGCCAGCACCAGCTCCGACGGCGCTGCTATAATTTCCAAATCCAAACTGTTGTTGCTGCGCCAGGAGAACCGGTTGCGCGAAGTCCCCGGGCAGCACCATCTCCAACACGACCGACTGTAGCAGCTTCACTTCCGCCAGCGGTTTCACCCGCAGCCCCAGGGCGTGCAAATTCAGGTCCTGCAGCTGGTAAGTACCCGGGGATTTGGGGAACAGGAAAGAAAGCCGCGGGGCGCGATCGTGGTCCCGGCGGTTCTTTCCGACGTGCAGGGTGGTCACGTCGGAAGATGAATTAGAATTCGCAGCTTGTGCAGCAGTGCCTCTTGGGGATGAAAGCTGCGACGTAGGAGAATTTTGCTGCGAAAAGGTTTCCGAACCACCACCACCAGCACCACCAGCAGAACTACCACAACTGCCCCACTCGAAGTTTTCAGGCACAAGCGTTGACTCGGAGGGCAGGGGCTTCTCAGCTTGATGTAAGAGATCAGATCTACTACCTCCACCGGAGCAGGGAGTAGCGGCCCTCAGTTCTTGCTTCGGATCATAATGCCCTTTGTTCCCTGTCACTTGTTTTTCGTCTCCTCTTCTCCCGTCCTCATCGTGCAGCAGCAACGGTGCGCTTTCCGGAGGACGTGCCGGAGGTGAAACTAAGGGCACGAAGTTTTTTTTCCTCGGATTCATCTTGTGCGGCCTTTCATTGTTCGAGGGTGTTGGTCCTCCGCGCCCGCGTAGGGCGCTAGTACTATGCGGTGGTGGAGCATCTTTTCGAGGCGGAGCGCCGGTAGGCGCGATTGGTAAGAAATTCTTGCTCGAAGCCGAAGACATGATCTTCCATGTGGTCCGTTACTATAGCTCTGTCGTGCTAGTATCACGGCATCCGCTTTTTTTTAACCGACGTGAAGAACTACTTGTTTGTAAGATGCAATCCTGAACAAGATCAGGCTGATGCGCCGCCACACCACGGCCCTGCTGTGAAATCGCCTGTATTTTCCAGGTTGTCTTGGCTTTCACGAGCAGACTTCCGAAACGCGCACCGAGCAAACGAATAAGAATCTACAACCAAGTCAACCGAGGGCTCGAACACTACCCACAAGCCAATAGTGCTCTTTAGGCGCAAACAGAAGTAATTCTAGGGGAAATGTAGTCCAAAATAGGCACAATATCCATCAATGTGTTCTGGCTGGACCTAGTCCAGCCCAAGCGTAGTAAAGCTAAAGGCTCTTTGTGCTTCATACTAAAGCATCACATAAGCTCCTAATGTTTCCCGTGGTGTGGACGTTCCTGATGTGGTAAAGACAAAAGCGGCGCGCATTTAGTCAGTGCAAGAACCTAGATCATGCAGCAGCTTCGTCTGCGCTTCATTTTCTGAACCTTACATCGGAGTTCCGACCCTACCAGTGGAAACTGGGGCGCCATTTTGCGCCTTTTGATCCATTTTCCATGCGTTCTGGACCTAAAATATGCCATTTTTGACCTGAATTTGAGCTAAAATAGAGCCTACTTTGTTGAATTTACGTGAAAAAGGTAGCTGTACGTGGCAAAAGCGGAGATTTTCCCAGAAGAGCTGCAAAGGTCGAAGTCGAAGACGACGAGCTTTGTAGCCAATATAGTAACGTGAAAACTGTAAAGCCAAACCATACCAGCAAGGCTACCCCAATGTAAATCTGTAATGCGAAAAGCAAATAAATATAGCCCCGAACCCAGCTCCTGCGTGAAGTGATGCGAAACCGCGCATCGACTCCAGACGCAGCCGCGGTTCGTTTCAAATAAAAAAAAGTCCTAAAATAAAGAAACGACGACCCTAGTCGCGCTGTGCGGCTGGATGCGTCTAACTACCTCAATAGAACAAATAAGCAGACCTCGTTCTTCACTTCGCGTCAAGTAATCACAGCCAGGCAATTTTCCCAGAAGCCCCCTGATTACTTTACGCGAACACTCGCCAATCTGCTGCAATCTACCATCAGTGCCTTTTTCCCGATAAAGCACTCGAGGCCTGTTGACGGCTCCGGCCTAAACAACTGCCCCCATGCTTCAGCGGATCGCTGTGCTACTGAAAATCGAAAGTCGAGCGCAAGCTTTGCTGCTCCGGCATCAAAGCTATTGCGGCAATCCCGACAACTGCTAATGCGCGCTTCCAATATCGGACCCCGAAAAAAAAATGATCTCCCCCAAAAAACTGCGAACTGCCTCAAAGACTATTACTTTTGTCTAGGAGACTCCTGCTGCCCCCAAATCCACAGCTGCAATTCTACATCCCGCGACAGACAACTTTTTTGCCCGATCCGTGGCTGGGGCCCGTCGCTGCTATCAACGCAGCTACCTCCCATGAGGAATCTGCAGCCCAAAACGTTCCGCCTGCTACTACTCCGGCTCCGGCCGGCTAGCTATTACGCCGTCTCGGAATTTCTGGACAAGGTCGCTCCGTGCGTACCTTGCAAACGCTGCTACTACTTACTGCCCCCAGCCCTCCGCAATCGAAGCTAGTCTGTGCGCCGATTTTCGTGTACGTAGCCCGCCGCCCAAGGAACATGGCTTTTGTCTATCTATTGCGCTTAGCGATGCGCTGTATCCGCTACTAGCATCCTAAGGAAAACAGACCTAGCGCTACACCACCACCACGGGAAATAGATATAGACTGTCCTATACGTCCAAAATGAGAGAAGCGTAAATGTGCCCCGAGCTAATGCCCACGCTATACATTTTCCCAGAAAAAGCTCCGGCTTCGTTGCCGCTCGGGTCCACCACTTGTGAAATCGCCTGTATTTTCCAGGTTGTCTTGGCTTTCACGAGCAGACTTCCGAAACGCGCACCGAGCAAACGAATAAGAATCTACAACCAAGTCAACCGAGGGCTCGAACACTACCCACAAGCCAATAGTGCTCTTTAGGCGCAAACAGAAGTAATTCTAGGGGAAATGTAGTCCAAAATAGGCACAATATCCATCAATGTGTTCTGGCTGGACCTAGTCCAGCCCAAGCGTAGTAAAGCTAAAGGCTCTTTGTGCTTCATACTAAAGCATCACATAAGCTCCTAATGTTTCCCGTGGTGTGGACGTTCCTGATGTGGTAAAGACAAAAGCGGCGCGCATTTAGTCAGTGCAAGAACCTAGATCATGCAGCAGCTTCGTCTGCGCTTCATTTTCTGAACCTTACATCGGAGTTCCGACCCTACCAGTGGAAACTGGGGCGCCATTTTGCGCCTTTTGATCCATTTTCCATGCGTTCTGGACCTAAAATATGCCATTTTTGACCTGAATTTGAGCTAAAATAGAGCCTACTTTGTTGAATTTACGTGAAAAAGGTAGCTGTACGTGGCAAAAGCGGAGATTTTCAAAGATCAGAGAGATAAAAAGCTTGCGTCAAAATCAGGTGCGGCTATTCAAACGACCTCCCAAGTATCACGACTTGCTCAAGGAAATCTTCCCGCTGAGGGTTTACCAAACCTGATGGTGAACTAGGATATATAGACCGAGCAGTGCGCGACTGCCGTCCTAGTAGCATGGGAAGCATCTTACATCTAATCGTGGCTGTATTTTTACGCGCTGTCTGACTCGTCATGTTGGAAGGGCCTTCTGAGGCGTCCGCCTTCCGTAAAAAACAAGAACCAGCAGTGCAAACTCCTTGGTGACACGAACCACAATTGTGGTCCAAGGATAAGGCATGTCCCGGCGTGGGTCGGTGGCGGTAGACAGAGCGTCTATCGGAGTTGGGGACAGTGTAATACAGCCTGGTCGACCGTAAAGCGTACCACTTAGACCAGGTGACGCGCGTGGCACCTTTAGGTGCCCGGCGGATGAAATCCACGATGGCTACGGGATGGTGGAGACTACATACTCACACAGTAAGACGCTAATGATGGCGCAGCCGGTGAGATGTCTACACCTCAAAACTCGTGTAGGAGTCATACTTTACGGTAAATTGGTTTTGCGTTGAGCCTGCGGAAGAGTTGTTTCGGGTGCAAGTCTCTGGAGATTCTAGGCTACGAATTTTCGGAAGAAGGACGGAAACCAACGAGGAAACGCTGCGACCAGTTACGGAACTGGCCAACACCGAAATCGCGCGCGGAGCTGTTGTCGGCGGTTGCTTTTGCAAATTTCAGTCGTGAATACATCCCGGATTTCACGGAGATTTGTCATCCGCTCCGCCCCTACCTCCGTCAGAAATCGGATTTCAAGAAATTTCAAGGCGACCCAGCAGCAATGGATGCGTTTAAACGGTTGCGCACCTCTCTCCGCTCGGATGTTCCATTGAAGGCTCTAGACCTTGCAGCGGGACAGAATTGGCGCACTACCGGGCGGCCAATTTGTGTTTTGCTCGACGCAAGCATTTACGGAAGGGGTTTTGCCATTGCTCAGCCAGCGAAGAAGTTCGGGCCCCTGCGTCCGATTATGGCGAAGTCAAGGAGTTTTGCAGCTGGCGATGCAAACCTGGGAACTTTTGAACGCGAGTTGGCGGGGGTCAAGATGTTCTGCGATTTTGGGTTGAACCTTGTGGAGGGCAGCGAAATTTTCCTACTTTTCGATCACAAGAACTTGGGGGAGTCGGAGCTGGAAGAGATTGCAAGGTCACAGGTGAAGTCAGCCAAGGCTCAGCGTTGGGTCGAAGGTAGGCTTCCGAAGTTACGATCTCCACTGATTCACCGGGTGCACATTAGTGGCGAATGCAATATTTTGGCGGACATCGTTTCCAGATTCCCAGCAGAAGGCAAAGACCGCGAAGGAGTACGGGCCGACCTACAGCGGGTACTAGGTCAAATGCCGAATGGAGTTCGGGATTGTATCAAGTGGCTATTTGGATCGAAGAAGGACGAAGACCCGAACGTGGGTCAAGGAGAAACGCAGCCTCTCGGGGTGGCAGAACAAAATCAAGCGCTTCACGTTTCTGCGACTGCCGATGGGAAAAAGAAGAAAGTCGTAGTGGTGCAAAATGGGAATAAAGTGGAGTACTCTTGGGGGCCGAGGAAGTTATATCGCAACTTCGCCGAGGCAAAAGAAGCTGCGGCCAAGGGGCTGCCAGACCGGTTCCGCTCCGATTTGTCCCATTCCAACCATCCGAAGGAATTTGTCGCTCACGATTTGGAAGCAATAGCGAAGCCACTGCGGGATTTGCAATGCACTGATGGGGTGCAGGAGGTTAAGCTATTCAAAGCGCAGTGGAATCCCGGTCGAGAAACAGTTGAGTCGCCACTACTAATTTGTCCGAAACACACCGGGGAAGCACTTCTACGGGCGCCCGGTAGGCGGTGCAAGTGCAATTGTGGCGTGGCCCCGGTGCGACAGCGGATTATCCAGGATCCGGGTGATGGTTTGCGGTTTTGCCTCCCCATCGAAGATCAAGAGGATTTAATAGTTGCGGAAACGGAAGAACTTTTGAAGAAACGGAACACCAGGCAGCGGAGTACTCGCCTGGCCGAATTAGTAGAGCAGTTTGACGCGCTTCAGGAACAGCGGAATCAGGCTGGCCTTCTACCGATTTTAGACGAACAAGCGGAGCATCAGGCCGCTCCCCCTTTGGGAATTCCGCATAACAATTCGTCGTCGTCGCATGACAAACAGGATGCTCATGCGGGTGTTGATGAAGGGAATAGTGTTAATTTCAGTAATTCGGACGTCGAAGAGGAGGATGAGAAGAATTTGCAGGGGGGCAACAGAGATGAAAACGCAGAGCCGTTGCTGGCGATTGCAAATTTTCCTGCAAACCCACCTCCGGACCAGCTGGCAGACGAAGACGAAGACTTGGATCCAGCACCGGAAGAAGCCGATCCAGAAGCTATTTGGGTAAATGCTATCTTTAAGAAGGCCCAGGGAATTTTTCTTCACGATGGACCTACTGTTTTTCGACTGCAAAGCCTGTACCGGCCGGGGGCGGTTCCGACAAAAGCGACTCCGATTGCGGATTTGGAGCCGTTAGATGGTGTTTTACTTCTCTACCAGCACTGCTACGGCGAAACGGTTCGTTCCGGAATTTGTGGAAGTAGTGCGACCTCCTCAAGCGTACTACAAGATCCAGGAGCAGTGGAACTACAAGAAATTCATTTTCTCTGCTCCGTCGAAGGTTTCGGCAGGAACAGGAGCAGGGTTGGGGGCAGTAGGGTCGCAGTTGCCGCTGCGACGATTTTGGAAAAGCGGATACAAGGGAATGCTGGCTTTTGGCGCACAAGCTCCGCCTCCTGGAGTGGAAGAAGAAACAGCAGTCCCGGTGGACGTTACCAAAGAAAGAATTGCGCAAATGCAGCAAAAGGCCTGGCCAGAACATTTTTGGGTCCTGGACAATGTAGGCCGGTTTTCGTTGGAAGAACTACTTCAACGCGCGGCGCGTCGTTGGGGTGTGAAACGGGCAAAGACTGCTATCGACGATGTGAAGAGATGCAGTTTTGTCGAGATGCAGACGATGTTCTGATCCGGTTAGATCGCGACCACGTTTTCAGGGTGGTGGTTCCACCGGGGGAATTTGTGGATGGGGTTCCTGGGTTCGAAGAAGAAGAGCTTACGCACCTGTTTCCCTCGGGTTCGATTTCGCTTCGCGAATACTTGATCTGGGCCATCCACCGTTCGGCCGTGGGGGCTGCTCACGCGGGTGAGTATGCAACTTTTGTTGAGATTTTGCGGTGCGGATTCTTGTGGAACAACATGCGGAAAGATGTTGCAGCCTTCATCGCAAGATGCCCGGCGTGCAACACCAACGTGCGGGAACAGCAGTTGATCTCATCGCGGGCGGAGGTGCTGGAATATGGACAGCTCTTGGATTGCATCGCGTTCGATTATGCCGGACCTTACAAGACCACTACTGGCACTGAACAAAAATACATCTTTACGGCCTGCGATGTGTTCAGTGGCTACAATTGGATATTCAGCACAGGAAGCAAAACCGTCGAGAAAGCGGCCGAGTGCCTGGAGAAAATTTTTAAGCGCTTCGGGGCGCCGAGGAAATTGCGGGCAGACAATGGCTTCGAACATTTCAAAAACAAGGGCTATGGCAAGCTTCGGGCTTGGATGCGTCGCAACTACCCGGCCGTGAAGTTTGTGCCAGGGACCAGCTACCACCCGGCGGGCCAACATGCGGCGGAGTATGTTCACAAATTCTGCACCCACTTCTTCAGAACGTCCCCAGGCCCGGGCACGCATTTGGAGTGGTCTGACAGGGTTGAAGATCTTGAGCTGGCGCTGAACCGAATGCCGCTCGAAGGCAGGAATGGTCGATCCGCATTAGACGTTTTGGGGTTTGAGGTTCGGGGGCAGTTGTTTCCACAATTACGGGCTGCCGTGCCAGAACCCAGTAGGGCTGTTGAGCTATCGGTCGGTGACGCGTTGGACCAGGTCGAACGGAAACGACGGGAACTGGCGGTCGACTGCCTCGAGGATAAGGCTTTGGCGGCGGAACGTACTCGAAAGAAACTGATCGCAAAGAGGGGTAGCCGGTTTCCTGATGTCATTGTGGGGGATCTAGTTCAGGTGGAGTTGCCACCGGCTCAGGTTCGTGGGAAGCAAGAGCTCGCTGGGGTTTACGGAAAGCCGATCTACGAGGTGACTGGAGTTTTAGACCGTGCAGTATACCTGGCTGACCGCAATGGCTCGGCCGATATCCCGATGAAGAATCCAGTCAGCTTGGACAGAGTAACCGTGATTGGAAATATCGCCGAATACCGAAGGGACGACTACGCTTTCAAAGCTCGGAACGGATGCGGCTGGGTTCGGAATATTTGCGTTTGGAAGGATTCCGCTACTGTCACGCTAGCGGAGGCGGCTCCGATGGAAGTCCGCTACCGGAAATGGTTTTTAGATAATGAAGTCATACCGATATCCAGTATGCCAGTGCAGTAGGCGTCCTGGTGTAAAGCGGGGGCATTTGGGTAAATTCAAAAATTGTGCTTTACCCCAGCCCGCCCGGCAGTATGATACTTGTAAGATGAAGATGTTAGATTTAGAGCCACCGATGCTGGTACACGCCTACTCATCGCGCTTTCTAAGATTTGATTTTGGTTTACGCAGCACTGAAAATCGTACTTCATATCTCGGGTCTTCGCTATCGTTTACATCGTTTTGAAGACAAATCGTTTCTAGCGTTACAAATTGGGGAAATCGTTCTTCGAGAAGGGTCGTAATTACTAACGTGCTATGGATATCGCTTATCGTGGGGCTAAAGTCGTGAACGAGGGAGTTGGGCCGAAGAGGATTTTCTTGGCTCAAGTTTCTCTTGCAGTTTCGACCAGATTCACGCATAGCAAGTTTTGGAAAATTAAAAGACGTTCATTTATTTTTTGGCTTCGCATGGTAGTTCTACATTGTATGATGACAGTTGGATAGGTTTTGCACAACTAATTTATTGGTTTGTAATGCGGGTCTCGTCAGGATTCCCGGACTTTCGGCAAAAGTCCTGGGATCTTGAATCCTCAGGACGAGAAACCGCTTTTCTAGAATAGGAGGGAGGGGGAAGACGTGTTTCTCTTCCCCCGTTCCCCACTTTCTACATGTACGATGGATTTTCTTTTATTGTTTACTGGATGTTTAGGATTATAGTCTGTTTTATTTATTCTTTTGTATGATTTTCAAGCTATAGTCTAGATGAGATCTCTACTAAAACCGAGGGCAGTGCAAAGATAAGAATGTTACTAGTCTAACGGAGCAGTAACCAGATACAGCTCGGAACAAAAGGAAAGACAATGGGTTTACAGTGGGAGTTTTCGTATTCGATTGGGTGCTGCTAGTCGGAGCCAATCGCTTATTTGGGTAAATCTTCCATTTTGCTGTTTTTAGGCCGTCTTGCTTCTTGTCCCGACCACCCCCAGATCGGTGGGCGTGGAGCAACTTCATAGCTTTCTTTCGTTTTGCTGTCGAGGTGGACCTTTGTGTGAGGTCCACCCAAATCAAGAATTCGGTCGTGATTAGCAAGACAAATACATGTTAGATTCCGAAAGCCCCAGATTTACCGCAGATCAAGAAAAACAGCATTACAAATTGGCCAAAGGATCAACCTGAAGATCAAAGCACCAGCACGATCAAAGGTTCCGGAAATCCCTTCGTCATAAATTGTAGCACTGATCTAGCTCGTACAAGAACCGTAGACCACACTGCCGCTCACTAAATGGTGAGCGCGATCACAAAAGGGAAAGAGGAGAAGAAGCATCGTCGCCAAATGGTCGAAATATGCATGACAGATTGCTGTCGGGCATTTCCGAGCAGAACGGCCGCCAGCATTACAAATTCATGCTTTGTTTGTCAACCTTCACTACAGATGCATTAGTTTCTCCACGGGAAACTATTAGGGCTTGTATGCTTTTCAGCATTACAAATTATTCTAGCTTACCTCTAAACACCCTAATACGGGCACAAGCGGCAAAGCTTATTTTGGAAGGAAAGGAAAAACCTAAACTACACACGAGAAGCACCGGCGTGCATTACAGATTGGATACTACTTTGATTCCTAGTAGTGTTCAAATTCGTCTTGACTTTTCTTTTGCGTCTCTTGTCTTTGGGGTCGTTGGGAAACCTGCGCGTGAAAGAAACCAATCGTCAAAATCAGGTGGAATCACAAGCTTTTCAAAAGCAGTCTAGAGAGATACCACACGACACCAGACACACTTTGCTTTGTCGTGGATCCCTCCACCTCGACACAGAATTTGGAAGGAGCCCTCCGTCACGACACCTAAAGTAAGGCTGAACTCTCTTCATTACTCTTTTCGGATTCGGACTCATCGACCTGCATATCGGCGAGCTTCGGCTTTTAGGCGTGCGGAAAGGATTACTTACATACGCTGTGTTTAGTGGACAGCAACAGCGGCGGCCCCCTATGTTGAACACGACGATTCATTATGCTGTATGAACTCAGCTAGTGTGTAGAGTTTGATGTTTAAAAACTATTTCATCAGCAACGATGAACGATTGCTAGTGCAGCTGTTCTTCAGCCACATGTTCGTCCTTCGCTACTTCTGGTTTAAGTACAACTATCCCAAATCATCAGCCATGGACATCAGCATGGCTGTATCAATTTTTTGCTGCTTCTTCTTACCACCTGTTGCACTACTACTACCTCCTGCTCCATAATTCGCAGCTACGACACCAGGGCCGCCGCCGCGCGGGTCCTTGGCCTTGTTGCTGTCCCCAACACTGCTCATCATGTGCTGGCCGCCACTGTTCTTACCCTTCATCTCGACCTGGTCGTGGAAAAATTTCGCCCAGTTCTTCGCTTCCTCCGCCAATTTCTCTTCCAATAGCTCCTTTGAAAAAATCTGGGCGCCGATGTCTTTTGTGATCAAATACTGCACGGTGTTCACCCGAAGCTGCGTCATCGTGCTCTGCGTAGTTCTTCCCAAGAGCTCCAACTCGATGCGCACGCGGAAAGCGTAGAGGAAATTCAAATTTTCCAGAACGATCCGACACTTTTCGCCCTTCCAGTCCACCTCCCAGGTTTCCTCCCACAGCAGGACATCGCGGTTTGACGAAACCACTGCACCTGTTAATTCCTCTGTCGTTCCTTCTGTGGTGGCGGCAGGATGATTCTTTAGTACGACTTGATCAACAGCGGCACTACCACTACCACTAGCGCTCGTCGTGCTGCCCCCTGTGCGCCGCGCATGTTCTTCTTGTACACCGGCATAATTCCTCCTGCTGTTGTCCACACGACTACAGGTGGACAAGTCATTTTCACTTCCGAAGAAATTCCGTGTCACGGTTTCAAAGGTGAGTGTCTCGGTCGCCGCGATCGCATTGTGCTGCATGTGGAGGAGCTTTCGGTCCTGAACGCGAATAGTTATCTTCGAGGAGGATGCAGGAGCCGAACCGAAGAACGCCGGGTCCCGGCCTTTATCAAATGTAAAAATGTCTGGGTCTGGAAGAATCCGAACTTGTGATGCTGCATTTGGATTCCAAAAAAATCTGTATTGCATAAGCAGCAAAGGGAATGCAATTTTGGCTACAGGGAGAGGGCATTTGCCATGCGGAATAGGCATCGCAGAGCCCTCAACAAGTCTGTGATGCTAGGGCATGCATCACAGACATCATGATCATGGCCCATGCAAAACGTGCATGACAAGTCTCAGAATCTTCCAGACCCAGACACTTTTACACTTGATAGCCTTCCACCCACTGCATTTTTACCAGGAGCATCAAATCCGCAAAGGAAGCCCGCCGGAACTCGAACGCGCCCAGAAACAACTGCTCCGAGTCGAAAAGCGGCTCAAAGGGTTGCTCGTTATTTATTTCTCGTCCATTTATTACTCCAGCTCCGCCTGACGTTGAAGATGCTCCCTCGCCTGCCGTTGCGGTTTCGATATTCACGCAGGAGTCGAAGAGCCAAGAAGATGATCTTGTTGCAGCAGTAGCTCTATTGGTGGAATTTATGTATGACACAGTGAAGCAAGTAGACCAACTCGCCCTCCCTACTTTTTTCATGTGTTAAGTAAAACAAGAACACCAAAGTCATTTTCACTTCTTGCTTGGAGGTGGCACTCCTTGGAAGTAGACACGTTTTGCTGGACAAATCCCAAAAGCAAGCACTACTGGCTTAGTGCAATCCGTCTCGTGATTTGTCATGCGAAAGCGTCATTTGTAGCACGACGCTTCCGTTGCAGCTCCTTAAAATACACTTTTTACTTGAATGAAGGGCGGGACGAGAAGTTCTTCACAACAAACTCTCATACAGAGTTGTAAAGCTGGTCCCGAAACTCGGCCCCAATCTGGGTCAGGGTGTCGCGAAGAGAAGGGACCGGGCGCATGTCTAACTCGGAGACATAGTTGTCGTCCCGCATGTAGGCCGGCTTCCACTCCTGCTCTTCCTCATTTTTCGCCAGCACTGCCATATTCGTGGTGGTCGTCTTTAGCTGATTGTCGTCCGAAAGCGACACGGATCCGAGGGACATCCTTTTACGGAAGTTGTGGTGCAGATCTTGTTTCGATTTATTTCAAGAACCTTGACGACCTTGTCCGATTTTTATTTTTTCAAACAAGAATACACTATGCGTTCTGTAGAAAATCGCTTTCTACCTCTGGCAGGAGCTCCAAGCGGGATTTATTTTGCCAGCTGCGTAGAAGGCACTCACTAGCATATTAGCACTCGGTCTGTGATATTCCTGTACCTACCGGCTTCGCCGGCAGGCTTAGAACGTTTTCAGAGAGAAAGCACTTAAGTAACCGAGCGAACCCCTGCTTTTTGCGTCAATCCTGCTTTTTGCGTCAGTCCACCGTAGCCTGGTGCTATTGCAGTCGCCTGGTTCCAACTTTTTTCAGGATCTCCTTTTTTAGTGTACAGTTTGTTTGAGTCATCGATGGAGATTGGCTTGTTGCAGCATTCTTTGTTAGAAATAAAAGATGCGGTAGATACAAATCAAACATAACAGCGAAACATCGGCTGTCCATAGTGTACAGTGTAAGTAGGCGGCTTTAGGCATTCTGTATTCAGTAAAAAAAGACCATCACACTCTTGTTGCCCTCTTGCGCTGTAAACCGGGGGTGCAAAGTTTATTTCACAATCCCAAAATGATAAGCTTTTCTTGTGTTTGGTAATCACCAGAGGAAAAGTTTCTCACACCGGACGTCACACCACAGACTCATGCAAGAACTGGCGCCAGAGAAATGATTGGTGCAATGGTCTTTTTATACTCCATATTCAATATCACCCATGAACATTCTGAATCTGATTCTGATAGCAGTCAAGATAACGTTTAAGGTACAGAATTATTCCAATATCCAATCATAAAATTGCAAGTGTAATAAAGGCAGACCGAAAAAATTTGTAGTTGTACATTTTTCTGAAACGGCGCAAACAAAACATCTAGGATCAAATATTTTTGGTTACAGTAAAAGGAAAGGTTTTGAAGAAATGTTAACAATGTAAGCTAAAAACAAAAGTTAGGTACTATCTGTAAAAATCGGCAAAACAAAAAATTTACAGCATGATTTGTGAAAGTGAAAAACAAAAAAAAATGAAAATCTGAGTTGTTTGTTGCTAAGAGTAAGACTTGAAAAGTTGAAATCGAAAAATAACGCTTTGCTCCTCGTTCCAGCGTGGAATGACAACATCGACGATTCTGCAAAAACAATAATATGCTTGTTCTTCGAGAAGTCCGCTTTCTCCTCATGTGTGAGAAAGAGAATCAATTGGAGTCAACATCTCATAAGAAAACTTAATAAAAGCTGAGAAAATTGCTCGCGTTTGATATTAAACGAGCCCACAACAACTTACATGACTCCTTTCTTTCTCATCGTTTTACTGCGACCCGGTTGCGGTTCCCTGCGCTCCACCTCCTCCCGAACCGCCAGAGGACCCGGAGTTCTCCCTGGTGTTCGGTTTGCCTTCTCGGGTATGCAGAAACAAAAAAGCGGAAGGGACGAGACCCTGTCTTCTATGTTTGCTTTATCTTATTTTGATGTGGCAGAAAGCTTCAAGAATACCTGGTTGAAGGTGTCACGACGACGAGATCACCGCATGTGTTCATCATCATTCATGAAAAGCTTAACTACAAATCAGAGCGTAGAAGTACCGCCCATACCAGAGGACACGACGTGCAGGACACCAGTTTCAATTGAGTTGTCTTCCGCTTTATTTCTCGATTCTTTTCATGGCATAAAAATGGTCATGCATGGAGTAGGCAAACACCACGCAGTTGGTCACGGCGAGCCTGTGGATAATATAGAATGGCTTTTGAATCAATTGTCGATGATGTTGAACCAGGTTCCAAGAAACGCCTAGTACGTGGTCGCAGGGGAGAATTAGAAAGGAAAACGTGATTTATTTACACTTTTCCGGCATTGGCCATTAATATGCCATGCACGACTACACAAATGAAGAGTCCAGTTCTCGAATTAGCAACAAGAACAAGCAGAACAAGCACGGCGCTATTTATACATTTCGGTGTTGGAGACTCGACCGTCGACGGTGAGGTAATTTTCGTCGCGCATCATCTGAATTACGTACTGACAGCAGTCCTCCAAGGGCACGAAGTGTTCGTTTCCCTGCGACCCACCCACCGAAGCAGCCTGGGGTGTATCGATTATTTTTCTGAAGGTGGATAAGCCTGAACATAGAAAGCCATGACCTCCTGTACGTTCATTGTCATTCCTAACTACATTTTCAAATAAAGAGCAGGGAGCAAATTGAAAGAATATACCGATCGAACGTAGGGAAGATGCCAGGTCGGGGCCACATCGATGTAGTTCAGATCGTATCAACTGCAAATATGTCTGGGGCTGGAAGAGTGCGAGATTTGTGATGCTTGTCTGCCACGACTCTGGGCTCTGTGCTGCGTAGGGCGGCCATCCCCATCGGAGCAGCTCCACTTGCATGACATGCAAAAACGCAGTTTCTCATGTCCGTAGGAAGTTTAAGTCTTCACTGACTTGCATGACAAATTTCCAGACCCAGACATATTTGCAGGGGATAGATCCAGGCGGGGGTAGTCCCGCGCCCGGGAATCGGAGATGATGATATGCACTGCAAAAGTATCGCACTCGTGGTAATCGCAATTATGCATTAGAAATCTTTTTCTTAAGGTCAATCTGCATTTACAAATTTCATTTCTCATGCTAAGGAAATTTGTCACGTACGAGTACGATACTTTTGCAATCCATAGATGAGACGGAGCGGCAATTTGCTATCCGCACCTTCACCTTTGGTGTACGCCTTGGGGGTGTCCGTGCGTGTATGGACTGCAGATATGTCTGGAAATCTGGAAACTTGTAATGCTGAATGCTCATGATTGAGTGCGCCTTTAGGTGCAGTGAAGCATGACAAGTTTTTCACTCGCTTTCTCATGCGCAGCACGCATAACAAACTGCAACTTTTTTGCATGACGAAAGTACCTATGCCGCTTTTGCTGCGTATGCAATACAGATTTTTAGTCAGGAATGCAAGACACACGAATACAGGTTCAACAGCTTTTGCAGACCCAGACATATTTTTGCAATTGATATTTGCCGCCGATTTCCTGGATCGAATCCAGGGGGTTGTCCCACGCAACGCCAACCGAAGTATACTTGTACTGCTATCCTGCGTGAAAACGTCCCCACCCTAGAGCTTTCATGCAGAATTGCAATGACAGGAGCATCTGTGACGCGCAAAAGCCCATGGGCGGCATTTTCAGTCGTGTTTTGGAATTTGTGATGCTGTAAACAGGATGAGCAGGTGGATTTGTCATGCAACTGTCCATGCTTCATCTATTAATAACCTCCACTACCGCCCTACGGACTCCTGCAACTTGTCATGTGTGCCTTCCAAAACGTCTGGATTTGTATTGCACAATTCGCATTTTGACTCCGGGGTGGGGAGGTTTTTGCTCAGTATAACTGCCCGCGCATCATCACTTCGTCGCCTTCCTTGACGTCCTCGCCGCCGTTGAGCTTATCGCTGGTATCGGGCGCATTGTCCACTTTGAGGAGGAGCTTGCTCAGTGGGTACCCTCGGGCCAGGGGAACTCGTTGGCTATCAAATGCAAACATGTGATGTCTGGGTCTGGAAGGTCATGAAGATAAATGTGATGCTGAACTGTGCATGACAAATTTGCCCAACGGTTTTTCTTTTTTGCTTTTCTTTTTCCTACTCGGTCTGCATGAGAAACCTCCTCGTTTTTGTGTGACAGAAGACACTGCGGCGCTTCTAGGTCATGCAATACAGATTTCACTTCACAGTATTGCAAGACCAGCATTACAAGTTCCAACCTTTCAGACCCAGACATATATTTGCAATGCATATTCGTCGTTCTTGTACACTTTTTCTCGGACGTAATTTTTGGCTTCCGGCGTTTTATGCACAGAAAAAAGTGAAACAGGAGCTGCACACCGTGCGGCAAGGCAAGCAAGACAGACAACAGCTGTCATGCCGGAATTGCACGTTGTCAGCCTCATTTTGTGGTGCGTGTTTCTTTTCCTTTTCGTTTTTTCCTTATAATCTCCTGCTCATTACAAGTTTTCTTGGTCATGCAGAGCAACGTTGTCTTGCGGGTGAAAAAATTCGAACAAATTTGTAAGGAAACTCCTGCGACAATTTTTTTCGTGGATACGTTTCCAATGCTGGCCAGTGAAAAAACCCGGTCCGCCCCAAGCACTCGTTCGCCCGCACCCGCTCTTGCAGAAACTTGTTGGGCGCAATTTCCTTGCTGCCATCGTACCAGGTAGGCACGGCAATCTGAAGATAAAATAAATTTAAATGGCCAGTATTTATTTTTGATGATCTCTGTCTATTGCTAAATGTAGTGCCATCGTTTTGTATTTGGACCCCAATGTTTATTCGCCACTGCGGTATGAGAAAAGATTCGCTTCTGCGGCTGGACGAAAAATGGAAAGAGTGCGTCAGTACTTCTACAGTAGACGCAAGTCGAAAATATCGCTTGCGTGTTGCAAAGATCCAGATGATCGTCCACTACGAGGTAAGAAAACAGAAACAAGTGTAGTAGTTACTTACCTTTGTCACAGTTTTTTTAGCTTTGCAGTAGGTATGAATTGCAAAAGTATCGCACTCGTATAAATGCATTTCTCAGCATGAGAAATCAAAACTGTAATGCTGATTTACCTTAGGAAAAAGATGCGTCATTGCAATACGAGTACGATACTTTTGCATAGGATAGTAGGTAAACTGGATGGTCTGGAACGCCGGCCCGGTGTCGGCGCTACTACCGCTATCGAGTGCAAATATGTCTCGGTCTGGAAACCTGTAATTATGCTATAATGGTCATGACTGAGTGCGCCTTTGAGCGCAGTGTAGCATGACAACCTTATATTTCAAAAGCTTTCTGATGGTGCTTAGTGCGCATTACAAAGTGCGACTCGTCATGACGAACTTGCGGCGGTTTTATCGCTGCTTTTATGCAATACAGATTTTTCAGGAAAAATGCTGGACAAGCAATACAGGTTCAACCTTGTTTCCAGACCCGAGCGACGTATTTGCAATGCATAACCGTCGTCGCGCTTCACCTTCAAATGTTTTGACATGCCACTGTACATGTGGTCAATCGACGCGTCCGTCAAATCCACCATGCAGTACACATACGGGCAGCGATATCCCAGGAAGAAACTGTTTCACTGTGAACCTGTGATGCAGAGATGTGATGAATGAAACAACACATATCTAAACGAGTTTGTCTTGCTGCACCTGCAGCAAGACAATGGATTTCTCAGCGTGTTTTATTCGCTTGGAAAGGAGCGCCGCGCATGGCGAATTTTCTGTATCATGTGTAGCAAACTTGTGATGCTGATCCAACAAAATCATCACAGTGAAACGCTTTTTTCATGGGATAAGCAAACGTCGTCGCAGGAGGGGTTGTCTCCACCGCACTTCTTATCCACGTCCAACCGGTATGTTATGTCGCGGTTGTCAAGTCTCACATTGCAGTTGTGCTTGATGCAGGAATTGGGCCCGTCGTAATTTGTTCCGTCATCTGTGTAAGTGTATAGGTTCTGGTTCAAAGTCATCTTTATACATCAGTCCTATCTGCCATTTAGTAAACCTAGTGCTAGCCGGCCAAGAAAGGTACTTATGCGCACAGAATTTGAGAATTCGATATTAAATTGGTTGATGCTGAGATAGAGATCCACATCTCGACTTCTACGATATTTGATACATGGGGCATGATCTTCCATCGTAGATTGTTTTTGCGTACTTACCTTTGAGGCGGTCCACAACGCCCACCAAATCTCGGACTTGCACTATGAAAGTAGAAAGTCTGCCAACTACCAACAGCAGCATCTTCGTTCCTGCTCACACATAAGCAATTGATTGCCAAGTAGCATTGACTTCGTGACGTGTCCTTGTCTTTTTCTAATGATTCATCTTTATGACAAACGAAATTCAAATTTTCGCCGATGCTGGTCGTGTACAAGTACAAGTAGTGAGTAGCGGGCAACATTCCTTTCCCCTTTGATATGGACGTCCAGCGACAGGTTCGTAATTTCGTTGTAGGTGGGCAGATATTCCGCCTCTGGTGGGCTCACCATTTTTTTTGCCTTTTTCAGTTTGTCCGCCCTCAGCCGGAGCTGCATCCGCTGTTGCATGCGCTGGAGCAGAGACAGAGGGGCAGGCGTGAAGGAGAATGGTGATTCTGCTCTTGGTTCCCCTTCGAGCTCCGGTAGTACTCCTTTACCATCTCCGCGGCGATTTTCGCGGAATGTTGAGGTGGACGACGACGAGGAGAATGCGCTGAAACCGGTGGAAATCGGGATGAAGCCATATAACCCGCTCAGGTGTTACAATCTCAAGCGTTACAATAGAATATTGAATTCCGTGATGCAAGATTGTATGATCTAGCCAAGTGTCAAAGGTGATTGCCCATGACAAGCTCCGGAGCCCTAAAAAACCCAACGACAAAAATCTGGCGAAATTTGTATTGCAAAAGGTGGAACGCTGTGCGGGCCTGTCATGCTCATCATGCAACACAAATGCCAGATTCTATTGTAAGGTTTGAGATGGTAACCGATTTGAGCAAGTCATAAGCCATCTTCTAAAACTTCCGAGTTTTCCGCAACCGTGACGTAACTGTATCAAGTGCAAAAATGTCTGGGTCTGGAAGGATGTAACCTGTGATGCGCATTTCAGAACACACAGAAACTTCTCATGCATGCGTAGCAAAAGCTGCCCACTTTCTGTCACCAAAATGGGGGATTTGATATGCGGGTTCGGCATTGCGGAAGCTTCTCGAAACCTGCGATGCTAGAGCTTCCATGCCAGACCTTCCGTGTCATGCAGAAACAGCATCCATGACTCTTCCAGACCCAGACATTTTTACATTTGATAAACTGCTGGCCGCGGCCTATCCATTGCAAATAGTTGTCTGGGAAGTCTGGAATAAAGTAGATGCAGTGTTTGTCATGCTTGGCTATCATGACTCTCAAGTCTGTCATGCACGTTAGTATACCCAATTGCCCGCCCAATTTTCTGCCATGCAGGAGCTGCTCCCTTCGTCATGCAGAATAGACAACGAACAACACTGTAGCACCTCCAAAACGTGTCATGCTTGCGAGTCCTTTGCGGCGTACTCGTCTTTCTCGACCAGCATCACAAGTTTGCGATTCCCGACCACCGGGACGACACATTTGCATTAGATACGGGCCCCACATCCACCACGTCGGGTGGGGTGTTAAACGACGTCATATCAAATGTAAAAGTGTCTGGGTCTGGAAACTTGTGACGCTAAAATGTGCATGATGGAAACACTTCCGAATGCAGACCAGCATGACAAATTTCCGGAGCACTTTCTCATAGGCAGCCCGCATGAGAAACCGCGTTTTTGCATGACAAAAATGGGCACGGCTTTTGTCCGTTATGCAATACAGATTTGCCAGGAATGTAAAGCTAGCATTACAAGTTCCAATTTTCCAGACCCAGACTTTTTTACATTTGATACGTCACTATCCTGTGCAAAACTATCGTACTCGTTTCGTACTTATCGCAGTCATGCATTTTTACAAGTCTCTTATTTGTATTTCTTTAGGCGAGTCCGAGTCCGCATTCATAAATTCTCCTTGTAAAAATGCTGAGGGAATTTGTCATGCGAAGATTTCTACTACTAGTACGATACTTTCGAACTGCATAGTCACGGTGCTGGTGCTGAACGGCGGCTCTTCGCGCAGGGGCGAAGTGGTTGCTCCGCTTCTCGTGCTAGTAGTACTCCACCCGCTCCGCCGGCGCACCGCTCCCGCTGTCAAATCTACTACTTCCCGATCAAGCCTGCGCGCAGCCCCCGGTAGCCCTCCCCGCTTGTGCCACTGGGCCGCAGACGTGGAGGCCACGGTCGCGCAGGCGAGCCTGAGCGGCCACCGCTGCTTCTGCTTTCTACGAAACTTCGCCATGGTTTTGTATTTTTGCGACAATTTTTATCGTAGGTTTGCTCACACCTTTTTCAATTACTGTGCAAACTTTTTTTCGATTCGTTGAAGGTACGTATACGTAACGTAATTTTTCGCTGTTACTTTCTTGCAGCTTGTGTGTCTGTCACATTGAAGATCTTCTTGCTTCTGCTCAAGAAGTATTTATAATTGAGATGAAAGAAGATGCAAAAATATTGTAGTTTTTTTTCCTTGAAGGACGTCGGCCAACATCAAATTATTGAAATTCAAATTGTTCTGCGCCCTTATAATGAATTCTTCCCAGCGAAAAAAAAAAGTGGTCTGGTGATGAAGTGGTAAAAATTGTTTTGAAGCGACAAGAAGTTGCTGCAACTTGTAGATCAAGACGATGTTTTTTCTCTTTGAGCGACGAAATCCAGATACAACGACGACGAATTATATAGCACCAGCAGCTAGTACTTCTGGAACTAAAATCGATCTACAACTAGGGCTACGGCGACGAGAGCAGCAACTAGGGATTTTTATACGGCGACGAAAGACCACGATTACGATGTAATTGCTCGTTGATGTCCCACGACGCACTAGGTGGTGCCACCAAAATTCGATACGAGCGGGCTAGTTGTAGAGACTGCTTTAGTAAGTTGTAGGCCAGAAGTGCTAACAAACTATTGTACTCACGAGCATGACGAGAATTTTTGTATATTGATCTCCCTTACACGAAATCTTCTTTTTTCTTCAATTTCGAAAACTAAAAAGAATAATATGCAACTGCGGCGCAGACACGTCATCCACTTCCTTGCTTCGGCTTTGTGCCTCCGAGTCAACTTGTCAAGCAGAAATGAAGGGCACAGGAAGCCAAAGCTGTTGAGTTGCCCACTTCGACTTTTCCTCAATCGGAGTTAGGAAAGTTGAGTTGGCCGCTTCATCGTCAACAGTGTGCCGCTCATTTCTGCATTGCAAATTGCCAACCTTGCTGGCAATTTGTACACGCAGAAACGAAGGACAAAGGAAAGCGCCCCCTTTCTCCTTCGAAGGTTCCAGCTCCCGCGCGTGGGCGAACGAAAACGCTGTGACCTGAATACAGATTCTATTCAGGTCCGGCGGCCTGAGTAAAACTTTTATTCAGGTCCGACGACCTGAGTAAAATCTTCATCGGGAGGGGGCAGGAGGGGCAGGGCCGTGCCGAAAAAATCTTTCGCGAGCGATCGGGCCGAGAAAACCCGCCTCGAAACTCAAAACGGTCGCGCTTCCTTCGTCCTTCGTTTCTGCATTTGTAATGCAGGAATGCAGGAGAAACCACGCCAACTTTCCTCAGATGGAAGACAGTTGAAATGGCCACTGCAACAGCTTCGCGCTTCTCTTGTCCCTCATTTCTGCAACACAAGTCTCCCACTTTGGAAAATTGTATGTAGCGCAGAAGTGAAGGACCACTAGGATAACAGAGAGTCAAAGTAGTTGAAGTGGCCACCTCAACGCTCCTCCGATGGAGGAAAATTGAAAGAGCCACGTCAACAGGTTGTCCTTCGTTGGTTTCTGCATTAGCATTACATATTGCCAATCATGGCTGCCCCCCGGCCACATGGCCGCAGGCCTGCGCTCGCTGGCGGGCGGGCCCGCGGCCGCGCGTGGCCGCGGAGACGATCGGCGATTGATGGAGGGACGCGGAGACGGGGTGGCGGATCGGCGACCGGTGATGGAGGAGAGCGACGGCGATCGGACGGCTCGGCGCAAGTTGTCGCCGGTTTGAGTAATGCCCAAAAAGCATGGATGCATCCCCCCCCTCCCCCCCCATTACCTGAGTAATGCTCCGACTTTTGTTGGACAAGATCATATGCAACTGCGGCGCAGACACGTCATCCACTTCCTTGCTTCGGCTTTGTGCCTCCGAGTCGTCGATGAACAGAACAACAAGTATAGCACAAGCTTCCTTGGCACTCTGGTGCAGGAGGAACTAGAATGAAATTTCCGCTCCGCTAGACGCTGACGTTTATTTTCTTGTCGTCGTCGTCCCGTTGTTCCGATACAAATTGTTCGACTTTCAATCCACCGAGGGAGTGTTTGCTTCGACATAAGCCGAAATTATAAGCGTCAAAACTATATAGCAAATATCCGTTTCGGCTTTCGGAGGTTTTGTCACTTTCATTGAATTGCGCCAATCATGTCCTCTGTTAGACACGACCCTTCGAACGATTTCTTCGTATAAATACAGTATTTCAAGATCGTGTGCACCGATCTATGCGTAAGGTCTCATTCTGAAAGAAGCGAAGTATTCATCATCATGATGTAGTTGCTTAGTGGTACATTTATTTCATTTGTTCTTGTACAGTAGATGTAGAATAAGTGTAAGTCTCAGCATTATCTTTAGTATCCAATTCCAATTTTTTTTACTCATTACGTGTACAACGTCATTGCTGGAGGTGCAGATATCGGATATTCAAAGCGCGGCATTTTTGTTGTAGCAGCACTGGCGCCCTAATCCTGCTCGACCCAGAGGTTGCGGGAGAATACGACACAGTTGCTGGCGACCACATGCTGCTCAAAGTTGTCCAGGCCGAATCGGTGATTGACGTCCGACATGAACTGCGCGACGTGCGTATCCTATGTGAAAACGTCGCCATTCCATAGCCGTCATGCAGATCTGCATGCTCCAACTGTTTCTCATGCGGAGCCCCATGACACGTATTTTCTAGTCGTGTTTTGGATTTTGCAAAAATGCTCCAACCAGCTTGGTGGGCTAGATCTGTGACGCTGCTGAACAAGCTGAACCGGATTACTACACTACGAGGCCAAACTTGTCACGCGCAACAACCAAAGCTGGCTGATTTGTGTAGCAGGGAGGCTGATTTCCCATCTTGACTATGGGCGGGAGGTGGGGACGTTTTTACTCCGGATAGTGCGCGCAGCAGTCCCGCAGGGGCACGAGTTCGTTGCTGCTCCACATGTCCGGAACGGTTTCCCGCACCTGGATCGGGGTCTTGTATCCTATGTAAAAACGTCCCCAGCACCCCATAGTTGTCATGCAGATTTGCGATTACAGGAAGATTTGTAAAAGTGCGCATCTCCATGAGAGGCATTTCCAGTCGCGTTTTGGAATTTGTAATGCTGTAAACAGGATAAGCAGATGGATTTGTGATGCGGTTGCCCTTGCTAACATCCACTACACTGCGGACGGCAACTTGTCATGCGTGGCTCCCAAAACTTCTGGATTTGTGTTGCTAAGTTCCCAACTTGACTCTGGGGTCGTGGTGGGGACGTTTTTACCCATGATATCTTGGTGCGCGGCGTCACCAGCCGCCACTCGGCGTTCTCTCCCGACTCGCGGCTGTCGAACAAACCCTTCCACGCCGTCGGCAAGGTCGTCTTGTGGTTTTGCAGCCGCAAGAAGGCCGCCCGCTCCGTCGCGACCGCGGCGTCCCACTCGGCAGGCGGGTGCAAAAAGCCCACGTACTTCTGGCACTGCCACTGGTGCACGTAAGGCTCGTTCTTGCGGATGTCTTCTTCGTCCACGTACCGGCCCCGATCGTACTTGACCCACATATGACAGTGCACAACTCCCCCTCCCCCTCATTTGGAATGCAAAATCCCAAATCCAAGTGCTGCGCCTTGTGGCACCGTTTGCATGACAGATTCTGGAAGCCTAAAGCTAAACAGTACTACACTACGCGCATTAACTTGTCATGCGTAGCCTCCATGTGCGCTTGTGTTTCTATTACTGCCGATGCAATACAAATGAGGGGGACGAGGGGGAGTTGTGTACTCTCGTCATACCACACGTCGTCTGTCCAGTAGTGCAAATGACTATCGTCGATCAGGTTCATCCGGATCGTCTCGTTGTTAAAATCGATCTCGCTTTTGTCGCAGCTCTCGAACACCTCCACCGTGAAGTAGGAGGACCTTTTACACCCATCCGTTCCCATATGCAAGAAAAAAAACTGTGTAAGTGTAAGCGTAACTCTGTAATACAGAACATGCAACAGAGTTGCGCCTGTCATGCCAGTTAACCACAAAGTCCGCTTTTCATGTGTGTTTTCCCCTACAAGCCACGCGTGACAGGTTTTCTCTGTCATGTAGAGCAAATTTGTGATGCTGTCAACAAAAGAGAGTTACAATAACACAGTTTTTTTCTTGGATATTCCAGATCCGCATTCGTGACGCAGTTTTGGAAATCCGGACTCCGCCCCGTCAGTCTTCTCCTCTCCGCCAGATCGGGGGCGGCGCTGGCCCCGAGGAACCCCGCGGCCACGTCCATGGCCAGTCCTCCCATCGTGAAGCCGGATTTGTCGATCAACACCGTGCTGGACGAGCTGGCGTCGTCCGAAAAGTCGGGCAGCACCGCCATCCCCGGAACTCTCGGTGAGACCACGTGGTGGCTGTCCACCGTGTAGTAGCCTACGTAGTCTTCGTCCCAGTCTACGTCCGTGGGGCGGTAGTGCTCAACCCCCCCGAACCGGTCGTGCGGGGGCAAAATAGGCACGTACCCGAGCTCCTTGGCGTGCTGTTGCAGCTTATCAAATGCAAATATGTCTGCACTGGAAGAATGTTGCAACTTGTGATGCTACCCTTGGACTCGACATAAAATCTGTATTGCATGAACAACAAAGACGGCGCAGTTTGTGCTACGCGGAGATGGCATTTCTCATGCGGTATGAGCATCAAAAAGCCCTCGCAGAATCTCTGATGCTAGGGCATGCATCACAGACCTCATGGGTCACGCAAATTGTCCATGACAAACTCCTGCACTCTTCCAGACCCAGACATATTTGCATTTGATAAAGCTCCGCCGCCGCCCGCTGCGCGTCCCGGAACACGTGCACGTCCTTTTGCAAGTCGTAGTCGGCTATGCATTGCAAAAGCAGCGCACTAGTATAAATTGCATGACAAATTGGCTTAGCATTACAGATCATTAAATTTGTAATGCATAAACGCAATTAGTACGACTACGATACTTTTGCACTGCATATCGGCCGCGTTGCCGTACTCAAAGGGCTTTCGCCTGGTCGTCATGCAGTAGACCAGTCCGCAGCAGAGACGCTCGCAGGAGTGCTCGTGGGACGTTTCGCTCACGCAGGCGATGTCCGGCACGTCAAGAAAGTACAGGAAATCCCGTTGCCCGTGGTGGATCTTGCAGGTGTAATCACGACACCCGGTGCGGCGGTGCGCGGACACCTGCACGGGCCAGCTGAGGGTCGTCGAAAAGGTCCACGTGGTCGGCGGGGGCGGCGTGGTCAGTTTCACCTCCAGAAGCGGTTCGTAGTGCGCTTGCACCGCCTCCCACCGCCACCACTGCGAAGACCAAGCGTAGTAGTTGCTGTCCTCGGTTCCTGATCTGCCGCTGAGGAAGAGTTCTAGGTCCCCCCGCCGGTCGAACAACTCGTGGCGCAGGACCTGCGCCGCCGTTTCCGTGTCGTTGCTTGGACCGAGTTCCCGCATCGGCAGGGGGATCAGCGGCATTTCGGGGTTGTCCCGCAACCCCCGGGGCAGGGTGTAGCTGTACAGCTCGCACAGCGCTAACACCATGTCTACGCCGGTCCGGCGCAGACGGTCCAGACAAAGGCGCGCCGGCTGCTTCCACCGCTTGTCGCGCACCCGGTGCAGCACCTGCTGGCGCACCTGCAGCCAGTAGGTGTTGCGCAGCCCGGGCACGGGCACCGGGACCCACTCGAGGCACAGCCGCTGCTCCCCCATTACCTCCGCCACCGGAATGCTCTTCACCGGCGCCCCGATGTCGATTGTCATCGGCTGGGTCAAGTCCACGGCGAGACACTCGACCGCCCGATCCGGGTTCACGTTCGTTGCCTCAAAGTGGTGGTCCACTTCCATGTGCCGGTGGTGCGTTAGAATCGTCCAGGCGCTGTGGTCGTCGGCCTGATGCTTAATCTTCCCGTCGTGCTCCACGACATCCACGAGCGAGCGCACCCCGTGCACATCGGGCATCGTCTGCCCCCGGCTGTCCCGGAGGGGCGGCCACCCCGGCAGCAGGAAGCTCGGCGGCCCGCCCCAGTGCCACTCGACGCGCCGCTTCGCATATCAAATGCAAAAATGTCTGGGTCTGGAAGGTTGGAACTTGTGATGCTGACTTTGGACTCTAAAAAAAATCTGTATTGCATGACCAGCAAGAGGAGTCTCTCGAGGGGAGGGCATTTGTCATGCGGAGTGGGCATCAGGAAGCCCTCTAAAAATCTGTGATGCTAGGTCGTGCATTACAGACATCTTGGGTCAGGCAAAATATGCATGACTAACCCGGCAACATTCCAGACCCAGACATTTTTGCATTTGATATCGCACTGTCGCGGTGATCCACCGCGTCGCAGGCAGCCAGCTGGCCTTTCGACGCGCCAGGGATACCGGAAGGAACCACACAGAAGTCCTCCTCCACGACGCGGAGCGTCCCCGTGATCTCCTGCAGCACTTCCCACTCCCACTTCATGCGTTTCTTGTTGATTGCGTCCGCAGTCGTACAGCCCTGGAGCTCCATCTGCGCCTCCGAGTCCGGCCCGGTGCCGTCGGGAACCGAGAGAACCAAGCAGTATCGATTGAACACGTCCGCCTCCTGCACACCGTGGTGCCCCGCCCCGGAAGTAGAACCTCCTGCTGCGGCTTATTGCGAGTAAAAACGTTCCCACCCCAGAGTTGTCATGCAAATGCGCAATGACAGGAATCGATTTGTAATGCGCATGATCGCCATGAATGGCATTTCCAATCGTGTTTTGGACTTCGTAATGCTGTAAACAGGATGAGAAGCTGGGTTTCTCATGCGGCTGCACTTGCTAACCAGCACTACACTGCAGATGGAAATTTGTCATGCGCAACTCCCAAAACATCGAGATTTGTGTTGCAGACTTGCCTACAACTTAACTATGGGGTGCGGACAGTTTTACAAATGATACGGCTGCAGGCGCGTCCTTCGGGTCTTCAGCGTACAAAGCCCAGACCCCGAACCGCGAGTCCGACGCCTCCTCGTCGACGCGGCGCGGGCGCCACCGGTGACACTTGGTGCTACCCCCCGTCCCCAGATTATGGTGGGGCACGGGCTCCCGAGGCGGAGAGGTGCTCGTGTCCGGCGGGGCTGGAACCGGAGCGGCTTCTGTGCTGGAGGTGAGCGTTTGTTCTCCTTCCCCCGGGACCGGGAGAGGCGTTGTTGTACTACTGACCGGCGCTGCTGTTGTGCTACCTGGCGGTGCTGTACTACTAACCGGAGCGGGCACTGGCGCGGGGTCGACCAGCACACACTATGCATTGCAAATATGTCTTGGACTGGAAACTTGCAATGCTAGGTTGTGAATGATGACTGCTCGTCATCGTCTGGTCTCTCATGCAAAGCCAAGCATGACAAATATTTGCGCGGCTTAGTGATAGTGTTGCCCTTTTCGCATGACAAAGACACACTGCGTTTTTGCATATCAAGAAAAAGGGTCGCTTCTTGGACACGCATCACAGACTCTGCAGTCATATCATTGTCATGCCAGACAAGCATGACAAACCTTGCATCCTTCCAGGCCAAGACATATTTGCAGTTGATACACACTCGGCAACATAGAACTCCCTGCTCTCCGCACTTTCGTCTTTGAACTTTAGGTCCGCCAACCGGTACTTTGCACGACCATCACCACCGGGAATCGGTACCACGTTGTTGCACATATGGCCACTGGCGTAATTGTTGCCTTTTTTGCAGCATGCCCCTTTGAGGTTTGCGTACTGCGGGGCAGTATCACCCAGAATGTTCGTTTTGCACACGGGGCACAAACCCTCCGCACTACATTCGCTCGGGCGCATATGGCGTTCTCAGCTGTTACATTCTCGACAACTGTTACCAATGACTCTGTGATGCAAGAATGGCAAAAGTGAAAGGGGGGACCTGATTCCACCTTGCGCGTCTTGCATAACAGATTTGGCACAGATTATCAGCCCTTGTTCGGCCCATCGAGAATTTGTCACGACGCAAAGCAGCTTGATCGTGTCGGTTCTGATGGTAATTTTGCATCCAAAATCATGTATACAGTTGCGAAGGTAACGTTTGAGAGCAGTCCCATAGCGCAGGCAGGTGTCTTGCACCCACTTGGGAACCGCGACGCAACTGTGGTAGCCCTTTAGATTGTTGTAGACCGTGCCGACGTTAAATATAAAATTTGCAAGGCGGTCTGGATCGTCCATCCAGTCCCAATACAATTTCGAGAGGAAATTTTCTGGCCCCTTGCCTTTCAGCGCGCCAAGGATGCGGCACTCGCGGGGGTCGTCCGGGTCCCAGGTGTGTGGCTCGCCTTGCGGGGTGTTTTTGTTGTACCGGCAGCACGCGCCGGTGTAGTCGGCGAAGTCTGGACCGCTGATCACTTTGCACTTGCTGCAGAACCCCCGCTGTTTGTCCCGACTGCTTACATCCTCGCACACATTCCAGCACTCCAAATGCCCACTCTTCAACTTCTGCTGCGTTTCGGCGGGGGGTATATCTACTCGAAGCAGTAGTTTTTCCGCCGCCGTGGGGTCAACGCCCCAGACGGTAAGTATCCAGGAAAAAAACTGTGTACGTGTAACTTTGTAGGAAGAGCAGCATCTTCACAAATTTGTTTTAAATCACAGGGAAAACCTGTCATGCGCAGCTAGTAAGTGGAAACACGTATGATACTAGTAAGCGTCATAGACTACTATCAGATAGTAGTCTATGACGCACTTCCAGCATGACAAGTGTTACTGTTTTGCATTTTCTGCATCACAGATTTACACTTACACAGTTTTTTTCTTGCGTAGTAAGCCCCTCCCTTTTAAAGGGTGGTCCTTGCTGGAAAAACGCGGATGCTGTTCCGAGCTCGACGGCTGTTGTAGTTCCGAGCTCCACAAACCCGGAGGACGCGCTAGAAGAAGTGCTTCCTTGTGCACTAGCCTCGGTGCTTGTCCTGCTGCCGAGTTCGGGACGGCGCTCTCGGTCGCGGAAGTTCACACTCAAAACCGGCCAGGCGTCCCGGCCGGCGCGTTTCTCCCCCAAAATCAGGCAGTCACCGCTGCCGGCACCCAGGATGTGTTTGGTCTCCGAGTCAAAGTAGTAGCCGTGGTCGCGGAACGCGCGGTGCCCCGCGCTGCACAGCGGCAATTTGTTCCCGGTCACTGAGTAGGTCACGCAGTAGCAACTCGTGTCCGCCACGGCTTCCCCGGCGCTCTCCTCATCCGCTCCCTCCCGAACGCAGTGCCGCAATCGCCCCGTGGCCGGCCGGGTTCGCAACGCCTCCAGCTGCGAGAACTTGGCCGCCTCGAGGTCCGGATCCGGGGCCTCCACGGACCCGCTGTAGCCGACGCAGCGCCGCCGGCAATCGTACTCGTCCCGACAATGCACCTTCGACTGTTCCACCTGGCCCGCGGTCAACGTTCCCCGCTTCCGCTTCTGCAGGTAGGCGGCGTTGCTGTACAGCGTGAAAGGTTCGCCCTTCTCGTGCCAGCAGAAGGCCGCTTGGCCGAAGGCGCTGCCGTCGTAGTACAGTGGGGGCACGCCCCAGTTTTGTCGACACCGATTGGTGCAGTCCTCGTCGCTCGTACACGGTAGGTTGGTGATGGCGTACTTCTCTTTTTCCCGTACGATCTCCTTCCACTTGTCGCCCCAGCTCGGGGGCGTGCCGCGTTCCAGCGCCACCCGCACTTCGGACGCCTGGTGCGTCCGGGGGTCGTTGCGCCAGGAGAGCAGGCGGTTTTTGGTCAAGTCGATCCAGCAGAAGAAGCTGTGGATGGTTTTCCGTACACTCGGTGGCGGCTTCGGGTTGGGGCCCGGGCCGGGCCCTGGCCCCGGTGGGATCGGGTCGATCATCCCGACAGGGTGCAGCCTCTGCGCTACCCAAAAGGCCGACTCCCGGGGGCCCAACGACACCTCGTACAAACCTGAAACGACCGCCTGAACCGGTCGCCGACTCCGCACATAAAAGACCTTGAAGTCCTGACTGTCGCGCAAAAAATGCGCACCCTGCTCGACGGTGCACTCGGTCAGAGGACCCGGGATGAGATCGGCGTCGTCCGGCGCTTCGCCGCGCTCTTGCCGGACCGACGGCTTATCGGCTTCCACATCGTCCACGTCGGTATCGACGAGGCGCACGTGCGGCTCGAAAATGCGGCTCCACATGCAGGGGGTGATCTTGATGGAAACGGCACAGGACCCCCGCGTTTTGCACACGCGGGACTTGTAGGCGGCGGAGTTCTGAAACTCCGTCGGCTGCGTATAACTTGCTCAGGTGTTACAATCTCAAACGTTACAATGGAATATGGAAATCTGTGATGCAGGAACAAGTGCATGATCTACAGTAGTCCCATAGGCTTGCGCATGACAAGTTTCGGCACCCAAAGCCCCAGCATTGATTTATATAGAATCCGGCGAAATTTGTATTGCGAAAGGCGCACCTCTACACACGTGGTCCCTCATGCTGTTCATGCAAGACAAAATCCAGATTCTATTGGAACGTTTGAGATGGTAACCGATTTGAGCAGGTCATACTGCGGAAACTCCCCCGACCCCGTGGTCCACACCTCGCCGTAGTATGCATTGCAAATATGTCTGGGTCTGGAAACTTGTAACGCAAGAAAGGGAAGAGTGAACCCACTATAATGCGCTGCCAAGCATGACAGGTTTTTTCATGGGTCTAGGTTGCTATTCCGCATGAGAAACTCCTGCGTTTTTGCATGACAAGGAGGAGGGGCTCTTCGCGGGCATGCAACACAGAGTTCAGAGTCATGCCAGACTAGCACGACAAATCTCGCAATCTCCCAGACCCAGACATTTTTGCATTTGATACGTAGTTCTGTTTTCCAAAGGCGAACAGGCCCCCGTTGTTCCCGGTCTCTTCGGGGTCCAGGAACGCGCTTCGCGGGCGCCGCTGTTTTGGTAGTGTCTGCCCGTCGAACTCGGCGTTCACGATCAGCACGGCGACGCGCTCCGGCGTCTTCGTCTTCTTCAGCTCCTCTGTGAACCCGAACAGCTCGTCGAGGACGGTGTGGTGCTTCAAATCCAGCCACAGGTCTTGTCCCGTCACCCCCGCCGGGCCCAGCTTCTTCGCCCAGATCTGCCGGCTGGTCAGGTGCCACGGCGCGGATCGGCGCAACACCAGACAGGCCGGCAGGTCGGAGTCCGGGAGGATCTGCTGCGTCGTACAGCGGTCCTGCGGGTCCCTGCCGCTTTCCCCGCGCAGCCGCCGCTCGTATCAAGTGCAAATGTGTCTGGGTCTGGAATGTTGCCGGGTTTGTCATGCATACTGTGTATGACCCAGGATGTCTGTAATGCACGACCTAGCATCACAGATTTTTCGAGGGCTTCTTGATGCCTGCTCCGCATGACAAATGCCCTCCCCGCGTAGCAGGAACTAGACTCCCGTTGCTGGTCATGCAATACAGACTTTTTTAGACTCCAGAGTTAGCATCACAAGTTGCCACCTTCCAGACCCAGACATATTTGCATTTGATAGCTCGTACGCGTCGCCAACTAGGTCCTCCGTTTCCTTCGTATGAAAGTCCGGAGGCGCGCTACCGCTATCGGGAGAAAAAAGTGTTTCACTGGTGTATCTATGTTATAGGATTTTGCAAGAGCAAGTTTTGCAAGTTCGTTACGCATCAGAAAGAAAACTTGCTATGCGTTGTTCCTAGTAAGGGAAAACACGTTTCAAAACCACCCGGTGTCTCGCATGTGTAGCAAGACCAATGCGTCTGTGACTGTGTCGTCCCATGATTCTACTCCTAGTATGCATCACAAGCAGCTTGTTACAGTGAAGCAGCAGTTTTTTCCTCCATACCCGCAAACCTGGTTGTACTGTTTGCGCGTTTCCAGTTGTCCAGCGGGCGTCAACCGCCAGTCGTTCATTGGACGCTCCAGATTCCACATTTCGCTAGGCAGGTTGAAGTTCATGCGGGAAACGCTCAGTCCGTAGGTCAACTTTCGCTCGTCCGGTTCCTCCCAACTCGCGGTTTGACCGTACCGAAAATTGATCACTTGCTCGTCGCGCGCGAGGCCTGTGCCCGCAGTGACGGTCAGCGGGCCCGGCGGGCAGGTGGTGGTTACGGTTCTTTGTGCCTCCCCCACGACGGGCGGGGAGCGGATTCTCTCGACAACCTTCGGCGCGGGGGTCACCCCCAAAGGTTGTGCCGGCGCGGGTGCTGCGGCGTTTGCTGCCTCGGTTGTGGCGAGGATTTTTTTTTCCTGTAGCTGCAGCAGCGCTTCGGCTTCTTGCTGTTCATCTTCTCGCGGCGCTGTCGGTGTCCTACTATCCATAGGGGAAGATGAAGAACCTCCAATAGAACCCTTCTCCAAAAAGCCGCTGCCCGCCGGCGCGCCCGGACTTCCTTGTTGTGCTTGTGCGGATGGTACTGCTGCAGGTGGTACTGGTTGCTGTTCATTACAGTTAATAGGCAGGCGCACCCGGATGTTGTCTCGAGTGGGCCTGCACCTCTTACCGAGTACCAGCGCGTGGTCCATCCACGTCTGAAAGCTCAGGCAAAACCGCTCCCCCGAAATCCCATCCACCCAGTGGACGCCCCCGGTGGTTGGGTCTTTACGCCAACGACCCCGTTTGTGCTCGTCGCTGACCTCCCGGCAGGGCTGCACCCAAGCGTAGCGGATTTTCTCCGTTTCAAAGTCGCCGTCCCAGGCGTAGACGCGGCGCCCGACGTCGTTCACGTGGATTTGGTCGATCGCAATTGCGACCTTGTTTATCACGATTCGCTTCACGTAATCGATCACTTGCTGGTGGCGAAGTGGTGCTGCCGGCGTACTACCACCAGCCGCCCCGCGCTTTATCAGCGGAAAGCTGAGTACCAACGGACTGGAGGTGATGCACCACAGCGCAAAGTTATGAGTGTGCACAACTCCCCCTCCCTCTCATTTGTACGGCATGAGCAGCAATAGCAATACAAACCCGAGCACACGTGGAGCCTGTGCATGGCAAAATCATGCGCCTAGTGCAGTGCTGTGCGGGCTTCCGGAATCTATCATACAAAGAGTGCCACAAGGCAGCACGAGCACCTGGATTTGGGGTTCTGCATGACGAATGAGTGGGAGGGGGAGTTCTTGTGCACTCGTCTCATAAAAGTGCGTCTCGTCCTCCACCGACGAAAACTCCGTTTGCGTGTCGTCTCCATCCGAGCCCACTTGGCTCAAATCGAACACTATCCCACGAAAAAAGTGTGACAGTTACACATTTGTTGTAATTTCAGCATGATAGGGAAAACTTGCAATGCAATGATCACCAGGGAATGTAGGTAGGAAACGATGATGGAATTTGAAAGCATTTCCTGCATGACAAAGGTGGTCTGTCTTGCCGGTCCTGCAAAACAATGTGAATGTGTATACTGCAAAACACATTTCTCTTTGCATATACACGTACCGCTCCGTGTTGCCAATCTGCAACTCCCCGGGGCTGGCCCAGCAGTGGGGCCCCACGTAGCTTGGGAGTCGCACGGACTGCAGGTTCATGTAGATGTCCCGAAAGGTCGCGTGGATGTCGCGCGCGGTGAATGCGACGTGGTAGGCACAATCGCCCGAACTGGTCGCGAACTGGGCCGGGAAACGTCTGGGGTCCCCGTTTCCGTGCGACTTGTGCTGCAGAATGGTGCTCTATGAGAGCGCACAACTCTCCCTCGTCCCCCGCTTCATTTGTCATGCGAAATACCAAATCCAAGTGCTGCTCTGTGGTACTGTTCGCATGACAGATTCCGGAAGGGGAAGGAGCCCAAACAGTACTAGATATACACGCGTGAAGAACTTGTCATGCACAGGCTCCATAGGTGAGGGTGCTTAGTGTCGCTGTTCATGCAATACAAATGAGGGGGACGACGCGTTGTGCACTCTCATATGCTCTGCTGTCCAATCGCGTCCAGCTCCTTCACCCAGGTTCGCACGTGCCCCTTGGCGTATGGAATGCAAAGATCATGTCTGGGTCTGGAACTTGTGATGCAAGGAAGGGAATAATGGCCACACTGCAATGCGCTGCCCAGCATGACAAGTTTTTCCGTGGTTCATCTGGGTTGCCAGACTAGCAAGACAAATCTCGCAATCTCGTCCCAGACCCAGACATATTTGCATTTGATATGGCGCCGCACGTGTCAATCTTGAGGGACGCAAAATCGTGATCCACCACCTCCGCCAGGTCTCCGCGCAGCTCTGCCGCCAGCCCCACCCCGGCATCGTAGTTACTCCGCCAGTCCTGGATGAACCCGGGATGCTCGACGCACATGCAGTTGTTCACGAACCACCCCAGCCGCAGCTTCTTCTCCTTGGTCGTGCGCGCCAAGGAGGCGACATCCGGGAATTTTCTTGTGTCCCACTCCACCGGCCGGAGGTTGTAGGTTCGCGTGACCGAGTCCGGATCTTGCTCTTCTTGGCCGCCGGTGGTCCCTCCCTGCTCCTGGGGAAGCTCTCCTGGCTCTCTAGAAGTACTTCCCGGGGCGGGAGTTGATGCCTGTCCGCTTTCTTGCGCACTGAAGCCCGCCGTTTCGCCCTGCACGGCGTCTTCCGGAAACACGTGAACGGTCGGGTTCTGTTTTTTGTACTCGTAGTACTCTGCCCACAGCGCCGTTACCGCCTCCTTCGTGAGAATGCTGTGCGAGTGGTCTTTCGGTATAATAGGCACACCGGCATCGGAGAAGGCTTTTCTGTGCGCAATGGTTTCCCACTCGTACCTATCAACTGCAAATATGTCTGGGTCTGGACGAGTGCAGATGTTTGCCATGCTTTTCTTGCCTGACCAAGCAGGTCTGGCACGCCCGCCCCAGCATCACAGGTTTTGAGGAGGTTTCCTAATGCCTAATCCGCATGAGAAATCCCCGCCTTCAGTGATAAGAAGTGGGGAACTTTTGCTGTCCATGTTGCATGACAGATACCAGCCATGCCCCGGCTGACGCCGGGGCGCTAGGCTGTTGTGGCGGGGCGGACTATTTGCGGATCGGGACGCCGCGCCAGGAGCTTTGGACGCAGCGCGACAGCCCCCCCCCCGAGGAACATACTGTCGCCGTTTTGCGCCATGCAAACCCGCAGGGTCTCCTGCGCGCTTCCCGCGCCTTTAGGCGCTATGCGCAGGGAGCAGCTGCAGCGAAGCTTGGGGGCAAAGAGAAGCCGCCTCGGCGTAAGTGCCGAAGCACAAGGGGGACCGCGCTGCCCTGTGTTGATCACTCTCCCGCCCCCGCCCAATGGCTTCCCGGCCGACGGAACTGCTGGCGCAAGAGGGTATCGCGAGAGGGTGGCGCGAGAGGGTGCGCGAGAGGGTGGCGCGAGAGGGTGGCGCGAGAGGGTGCGCGAGAGGGTGGCGCGAGAGGGTGCGGGCCCAAGCGATGCAAAAATCCCCAGAAGATCGGCCGAATACCGGGCGGATTCGGGCTGTTTGTACCCTCTCGCAGACCCTCTTTTTTACCTCTCCCGAGAGGTTTTGCTAATAGTCCGGCTATACTCGCCGGTAGAGGTCTACAGAGGTGGCCGAGAGGTGGCCAGGAGGGTGCGCGAGAGGTTCGCCCTTATTCGCGCAACCTCTCGGCACCTCTGTCCCCCTCTCGCCTACCCTCTTGGCACCCTCTCGGCCCCCTCTGGTCCCTATAGGCGCGGCTTTAGGGTGAACGGCTCGGCTCGCTATACCCGCGCCACCTCTCGGCCACCCTCCCGAATGACCTCCCGCGCCACCTCTCCACCTCTGTCGACCTCTTTTTGACCTCTTTTGACCTCTTTTTGACCTCTCGGCCACCTCTCGTCTACCCTCTGTAGACCTCTTTTTTCGCATGAATATAATAGATAGTAATTTGTGTCGTTTAAAATGCGCATCACAAGTTTGCATCCTTCCAGACCCAGGCATATTTGCAATGCATAGTACCGGGTCATGACCTCGTCCCAGTCGTCGTCCTCGTCGGTCAGCAGCTTCGGTTTCTTAGACTATCCAAAGTAAAAACGTCCCCACCCCATAGTCAAGTTGGGAATCTAGCAACACAAATCTCCTTTTTTTGGGAGCTGTGCATGACAAGTTTTCCTCTGCTGTGTAGTACTCGCTGGCAAGGGAAGCCGAAGCCGCATGAGAAAGCCATTTTCTAATCCAGTTTACAACATTACAAATTCCAAATCACGATTGGAAAATGTCTCTCATGGAGCTACGCATGACAAACGTTCCTGTCATTGTGCACTTGCATGACAACTCTGTGGTGGGGACGTTTTTACTCAGGATACAGAAGCATCCAACTTCTGCCCCGTGCCCTTCAGCCATGTGTTCATCGTGTTGTCCCAGTCGGCGTTTAGGTGGATCGTCCTCTGGGCGTTCAATTTATACCGGCGCTGCATCAGGTAAAACGTGGGGCCGTAGTAGTCGTTCGGTGGGTTCCGCTCGTACCAGTACGCCTGCCACCGGTCCAGGGAAAACTCGTTCACGCCGGGATCGTTGCCCTTCGTAAAATCCTGCCACTTCAGGTGTCCCTCGTCGGTGCTGTCGAACATTTGGTCCAAATCCGGCTGAGGGAACACGGCGACCCCCGCCGGGCTGGTCACCGTGGTCACCGTGCTACTCACCGTGGTGGTACTAGAAGTACTGCTGGTGGTGGTGGTGCCAACGAAGGTGCGCGATTCGGTAGCTTCCTGGTGAAACCGGCCCGGGTGCATGCGGGCGAGATTTTCACTCGGGGTGCACTGCTGGTACCCGTCGCTAATCTCGATCAGGTTGTAGCCGGCGTCGTGCCAATCCGACCCCTCCTTGAACTCTTCCAGCACCTTATCCAGGAAAAAAACTGTGTAAGTGTAACTTTGTACGGAAGATCAGCATCACAAATTCGTTTTGCATTACATATAGAAAGTAACCCGACATGCGCAGCTAGTACGTGGAAACACCTATGAAAGTGGCCTATGACGCACCTCTAGCATGACAAAGACAAGTGTAAACAGTTTAGAATTTCCTGCATCACAGACTTAACCTTACTTACACACTTTTTTTCTTGGATACACCTGGGTGATTTTCCCCGCGTCCACCTCTTCCCCGTACGCGCTCCAGCTCGCCCAGCCCATCGGAGTATCCTGTGCAAAAGCATCGTACTCGTACTAAAATTGCAGGCATGCATGACAAATTTTCTTTCCAAGGTGAAACAGCATGACAAATTCAATTTTTCATGCTGAGAAAATTTGAAATGCAATTTATACTAGTACGACTATGATGCTTTTGCAATTCATATGGTGGCCGCGCCGCCAGCTTCCGCATCGCGTCGCTGGGCTCCGGCAGCACCGGCGCGGGCCCCACAGGGGTCGGCTCCGGTGTAGGCGCCGGGGTGGTGGACGACGGCACGGGTGCCGGCGTCGTGATCGGCGGGCGGAGCGTATCCTGTGCAAAAGTATCGCACTCGTACTAATTGCATTTATGCATTTTTACAAGGTTCCTAAGGCAAATCCGCATTACAAATTTAATTTGTAAATGCTGAGCAAATTTGTACAAATGCAATTCATACTAGTACGATACTTCTGCATTTCATAGGGCGTGGTCGTCGGCGTGGTCGGCGTCGGACACTCCTGAATGTTGCAGATCTCGATTTTTAGGAGAGAACCACAAGTGCGGTAGGGCGACAAATCGGTGCTCAGCTCGTCGACCAGGGATTGCGGGTGCTGGAGGATCTCGCGCGTGAAGTACCTGAGACCCCCGCCGCAGGACTTGGAGCAGGGCGGTTTTGTGACCACCTGGTAGTCCCGGTACGCAAACGGCCACTGCTCCGCGCACTGCCCGCCGACGTCCCTGTGGACCCGCTGTCCGGTCTCCCAGTTCAGATCAAAAGGGTCTTTCACTGCCTGCACGGGATCGATAGTACCCGACACACCCCGCAACTGTTTCAGCCGGCAGGTGTCGTCAATATCGTGGACCCAGGTGTAGGCGGTGCAGTCTGGTTTTAACTCGCACAGCGTCTTGCACTCGGCCCCCGTGATGGTGTAATAGGCGGTGTTCTCGTGCAAGTCTCCCCCGAAGTAATCCCAGTCCTGCTCGTAACCGCACTCCTTGCGCGGCATGCGCCAGTCGGACAGTTCGCACTCGTCGGTGAACGTGTGCCCTAGGGGGACGCAACACACCGCGGCCTGCGCATTTGCGGTGGTGAACTCCGCGTCGTTGCTCCCATCGTGGACGCAGTTGCGCCGCGTCAGCTTCTGCGTCCAGTCGAAAAGGTTGAAGTAGCCGTCCGCGCACTGCTCCTTGTAGGGCAGCTGCTCCTTCCCCTTCCACCACTGTTCCGGCTGGTGGTAGCCCATCGTCGCAATTTTGTACATGTCGACGCAGCAGTCCAGTTCGCCGTCGGTCCGGTCGAGCGACTCGTGCAGGCACAGGTCCCGGTTTTTTCTCCCCTGAATGGTCACTTCGCTGTCCACCTGGCAGTACGCCTTGTCGTAGGGCTCCGTGCCGTCCGGGTCCCAGGGCAGCCCCCAGCCGTCCTGGGGCGCCCGCGGCGGGCAGATGTCGTTCTCCGGGTCGGCCTCGCACCGGTCCCGGTGCAGCAGCGTCTCACTGCACTCCGTGCCGCCAAACTGCGGGTGCACCAAAATGTCGCGGACCTGGTACTTGAAGCCGTGCGCGGTGTCCTTGTCGCGGCGGCAAGCGGCCGAGCAGGTCGGCTGACTGCACACCCCGCTGATCACGTCCGCATTCCACATTTCCAAAAAGTCGCCCGGCGAGTCCGCGTCCCGGCGCTCCAGCAACTTGCACCTTCCCTGGTCTTCCTCGGCCGCGGCCTCCAACCTCCACCACGCGTACGCATCGCACAGTTCCGAACGGCGGCAGATCTCGCGACACTCCTCCAACCGCTGCACTTTGCGCCGGTGGCCCCGCGACGTCGTGGCCTGCCCCCGGCTGTGCTCCAGCACCTCGTCGTTTTTCAGCCGCTTCAGTTTCCAGTGCTTCGAGTAGTCCACGTTCTTCTCTTTCGTGCAGGTTTTCGGGTAGTACCACTCGGTCAGCTCGCAGTGGATCGGCTTCTGGCACTTGGACCGCAAAACGACCTCAGAGCCCAGCCCGTACTTGTCCACGGCAATGTCGTGCTCCTGCTCATCCTCGCACACGCGGCGCATGCAGACCCCGAACCCCAGGGACCCGAAACTGTCCACCGGCACGTCGGTTGTCACCTCCCCGCCCCGCCCGGTCGGGTAGTTCCGCACCTCCTTGTGCCCCACCTGCTTCCCGCCGTTGCGCTTCGATTTCGGGAAGCACCAGTGGTCCTGGCTCTCGACTTCCGACGCCGCCCCGGCCTCGCCAGAGGTGTCGTCCGGAGAGGTCGTCCTCTCGTCGGCCCCTGTATCATCATTCTGCTCTGGATCATCGTCCGGCCGATGACCCAGGTAGCTGTACAACACACACTCCGGTAAGTAGTCGCAGATCTTCTCGCACTTCCACTGCATCATCTCCCTCCCCTTGAGATAACCGTGCACCTGGAAGTTCCGGAACAGCGGCAGGCTCTCCACGCCGGACCCGTCGCCGTCCCCGATTTCGCCTTGTTGGACCTTTTTTGTCAGCGCCGTTTGCATCTCCGCGGCGGTGACCGGGGCCTTGTGGCGCAGCGCGGGCACCAGCTTCACCTCGTCTTTGTGGTCGGTGTCTTTGAAAAGGTACTGTTCCAATTTGTTCACGTACTCTAGGGCCCGCTTGCACCGAAAGTAGGAGTACTGCGTCTCCCGGTAGTGGATCGGCCAACCGTCCTCCCGGATCGTCTGTCCCGCCTGGTCGACAATTTGGTTTACCGAGAATTGATACTCCGAGGGGTTGAAGTTGCGCGCGTCCGTAAACGCCTTCCGATTCAAGGAGGGAATGTCAACGTTATTGTAAAAGTACACCTCGTTTTGCCACAAGTCGATCGCGCACAAGTCCCCCCGGGGGAACGTGAAGTACGGCGCTGCGTGATGTCCGTCTTGGTTTTGCCTGTGCTGACCCCTCTCCGCCGCGAGGACCAGTGCGCCGGGGTTTTCAGTAGAGCTCACGAAGTTGTAGCGCAGCCAGGCAAACTGCTGGCCGTCGCAGTAGGGGTTCAACGCGTTGTAGTGCGGATGCACCAGGTCGTCGGGCCCCTCGTCCGGCATCTCCGGCCTTGGCGGGCACCGGGGCATCGGCCGCATGAAGTTCGTGCACGGCGCGATCTCGTCAAAATGCACCTCCTGTTCCCCGCGTAGGGTGTCCGCGTCCCGCTCGGGGCCGCAGTTTCTCGCGGTCGGTGGCTGGTCTTCCCGGTCGGCGTACCGCCACCACCGGTGCACCCGGCCCCCGGGCCCGCAGGTCACCGAGCACTCGCTCCAGGGCTGCCACACGCGCACGCAGTTTTTGTCCACCTCCAGCTCGTACGCGATCCTGCTCCAGTGAATGCCGTCGTAGGTGTCTCGGAACAGGTATTCTGAGTAAAAACGTCCCCACTACTTCCCCAGAGTTGTCATGCAATTGCATGCCAAAAAAGTTTCTCATGCGGAGCCCTATGAGAAGCCTTCTCTATTCGTGTTTTGGGATTTGTGATGCTAAAATCAGCATGAAATGCTAGATCTGTGACGCTTCTGAGCTAGCTAAACAGGATTACACTACGAGGACAAGAAACTTGTCGTGCCAAACAACCAAAGCTGCTGTGTGATTTGTCTAGCAGATTTCCCATCTTGAAGATTCTGGTTGTGTGGGGACGTTTTTAATCAGGATAACAGGTGCCAGTCGGCGACGGACTTTTTCACGTTTTTAATCCGCTCCCACTCCCACCATCCCGGGTCGTCGATAATTTTCACCAGCTTCTCGAACGCCACTTCGGAAAACGGTAACTCGAAGGGCTTTTTTTGCAGCGTGTCACTCAAGGACTGCAGCTCGTAGTTGTACTGGCCGTGGTGCCCGAAAAACTTGTTGTACTTGAAGTTCCACTTGAAAATCCGGGGGGCGTAGTGCCTTAAATGGCAAGACTCGCACTCCACCTTCCTCCGGATGTAGGTTTCCAAGGTCATGGTCTCCTCGGCCACCGCGGTGGTGAGGGCGTGTACAACTCCGAGTGCTGGTGCTGGCGGGAGGTGGTCATACAGACTACTCAGAAGGACATGCAGAAAAAAGTAGAGCATCATCATGATGTGCAGTAACGGCCTACTGATGTGAAGGAAAAACAAAGAACTTGTCAGTCTCGCCGCGACGCTGGCCCAGTGCGCCAGGAGCTTCTTCCTACGTTTTCGCGACGACATGTTGACCAAGTTGGTCCTGTTAGTGCGGGCTCGTGGCTGCACTCGTACAAGTCCGAGTCAGGGTTCGAAATGCGTAGTCGCATTCCTGCTCAGGAAGGGCCCGTTGTAGCTCCTCCTGATTCCTTGTCCATGCGTCGCGCCGTCGTGCGTCGAGCGCTCCGCACTACGCTGCACGCCGTTTGGCTCCGCTCGCAGCACGCTGGAACAGCGGGCCCTTTCGCGTTCCGCTTGCGAAATTGCCAGACGCGAAACAAGACAACAGGTCTTCACGTTGCGACGACGAGAGAGCAGAGGAGCCATGGCAGCAAAAAAAACAATTTGCGTTCTATTTTTCTATGCTGCGGATGCGGTATTGTTGTTTGCCACTTAAGTAGATGAGTGGCAGTGTCTACTAACTCATCACGAATCTTCAAACAAGGAGCACACTACGATATTTAGCGTGATAATGAAAATGATCATGTACAAGATGAGGCCTCAAAACCACTGCAATTTGGCCCACCTGTGTGTCCGATCGGAGCCACACCTTTGTAATTGCCCTCGTCACAAAACCGAAAGGAAAACGTAGGATGAAAAAAAAATTGCGTCACAAAAAGAAAACACGACCGGACCTGGAACAAACGAATGAAACATCAAATGACACACTCCAATTTTCTTCACGAAGTTCCACGAGCACGAGATGCAAAATTTGTGAGTGTTTCATCTGTTGAACCTATCAATGAGGCAGTTCTGATGTACTTAGATCTCGTACTCGACGTACTTTACGGCATTACAAACAAAAAGCTTCAGCACACGAAAAACTCACTTACTTATTTATTGGTTAAGGTTACTGACGAAAGACAAAAAAGTACGAAGATTGACTGCCTGAAATCTGGCAGTGGTGAGATTCTTGACGATTATCGACATCGTGATCTTCTGTGCCTGCACAAGAGACGAGAAACACGACCACTATTGGGTCCAGGGAATTCCTTTTCGCCTCACGTCAGGTGGTGGTCGAGGCTTTTCCGATTGTACGGTCGCGCACGCGCACCATTTAAGTACTTTTACATTTCCAAACTTTTTCCACATTAAACTTAACGTGGTTCATCTTCTCTCAGGTATAGAAATCTGTGTCTGTGTGCTCCAGTACGTAGACTTTATTCCGATACACTTTCCAAAGTGCGTGTCGGAAAAATAGCGTCGTTTTACAGCGACAGCTCTTTTTCGGAGTTACACATAGAAACGAAACTAGCATTACGAATAGCAATAACGCTACCTAGGTCTGAAACAAATGCTTTCACCTTTTTTGATGTAACTACAAGATTTCTTTTGAACTGAAGAAAGACCGCTGATGTCTTCTAGGCGAATCGATAGACTCTTCCCTTTCTCGTTTTCGAGATTTTTTGATTACACCGCCTATGAAGAAATCCACCAAATGTGTACCCTGTCAAAGGTTTTAATGTGCTATTCCATGCACAATCTTGCTTTTCTTAATTTTCAAAAATTTTGTCCGATTCATAAATCAACGTGTCTCTGCTATTGTAGCCTCGCCGCATTGCTCTTCACGACCGCCGCCCCGGTCCTCTTCCAGGCGGCATGTTCGAATTTACTTGACGGTTGTAAGAAGTGGCACTACCACTACTTGCGCCAATGGCCAGCGAGGCCGTCGAGCTGGCAGTTGCGGTTGTCGAAGCCCGGGTGGTCGCTGTGTTAACAGTGGAGACAGAAACCGTATCCATGCTTGGCCCCGTAGTTGTTCGCGTTCGCCTCGACGTGGAAGCAATTCCGCTCCGGTTTGGAAGCGACGCCAAGTTCTCATCGGAGAGTGCTGCATCACCACTGGTTACCCGCCGCTGTCTGCTCTGCTGCTTTTTCGCAGAACCACTTCCCTTCTTCCTCACTTTCTCCACAGCAACCTCCCCGCCGACCGGATAGTCAGCCCCGGCCGCGGCACTGCCGTTCTCCCCGATCGACGGCATTTCCATGATCGCAAGGGGCAGTGCGGCCTGGGAGGAACGCATTTCTGATAAGTTTTCATGGGTTTCTTTCTGTTGCTGTCTGCTTACTCCAGGCTTGATGTTGCTCACCGCATGCTGAAGATCGCCAGGCGAAATCGTCGTGGCGTAACGGTTTACAACTTTACTTGCCTGGTTCTTGTTTCCAAATAAACCGAAACGCGACCACGGGAAGGCTCTTGTACAACTACCATATCCACCGTAGCAAAAAACGCACCCAGCCAATAAGCACCCACCTGCGACCAGCAGACAAACGAGCAGCAACACACTACTCCCGTCCTCGTCCTGCGAACGGCTTCCGCGTTCATCAGAAAACGAGGTCCGGCTGTAGACTTCGCAATAGTCCTTGTTTGCCCGGGTAACGCAGCTCCCCTGCACATCCACCGGACGGACACTCTCCATCTGCCAAGCGCCACGCACCACGGAATCCGATCCCGCGCTTCGCTGGTTCGTCCGCATGGCTTCCTCGGTCATGGCCTGAATCCGCGCTGTGGCCGCGCGGTCCGTCAGACTAGCGGCGACGCGGGCATTGGTTGCGTCCATGGACTTCACTATAAAAGAGGTTTGCACCGTCTGCACCGCAGATGCAGGCGTCGTAGTGCTGAGCTTTCTTCTGCTTCCCGTTATTTCCCTCTCAACTACGTGAAACCCTGTCGCCTTCACTTGCACCATCGAAACATCCAAATCCGCGGCGAGCGCGACGCTGTTGCGCAGACCGGCTTCTTTTCCGTTTTTGTACGCTTGGTCGGTCATCAAGGCAGTGCCAGTCACGTCTTTTGGCAGCCGTTCCTCGGAAGTCGTATTCGCCTTAATTATCTCCGCGTCGAAGAAGGCGTAGCTGTTATCACTGTTACTAGAAGCACCTGTGCTCGCCGGCTGCGCGGCACAGGTGTACGGATTCGCGGGCCTGGGGAACCCCGGGATGCAGAAATCGGGCTCTGCAGTTCCGGCCCCGAACACACGATCAAACCATTTTCTACCCGTGTCTTTTTCCGTGTTGAAAGAGCCGGAATCATCTTTCACACAACACGTCACCCGACTGCCCATGTCGTTCTTTCCCCCGCAGTTCCGGATCAATGGTAAATACCGATGCCCGATTGCGCAGCTTGCCATGCGCGGGATCGCGCAACAATCGCTATCACTGTTCCCCTTCACGAATTCCTCGCACGCTGGTAACTCACAAACCACTTCGGTCTCCGCTCTTTCTCCCTCCCGGTCCGCCTTGATAAGCCACGTCGCGGAGCCGGGTGCTGCGGATAACCTTTTGTAAAAGTGATCCTCCGGGCCTGGCGGCTGTGTCTCGGTCTCCGCGATGTTGCCACCGTTCGCCGCCGCCCAGGCATTGTACCGCGCCATGAGCTCGGCGTTGGAAAGCATCGGAGCGGTCCTCGCAATGGGCACCGCGCTGTCGGAGCTCGCGGTGAAATCACCACTCCTCACGGACGCAGTCATCGAGGAAGAAGAACTGCCACGAGAGGACTGCTGAGAAGTGCTAGCACCGGTATTAGCGCTGCCTGTACCTTGTTCATCCCTGATGCAGCACGTCGAGAACGCCCCCTCCACGATGAGAGTGCACAACCCCCCCTCCCCCTCATTTGTGATGCAAAGTCCACAATTGATCACTTGGTGCCTTGTGGCACTGTTTGCATGACAAATTTCGGAACAACCCGAAACAATACTACACTCGGCCCGTGAACTTGTCATGCACAGGCTCCAAGTGATGTAGTGTTGGTGTTTGTGTATTGCTGCTCATGCCATGCAAATGCGTGGGAGGAGAAGTTGTGCACAACTCTCATATCCTCCAGACCCCACCCACAACCGGCGGCCCGGGGTTCGTACCGGAATCCTGACGCACAAAATCCCTCGAAGGCGCAACAATCCGAATCCGGCGTCCCAATTTCGTACTCTTGGCACGCTTCGATGTGGCAGTTCGGGTCCGCAGTAATGTCGTCCGGCGGGGAATGGTGGTTAGGAAGTCTTTCGCCCACGTTGTTCGCGGCTGGGGCTTCTTGCGTCGCTGTGATGTCGCCCTCGCTCCAAATGTTTGGGTCGTAGCAACACGTGCTCCGCTGCCCCTGCCTCAGGTCCCACCCGCACCCCTCCGCGCCGGGCGCGTACGTCAGTGCGTTTCCACAAAACGCCACTTCCGGGTGCGCACAGCAGTCCGTGTCCAAACGCCCCGGCTCGTACTCCTGGCAGGCAGCCAAGATGCACTTCTCTGTATTGGCCGCGATGTCGTCTGGCGGATTGTACCCCTGTCGCTCGTACTCGTCATTCTCGTTCCACCGGAAGGGAGTTTCCTCAGCAGACACGTCATTATCTCCCGGTTCCTCGGACCCACCATCCCCGTCCTCTTTCCACGTCTGACTCGGATCCACAGTTTCACCGCCCGCCGCGGCTTTTTCCTTGAACACACACTCCTTCAATCTGTTGCAAAACATGCCCTGGTTCTGGTCGTAGTGCGCTTTCGGAATGCAGCAGGTGCTGTACGCACCATTATCGTAGCCGTGGCCGCACCCAAGCCGGCCTTCCGTGTACAGGTGTCCGGGCGCGCACCCCGCCATCCAGGGAAAGGCGCAGCAGTCGTCGTCCCGCTGCCCGGGAACAAACTCCTCACACGCCGAAGGAGCGCACTTGAACCCTGTCAGCTCCCCCGAGCTACTGGGTATGTCCGTCGCCATGGAGAGGTGGGCCTGCTGTGTAGTTGGGGCGTCCATGCTGTAGAGCTGACGAGCAGAGACGCTTTTGGTCGTCGTGTCCTCGGCGGGGTCAGGCGTTGGTGCTGTGCTTTGCTGTTCGGCACTACCTGCGGCTTCTGTACTTCTCGAGGGGGTGGAAAATGATGCGGAGCCCAGCACTCCGAAGAGTTCCTGTGCGCCGAGGTGGCAAAAAATCGCCGCCAGGAGCAGCGGGATCAATAGGATTCTCATTTTTGATGATGTGAAAAAGTTCGAAACTTATGCTAAAACCAAAATGACAAAAGAAAAGTGACGGGGGGAAAAAAACGTTCAAATTTCGATGTAAATCGTAAAAGTGGTAAAAGTAATGTTGAAAGCGACAAGAAGAACCTCCAAGCCTTCTATAGCTAAAGACTACACGTCTATACTCGCGTTCGTATGCTAAGTAAGTAAATCGCAACAACTCAACAAATCGCAACGTGGTCGTACTACAAGCCACCAACTAGTAGCTCTACCCCTACACAGTGCTGTTGTTACGAGTTACGACTAAGTACCAATCAACTCAATTTACAATTTCATTTTCAAGAGATCATGTTGAGTGAACGAAAAGATATAGCATTACCATTAGCAATGCCCCCACCGCATATTTACTACTCCTTCCTCCCTCCAAGGGATCCTTGCGCCGCACTGAGGGGGGTCCCTGTTTCATCGAGTTAAACGGGAGCAGACAGAATCACTAGAATACCACAGCAACGGGCCGAAGGCTATATAGACTTGCGACACTGACATCAGAAAACTTTAGCTTTATCAAGTGATTTTACTAAAACCGATTTTTGCACGCTAATTGCGTGCTGTTTTAACCTCGGTGAGTGCAACTCGGAAAAAAAATACACCGACTGTGCGCACTTTTTCATACTCTCGTTTGCTGTCAGCCACTCTGCGTGGTGTTTATTCACTTTTTCTTTTTATTCCTTAGCTTTCGTTAGATGTTGTCTATGTACTACAGCTGTCGCTGATGTGCACCTGGAAGGTCGTCCTCAAGCTGCAACCATATCATGATCTTCAAAAAGGTTCATTTCTACTCGAAACTTCGTCTTGCCACGGGTGCAACAACGTGTGCAAAGGATCCACTGTTCCGTCGAATGGGTTGATGAATGGTGCACCTCGTGGTTCCTGATAGGAGTGCAGCTCAACAGCAGCACTACTACTTTCACTCTGGGCGCCACCCTGATCATGATTTTTGCCATGTTCCCCGGCATCGTCCCGCGCACTCGAAGACGTCACAAATCCATCTAGCATCCTGGCCGCCCGTTTCAGTTCGCGCTGAATCTGCCGCATGAGCGCAACCTCGACGTTGGCGACGTCTTTGCCTATCTCGAAGGGGTTGTCCACATGGAGATAGCGGGAGGAATTTGCAGACTGCAGGTGATTTGTTGCAGCTAAAGCTGCACCGACACCGTTTTTACTGTCTGCTCCAAGTCCAACGTTGTAGGAGCTAATATCTCGCACCGCGATCACGCCCCCCGTGTATTCAAATGCGAAGTAGTTGAAAAAGTCCCAGAGTAGGTAGCCAAGACTGGCAAGTTCTTGTTCGCGTTCTTCTGCAACACTATCGACTGTGAGATTTTCTGCACCTGCTGCGACTGATGTAGAAGTCCCGGCGCCGGCGCTATCGACGGCGCAATGACCTTTGCCTCTTGCCAAAACCAATTTGTAGAATTCCTTGTGCCGGTTTTCCAGAAACGGTTTGTTCTTTTCCTGGAGAAATGAAACTTCCTCTTTTATCTGCTCTACATTATCACAAAACCGGCAATCAACCCCCTGCAAATACACCGGTGCGTAGGACCGCGCAATGGCCAGGTCCTGGATCGAGGGAAGAAGGTAGCATTTTGTCTGCAGGTAGTTGATCAGCATCAGGACAATGGAGAAGGAGGATAGAGTCCCTCTGCTTCTATCATTTATCCCGCGCGCGCTCGCCCACGCTTTCAACCACATACCTAACGTGTGCAGTTTCGGCTCTGCCAGCACGTATTGGTACACTAATTTGCTGTTCACCACGGCCAAGACGTTGTTCACAGAGATGTCGCAAGCCAACATGCCCTTCGCCCGCGGAGCCCAGTGGACAATCGGGACTTTCGCACCAAATCTCGGTTCGATGAAGTGGGAGGAGACTCGCGCCAGTTCGTTCCCTACTCGCTTCAAGATCTTTATCTGACTCGACCGGGTGGTCGCCCCAGCGGGCACGCGGATGCAGATGTCAATGTCGCTTGAGGGGGACCAAAAGCCGTTGACGACGGAGCCGAAGGGGGCGACCTTGGCATTGTCCCCCACGACGCTCTCGAGGATCTTTGCTAGCTTCACCAGAAACTCATTCTTCTCCTCTTCGTGATAGGGCGTCGCGATAGACTTCTGGCGAAAATTTACCAAGCTGTTTCCAATTTTCGCAAACGCGGCCTTCGTCGGTAGGCGGGGCCTTCGGGAAGAACAAGACGAGGTGGAAGTTGCGAAACCGGGGGGGAACAGATGAGTCCGCGCAGGGTTCTTGTTTTCCAACTCCACCTCCTTTGCGCCGCGGGGTACAACAAACGAAGATATTGAGGGGGAGGATGTTGAAGTAAAAGACGCATCCAGAGTTCCTTGTCGTGTTTCGTCTTCGCTCTTTGTTGCCTCGAAATTCGCGGTCACTGGCTCCACGTTCCACCATCGCTCTGCAGAGGAGCCCTGCGAGGAAGCGCCGGGACGAGTGGTCGACTGCGCTACCCCTGCTGTAGTTGCAAGGCTGCGAAGAGTATAGGCACGGGCGGGCAACGCCGACGGAAACTGCCGCGCGCGCAATGTCGTGGTTCTCATTATGTTTGATGGTTCGAAAGAACAACAAGTTAGTAGACCCTATAATTACCAGAGCCACTCCTACATCAAGTGGCTCGGATTCAAACAGGAAGAGGAACCCAAGGCCAAGGGGGAGGTTAAAAACACAATAAATCGATAAAACTGACACGAAACGACCGTTCAAAGATTTTTTACCGCATTCATCATGATTGATCGTCGGGGGTGAGTAAGTAGAAAACTGAAGAGTCCGCAAAAATCGCAGGTCCAAAATTTGTAAGATCGAAATTACGGAACCATCTCCACTGAGCTGGGCGGGGTGAAACAAAAGAATACAGAGCGCCACTGCGCCCGTGTCGGCAATGGCAGAAAGCTCGGATCGCCAGCAGGCGCTTGGTTTTTACGGCTATTTTTTTTGTGTTTTTTCAGATTAGTTTTTTTCCGGTACCTGAGAGGACAAGTGGTTGAAATGTATAATTGATACTCCTTTGTCCAAGCTTCTGACTCTGGTTGTCGGCTAAGTAAATGCATCTTCCGGAAATTAACTCAAATCCGTAATTTCGGTCTACAGCTACTAAGGACAACTCGCTAGAAGTCTATTAGAAGTCTCATCCAGTTGTTTGACTTTATTTTCCGAAAGGGGTACTAAAATCCAGCGTGTGCAACTCTAGCCTGCTGTATTCCCAGACGCGGGTACAAAGAATGAAAAAGAAGTGTCGCTGTTGTATAGCAAAACGTTGCTCTTCTTCAAAAAGTCATCTGTTTCTCCTTCGATCGCAATGTGAATTTTGAAAATCATCTTCCATAAGGAAAGACCTAAGGGCAGCTTTTGGTGGTGTGCAGCCCCGGTTGTAGGTCTGGCTGTCGCTGTTGTCTAATAACCACAAAATCTACTTCGTTTATATCGAAGAGAAGTTGTCCAAGAAGTGTTTCTAGTCATCGTTTCAATCCGAATCCTATTGCTTGCCCTGGCAGATCATCTTCTAAGCACCATGATCTTTCGCCTTCCAGACCCTCCTCGTCACGCTTTCGGAAAATACACCCGCAACCGCTTCTGCTCGGATCCGGAGTCCGTCGACTTCGGGAATCGTTTTCCGTTCATGCGGCGCACCACCTCCGCCGCAGCGGCCTCGTCCGCGATCATCAGCAACCCGCAGGTTACGTCGTCGTTTTCGTCGTCGGGGAAAATTTCCGTGGAGACCAGCTTTTATGCATTGCAAAAGTAGCATCGTAGTAGTAGTTGTAGCATAGATAGCATCACAAATTTCGGCAACAAGAAACTTGTAATGCTGATTCAGATTGGAGAAGGCATTTGTCATGCATCACCGCAATGTAGTACTACTATACGAGTACGATACTTTTGCAGAGCATAGCTTTTCCGGACTCACCATCACCTTCTCTCCCAGCATGCGCAACTCGCCGTCACTCATGTCCGCCGGCAGGTTGTCGACCTGGACCTTGACCGTCGTGTTCTTGCCTTTTCCCGTCGTGCCAACACGGAGCGAATGGCTACTTAAACTTACACGATGGTGAACCACATGCAATATTAAGCGGAAGATAATCCAGAGTTAGAGCAAGAGCTGCAGCTCTGGAGTATGGTCTTTGTTTTGTCAACACAGCATGCCCGCGACCGAAGGGAAAGGGTTCTCTACCGACCTGACTCGTATCTCTACCTCTTCTATGACACATCTTCCTCGTACACAAAAGCAAAACGAGGAAACTAAAGACTGCTAGTACTTACGACAGGGGCGTGTTGAAAACCTTATATTTCTGTTCAGGTTAAAGTATAAAACGGCTGTTCCTCATTATGATTCATTTCCAATTCGTAGTTACACTTTCAAAAAAGTTGTCTATCTACACAACTGGGGCGAGCAGCAGGCGGCGCAGCTTCAAATTTTAGATCTTCTTGCGTTCATAAGCAAGGCATGGGCTGGGTAGTTATGTTATTTGTGTGGGAGGGGTAATTCTAAAGCGTTTTTAGTCTTATACACTTACGTGGTTTATTAATTTTCAGGTAGTTAAAAGTGCTACGGATACAATGTGGTTCATCACTGCTATCTGCAGTTCCTGGTATCATAACGGTCGGCTTCCTCGGCCCGGTGATTTCCCTCGTAGCTGTCGCGATACCGCGTGCGGGTCGTGTCCCGGGCCCGTTCCCGGTCGTCGTATTTCGAATCATGCTTCGAATCGTTGTACTTGGAACCGGTGTACTTGGAGTCGTTGTACTTCGAATCGTACTTGGAATCGTACTTAGAATCGTTGTACTTATCGTTGTATCCCGAATCACCTCCCCGTCCCTTGTAGTCGTCATCGCGCTTGTTCTTGGTCGATGTGTACTTATCATCCGACTTCTTGTAGTCATCGTAGTGGTCACCACGTCCACCCCCCCGCGGTTTGTCGTAGTCATCATCCGCCAGACGCTTCGGCTTGGAATCACCCCTGCCGGTAGTTGTGCCGCGAGCTGATTTTTTGTTGTAATCGTCTTTCTTGTAATCATCGTAAAAATCTTTATCCCGATCCGAACCCCGAGTTGTTGGTTTTTTGCTGTAGTCGTCTTTGTAATCATAGTCACCGCGCCGGGAAGACTTCTTGTAGTCGTCGTCTCGTTTTTTGTACTTGCTATCAACGTCCAGCGCATTCCGGGTAGAAGCAGCAGGAGCTGCGCGGGCTTTACTGTCCGTGCGTTTATTGTTCACCGTGCTAGTTTTGTTGTAGCTTTCCGCACGATAGCTGTCGGCACGATTTCCGTTCGCCATGGATTTGCTAGGAAGTGCAGCACCGCGTCCGCGGGAATCTTTCTTCGCTTTGGCCGCAGCAGGCGCGCGTCCGCGAGAATCGTCCTTCTTGACGGGAATTTTCGCGGTGTACCGTGCGCGAGAATTGTTCTTTTTGGAAGTAGGAGCCGGTTCTTTCGGGGCGGTCGTGCGTCCACGGGAATCGTTCTTTTTTGGAGCAGGCTTAGAAGCCGGTCCACCGCGACGCTCGCGGGAGTCTTTGTCTTCCTTCCTCGCGGGTACTTTTGCACCGCCGCGCCCACGCGAATCGCCTTTCTTGGCCGCTGGTTTATTCTTCGCTGCATTACGCCCGCGGGAATCGTCCCTCTTAGCCGCTGGTTTCATCTTACCCGCATCGCGCCCGCGGGAATCGTCCTTCTTCATCATGTCTTGCTTCCGATCGCGGGACCGCGAACGATCACGAGGAGCTTTCTTATCATCAAATTTGTCTACAACTTTTTCAGCGGAAGAAGCTGCTGGTTTTTTATCCGATACCTTTACCTGCTGTTCTTCGCTATAGTCTTTCGACTGATCCTTCTTGTTATCGCGGGCTGCCATCAAAGCCGCAACGGCCATCGCCGCCTCGTCGAGATTTTTCTCCTGCTTCTCGTTACTATCGGTTTCTTCTTGTTCCTTCGGACCGGATGCGCCGGCGGCAGGAGGAGGAGGACCAGGAGGACCCGCAGCGCCGCCATCTTCATCTCCAACATCTTTCATCGCAGCATCACCATCAGCTTCGGTTGTAGGAGCACCAGCACCACCCGCAGCGGGTTTATTTTCTTCGTTTCCGTCTTCCACATCCATCTTATTATCCTCCTTCTCACCGCCCCACTCGTTTTTCTCGAACTTCGTAGCGGCGGCTGCCGCGGCGGCGGCCCCCGGGCGGGCAATGATCACTTCGGAGCCGCTGTCGGAGGCGTCACCCCCCGCGGCCTTGGATACTACAGTCGGCTTCCTCTTGTCGTCCTTTCTCCCCCGCGAGTCGGCCTTTCGAGCAGCTGCACCCCGGTCGCGATCGCGCGACCGGTCCCGGCCGCGGCCGTATTTGTCGTCCCGGTATCGGTCTCGGTCACCGCCGCCGCGGCGATCGCGGTCGCGGTCCCGACCGTAGTCACGGTCGCGGTCACGGTCGCGGTCCCGCCGGTCCCGGCTCCGGTCTTTATCCAACCTGCCTCCGCCATCCTTGTATGCATTGCAAAAGTAGTATAAATTGCATTACAAATTAGCCCAGCATTACAAATTAAATTTGTGATGCTGATTCACCCTGAGAAAGATATTAATCATGCATAAACGCAATTACTACGAGTACGATACTTTTGCACAGGATACCTTGTCCCGCGTGCCGATGTCCCGACCGAGGTCCGCGATGCTTCTCACCTTGTCCCGAGAGTTCGTATTCACCGTCGCAGTCTGCTCGTCGTACCCGCTCCGGCCGCTGTTCCAGACAAACAGCGCCCCCGCGCCCTTCCGGAAGTGCGCCTTTCCTTCTTTCCCTGCGCCCTTCACAGTGGAGAAATCGTTCTTGGTCTCCAGCTTTCCGTGGGCGGCCTATGAATTGCGAAAATTTGGGTGGTGGTATCGTATACGTGGTTTTTCTTGTGTGAATTTTCACATCTTCACGACAGGGCTGTGAGGATGATGCTGATCTTCCGATTTCTTTGAAACGACCACACTACTTGTGTCGTACACGAACTTTTACTCACACGTTGCACAGCACAACAAACTACTGCATCATGATCCTCGCTTTAGTACAAATAGTGGTCTACGGATACGATACTATGTTTGCCGAGGCTACGGAGGGGTTGACTTTGATCTCGTTTCCCAGGGAGGTATCGCCGCTCAACTCCGTAATCGCACACTCCGCCTCCTCTTTCGTGGCGAACTTGACGAAAGCGTAGGGCGGGTTGTTGGTCCACGTGGGGTCCCGCGGGGCGCGGTTGCGCTTCACATCCACTTCCGTCACTTCCCCAACCGTGTTGAACAACGTCCACAGCTGCTCGTCCGTGACCGCGTGCGGGAGGCCGCCGACCCAGACCCACGACCCGTCTTGATGATCCTGTTCGTGAAAGGGCACCCAGGACTTGTCGCCGTCCTTTTTCCCCTTCTTGCCCTTGCCCTTCTTTCCCTTCATCTCGGGCCGGAAATCGTCGTTGTACAGGTGATTCCAGTGGTCCATTTCCACCGCCGGGGGTCCCAACCCCTGTCCCGCCGGCTTGATCCCCAAGCCGGGAATCGCAGCAGTGCCCGACGACGCACCCGGTGGCGGAATGCTTCCCGCACTGGGCAACGGCTGCAGGAAGCGCGCGGCGCCGAACCGCCCCGCGAAACTGTTGTCGGTCGCCGGTTGCTATCAACTGCAAATATGTCTGGGTCTGGAAACTTGTAATGCTGGGTTGGGAATAGTCAGTGCTCTGTAATGCACAGCCAAGCATGAGAAATATCTGCGCTGCTTAGTGTTACGCTTTCCGCATGACAAACAACGTTTTTGCGTAAGAAGCAAAAGGGTCTCTTCTGGGGCACGCATCACAAACTCTTCAGTCATGCCAGACAAGCATGGCAAACCTCGCATCCTCCCAGACCCAGACACATTTGCATTTGATAGTTGCGCCGGGGGAACCACGGCGGCATTCGCACCATTCGGAGATTCCGCGTCCGCACCCCCGTCGGCGCCTACTGCCACCGGGGACTGCCCCTCGCCCTGTTCGCCAGCTTGCTCCCCCGAAGGACCGGGTTGTTCCGGCTGGGGTGGTTCTTGCGCATCATGATCCTCCTTCTTCGGACTGGTATTATCGTTCGCACTAGTACCGTCTTGATAATTTTTCTTTTTCGGTAACGTGTAGGCGACGCCGCGGTACCCGATCTTTATCTCGGTGTTGATCGGCGCATTCTCGTCGTAGCCCCAGGCGCCCGTGATGTCGGGTTGGGAGGGGGCGGCGTTCAAAAGCTCGTTCGTTTTTACCGCCGCATTGATCCCGGCCGATTTCGGGATCGCCCCGAATTTCGGGATCGCTTTCGAAAAAGACATTCCGGTTGCTTGTAGCGATTCGGGAAATCTGAAGTGTGTACCTGCAGTTTGATTATTGCCGATGAACTACAGACGGCAACCGTTATGCAGGCAAATCAGGCATCAGGACGGCAATTGTAGAAAGCATTTATGTTTATCACATTGATGGAAATGAAAATAAAACGTTTCATCTCTACCTCGCTTGCAGAAAAGGAAAACTCAGTTCAGAGTTTGCCACCCGAATAGCCACAGTGTAGTCGTTCTTTGCGTAATCGTCTCCTCCGCTACTTAGTGTGCTTGTTCCCAAGGCAGGAAAGTGCAGCCGACGAAACTTCAACTAGATTTGGTCATAGAGGTGTTAGAGGTGAATGCTAAAGTTAAAACTGCAGGGTAAAAGTTCCCTGTGAAGAGATCAGATTCTGTAGTGCAGGTCGTACTTATGCACGTGCACCACGGAATAATTATAGCTTGATGACTTCAAGGTCGTCGAAAGATACTGATACACTGCCTGCTAGAGCAATCCCTAAAATCTATAGAGTTGCACGACCACAGGCTCCCTAATTGATTCAGTAACACTTTCCGTACTTTTGTGCGAGCTCTGCAACCAAAAATTCGAAAAAAAATGGCTACGGCGAACTTTAATATCGCAATCTTGATCTTTGATCGAAAAAAAAACGGTTAGCATGGGTACTATCAGAAGTAGGATCAATGTGCATGATATCAACTACAGAGGTAGCTAGCTACTAGAAAAATTTGCTTGTACGATCCTCTTGCGCTTGTTTGGCTTCGCTTGTTGTTTCGGAGGTTTTGCTGCATTTATTTTGTCTTCCACTTTTTGTTTTTCACGGATCAGAATAATGCTATGAAGGTTCAAGTTCAAAAGATCTCAGTTTCTTTTGCGTAGTATCGTCCGATGAAGTAGAAGTTCAGGATAAAAAGGCAAAAAGCGCTGATGAAAAGTTGAACGAACAGATGAAAATGCAAACTAGAAGAGTTTCAAGCACTACGTACAGCTGCAGAAACAAAGGTAACGCGAAACCCAGCAACTAGAACAGCAAAGCACCACATTGCCTGTGGAGCAGGAGAGTAAATGTTTCATTCTCGTCTCCAAGTTGCATGGACCGATGAATATCGCAACTTGGATGTACTTGCTCATGGAATCTCTTCTTTTTGCTTATCTATCAGAATGGTGCTTCGCTATCAGTCAACAAGGTGTAAATCGATCTCCTCTAGGCACTGTGAGTTGCATTTCTGATGTAATCTTTTTCTTTTGGCTGCAGATGACATCAGTGACATCTTGACACATAGCGCTGACGGAAGATGAGAGAGCGACATTTTCGACATTAGACTTAAAAGTCAAGTTCCAGTGTTGACCTGCTTATAACTCAGCCTTCTTCAAATCTTCGTCCTTGAAGAGCTCCTTCTTCAACGACTCGTGACTCTGCAGCCAGGGGAGGGTCTCGACCACCGGTATGCATTCGGATTCTACATTGTTGAGCTTACAGGCCTCCCGGTAATAGTTTCCGTACAGGATACGGATCACGGTGGGGCTGGTGGAGCTCAGAACACCGTTGAACGCAAGCACGTACCTGATACAGTTGTGTTTGAGAGGTTGTAAAAACTTGTCTTTGTCATGCTAAACTCCCATGGCGCAAAAATCTCTCATGCAATAAAACCACACAACCCGAAAAGTACTTTCCCGCCTCCCAGGTGTCGTGCTGAAACCTGCTGGTTACTGGGTGGTAGCTGTTGAAGATGTGCTGGGGGGCTATGCGGACTTCCGGCGTGTAAATGTTCTCCATCTCCTTGGATATCCAGTAGTTTCGTTCCTCTTCGGGAAGGGAGGAGAAGCTTCTTTGTTGCGGCGCGTTGTTCATCGCGCCGCCCAGTTGGATTCCCGCTGCTCCACCGGAGGACAGGGTGGGCCACGTTTCCAGTGATTCGTCCTCTACGAACGTGACGGGCACGTCTTTGAGGAAGTTCCTGTTTTTGTTTTTGAATGTTCAATGCGTGTTTAGGCCTCACTGAACTTTCGGTTTGATTTTGTCAAGAAAAATTTCCGCAAATGAGAGGCGGGGAGGTTAGGATGCATTTTTCGAAATAAACAACATAACCCTTCATACGTACCATGTCAACGCCGCGTTTTCCCACCAGGGGTGGTCTACCCAGGGACTGGTCTTTGCGTCCCCCCACACCGTCCGCATCAGATTGATGCTCCACTCGGACTTGCGGATGAAAAAGGTCCCGGAATTCAGCATCGCATTGTCTTCCGCAATGATCATGTGCACACTCGGGTCGAGGATGATGTCGTTGGTGTTGTGGATCTTTGCTTTCGTTTCGAATCGCGGCTGGTTGGATTTCACCTGATTGAGCTCGTCCTTCGGTATCCCGGCGTAGCGGTACAGGACGGACTCGATGGTGACAGTCATGTTCATGAAATAGGTGTCGCAATCGAACCACATCACCCACTCCGGGCCGTTCGGCTCTAAAAGTTGTTGCTCGACGAGTTTGATCTTGCCCCACGCGTGCGGCCGGTTGGGGTCTAAGCGGTTTTTCTCGACGTAGTAGCTGTAGCCGTGCTTCTTCGCATAGATCTGGTGATTTGACGTGGCGTACCTGATGTAATTTGGTGGTCTTGGTTCTTGTGTCTAAGCTTCATGCAAAGACGCACATGCACAAAAACGCGCTGCATGATGCAACGCGTTGTGCGGCGAAGGCGATCTTGAATGAGCATAACCTGTGGTCCTTGCGCGATTGATCGATCGACGCAGCTTTCTTCACGACCTTCACCTCGAGCTTTTTGTTCACCAACGTTCAGATTTCATCAATAAACCAATCCTATACCTTGGCAACACGTGGTCGTCCGGGTAGGCGCAAAGGCTGACGATTCTGATGTTGTGCTTCGGCGTGCTCCCCGCTGACACCCAGCCCGCGTCGCTCTTCGGCTGAAACGAGAGCGGGATCAACCCTGGCGCGAACCGCGGATGGATCTGGTGCCCGTTCTGAATACCGTCCTGCTTCAACACATTTTGTATGATCGTCAGTTCGTCGTTGATCTGCTGGATGGTTATCGGCCACTTACTCCCGTCAATCATGTCGGCGTCGTGTTGCGACTTCACAAACACGTGCGTGATCCAGTTCATCGCCTGGTGGAGTATCCTCAGTCCTATCTGGTACGCGCGCCTATTGTTCGTCCTCGGGTTTGCACAGTAGCTGAAGGTGAGCGTTCGGTACGCAGACGCCATACCCAAAGCGCACTCCATCCCCACTAACGGGTCGGTGTTCGCCCACTTCTGGATGTAGGTGGTCAAAACCTGCTTAGCCTGGCGGATCTCGTTCTGGTTGTACAGATTGGCGCCCATCTGCACCGCCTCATAGAGCTCTTCGAACTTTTCCGGACAATGCAGCGGGTGCGGACCGTCGATGAAGGGAATCGCGGAAACGACCGGGAGAAGGAACGAGGGTGAGTACAGCGTTGATGTAAGGAAAGTCAAAGTGGTTAGTATGGCCAGCACGAAGGCGATACCGATGAAAAATTTGAGTTTCATCTTTCCACCTGCCATCATCGTGACCCCAAAGCCGGGCTGTGCTCCTGCATTGCACCAGAGCGAATCCAACCTGCGACGTCTCCGAGAAGGAACAGCGCTTGTGCGTAAACGGTGTCGTCTGTCAGTAACCACATTCACAGCTTCTTGGCCTTTGTTTCGCCAGCTTCTACAGCTGAAGCGAGACTTCCAAGTTGTTGCGCCTGTGTAACTGTGCGAAAGACAGCCACTCTGCTGTCGTCTTCTCGTGATGTCTTCCTCGTCGTCAAATCCCATTGGTGATGACCTGGAACTAGAACTACCATAAGCTCGCCCGCCGTAGAATTCGACCCCGCTACGGTGAGGTGGGTCGGTTCCTGGATGCATCTCCATGGCTTTTTTTTATGTTTTGCGGCCACAAGGTCGCAGGGTATTATGGTTCGACTCGATCTTTTTTTTCAGCGCAACACGAAGAAGATGTGCCAGATTTTATCCGTAACCTGAACGCGATCTTCAAATTCAAAAAGCGATCACTAGATCCAAAAAAGAGTTGCGAAGGAGATCGTGCTTGAAAGCTTCCAAAAACGTAGATCCACAGAAGAAACCGCGCTGTGCGGCTCAGGAGTGCTTCTATTTTGGAACACTGTTGTCTATAGCAGTTCGTGGAGGTCGACGACACCAATATCGAGCTGAACACACCGTAGCGGAATGTCATTTGGTCTGTGCCTACGACACACGCAGCCACGCTGCCATATCTATCCACTTGGGGCCACATATCGGCCAACCTTTTTCCGGCCGCGACTGGTTGTCGCGCTTGCTCGCCCGCGACGCTGTTCCCGGACCTTCCCAACAAAGCGGCGTCATTGTTTTCCCGACAGCCCCAGTGGTTTCTCCTTTGGGTCCAACTGGCCGGCGGGCCTATGCCTGGCGCGGCGGCAGCCGCTCTCCCACGCGCCTCCCCTCCCTCGCATGCTATGGTGGCGGGCCAGTCCGCCCCCTGGCTTGGTTCTTTCTGAAAAGCCAACGGCCCCACCCGACCGGCCCCCTATAGTAACGGCCCCGGGGGCCCGCGCCCGCCGGGGGGGGCTATTACGTAGCGCCCCCGAAGGGCCGGCCGCCGCTGCCGAGAAACCCGCGCCCCGCGCCCCGAATCTCCTGAAGCTGCGCGCGCCGTCTCCGCGGCTTCCTGGCACTTGCTCAAAAGGTAGGGGCGGGCGCCTTCATCTGCTTTTTTGCATCTCGAGCGTTCGGCGCGCCCTGCTTTTATTTTCGCATCCCCCGCGAAGCCCCCCCCCGCCGTGGCCCTTGTTGGCCGGACGCTCCAGCATCGCCGAAGCTGCTGCGCAAACAAAGAGGCGCGAAACCATGCAAAGCGCCAAGCTCGGTGGTGCGGGCAGCACGCCCCAAGGCAAAACAGGGGGCCCGCCTCTTCCTCATACATGCCGCGGATGCGCAGCGGTGCCGGCGCAATGAATCTCGGAGGCCCCGGCGCGCGTTTTATTTCCCCCAACCCGCTACAGATGGGGGCCGTTAGGCTAGGGGCCATGCGCTAAAAATTCCGGGGCCTGTGGGAAAGGGAAAAAGCCAAACAACATGGCGCAAAAAGTCAAAAAGTCAAAAACTAACAGACTCGCTGCGACACGGCTCGGCCTGTCTTCCACGGTTCCGGACGATCTACAGGCAACCAGGGGGCCGCGTGCCGTTTGCGCCCGCCCTCCCCCGCGCGCCTACGGGCCCCGACGCCCGGCACTTCCACCATCATAGATCTGCACCAGTGCCATCTTGGGGGTTTGGATTCTCTCGCCGGTCTGCTGCCTGGCCCCCTGGCTGTCCCGGGGCGAGGAATCTAGCCCGCGCCCCCGCCCGGCCCCCCTGGCGCCGGCAGCGATGCGGGGCCACGCCGAAACACACGGCGCGCGCGCCCCGCCCCCGAGGGAAGGGGCCCCGCCCGGCTTTCTTGCCCGCGCCGCAACCGATGCGTGGCCGCTTGCCGTGCCTGTACGTAGGGGCCCTCTGGGGCATGGGCGCAGCGGCCGGCGCAGTGGGGGGCAGGCAGGCTGCATCGCAACAAATAGCCTCGCGCCTTCAGTCTTGGCAAACCAACGGCCCAAACGGGGCGGCGCTGCTCTCCGACGGCTGGCGCGCGTGGGCAATGTTTCGGCCCACCCAATCAGACACTCACACAGGGGGCTTGCCGGCGTCCTGCCTGCTCGAGCCTCCGCTTCACGGGCATGGGCGCCGACGAGGCTGGGGCCCTTGGCACGGCCCTGTCGGGGCCGAGGCCGAGCGCCTCCCGTTCTTCGCGCAGTGCCGTCGCTCTTTTGCGAAGTGTCCCGGCCCGCTTCTTGCGGTTGGTTGCGGCCATCATAGGCGCCCTGTCGTCTGCGTAGAAGCCCACCCGCGCGGCCCCCGCCTGCCCGCAGCCGCAACTTCTTCCCCGGAGGCGCTAGCTTGGGCAAGGAATCAACCAACAGGCCCCACGCAGCGAGCGAGGCAATTCCGCCCCGCGCTAGCCCAATGATGCAGGCGCTGCCTGTGAAGGCATTCCCGCCAAAACGCGCCGGGCTTGCGCGGCTTACCATCCAGGCGCGGACGAAGCGCCCACATGCTGGGGCGCCCCCCATTTCGCGGCACGCCTCTAAACAATTTTCCGACCTGAGCACTGTCATATGCCCCGCCGATGTCGGTGCTGATCCAGTCTATCTCCGAACACTGTTGTCTAAAGAGTTCGTGGTCGACGCCTTCTGGATCAATCTTCGTCAACAACTGTGCTACTTGTACAATGCCAGCTGTATTCTCTTCCACCCAGCTCATCTAACAGAAACCGATAAAGTTTGACCTTGAAACGCGGAAAGTCTGAAACAGATTTCATCTTCTTGTGCTCTTTTGTAAGCTGACGCTCGAACGCGTAAAAAATTTTGTCTGTTGTAAGGTTATTACCAAATTCAAAGAGAATAAGCGGTTAAACAAGTTCAAGAATAGCATTACTCCAAGTTAATGGACGCGGTAAATGGTGAAATAAATCTTGGGCAAACAAAAAGTAGGGACAAGAGAGTGTTGACAACACGGTACTAGTTCTCGCGGTTTCTCACTAAATTTTTTCGATACATGAGTAGCACAACAAGTGAACAATCACGACTATGGACATTCTGTTTCATTTCATCAATACACAAACTGCAACTTTTGCTTACTGTAGCGTCACCCCTTCCTCGTCTTCCTTCTCCCCGCCGCCGCCACCCCCGGCGCGCTTTTTCCTCGCCTCCTTAATGATGTTCTCAATGCTCTCCAATGACGTGTCGATATCGATGCCCGCGGAGGAGGACCCGTCGCTCTCGGTGTCCTCGATGTTCTGCAACAAGGACCTGGAAGCAGGAAGTGCTGCACCGCCTGCGTTGGCAAAGTTCTTACCCCTACCCGGCGCACCTGTAGTGCCTCTCGAGGACGAACTGCTACCACGACCCCCAGCAGTACTACCCCCTCCGCCAGTCGGAAACATGACGCTCTTCCCACCCACCGGCCCCGCGAAGGGATCATGCTCTTCTTCCTCATTGAGCAGGACCGTTCTTTTACTCCCAAACACTGTCCCGGAGCCCACATCCGACGACCCGTACGAGTTCAGGCCGAGAGTAGAATCCGACGACTGCAGTGGCGGCTCCTTGAAGTGTTCCTCCTCGGAAAACTGGCCACCGTCGTGGTCCTCATCGCTGCCGAAATCGTCCTCGTAAACCCCGGCCTCCTCGTCGTCGGACAACATGGAGGGCAGTTCGTTGGGGAGTTTCGGCACGGCGGGCGGGGGCACGAGGCTCCGGATGTTGGAAAAGGGGGAACCAGGTTTCTGCGCAGCGTCCGCCGCAGGCGGGATTAGAGGGCGGACCGTGGGCTGCTGGGGGGCGGCGGCTTTCGCGGAAAAATTGTTGTCAGCAGAATTATTGTTCATCATCATCATCTGGGGGTACACTGTGTTTGCTGGCGCTGCGGATTGGTAGGGCCCGAGCCCGCCGATCGGGAGGCTTGTGCTTGGTGTGGCGGTAGTGTTCATCATGCCCTCCCCAGTGTTAACATTGGAAGAAGAGGAAGCAAAAGTTGGCGGTCGCACGAGTGGCGCTGGTCCTGTATCCTCCGAATAAATAGAATTCTCTCTCGGCCTTAACGTTTCTTCCTCTGTCACACTGCTTTTCCGGTTTTTCCACTCGGACAAGTAGTTGATTTTTAGGGACGACTGAATCGCGGAGGAGTTCATGATCTCCCGAAGCGCTGCTTGGGGGGACAACTCTAGCGACGGGATGAACGCTTCGTTCAATGATGTTGTCGACGAAGGGTCATTCTGTGAAGTAGATTCTGCTCGTGTTGGACTCGTCTCGCGTTGCTCCTCTGGTGCTGGTGTTCCACCTTCTTGTTGTCCTTGGGTAGTATTCTGGTCAAACCGCTCAACCCCAGCAGCTTCGGAAGACGACGGGCCAAACAGGCTGCTGCTCACGCTCTCCTTACTGGCGGACGCGGATTGCTCGTCTTCTGGAACTTGCATACTGCCCCGGACTTCAACCTGATAATTTTACAGGCCATGTTGCTCCAAGCTGATTGTGCATGCAGAACAAACAGAAAGCATTGGCGTTTGCGTTTGCGACGAAGAGGTACAGATATTTATTCGGACAAACCCAAATAAAACTCGGAAAGCGAAAGCGTTACGAGTCAGCGACGGTGCCGTAAATAGAATAAAAAAACCCTACATCAACTGTACCTCCCCCCTCGGAGCTGCAGCTTCTTCCTCTGCCGCACCTGCCGATGCTGGTTTTTCTTCCGAGGCTTCCTCCTGTTCCGAAGACCCACCTGGTAGCGGCAGCGCGTCGCTGTGAAAATCGTCTTCGTCGTAGGATCCGGACCTACCAGACGATCGCTTGCTCTCCTCTATCAAATGCAAAAATGTCTGGGTCTGGAATAATGCCGGGTTTGTCATGCATATTTTCCATGACCCCTGAGGTCTGGCATGTAGGACAGAGCATGACAGATTCCGTGAGAGATCTATCTATCATGCCTACCCTGCATGAGAAACTGCCTCTCGACTAGGTCAAAAGTGGACAGCTTTTGGTAATCATGCAGCACAGATTTTTACATGATTCAGATTTAGCATGACAAGTTGCATTCTTCCAGACCCAGACATTTTTACAATCCATATCCTCGTGCGCTCGTCCAAACTGCGACCCCAATGTTTCGAAGTTGTCTTTTTCCGGGTCATCCGCTTTATTTGTGTACTGATGTGTATTTTGCGTGGTCTCTTCTTGTTCTCCGGCGGTGTTCAGCATGTTCAGGAAATTTGCACCGGGGGAGCCGGTTTTCGTTTGGCTTCCTCCTCTTTCAACATCATCGTTATCGTTTTCATCATTTTCACTTCTCGCCGAGGAGCTTTTAAACCCGGGGAGGTTACTCGACCCAGCGTCGGAAAACACTTCTTTGATTTTTTGCGGTTGTTGTTGTACAGGAGCGACTTGATGTTGAACTACAACCGGCTTTGTTTCCACCGCCTCCTCCTCCGCAGTCCCCGGATACTCCGCTGCGGCTTGTGGCTCCTCTTCCACAGAGGACGGGGCGTTTGAAGAGGAAAACGCTTTGCCGCCCTCCGTCCGCATCAGTGATTCATCCGCGTCGAAGTTGGTGGCCACAATGTCCGGCTCGTCATCGTCTTCTTGCTGAGAAAGTGGCGCAGCAGCTCCTGGAGGTTGCAAAAGGTTCACCAGTGGCGTTTCTTTGCTGGAATTTTTCGAAGATATGGTACCGCGATCCGTGTCGGAGTGAAACATGGGGAAATTTTGTTCGGATACGGGTTCATCTGCTTCTGCTTCCTCGCCGGGTCGTTTTGGATCTTCTGACTCGTTTTGAAGAGTACTTGGTTCTGGCCGTAGTATCTTCAAGTGGTCCGCACTGTTCTTACTCGATGATGTTCCCGGAGGTTCGCTGAAGGCTTCTACTTTATCATTTTGCTCCCCGTTCGACGCCGTTTCAAACGCGTCCTCCTCGTAATTGCTTTTTTTGTCAAAATCACCGTCGTGGTCATGCAAGTCCTCTTCTCTCTGCACCGACCCAACAACGCCCTTCTGTTCCCCAAACGTCTTCGCCCTGGTTTCGAAGCTCTGCTCACTGTCTGCGGGGCTGGGCTGTTTTACCGGAGCTGCAACGATATTTTTATCTTTGTTCGCCAATTTGATGTTCCCCCACAGTTGCTCCTCGCTTTCCGTGCCCGTGTTTGTCCCGCCCGCTGAGCCAGACACGACAATAACCTCTGACTCCACAACCGACACCACGGAACTCGGCACCTTCTTTCCCTCCGCGGCGAAAATCGGCACCGGGGAGCTCACCTGCTCCAACGAGGCACTGGACAAAGAATGGATTGACGGACCAGAATGCTGCTTTTGATCCGCGAGAGCTGCTGCTTGTTCTCTAGAAGAGGAAATCTGAAACAACTCCCGGATTCTCCCCACCTCCATCTTCTCACAGTGTGCGCGGACGAGCAAAAGCATCCACTCTCTGTCATACGCCACAGCGGATGAGGAAGACTCCACGTGGTTCAGTTGCAGCACCGCGTCGACACCGAGCCAGAAAACTGTTGAATTGATTTTCTCGCTTTCCTCCACCCTCAGCAAACTCTTCGCCGCGTCGTAGTCTAGTTCGTAGAACAGCTCGTAACAGGCCCGCTTGATCTGCTGCGAGGGATTTAGGATTTTGGCTTCGGACAAGTCACGACTACCACTAGGAACGGAACTCCCGTTAGTGTCCTCGTTGTGTGGAAAGAACATCTCCACCACCGATTCCATGTCCGCGATGCACAATAACGCCATCAGCGCCCGCCGCGTCCGCGGCTCCGGCAGGTTCTCCCCCGTGACGAGTTGTGTCGAACTGGGCAGTAACGTCTTCCGTACAGAACTCCCCCAGTTTTGAAACAATGCGATAGTCGCGAGCACCCCCTCGGCGAAGTTTTCCTGTTCGGATTTTGACCCTAATTCCGCTTCGGACAGCATCCGGGTGTTGAAGGAAGAGTTTTGTAAATTGTGCAACGCACGCAAAGTGCGGAGGAAGAAGGGGAATAACGGTTTCTCAACGTCCTGTTTCAAGGTGTATGTCCCTCCTATCGTCGCTTTGGACAATTTTTTCCACAACTTCAACTTTTTGATCGCGAGGCGGAGGGAGGCGGTGTCGCTCGCCATCGGGTTTAGCTCCAGTTGTTGCGCATTCGTTTCCTCGTCATCGGAAGAGGAGGACTTGTCCTGGTCGAGCGGGATAACTGCTTTTTTAACATCCTCTTGTTGCACAGAAACAGCCTGTTCTTCAGCAACACTCTGTGGAAAGATCGGTTTCGGTGCCGCAACGAAATCAGGCGTCGCCACGCTGACAATCGTGGTGGCGGGACTCGGTTGCGCGGTGTCGAGTTCGTCGGCTCCTGCAGCGGGCAATCGCTGGGCGAACGGAGCTGGTAGTTCTTGCGCCGGCAGGGGTAATTTCTGGGTCATCATCGCCGCGTTGTAGTTGTTGTTTTGCGCACCACCACCCAAAACTGGTCGCTTCCTTCTCGGTCGGGTGCTGAACTTGTTGGCGCTCCCCTGCTGTTGACCCCCGTTCGCTATTTTCCCGCCGTTGAGGGGCGGCGGCCCGACTTCCAGCAGCATGCGGGGCGAGGGAGATCTGGATTGGTTCGTGCGCGGGTAGAAGGAGTCTTTGTTCAGAATCTCGTCGATCACCGGATTCACGCCTTTCCACTGCTTCAGCAGCCCATTCGTCTCGGAAAAGCTCTTGTCGTGGTGCGTCTTACTTGGGAGCTTGTCCAACAGAATCTGCTCTCTGGTTTTCCGTTTCTCCTGTTTCGGCACTAATTGATAGCCCTTGTTCTGCGCCTCCATGGACAGAAACGCCGCGGTCGGCTGGTACAGGCGGGACTTCACGTGGTCATATTTAGGTCGGGGCACGTACACCCTGCCCTTCGAACGGCTTGTCATGCCGCGGTTGGAGAAGAGGGAAATCTTGCTAGCCGAGTGTAGCTGCGATGAAGACGAGGACCCGATCATGATTCTGTGTGCTGGCGCGGACCCCGGCCGCGACGAGGAACCAACTCCTCCTCGGGGCGTAGTGCGGGTGGAGCCAGGATGCTTTTGTTGATAAAAACTGTCGTTGTAAAGCGATTGTCGTGACCGCATGACGGAGATCTCCGCCACGGCTTGCTGTTCTTTGTCTAGAATCCGCTGCTTCTCCGCGATCTGCCCGTTCATGTACACCCGCGTCGTCGGACTCGGGCCCCGCTCCACGTACTGGCTGGCGTTCCAGTCCGCCTGCCGGCGCAGCGAGTTGCTCCGTTCCCGGTCGGCCCGGGCCTGCTTCTGCTGGAACCGGTCAAAGTGCTTGATCTGCTGAGCCGCGAGCGCCGACGCGGCCAGCCGCGTGCGCTCCAGCGACTGCTTCCGCTTGCTCCCGACGGAGCTCCGCACCTGCTCGTAGGCCGGGTAGGCCTTCGCGGACCCCGGGCGCGTAACGCGGTAGGTGCTAGCCGTGTTTTTCGTGGTCGTGCTGAACAGCTCGGACAAAGTCGTGCTCGCGTGATCCAGAACCCTCGCGGAGGAACTGCGCGGTCGGGAATCCTGGCTGGCAGCTCTCGCGCTCTGCGGCCGCTGTCGTGGCGCCGCGACTGGCGGAACGTTGGAATTCGAATTTGCAGTTTCGGTGCGCCGGTCTTCCCTCCCCCGCGGCCCGGCCGTCGCAGGACGCGGCCTCGTAACGAGCGGAGGTGCTCCACCAGTGGATATTGCGTTTCGGTTACTATTTGTGTGCATGTTTGTGTAGACGAACTGGCTCGCAGAGCTGACGGTGTTGTCGTTGTAGTAAAATTCTTGCTCCTCCGAGTCCGAGTCTTCCTCCAAAGCGGTCGAAACGTACGACATCCGTTGCGACACCGACGCGGTAGTAGAGAGGCCACCATTTCTACTCCTCGTCGTTCGATTCGCGCTTGCAGAGTTTGATGTCGCGCGTTTGTGATAATTCGAAGCTGCTGTTGTAGCTCCCTTGGTCGGAGGTCTATGCTGCCCACCACCGCCACTTCGCCCGACCGGTTGCTTTCGCAGATGCTGCGCCGCTGCGGGAAAACTTCCCCGACCGCCAAAATCCTCCGGACTTGCTGCTGTCGTGGTTCCGCCGTAACTGTAATCGTGCTCCACCCCGGAAAAGCTGGTGGAGTCGTTCTCGTCGTAGTACTGTTCGTCGCTGCTGCTGTTGTTCGCGCCCTCTCCTCCACGTCCTCCACTGCCTGCCGACAGTAAAAACCCCGGGAGACTCATCGGCGGCAGCATCTTCGCGGGATTGCGCTCGATCGCGGCCAGCAGGCGGAAATTCCCCTCTACCCGCTTCCGCCACTCCGTCTCCGCTAGTCGCAGTTCCTCCAGCGAGTGCTCCAGCTCGGTTTCGTTCCGCTTCAAACGGATGCAGGTCTGGTACCGTTCCTGTTCGATCATTTGCAATAGCTCGTTCCGCAACCGCGATCGGTGCCCGGACAACGCGCCGTGGCGGCGCGAGAATTCTTCCCGGGCAATCTTGAGTCCCATCAGCTCGCGGTGCTTCTGCAGCGCCGGTTCAAACTGCTCGTTCTGCACAAAAAACTGCTTCTCTCTCTCCAACTTGTCCGCCATATTGATCCAGAACCGGCTCATCTCAATGCCGTGCTGCGAGTCATCCAGCTGTTGTGCAGCTCCTTCGGCTGAGGATGTTGATGAAGCTTGTTGTCGTTTAAAATTTTCCTGTTCTTCTTGTCGTGGCTGCAGGAGCATCTCCTCTTCGCTACTGAGTTTGAACATTTCGTCGAGGTGCGTCATGGGTCCGAAACTCGGCCCCCGGTTCGGAATCGGAGGACCCGGGTCTACGTCGTGATAGTTTTGTTGATTCGGATAACTCCGCGCACCAGGATTAGAAATGTCCGGACTGAGACGGTCCATCCCCTCTCTGGCTCGGTTCTCCTGCTCCGCTTCTTCTGCAGAGACCGGAAAACGTCCGGTCAGCCGCCGTTGCCGCACCGCGTCGATCACCCCGCCGGCAGGACGATGTGGAGACGAGTTATAATTCGTGCTTGTCGTCAACATCGGTGGGAGCTGTTGTTGACCGTGTTGTTGCTGTGGTTGATGCATTTGATGCATATTACGAGTAGTAGAACTACTGCTCGTGTTCGTGTTCATGTAGGCATTTGGGTACAGGATCTTATTTCCGGACGACGAGGGAACACCTTCACCTGATGAAGCGACAGCACCTGCTGCAGCGTCGTGTTGTGGATAATTATTGCTGTATGATCCGAAACCGCCACTGTCCCTGTCGCTGTTTCGTAGAGGGTAGGAGACGTCTTCATAGCGACCAGGAGCACCGTTGCCTCTGGAGAAGTTATTTTCCATGCCGAAGCGGTGCATGTGACCGGACTCCGACCCCGCCGCTAGCCGTACCCGCTCGGAGAAGGTGTCGTTATTTTCGCCCCTTTGATTCGTGTTCATGGTCGTCGACGTGTTGCTCTCGAAGTCGTCCGAGTAGGTCTCGTGCTCGGAAGATTGCGTTTCAGGACCAGGCGGCCCAACGAGGTCCGCGTTCTGGTCCGAGTAGAACAGCGTGGCCGCTCCTGTCGAAGCGGTAGTAGTTCTGCTCATACCTCCGAGGACTACGCCCGGTGGCTTTTTCTGCAGCAAACCACCCTTGACAGAATTCGAATTCGATCGAATGTTCTTCGGCTTGCTGCTCGAACTACTCGAAGTGCTCGTCGCAGCTTGTTGCTCGAATTTCTCGGCATTGCGATTTCTCGTCGGACTAGGCATCGCGTCCATGTAGTTCATGCGGTGGGACGGAGACCCGCAGCCGGTCAGATCCGGCTCCTCCGGAACGGTGCTCAGCATGAGGTTCTGGTGTTCCTTGGCGGGTGGACCTCGCTGGTCAGGATTTTCATTATCTCCGTCGAAGTTTAGGCGGAGCAGGTGGTTCGCCCCACGCGCACCGGGGCCGCGGGAACCCCGGAACATTCTGTTTCTGTAGTGTTCTTTTTCGCAAAAATCTTATTCTTCTTTGCAAAGTGCTGTACAACTGTCGCGACAGACACCTCCAAAGGTCCTCGGTACTAGTCGGCAACACGTAGAAGTAGTTCTTTGCTCGTCCGACTTAATCATACTTTTTCCATTCGCTCTTCTTGGTCAATCGATCTTGAATTCGGACAGGTAAAGCAACTACGCGCTGCTTTACTTCTATCTAGCTTCTTGAAACGAGCAGGTGGACAGCTACCAGCAGGGAAAAGAGGACAAAGCAGAGTCGCTTTCGCTCCTCTCTCGAATACGAATAGATACGAATGCGCTCGCGACCCATCAGGCGGAAACGAGTCCGGACAAGTCTCCGTCACTCAGGAGTTTCATCCAGAAAAATTCCGCTACGAATGACATCTTTACGTGATACAGACGCGCAACGAACAACTCTGTCGCCGTGATGTGTTCATTTTTTCTTTACCCTGCTGAAAGATCTACGGCTGGAATAAACTCCTCTTCTACACCAGCTGTGAGCCTAATCAAAATTTCAACTGGAATGTATGCACGCACGCTCTCGGTTAAATTTTATTGCAACTGCCATTCAACTTCTTCTTCTTGTCACTGCATTATTTACAAATCACGAGCAAGAACGTGCGACCAAGCCTGCGATCGGTATTTGAAACTGCTCTACTTTTTCGAATTTTCGTCTTCATCTACTTCATACATTACATTATTCCTCGGGTAAACTACAATAAAGCTGAAATCCAAAATGTGTTGTTTATCCTTTTTCGTACCACGGTACAAGGTTTTTCGCTACTCATCTGCTTCTTCTACTGTTCCACCAGGACTACGGCGTCCTGCGCCGCGGTCGCTGGACTCGTTCCTCCAGCCTCATCTCCCACCTCCCCGACCACACTCGCTCCCAAAGGCCCCGCTCGTGCTTCTACATCTACAGATTGGTTGAGCTGCTGAAACCGATTTATTTCCTCTTTCAGCAGATTATGCTCGTCAGCCCCATTGATCAAATTCTCCTCCCCTCTCCGTCGTATTTCCCGGCCCGCTTCGTCACTCGGCTCCTTGAACCACTCCAGATGCTCATCGCAAACTGCAGGGTCGATTATCAAATGTAAAAATGTCTGGGTCTGGAAGAATGCGCGATTTGTCATGCAGCTTTTCAATGACCCATGAAGCCTGGAATGCAGGACCTAGCATGACAGATTCCGCGCAATCTCTCTCATGCCTATCCTGCATGAGAAACTCCCTCCCGACTTGGTCAAAACTGGACGACTTTTGGTAATCATGCAACACAGATTTTTGCATGCTTCAGATTTACCATGAGAAGTTCCATTCTTCCAGACCCAGACATTTTTACATTTGATATCGATGCGTTCCGGCGTAATGTAATCGGAGTAAAAACCACAGGGCGGTAGGCGCCCCGCCCAATAGTACCAGTACATTTTGCTCACTTTCGTGGCCGTTGGGACGAACAGGGATCGGAGCTCGAAAGCGGACGAACGCCAATCCTCGGCAATGCGTCTGTCATCCAGCATGGGCCGGACGGACGCGACAAAGGGCAACGAAAAGGAAAACAGCATGCAGAGCAGCTCAAACACGAAAACCGTCCGCGGCAGCCACAGGTTGGTTCCCGCACGTCGCACCAAAGGTCCGAAGGACTTGGGATTTATTCATTGCAAATATGTGGTCTGGGTCTACTGGAAGAGTCACGCTAGGCCTGATCATCGACACGACAAAAGTCTGTATTGAAGATTGCATGACCAGCAAAAGCGCCCAAAAATTCTGGTGATACCAGAAGGTAACATTTCTCACGCGGAGTAAGAATTGAGGACCCTTAATATCAAAACTTCTGATGCCAAAGCCGCACGCCAGATCTTCTGCTCTGGGAGGTCATGCGTAAGCTGCGTGACAAATTTCGACTTTTTCACCAGACCCAGATAGATATCTGCGCTTGATAGAATCCAAGACTTGCGGCTCTTCCAGCCCTTCCGACTTCTCTACGCCGTCCTGGTCTAAGCCACTGTTGCTCGCTAATAGCTTGACGCGACGTGCTTCTTTTTTCGCGCGGTCTGACTTGAATTTGAGTGTGACCGCCAACCCCAGAAAGCCAGCAGCGAAAACCCAGGAGAAAACCAGCCAGAGGCCTCGCGCAAAGTAGTACTTTGGGTGGTGGAACAGACGCAGATCGGCGGGTCCGCAGACGAAAAACTGGAAGTAGAATTGCAAACGCAATTCTTCCTGCCTCTCCGTCGAGAACCCGAACAGGGCCGCGCCGATGTCGATGCCCTCGCCGATGCACAATTGGTAGCTCTCAAAGAAGACGATGGCCAGGATCGCAATCGGGGCGGCCGCGCGGTGCATGAAGATCAACCATTTTTTATTACAATGAAAAATGCCCCCACCCCCGAACTACTTGAAAGCATTTGTATTGCAAATCTTTCCAAATGAAACATTCGCCCTCTTGCGTGTATCAGCATCACAGATTTCCGATCGTGAATAGCAAAAATTTGTATTGCAAAAGATCCCAGCAAGAGCGGTGCTTGTCATGCAAGCGATGCGAAACACGACTAGAATCTGCATCAGAGAGATTCTTACTCCTTTCATGCATGACAAAAAGCTTTCATTTGGAAACTTCGCATCACAAATTGTTGCAATTTCAGGGGTGGGGGGCATTTTTCACTGTGATATTTTTGGGTCCGTGTTTTGTGCGACTTCTGTGCGTGCTGCGTCTTTTCTGCGTTTATGGATTGTAAAAATGTCTGGGTCTGGAAGGTTGGAACTTGTAATGCTAGCTTTCCATACCTAGAAATTCTGTATTGCATAACCAACAAAAGCCGCAGCCTCTTTTGTGATGCAAAAACGCAGCCTCTCATGCGGATTGCCTATGAGAAAGCGATATGGGAAGTTGTCATGCCGGACTGTATTCGGAAGTGTTTTCATCATGGACATTTTAGCATCACAAGTTTCCAGACCCAGACATTTTTACAGTTGATAGCGTTCGAGGTGGAACTACCGGTTTTGGTGGACTGGGCTGTTGCGCGATCCAAGGCAAGATCCTCCTCGTCGTCGTGGTCGTAGGTCGTGGAGGGGGCGGCCGCGACCAGAATCAGACAGAAGTTCGGCACCAGCAGCCAGAGCATGCGCAGCAGCACCCGCAACGGCGCCTCCGAGTCGGGTAACCCCATGGCGAAGGCCAGCTGGTCATTCCGGCTTTCGTACACGTTGTCACTGGCGGTGCACCAGTATAGCGGGCACAGAATCTTATTTTTTCAGAAATTAAAAAAAAAACGTTCAAGATATTTTTTGCCGCAGCTTGTGTACATGCATTACAGATTATGTTTTTCTATCACAAAAGAAGGAGCAATCTTGGTAGTTAGTTAACTAGCTAAAGAGAAGTCCCCGCGCCAGCTTCCGCGACCTGTTGCTGCGCGGATTCGGGCGAATCCGCAGAGCTGCATCTCCGCCTATGCCGTCGGTGGACTTCTCTTTAGCTAGTTAAACATACCTACCTTGTTGCTCCTCGATAGAAAACTAACTAGGTTTTGCATAGCGTAGCAAGGCGTTTAAGCCTAAAAAATACCTTGAACGTTTTTTTCTTTTTAATTATCGAAAAAATAAGATTCTGTGCCCGCTATAACCAGGTTTGGTGCACCTTGAAAGTGTATCGGCTGAAAATCGCCATCACCGAATACACCACCAAGCAGGCCGTCCAAATTTTCCCCTCGGCCGACCCGTGCACTTGCGTGATCGAGGACAAGGTTCCTTGCAAGACAAAGTCGTACGGCAGGAGGTAGTACAAATGTTCTTCCACCTCATTCGCCGCCGGCGTAGTGCCACCTGCTTCATTTTCTTGTCCCGCAGTGAAATGGTGAAGACCCTCGTCTTGAAGATGTTCATCCGTGCTACTGTCGTCCATTTTCACAAAGCCCCCACCGGCCTCGTGGTACACGCGCGTCGGGTTAAACACCAGACTTATGGGGAGACAAATCCCGATGAGCACGGCCAGGTACCCGACGGAGAGAAACACGAGCGCGATGGTGAAATCCTGCTATCAAATGTAAAAATGTCTGGATCTGGAAGAGCCGTGCTGTTTTTGCATGACACAGAAGGTCTGGCATGGAAGCTCCAGCATCACAGGTTTCGAGAAGCTTCCGCAATGCCGAATCCGCATGACAAGTCCCCCACTTTGGTGACAGAAAGCAGGCGCCTTTTGCTACCAATGCATGAGAGATTTTTCTGTCTTCTGAAATGCGCATCACAAGTTTGTATTCTTCCAAACCCAGACATATTTGCAATTCATACCTGCTGGATCAGGTCGATCTCGTGGCCAAACATGGTCTGCACCATAAACTTATGCATTGCAAAAATGTCTGGGTCTGGATGAGTGGAACTTGTAATGCTGTCTGCGAATTCTAAAAACATCTGTGTTGCATGAGCAACAAGAGGAGTCCAGTTCCTGGCACGCGGAGAGTAGAGCATTTCTCATGCGTGATACGCATCAAGAAGCTCTCAAAAAATCTGTGATGCTAGGACCTGCATCACTAATCTCACGGATCATGCAAAACGTGCATGACAAACCCCGACTCTTCCAGACCCAGACATATTTGCAGTGGATAAAACTCGCTCGTTACGTCCACGTTCCGCACATTGTAGAACCGGGAATCCGTCATTTTCCGGTACTGCGCCTCGACCGCTTCCGCCTTCTTCCGTCGTGCGATCTCGGCTTCGTGCTCCCACTCCAATTTTTGAAACCGCGCCTCCATGCGCCCCATCTGTTCAACCAGGGAAGCTGCTGTGGTCGACACGGGTTGTTCTACATCGGGAAGAAGATTTTTATCCAGCGCTTGTTGCTGTTGTGCGGAGGCTTTCGGTTCTCGTTCTCCTGCGATCGCGATTGGGATTGCTCCGCTGTCGGTCGTGTTTATGTTTTTCCCGCTTGTTCCCTCTCCATCACCTGTTGTAACAAGAGGCAAATCAAGCGCAAAAATCTCTCGACTGTCAATTCCATGAATAATAAATGCAGCCGACATTATATCAAATGGTAACCACATCATGGTGCGATCAGCAGACTGGCCATGTGGTGCAAAAAAAAATGTTTGCCTCCAAATTTTTCTTTTCGTACTTACCTCCCACTTGTTCATCAGCACCTGTTTGCTCCTGCCCTGCCGGTCGAACGGCTGCATCTTGTGCGGGATGCGCCATAATTTCGACATGCTCTTCTTCGTGCGGGCTGCTGCTCACCAACCTTTCCTCGTCCATCTCGTCCACTGCGTGTGCGTCCTCGCTCGCAATTGGATGATCCGCCCCGTCCCGCACCGCGGCTTGTTCGATGTCCGCACCCGCGGCCGTCTTGTGATCTTCCAGAAACGCGGTGGAGGACAAGGAGCCAAGCTCTACTGATGGAAAAGTAGCAACACGAGCGTCGGCTGCGGTGCTCCGCCAATTCTTGTCCTGCTCGTGCTCCCCTGATTCGGAGATGGAAAAGGTTGCTGGCACAATTCTAATTGCACCACCATTCGCCACACCTCCCGGATTGCCTGCAGATGTTATTTCCTGATCCGTCAAACCAGCACCAGCTCGGTGAAGCCCTCCGCGCAAAGCACTATGATGCGTACGTCGCGGCACCGAGGAAGGCGTGTCATGCAGGCCCACGCCGGCCTTCATTTCGTCCGGGGTTCTTTCATCAGCATCAGCATTCCTCGCGGAAGAAGTAGACACAGTTTCGCGCCCCAAACTGGTTGTAGTGCTGCAGCTGCCTGCAAAAAGAAGGAGCAGCAGGGGCTTCCCCGCGCCAATCGAATTGCGATTTTTGCGCATTATACAAGCATGTTCTTTCTCTGAATTTTCAGGCTTATCCTCAAAGCTTATTCAGTCCTCAGGGTGTTTTTGTAGTTTCTATATCGATTTTGTAGCCCCAATATTCATCATCAGCGACAGCTTTAGATCAGATCCCACTTTCGTCTGAAGTAGAACGAAGAAGCGTATTTTTTCCCGTTTCTACTCTTCTTTGACGGTGGGCATTGTGCTGGTCAGAAGCTCGTACGCATGCGCGTTACCAAAAATTCTATTTAGAGGACACATCCGCCCCCCCATTCGGGATCAAACGGACATGTCTGGAACGTGGTAGTAGGGACCCACTATTGAGCTGAGCATCTTGATGTAATTGTACCCGAAGACGACTTCGATTGCACCCTTGCTGCTGCCCACGAAAATTTTTGGGGAAAGAACGATCTCGCGAGATCAACTTTCCACGGCGAGCACGATACACATACACTGTTCGTCCTGTTGTGCAACAAAAACAAACAGTATAAGCGACAAGAACTACCTCCCGAGTGTGCAGTTTTATTTTGACTCAATAACAACAGCCTCTACTCTGGCTACGATCTTGTAATGTAGCCAGGCTCAGTTGTGAAACCAAAACGAAAATTTTTTAAGGACGACCTCGGAGACTGGTTAGGTAGACAACATCAAGGTTGTTGTATCACCGACAATGATATCATGGCATCATCAACACAAGGTAGCAAAATGAAAATCAGCGATTGCGTTTTGGTCTTCCGCATTGAGCTAGAGCTGCTGCTGCGCTCTCCTCGAAAATAAAAACAGGCATCGACATTATACAAAACGCTTCTTTGTCAACATCTTTCAGAGCATTTGAAATGCTCTTTCAGGGAGAACCACGGCGAATCAATTTCATCATAAATATTTCTTGGAAATTATACGACACAGATGCGGATGCAGCAGAAGTCTGGGACGAGACAGACTACCAGCACAGCTGCAAGAACCCATCCGATTGATTTACTTACGACAGCGCCCCGCGGAGCTCGGGATCGTTGTAGTCAAACTCAGAGTCAAAATCTTCCCGGGCCTCTCGCGCCGCTGCGTCTACATCCACATCCCGTTTGTACAGATCGGTGCTGCGGCCGAAAAACGCCATGCAGCAGCAGATGGCGAAAAAGCAGCACATCGGGTGCTTGGTTAGTCCGGACACGTCGTAGGGCTTGCGCTGTCTCCCCTCAGCATTCGTGGCCGGCACGCCCAGCGTTTCCCCCTCCCGCATCTGCTGTCGCTTCTTTGCGTAGGTGCGACCGCTCGCAGCCAGGGCGGCGAAAAGTGCGGGGCCCATATTGTGATAGAGATACTAGAGGCCACTTCGATAGTACAAACAAGCACTCGAACTCTGGCGCTTCTTAAATTTTTGCAGGATAATCTAGAAGCGACTGCTCCGAACAAATTTCGCTTTGGCTAGTATTGCTACAGGACCAGGACAAGAAGGTAAAGGCTTACTTGAGGAATAAAGCAAATCTACCTTGCTAGGCGGCCGCATTGCAGTTTCTGTCGCCCCGCGAGGCGGCAGGAGGTAGAACGTGCTGTCACAATAGGAATATTGATCGCGGTGCTGTCATTTATCCGACGTTGCACACACATGAACACCGAAGAGTCAGAAGCATTCATGGTTATTTTTCTATGGTTTTGCGTACAAAGGCATTGAACGACCAGGGGACAACTTCATAATTATGAGGAAAGGATTCAATGGAGAGAGGCTGTGCGAGAGGATTGATGGATGCACACGAACGACATAATTGTTTTGCTGTGATCGGCTGTGTATCGACTTAAACTTATCATGTATCCATAATGCTACTTACATTTCCCCCCCCCCCGCCCGTAGAAGTTGTCCTCAATCTCATTGCTTGCTGACGCAAATAGACTACTTACAAGATTCTTGCCCACCAGAACTCGGGAAGTTTGACTCCTATGTATTAAACATGCCAAGCAAATAAATGAGACCGATTGCAGTAAGTACCGAAAAAAAACCGGACCCATGGACGCAAACATGGATTTTCGAGATCGTGAAGAGTTGTCGAAACATTTTCCGTGCTTCAGCTTGAGCGAATGCAGAAGGTGAAAAATGAAATTACATACTCGAGCACCGAGGAAAGTTGTACACTCATGGCGAACAATCTGTTGGCTCTGGCTGTTGCACGGCATATTTTATTCCCTGCAACACCTACAGTCGCGTGAGGAGAGCAGCGGAGTTTTCTTGCGTTTTTTTCAAAAACATCATTCGCGGGTCGAAGTACTTATCTACAGTCGTAAATGACGTGCGTTTTGTCAAAATGGGTTCTGATATAATTGTTCTGCGTAGAAAAAATCACGACCCAATATTTCTGCTACATTAGATAACAGAAACAGTGAACTGCATTGGCGTGGTCAGTGGGAAGTTCTTCGTTGAAACATACGTGTGTCACTAGTACCGTACGCGGCTGCGTACTCTGTACGTGTACTGTTGAGTTCGGTACTAACTTTCGCCCTTTGTTAGTGGCTCGAAAAACCTGGTAGGTGTCGCTGATATAATTGTGGCTCCTGCAAATTCTTTTCGTTCACCGTCTTGTACTTTCTCTCTGTCTGGTGCCACTAGGACGGGAGAAAATTATAACGGACACAAAAAAAAAAACGCATAAAGTGACAACTCGTCGTCCGGAGTTGTATCTAGTAGTGCTGATCAGGTGATACATAGTACTAGCGATAGTATATCACAAGTCCAGCGCCTACCTGTCGATTTTTTCGTCTGAATACCTGGATACGCTACCAGCGCGGATGGTGCTTCAGATCTTGAGGCACAATGACCCAAAAGACCGCCTCAATCTCCCAAGACTCCACTCGCTATACGTATCTTGTGATAATTTTCGTGAATCTAAATCAATCTTAAGGTGGTGCGCGCGCGCTATTCTTTTTACCGTGATCTATTCTATTTCAATCTCTCGCTAGGCGTAGTTAAAGGTCTGAAATCCTTTTCTTTCTTCGGTGCTCTTGGGAGCAGGTGTCTTGTGCATCCGGCGTTCTTCTTACTTCCATAATCGTTAACAACAGCAGCTTCGTCTACTACTGCTGGTGTTACCTTAATCAATCCTGCTTTCAGTATAAACGATCTCATCCGCCTCCTCTGCTACGCCTTCAAGTTAAAATTGTCTTCTGTGCGGTTACATCAGTACGTAATAAACTTTGTAGATAGTCTAGACCAAACTAGTGAAACGATAGTATAGACTTTAAAGATGACTGTGTGTGATTTTTTTATTGCGATTTTTCTCATATAATCCGGCTCCTTGATCATGCGGAAACACGGTTCAGTTCTCAATCGATGCTTTTCAACGACTCCGCTGTGCTTATCCCGGCGTCTAGTAGGGTCCTGGCCGCGCCGCGGCCTGGGCAGCGTACTGCTGCGCGTAAGCTGCTGCGTTGGGATCAGCGGCCGCGGCGTAGTACTGTGCGTACTGAGCCTGGGGGGCGGCAGCCGCAGCTGCGTAGTACTGCTGATAGGCGGCTGTTTTGGATGTTTGTTTTATAGACATGAATGATGCAAGATTTTGATCTTTATGCCTTCATGTGCTTGCTACTTCGACTTCCAGAAAAAATCAAACAGGAAATAACACATGAAATTTAGCAGTCGTGCTTTCTACCTGCAGTTGCGGCAGCTTGTTGCCCAGTGGGGTCGAGAACATTATAAATACCTGCTGCATAGTTTGGGTCCATGGCGGTCATATCGTAGGCCGGGTAAGCGGGTGCTGCGTACCCATACGCGGCGGGGGTCGCACCGTAGCCATAAGCTGATGTTGTTATTTGTGGTTTATTGTTTCAACAGTCGTTGAAATTCAAATTCCAGAAGGATTGTCTTTATAATTTTTTGCAGCTCTTTTCGCTCGCTTGTTCTATCATCATCATCATCATGGGTAAAGTACACAATGTTTTTGCCGCTTCCCAAAAATTCGAATTACCCATCCGCTGGAGAAGATGTAAGGCAAATAAAAGTTGTCACTTCCAATACCTGCTCCATACGCGCCCATTGCTGCCTGGCCGTACTGCGCCGCGCCATAGCCACCACCGGACCGGTCGTGCTGATTCGTCGCTCTCTTGCAGTCGATGTATTTGCCGTCAATGTAGTGCCGCTCCTTGTCCTGCAGGCACGCATACATAGCCTGCTCGCTTGCGAACGTTACATACCCGAAGCCTCGTGGTTTTGCTGTGATAGTTCATTTTAGGGATGAATTTTTTTTGTATGTGTACAACTAGCAAGACAAACACTAATGTGTCGTGTGTTCTTCCATTTTATGCATCACAAGTTTGATTTTACGGTGAAAAAAACTTTTTTCTTCGCGACGATAAGTTAGCAATATACTTGTCTCTCTGTCGTACATCGCGATGCAGTCCTTTACTGGTCCATACTGCGCGGACAGCAGCGGGCCTCGGCATAGTCGCCGCAAGATAGCGGCAACATGCCCCGAGTGGATATTAATTTACGGCCGCGACTTTGGCAGCTGCCTACTTGTGCTTGCGCCTGCGTGTCTGTTTATAGTTGGCGCGCGGACCCTTCCTTCACCGCCTTGGCACACCGAAGAAGAAAAATGGCTGGCGCGGGGAAAAAAAGGGCCCGTGGACGTTCCCGCGCGGGCGTTGGAGGAGCGGGGGGCGCACCTGCGGGCACGCATGCGCCGCGAGGGCAACAAGGGGCGGCCCGGGGCCTGCCGGGGTGGCAGTCACACGGCGGGAAACCTGGGGGCGGTGGAGGTTGTTCGCTAGCTCGCTCCCCGAGGGCGGGGCGGGGCGGCTAGGTCTTTGCCGGCAGGGCGCTGGGGGTATTGGAAGGCGGACCCTATATGTGCTATCAGGAGCAGGAGCAAGAGGCCCTACCAGCAGGGGCAAGAAGCAAGTTCTATCCGGCGCAGGATGTGCATGCGCCTGCCGAGGCGAGATTGTATTGCGATGGACAAGAGGCGCTAGTACTACAAGGAGCAAGAAGTCCTACCAGGGGCAAGACGTATGCGCAGGGGCAAGATGTGCTGCGAGGGGCAAGATGCACGGCGAGGGGCAAGATGTACTGCAAGGGGCAAGGTGTACTGTGAGGGGCAAGATGTACTGCGAAGGGCAAGATGTACTGCGAGGGGCAGGATCTATTGCGAGGGGCGGGATGTACTGTGAGGGGCAAGATGTATTGCGGGGGACAAGATGTACCGCGAGGGGCAAGACCTAGCGCACAGGGTAGGTAAGAAAAGCTGCCAGGGCTAAGAGGCAGGCGCCAGCACGCAGGGGAAAGAGGTGCCACCAGGAGCTTTCGCAGGCACGGCCAACATGGCGGCCAAGCATCTGGTGGCCAAGCAGGGGATGAAAGTGCTGGCCACCGTGCTGCACCGCCACCAAGCATCCACGGCTTGGCTACAGCTTAAGCCGTAGAATTTGTCGGAAATATTTTCGCAGTAGCATGCACTTTAAGAAAAAAAGCGGAGACACACTGGAAAAGTTCTAGAGCTCGCGCTCCAGAAAAGCTTCAGCTTTTGCCGTAGTAGCGTGGTGATTCAGTGTGTGCACAGACGTCTCGTTTGTCGTGGTTTTTGGTCGTTTCCTACGGCTCGACCTTTATCTTTTGAGTCTCTGCCGTGCGTATTAGCCAATATGAAAAGAACCAGTTTGAAAAGCCCTAGGGGTTTGCCCCAGGTTTGCTCCAGGTTGAGCCGCAATCTCTAATGCTGTTTAAGGGTCTCAGAACTTTCCTCTACAGCCTTTGAGTCAAGTTCGTATCATTCTATAGACTATAAAACTATACTTGTCTCTCTGTCGTACATCGCGATGCAGTCCTTTACTGGTCCATACTGCGAAAAAAATTGGTTCATGGTCTCGTTGTTGGCCGAGGGTGGCAACCCGCCCACGAAGATCTTGTTCGTGCAGTCCTGGTGCCCGCCCTTGCCCTGGCCTGGTGGGTAGTAACCACCGTACCCTCCCTTGCCGTACCCACCCTTACCGTCCTTGCCGTCTTTCCTGTGTTTTGGGGATTTTTTTTCGGTAGATGATGGGTTTTTTATAAAAATTCGGCGGACGCAGAAGAAGAGTGTGCGATAAAAACACGCGTCGTCCTGTTATCTCCTTGCGGAGTCATCATTCGGATCATTCTCACTTCTGAACGGTATGGCTATCCTTATCAGGATTACCGTACGTGGTATGAAAATTCGAAAACAATTCTGTACCCTTTCCCTTGCTTCCCCACCGGTGCGTTGTTGGCTGATGACTTGACTACCACTTGTGTGCCGTTAATCATGTGTGGCTTGCGCATCACATCGTAGGCTTGCTTCGGCTCTGAAAACTGCACGAAACCAAACCCCTCTGTTTTAGGTTTTGATCTTCGTCTTTCAACAGATATATTGAAATTTCTGTCAGTACCACATTGCATTTATTAATTTTGTGGCCCATTCCCACATTTTCTTGTGACACTGAGAAGAACAACTTGGTTCGTTTCTATAGGATATCCCTTATTTCTTCATCACGGCGGGACGATCATAGTACAACTTTACTCAATTTCTTCCACCAGGACCTAATAGAACAAATACTTCTCAAATTCTAAAACACACCAACTCGCCGTCGTGCCCGGCGTCCAAATAAGAGATGAAGTAAAAATTTCTATACTGCTTTTCTGGGTGCCGTGGTCCATCATCACCGTTGCGCTGAGCACTTCGCCGAGACTGGAGAAGTATTCCTTGAGCATGTCGTTGGTCATGCTTTCGCCGAGGTCGCCAATGTAGAGCTTGCCTTCCGTGGGGAAGTGCTGTCCCCGGGGCATTTGTGCCACCTTCACGTCGATCTTCTTGCCATTTATCTCCACGTGCGGACATATGATGGCCGCCGCAAATTCGGGCTCGGTTTTGTAGCTGACGAATCCAAACTTTCTGCTGACTCCGTCGCGCATCATCACCACAGCAGAATTCACTTCGCCAAATTCGGAAAATTTTGACCTCAAGTCCTCGTCCTTCACCTGCGAAATTTGGAGTTGTGGGTCGCGACTTTTACATACACAAAGTACTGCTTCTACTGGCAGGAATGCAAGCCAAGCATTACAAGTTCCGACTTTGTCCCGGACCTAGACGCCGAGACGATATTTGTAGTATTTGCAATCATGCATTTTATTTTTTGAAGGCACAAATGATAAGCACTGCACTATACTGATTCTTCCAGCCCTCCGATGAACAATTTCCATTCTGGGTTCTCGTCTTTGTCAGATTCTGTTGGCTTGATTTCGATTTGCTTGCCAGCCAGCATGTGCGGCTCGGTCTTGCCGAGGCACCTCTGCGCCGCTTCCACCTCCACAAAGGTGACAAAACCAAAGCCACGTGAGTTCTTCGTTAGCCTATCGAGCATGATCACCTGATTTGTATTTTCATTGAGTAGGTCTAGGCGGGGGTGAGTTTATTTTTTCGTTTTCGAAGTAGGAGGTCGAGGTGCTGGCGAATGAGTAGTTCTAAATTTTGATCATCGATCTTCAACCTGCTCGCATGGTAAATAAAAATCATAATACCGCGTCCTTGACTTCGCCGAACTCTGCCGCATAGGACTGCAGCTCCTCTTTGGTTGCCTGCAACGGCAGGCCACCCACGAAAACTTTGCTCGCTTCGTTCGACATCGTCGTGATAGATAATTTGGTAAAAATAGAAGTAAATCAAGTGGAAAAATAAAAAACCCCGCGACCGCTACTTACCATGGACGAGATATTAAAGTTGTAGGTACTTACAAGAAAGAGATTTATAAGGCGTGAAGTGTGTAGGAATAACAGATAAGCGATCGTCGCGTCGTGCCGTCGGGGTGGATAATATCGATTTAGAGTTACAGTCGTTTGTAGATGAAAAATTGTCTTTTTGAAGTGGTCGCGAAGATAATAATGGAACAAAAACTTGCGTCGTCAAGTGCATTTACGTAGAACAATACTTTTGGCGTGTCAAGCTTACACTACAGAGCTGTACTGAAACTATGGTTTTGACAAGTTCACTTTGGTCGAGGAAATCATGAAAAGCGCAAGAATCAAAAATTATGAGGTGGATCGAAAATCTTCAGTGAGAAGAGGCAAGGCTACTGAACATTTACAGAACCCAGGACCCTTGAATAAATACTTGGCCTCGCTGATATTTTATGAACTGGCTCTCGAGAAATAATTTCATATGAACCTCAAATCGGATGTTGTCTTCCATCAAAACATTTTGGGAACAAGAAAGTGCCAGCAGTAAACAGACTAGATCGACGATCACCTTAATCACCGGCACGGAAAAGTACAAAGTGGCAAACTCTTCTACCAAAGTACGAACTTAAAGCGGTCCTACTGTGCGGAGCAACATCTACGCGAAGGAATGGATTGATCTTTCTTCTGGTCGTCCGCTCTTGATGATCTTATGTGCATGTTGTTGAGTGATGCAAAAAAAAATGCATAAAATCACCACTGACAGACCACGCGAAGGAAATGAGTGTGCAATAGCGGCGAGTAAAACAAAAAACCTTTGCTGGAACTCGGCTCAGCAAAAACTGATCTTCAGATTAAATCTATCACACAAAAGGTCTGCTCACCCTGGAACAAGTCTATTCGCCGAAAAAAAACAGCGGCAAGCCGTTCTCAAGTACGTACGAAATCCAACGAAATGGCCCGGTAAGAAACTCGGGGTCGGTAGCTACCAACCCAAGAGGACCGGCGGGCGCGCCCCGGGCTCTTCCTGCCTCCGGTCTACTGGTGCGTCCACACACCTGCGACACACAGCCCAGGCCAGGGCGCCACGTCCACTATCTACAAAGAAATGGGCGGCGCGCGACCACGCGGCCGGCGCCCGGCTGCGTCTCGCCCGCGCGCAGAGAACAGTTGGCGGCGCCAGGCCGATGGCCGCCGCGAGGGAGGGAGCCCCCCGAAGGGCCACGCCTGCGAGTGCTTGGTTGCACGCCAACGGCGGAGGCATGGCAGGCAAGCGCGTGCGGCATGCCCACCCCACCCGCGGGATCCAGTCGGGGGCCCATTTCCGAATTGTCGCGCCGCGCTCCCTCATCAGCTTGCGCAGGTGCCGCCCAACGTTCTCCACGCGGTGAGTTGTTCGCCGAGCTCGGCCGCGTCGGCAAGCTCCGGGGGCTTGAGCTTCGCCCAGAACTCTCGCTGGGGGGGGGCGGCGCAACCCGCAGCCCCAAGGGAACCTAGGGGGTCCCGGCAGCGGCGCGCCGTGGCCCCGAAGTCGCCAGGGCGGAACAAGCGGGGCGCATGAGCCCCACAAGCCACGGGGGGCGGTTCCGGGGTCTTGCGCTGCTTCACTGGGGACGCGAGGATCTCAGTGACAAGCCCGGAGGGCCCCACGGACGCAGACGCGCTGCTGGCGCTGCTATTGGGGGGCGCACTGCGCGAATTTTTGGCCCGCTTGGCCCGTTTTGCGTCCGCCAGATCAGATGTCTTGGCGACATCGCGGCCAGGGCTGCAGCCCCTCCGGCAATTCCGCCGCTGATGCGTTGCAGATGGCCACAATGAGGCGCGCCGCGTTTTGCCGGCCGTGTTTTCGTTTTCCATTTTCCCGCCTCGCTCTGTTATTTGAAGGAAGTGACACACTCACGACAGCACCGCGCTACCCATCCAACAACTACACTGGGCCTACCGTTTCCAGTTTTGGGCCCGCGCAATGCACGCGGCTGGGCCAGGGGTCGGCGCATCGCATGGCATACGGGCAGCGCCGCCCAACACCCGCGCGCCACAGAAAAACCGAAGCGCCGCGGGGCGGGCAGGCCGGCGGCGAAACCCACGAACGAAGGCCGCCCGGATTATCCACCGCGTGAAGATCGGGTTAGTTTTGACCCCTACGGCGGCGCCGTTTGTTGCTCCTCTGCGGGGCTTTCGCCGCCTGGCCTGTCAGCGTGTCGGCCTGTCAGGGTATCGGCCCTGTCCGGCATCGTAGACGACAATCGCCGCCCTCGGCTCGACTGCCCGCAAGGGGCCCGATCCCATTGAATCCGCCCAAAGGCCCTCGCTGGCTCTCACTCTCTGCGTGCTCCGCTGCTGTGTGGCCGCCTGACGCGCCACGCGGCTGCGGGTCTTCATGCCGGCCCTCCACTTTGTCGGCCAGATACGGCGCGACGAGGCCCAGCCGCAGCATGTGGGCCAACCTCGCGCGTGCTCACTGCGCGGCACGGCGTGGACCTCCACAAGTCAGCCGCATGACTCCGCCACGGACTTCCACAAGTGAAACCGGGTCAATGACATTCACAGATGAAGTCACGGAGCTAAACGCAGCCACGACGGTCGCGACCGCGCTGTTCACGAAAACAAATGCCGCAATACTTACACGAGTAGAGAACACCATCAACAAACAAACCAACATGAGTTGAGCAGTGCCTTCTGCTGAGTTTGTTGCTCTCCAAGCACGTCGTGCTTCGGCTCATTGACATTCACCTCCTACTTCCAAATACCCAGTAAGAAACGTTCGCGCGTCTTTCTGCTTTAAAAAACTGCAATCCGTAACGTTTCCTCTAGCTTCATTCCTTCGCCTTCCCCGGTCCCATGATCCTCACGATTTGCATTTTGAAAATCAGCGTGGCGTCCGGCGGAATCGCACTGCCCGCGCCTGCCCGTCCGTAGGCCAGCTCCGCTGGAATGTACAATTCCCACTCGTCCCCTTCCACCATCAATTGCATCGCCTCCGTCCAACCACGAATTACCTGCCATTTTATATGGGCTTTCTCCATGAGAGACGTTGCTTGGCTTCGTCGTGCAGTCCTCGTGGGAAGAGCTACATACTCACACTGGCACTGCAGTGCAAACGACTGCATTTTTACACGGACGCTCTTGACGCTTCTGGTGGTGTGCCTAAGCCTATCACTATGCAATGACTATAATACTCGATACAAGCATAATATCCAAAAACAACTCCTCTAAACTTACCTGATTCGGCGCAAAGGTTGTGGGCTGTCCGCGGTCGTAGCTGGAGTCGAATTTCGTTCCGTCGAGCAGTCGTCCCTCGTAGTGGCAGGAACAGGGCGTGGACCAAAACGGCGTTTCCTTCCCCGCCCCGGCCTTCAACACCTTGTACTGCAGTCCGCTGGGCAACCGCACCACCCCCGGCTGTTTCCGGTTTTTCTCCAAAAATTTCGCCCCTTCTTCCGATTCCTTGGTCGGGGCCGACTGCAAACTATCAAATGTAAAAATGTCTGGGTCTGGAACTGTCATGCTGTTTCTGCATGACACAGAAGGTCTGGCATGGAAGCTCTAGCATGACAGGTTTCGAGAAGCCTCCGCAATGCCGAATCCGCATGACAAATTCCTGACTCTGGTGACAGAAAGTGGGAACTTTTGTTGCCTATGCATGAGAGATTTTTCTGTGTTCTGAAATGCGCATCACAAGTTTGCACTCTTCCAGACCCAGACATTTTTACATTTGATACAAACCGAGATATTGCAACGCCGCGCCCACCGGGCCCGAGCTGTAGGACCGGAGCGTAAATGCGGTCGCCGAGGATGTTGGCTTATTTGCTGGGTTCTTTTTAAGGTGGACACCAGCAAGATTATTCCCTGGTTGTAGTTCGCAGACACGACCAATCGTTTGCTGCGCGCCACGGAGTCGGGTACATAAAGTGTTTCGAACACCGTGGAGACGTGCGGATGACATCTTGGAAGTAGTCGCGCAGAAAGTCAATAAAACCGCCTTTTTTTGATGAAAATCTGCTAGACCGTTGACAACGGTTGTTGCTACTGCTGGTTCTATTTGTATAGCAAAGAACGCAAACCACTACAAAATTTTAAGAGATCGATGAAGCTGCACAACATGAAAATGAACCCATTTGAACAAGCAACATGAACCCGTTATTTATTCACACCAAATACTTCCTCCTGCTTCCGCTTGAACGCGAGTTAGCAACGAGCCAAAGCAGTTGTTCTACTCAAATAACACAGGCTGCAAGTAGAGCCAGTTGCCGTTCAAAACATTTTGAAGGTCAGCGGAACTGTCACCGTGCCGCGCTGATATTTTTGGAGTTCAATCATAAGGCATGCGCGCGTGGACTAGCAGCTCAGTGCGTATCAGTAGCGAAAATTATCTTCATGTCAGAAGTCATAGTCGTTTTCAGATTTATGTGGTCGCTTGTAGAAGTCGTAGTCGCTTTAGCAGTTGTACGCTTTATTTCCTGTAAAGTCCTCCCTTTTCGCTACGTTCGAAGAACTTTCTCCCCTTCACAACTACACCGCGGGCCCGTAGTGCGCATCGAATTCCCGGCGGAACCTGGAGCGTTCCGACGGGTCCGAGCACAGGCGGTCGAAAATTTCGTACACGGTTAGATCCGTCATTTCCACGGTCCCCTCCACCGGCTGCACGATGTATTTCCCGACCCAGGTCCAGGAGGTGCGCACCCAGTCCGGGGTTTCCGCGAAGATCGCCTTCAGGTGCGAGTGCGGCCAAAACGGCTGCAGCTGCAGCCCCATCTCGGCGATTTTTTTGTGGCTCAGCTGCTGCGCCAACACCGCCCAGAACCGCAGGCCCTTCAGGTTGAAGATCACGTAGGGGGCGGGTGCCTTCAGCTTCCGCAGTTGCTCGTTCCGGCACGCGAACCACAGCTTGGCGGCCTCCTGAATATCGTCGATCTTGAACTTTCGCAGGCACTCCGAGCTGCGGAGAAACCGCGTGTCCCACGCCTCGATCGGGATCCCGTCGTCCGCGATCCACACGCCCGCGCGCACGAGCTATCAAGTGCAAAAGTGTCTGGGTCTGGAAAAGTGTAAACTTGTCATGCAGATTTTCCATGAGTTATACTTATCGTCTGGAATGCAGGACCTAGCATGACAGATTCTGCGCAATCTCTCTCATGCCTATCCTGCATGAGAAACTGAACTCCCTTTCAACTTGGTCAAAGGTGGACAGCTTTCGGCACTCATGCAACACAGATTTTTGCATGCTTCAGATTTACCATGACAAGTTGTCACCTTCCAGACCCAGACATATTTGCATTTCATACGAACGGCTGCAGCCCGATGGTCGGGGTCCACTTGTCCTGCAGCAGAATTTTCAACGTGGCCACCGCTTTTTCAGGGTGTAGTTCTTGCTGGTGCACGGCCAGCCGGTCGTCGCTCTTCCGTTTAATAGCAGCGTGGTCACTTCTGTCGTCGACCACAACAGGACTCGACGTCACCGCTGGACCAGGAGGAAAATTTGGCATTGGCTCCTCCGTGTCAGAAATGCGGAGATCAGCGCTTTCTCCGTCAATCATATTTGTAATCTGCTCCCGGTCTGCCGCGCTTGCTGGGACAAAATGATTTTGTTGCGAAGAAGTACAACCATCAGATGCAGAACTGCTAGAACAAGAAAATGTCGTCGACACTAGGTGCTCGGTCCTGCGATCCCAGTCGAAAAATTTCTGCAAATCGATTCCCTCACTTGTAGAAAGGGTTTTCGGGTCCTCCGGGTCGTCGTCGCGATCGTAGTTCCCCTCGAGGTCCTCAACGGGGCCGAGTTGCGACCCCTGTTTCAGGCCGAGTCGGCACCAGGACCTGATTGGATTTTCTTTGCGATGCGACACCAACACCCTCAACTGCTCGAACAAGACACTCACTTTTGCGTCCGGGCTCTGCAATGTCAAATACAAATATGTCTGGGTCTGGACGAGTGCACTTGTTTGGCATGCACGTTTTGCATGACCCATGATGTCTGTGATGCATGCCCTAGCATCACAGAGGTTTTGAGCGCTTCCTCATCCCTAATCCGCATGACAAATGGCCTCTTCGCCTAGCATCAAAAACAGAACTTCATTTGCTGCTCTTGCAATACAGCGTCTTTTTGGACTCGAAACGCAGCATCACAAGTTGTATCCTCCCAGACCCAGACATTTTTGCAATGCATATGCAATGCCAACCGCAGGTAGCACAATTCCGCGGAGCCAAACTCGTCGATGACGTAGTTTTGCAAATCCTCGGGCGGTAGCAAGTGCTCGTATCCTGAGTAAAAACGTACCCACACCAGAGTCAGGATGGGGATTTTGCAACACAAACCTAGGAGTTTTGTGAGTCACGCATCACAAGTTGCAGTCCGTAGTGTAGTGCAGGTTCGCAAGGCCAGCTGCATCAGAAATCCATCTGCTCATTCTGTTTACAGCATTACAAATTCCAAAACACGATTGAAAATGGTTCTCATGCGGATGCGCATTACAAGTCTTCCTGTCTTTGCAAATCTGCATTACAACTCTGGTGTGGGTACGTTTTTCCTCAGGATAGCTCGTTTTCCTTGACTAATACCTCCAGCTCGGAGATGCGACGCACGTCCTTCTTCTATCCTGAGTAAAAACGTAGCCACACCAGAGTTGTAATGCAGATTTGCAAAGACAGGAAGACTTGTAATGCGCATCCCCATGAGAGTGATTTCCAATCGTGTTTTGGGATTTGTGATGCTGTGAACAGGATGAGCAGACGAATCTGTGATGCGGCTGCACTTGCTAACCAGCACTACACTGCGGAGTGCAATTTGTCATGCGTGACTCCCAAAACTCCGAGGTTTGTGTTGCAAAATCCTCATGCTGACTCTGGTGTGGGTACGTTTTTACTCAGGATATCTTCTTGATCACAAACATGTCCCGATGGTGCTGTTTGTTGAAAAGTTTCCCACGAATCCGCTTCTCGACGTTCTGTAAATTCCTTGCCCGCGGAGAGGATAACTCGTTGGTTAAAGAGGGACGATACGGCTGTTTGCGACAGGGGATGCGGAGGTGAGGTGTACTGCTTCGATTTTTGTACCCCCCCGCGCTGCTGTGCGAGAGCCTCCGGAGTTTCGTCGCAGACAGGGAAAGGTGGGAATTTTTACGACTGTCATTTTTCCGGACGTCTGCGTACTCCTCGTCTCCGCGGTGCGGCGATAAACCACCTAAATGCCGATTCTTGATAATGTCATCCTCGTCAATGTCGCTCGTCGTTGTTCCTTCGTCTTCCTCTGATTCTTCAAATTCGCTGTCAAAGACGGAGGATGAAGACCGAAGCCTCCTCGCGGACCACGAGGTGGAAAAAGTGTTTGCGCCGCGCCTGTTCCTTTTGCGCCCCGTCTTCGCAGCTGCATAGAATTCTTCTTCATCCCTCCGAGCTTCGGAACTACACTCCGCTCTAAGCAAAACAAGTGCGAGAAAGCAGGACAGTAGGGACATTACCGGACAAGCGAAGGACATCGTGCGCGACGGCCAGATGGAATTCGATCCCCGACTCCCGGAGGTAGTTGTATTAGCGACGTTTGAAAAGTCTGCTTCTGCACTACTTGTACTAGTGTTACTATCATCCTCTCGTCCACCTCCCTGCCTGGCAACGACGTTTTGTACCAATTTGGCCACAACTGCGTCCGCCGATATCTTCTGATCCGTACCACTACTGCTACCCGTGTTTATCTTCCGTCGCTGCTGAAACGAATAGTTAGTACTATCCGCTGGCTTCCTTTGATTGGTAACGAGTAAGAGCAGGAAAGACGGCAAAATCTTCTCCGCCAGCGTCGGCGCAGCAGGGGGTGCTGTATGTTGTTGAACACCTGGAGGAGCCGCGACTAGCAACTGTAAGTCCGCAGCGGAGGGCAAGAAGAACGCAGATGTTGTTCCTGTTGTTCCGGGTTGAAGAACTACTGCTGATTCTTCTTGTTGGAATTCAGTATTTTCTTGTTCTCGTCGGAGACTCTTCTTCACGGCCCTTAGCCAATTATTCTCCCCGTCCGGAGGTGATGGTGAAGGGCCAGACGGGTCCGCTGCGGAGGACTCTTCTGACGATGATGTTCTCCATTGTTCCAACAGCGAATACTTTGGCTGCTGGGCGAAAAAGTGCAGATCGTGACTTTTAGCGTCAAAGTATCCTGAGTAAAAACGTACCCACGCCAGAGTTGTAATGCAGATTTGCAAAGACAGGAAGACTTGTAATGCGCATCCCCATGAGAGCCATTTCCAATCGTGTTTTGGAATTTGTGATGCTGTGAACCGGATGAGCAGATGAATCTGTGATGCGGCTGCACTTGCTAACCTGCACTACACTGCATAGTGCAACTTGTCATGCGTGACTCACAAAACTCCTAGGTTTGTGTTGCAAAATCCTCATCCTGACTCTGGTGTGGGTACGTTTTTACTCAGGATACAAAGTCGTACATCAAATATCCCCAGCCCTGCCAGTTTGCCAAGTCCAGTATCGTAAGGAAACATCCCCCCTCCCCATATCGAAAAGGTACGGCGCAGAAAATTTGCAATGCTGATTTGCGATCACAAATCATGTCTGTCTTGCAAGAAGGCAATTCCACAGGCTTCGCCGTATTATGCAGGCGGTTTGTCGTGCTGTTGGGCCTACAGCGCAGACGTTTCTCATGCTAAGCGCCTAGACCAAAACCTCTGCACTCAGGCTTGATGTGGGCCTGCAGTCCTCTCTAGCAAGACAAATCTGATTTGTGTACGCAAGTCCAGCATCACAAATTTCGTGTTCGATATGGGGAGGGGGGATTTTTCATTTTGATATCCAGATACCCATCCCCTCGTCGCTCGGTGACAGCGTTGGCGGTGATCGCGTCCAGGAGCAGTAAGAAATGCTGCAGGATGTCGCTGGTCAGACGGTCGACGGGATCGCGATCTTCAACACCATCAGTATCTTCAGTTAGTGGCATTATTATATCATCACCGTCTTCTTCTCCATCCGCAACGCCAGTTCCTGTAACTCGTCCTTCTGGAAGTTCTGCAGCATAATTGTCCACCGCCGGATCCAAGAATGCTGCACTCTCTAACGCCCCGCGGACAACCGCAGCGACGTGCGGGTCGACGCGAGTCAGCGTGTGCGCAGTGATGGCCGGCGCGGAATTGATCCCGAAGCAGAACCAGGGGACCCAAAGCAGAAAGTTGCAAAACAGAATGGTTAGTACGAGGAAAAGGACGAGGAAATTCCAGATTCTGCCGCAGGTGGAAGGAGAAGTAGTGGGCTTCTGTGCACCATGCGGTGTTGAATGATTATTCCCTCGTCGTGGTCCTCGTCCCTGCGCCGATTTTATTTCTCGACCACGGTCGTTTATTTTAGTGGTTTTACTTCTCATCGTCTCCGTTATAGTACTTCTTGGGTGCCGTCGGCCGCTCTGGTCAAGGTGTTCTTCTTGTTCATCTACTACTCGGCTGGTTTTACAACTTCTCCTGCTTGATGTTCCGCAGCAAGAAGAGTCGTGCGGTCTTCTTGTCCCGAAACAAACCATGCCGCCCCAGAAGTTGTTGTAAAACAGCAGCAGGATCGGGAGCACAACTCCAAGCACCAGGTTCACGTAACTCGTCACTGGCACGACAAACACTGATTTTGGTAGCATCGCGTACTTTTGCAAGACGCTTAAGGCTGCATCAACAGGATCCGTATTTGTTTTTCTTCCCTTTGTAGTACTATTCAAAAACACCATCTCCGCGATGCGCGACATTTCAGCGGTCAGCAGTACGTTGATTTTTTCGTAGTGCTGGTCCGACGCAAGCATCGTTTGGTAGGCGAAGAGAAAGGCGAGGCAGAACAGTAGAAACTGAACCGGTAGCTGCGGACCTCCACCTCCTCTCGGAGCTACTGATGGATGCTGGACGGTGGATAGTGCGACACCGAAGTAGTGGTCGGCGGGGTTATAATTTTCCACCGTCGTGTTACTTATCATACTTGCTCTGGTGCTGTCCGCCTCAGCTTTAGTATTATTCGTAGCAGTGTTCTTGTTTCTGGTCTTCCAGGTGGTTTGGCACTGCCCTCGGGCGCTGCTCGTCCTCGCACGGTAGTTGTTCGCGAGATTTTTATTACACGAAGACCCTTCGTCTTTCGCTTTGGTTAAAGACACAATAGAATCTTCATTGCAACTCTGGAATAATCGTCCTTCCGAGGTGCTGTTCCTGCTGTGAGGACCTCCACTCCCGCTGTAAAAAAACTCCTCCTCGTCCGAGGTATTATGGTGGCTGGCGGAGGATCTGCCCGTGTGGAAACCTGGAGGTGGTGCGCCTTGAGAGTGAGAACAGGAAGTCGAGGACGAATTGATATGTTTTCCGGAGGACACTAGCACAAATTGCTCGTCTAAAAAATCCCAGTCCGGGTCCCCGAGGTGCGAAGACGCATTCGTTCGTGCGCCGGGAAAATTCTCATCGTGGTGCGCCGAGTCAAAGCTCGCGCGGCCATGGTTTTCATGGTCTTCTTCACCAGCAGGGTGGAGTTGTTGGTCGTGTAGTTCTTTTTCCACTTCGTGTTCTTTCGACGAGGACGCCGTCGACCAGCCGCTCTTCATCTCCGACATCTCCGTCAGTCGGGGGTGCGGCTGCAGGTCAGACTCGTAGTAGGAACCACTATACATACCTGTGCCGCTGCTGGCGGAACACAGCAGCGGGCTCGCTGACCGGCTGTAGGAGGAGTAGAGTCCAGCTTGGTCGTGTTCACGTTCATCTCCCCCCCGCGAAGGTAGAAGTTTAATACTATTTTCTCCACCAGACGGTCGTCCTTCCTGCGAAGTAGTCAACATCGTCTGGTCCTCTTCATTTCCCTTCCAGCTCGCGCTTTCTTCTGCGAAGTTGTAAAAAGCCTCATCGTGGTGGTCCTCGCCCCCGCCCTGTAGTTGCCAGCTCCGCTGGTGCACCAGTGCTGGAAGAGTACTACCTGCTCTAGAGGAGCACGTTCTTGTCCGAAGGAGCCGTACAACGAGTAGAAAAATTCCGACCCCCGACCACACCGCGGCGGGAAAATAGGCAAACAGTAGCCGCGGCCACAGGAAGGGCAGCTCACCCCCGGTGCAGAAAATGGCCAGAATCCACAGCAGAATTCCGGCGAGGAAAGAGGTAATCCCTGGTGCCAGAGGCAGGTTGATCATGTTGATGTTGTTCAAGTGATGTGCTGCTGGCGGCGAACAAGAAGATGGTCTGTTTTCAATCCGTTTATTCCCCTCGACGTCGAAAGCCTCCACCTTCCGCAAACTGCAGCAAACCACGATCGCGGCGAGAGGGAGAAAAAAAAGCGAAACAACCGAAATCCCCAGGTTGTCCAGCCGAATTTGCGCACTATTCCCCGCCGCCTGTCGACAAGCAAAGTAGTAAAACAAGCCGCATTGCACCCCGACGGCCGTGACGAGAAGCCGCGCGACCAGAACAATGGAGATGGGCCTTCTTGTGCATGAACTGTGTTCATCTCTTCTTGCCGCCCTCATCTTCTCAAATTTGTTTCGTGGCTAAGACTCTTGCGGTGGGGTCGATCAACTAGGCCGCGACCAGCATGATTTGTCAACTTTTTGCACTGCTTGTTAATAACAAAACAAGAGTGAGAGGCTAGTGAGAGTTACGGCTCAAGATCAACATACACAATACTGAACAAATGACTACATTGATTGAAATGCGCTGGCCAGCAACCCCCTCGTCCTGTCGTCACTGGTCGCAATAAACCGAGTTTGAAGATGAAAAATTATGCGGTAATTGTTGAAAAAATGGAAATAGGGTCCGACCTGAACATGATCTTCATCATTCACAGCACACGGACCTCCACCACCAAGGGCAACAAGAACACTAGGTTCTTCAAAGATCTCGGTCGTCAAGAGTGAATTTGATCTTCGTGTTTGAGAACAATAATTAAAACGAAAATTATAGACGTGGTGGATCATCAACCTGGAGATTTTTTACCGACCGACAGCACGACGACAAGGAAAGGAGTCCTCTTCTGCGAAAAAAATGAAAAGTGATTTTTTTGTTGCATTTGATAAAGTATCTTGGGTCTTCATTTCTCACGGGGATGAACTGTGTACCCACAACCAGCAATGCCAACTGGAACTGCGCACAAGAAGCACTAGCTGCGAGAGCAACTGCTAGTTGACCTTCTTCCACCCAGGAGCGAAACTTGTATTTTTTTCATTTTATGTAATTTCAAAAAATTTTTGGTCGTGTCGTCGTGTAGTTTGTCATTGATTGATAGTGCTAAGAAGTACAGCGAGAACCACCACGCTTTTGTGCTAGAACGCACTCGAACCTGGCCGACGTTCTCAGGTACATTTATGTTTCTCGCAGCTTTCAAATAAAAATCCTACGTAAAGTAAGTACATGAAGAGCTGTGTAACAGACACAAAAGGTTCTGCTTCTGCTTGCAATTGGATGTTGTTGAGTGCGCGAAAAATAATTGTGTGAAAAACAATGTCGCTTGAAGAAAACACAAACCGACTGTTCATTCCGTGAGAAGACGAAATTTTAACCAAAAAAATCTCTTCCGAGAAGTAGAAATGTGATGTCCTCGTGGAGCAGTACTAAAACAACAGGAAGTACAGCTAGAGTACTTAGCTTTAAAAACGCTTCATTTTTTATGTTGTACTTTTGGCAGGATCGTGATTGGTCTCTTTCCAGAGACGAAGCACGATCCCGCCGGAGGACTTCAAATCCGGTGTAGAAGGAAGAAAATAATAATAAATGCTGATCATGCCTGAAAAATTACTTTTCTTATTATTCGCTGTGTATTTCTACAATAAGTTCAAATAGAAGTGATTTATCTCGACGAGATTAGCTGCTCACTCGCGATTTTTTATAAGATAACATTTGATGTCTACTTAGTCGTCGAAATCGAATAAAAGCACTTTATTCACAACAATCTGACGAAAAGAAAAACTAGCTTCGAAAAGATGAAAATATCGCAGGCATGTGGTGCTTTGCTTGGCTGAAACTGCATGTTTGAAAAAAACGAACATTTGCACTGTCTGCGAAAGCGAGTCAACAGAAGTCATCAACCCAGTTTCCTCTATTTTACTTCAATTCTTTGAATCCAAAATCAGTTTCAATACCGCAAAAAGTAGAATTTTTAGCACAAGATACGTACGGATCTTTTTATTTAGAAACATCAAAGACGGAACTCTAGGTTGTGGTCTGGTCACTTTATCTGAATGATCATGTGTCTTGTACTGTTCCGATTCGCAACTACGCCTCCTCCACCTGCTGCCTCCGCCGACGGAAGCGAAATACTACACCAGCGGTGCCGGAGCCGTGGATTTCCCCCGCGGTGGGAAGGCCTTGCTCACTGCCGGGGGCGCGGGGGCCCCGGCCTTGCTTTGCGTGTGTTGCATTGGAAGACAGAGTGGCGGCGAGGTCTTCGGAGGAACTGGCGGCGCCGATGTAGTTGAAACCGCCGGGGGCGCCGCACCAGTCGAAGTGCCAACTGTGTTGTTGTTCCCCAAATTACCCATGCCGTTCGCCGCTGTACCACCCGTCGCAGAAGAGGAAGCAAGCATCACGGATTTCGCTTTACTCATGGCTCCTGTGGTTGTATTCAAATTCGTACTTACGTATGGAGAGAAAAAAGTTTGTCACAGTCACTAACTTGCAGGTTTTGCATTACAAATTTTCTTAGCATCACAAATTTTCCTTGTATTGCAGAAACACTAGGGAAATCCCTAATGTATTTTGGCTGTGATGCATTTTTACACATGACAAACAATTTTGTATTGCAAAAATGCGCATGAGTGATCGTGACGAACTTTTTTTCTTTGATATTACGACCCCAGCAGCTACTACCCCGCCAGCACGAGGATTTGTAGCAGACACTGCAGTATCAACTGTAAAAATGTCTGGGTCTGGAAGATTCTGACACTTGTCGTGCACGTTTTGCATGAGCCATGATGTCTGTGATCCATACCCTAGCAATACAGATTTTTTGAACGCTTCTTGATGCCTATTCCGCATGACAAATGCCTTCTCAGCGTAGCAAAAATTGCATTCCCTTTGGTACTCATGCAATACAGATTTTTTTGGAATCCAAACGCAGCATCACAAGTTGCATTCTTCCAGACCCAGACATTTTTACATTTGATATGCAGCTGAACCTGCTGCCCGCGAAGAGGACGGCGCTACGACCCCTGCTGTAGTTATCACGAGAAAAAAGTGTTACAGTTACACATTTGTTGGAGTTTCTGCATCACAAATTTTCTCTGTGTGGCAGAGAAAACTTGTAATGCGAAGATCATAAGGGAAAACAGGAAGGAAAAGAGGCTCGGAAGCATTTCCTGCATGAGAAAGGTTGTCTCTGTTGACAGTCTTGCATGACAATGTGTAACTGTAACACTTTTTTCTTGCGATAGTAGTCAGTACTCCTTTAGTACTCAGTGGTCCTGCCGTCGTTGATGTGCCTCGTCCCTTCATGTTCATCATGGTGGCGTTTTTAGTGTTCTTGGTCGTGCAACTACCTCCACTGATATTACTAGCGCCTTTACTGGAAGAACTGGTGCCAGTGGTGAAAGTGTTACCAGTTGTACAACCTTCCGCACTACCCGACTTGTTCGCGCCCTTGCTCAGTGGTCCGGGCAGCTTGCTCGGGGGACCGGGAACCGGGGCGGCCTTGAACTGCGGAGCCGCGGCGGCGGCGAAGGAAGCAACGCCTTTTGTTTGCAGCTTATAGATGTGTCAGGATTGAAATCGACAAAGGTGAAATGATTTGCCATGCATAAAATGGATGCCAGGAGTTGGAGCCCAGTTTCCAAGTGGCGCATGACAAATTTTGGCGATGCCTAAATCCAGTTTGTCATGCTGTTTAGGCAAAGAAGACTGATTCTCTCATGCTACTTTAGCAGCTCGAGCCCTAACGCCAAACAGGCCCACAATCGGCCTCACTTGCCTGCTCTGCAACACACGTATTTCGCGTCATGCAGTTTATGCATCACAAACTATTTCAAGTTTGACGATTTCAATCCTGACGCCTCCATACAGCTTTCCGGAATGGTAGTACGGTCCACCTCCATTGCGAGATTGCGAATAAAACGAGGAACCGCGGCGCCCTGAGGATGTTTGGAACGAAAAAAAAAATTGTTTTGATGTTGATTTTGTTCTTCCACGCCCACATGAAGAAACTAGGACAATCATGTCTGTGCGGCATACTGAGGAGGGATTCAAATTCATAAACACCATCTCTTCAGTAGACCGAGCAGCGGGTGGATAGATTGTTCACCGCGACAAAATACCTGGTTGCGAGTAGAAAAAATGCAGGACAAAGTAGTAGACCACCGCCCACGGGAGCAAAACTACAAATGTTGGCACTTCTTAGTAAGTAAGAACCAATCCACGCGGCGTGCGCCGCGTGGGAAAAAATACGCAAACCCTTCAGAGTAGGTCTTAGATTGGGCGCGAAGATCTACGCCAAGCACAAGCGCGATGCTTGGCCTTCAAGAATCTCCAAACTCCACTAAAGTGGCTGCCTTTGGCCTCTCTCGGAGGAACTACATGTGGAAAAAGCCGGCAGCGACCACCTTCTGGCTTCTCCTTTAAGAGCCAGAGTCGGTCGGAAAAAGCTAAAAAGGCCGAGACGCCTCCTGCCGTACAAAACCACAAAGCTTTGGCAACGTTTCCGAGGGCCAGGTCCGGAAGAAGGCAAGAGAGGGCGCTCGCTCCTCTTCCTTTTTGCTTTACATAAGCGGCCAGCGTCGGCCTCTTCTCGGAGGACGGACCAGATCCGCAAGAAGCGAAAAGCCAAAGCCGCCTCGCTTTTTGCTTACTGAATCGGGCTTCTTTGGCTTCTTCCCGTGGCGAAAACAGCAACGAGGGGCGGGCTTCGGGCTCTTCCCCGGGCGCCAGATCCAGAGGAAGCTTTTGAAATTTTTTGTAGGTGTAGTGTTGGCAATTGTCAACTCATTCGCTTTATCGAAAAAACAGGGCGCTTTAGTCAAAGAAAACACTTTTTGAGTTCGCAAGCTTCAAAAAAAGCTGCAAAAAACCTTCAGAAGATTTTTGGACCTTCAGAAGAATCTCAACCTTCTGAAGGCCTTCAGGAAGGTTTTTTGGCCTTCTTCGGGCAGCCTTGAACTGCGGAGCCGCGGCGGCGGCGAAGGAAGCACCGCCTTTTGTTTGCAGCTTTCCGGGGTGGTAGTACGGTCCACCTCCACCGCGAGATTGCGAATAAAACGAAGAACCGCGGCGCCCTGAGAATGTTTGAAACGAAAAATTTTTTTTTTGATTTTGTTCTTCCCCCAAAGGATAAAACTAGGATAATCATGTCTGTGTGGCATAAGGAGGAGGAGGAGGTGAAATCAATTTCATAAACACCATCTCTTAAGACCGAGCAGCGGGTGGATAGATTGTTTGTTCACCGCGACAAAATAACTGGTTGCGAGTTCTCGCCCAGAAAAAATGCAGGAAAAAGTAGTAGACCACGCGCCAGCACGGGAGCAAAACTACAAACATGATTGGTGGCACTTCTTAGTAAATAACAACCCACACTTACTATAAAACCATTATATACGATCAGCAAAAATGTAAGTACGTCCGCTGCCTTTGTCATTCTTGCCGCCCTTGCGCATTTGGCTTCGTGCCATCCGTCTCGACGGTGGAAGCAGGTCCTCGGGGTTGTTGTTCACAGGGATGTTGGGCCGCGGTACTCCAGCTTGCTGCTGCTGCTGCTGCTCCTTCTGCTCCTTCTGCTCCTGCTCCTCTTCCAGGGCCAGTTTGCCCATCAGTCGCACGTTAATCAGCCCCTCCGTCGCGCACATGTCCACCACTTTCCTTGCGCCCCCGTGTTTTTTCTCCAGTGCCTCAAACTCTTTCACGTCAAAGCCGAACAGGTATCCCGGTTCCAACCCGAGCTCCGTCTCCTTTTCGACTTTCCAGCATTGGTAATTCGCAAAATCGAAGGCAAACAACTGCTTGTGCTCCTCCGGATGGTCTTTCAGGGTCCACAAGTCCGAAATCCGGCTGGGATGGTACTTCGCTACGTGTTGGCCCCCCCGTGGAGGAACAGGCAGTCTTGTCGTGTTCACATGATTTTCTTGAGAGAGCGGCACAACACCGCCCGCACCGTGCGCTATCTGGTACTGCTCGCTGTTGTTCACGCTGCGACCCATCAGATCGGTCCCCCGTCCGCCCTATCAAATGTAAAAATGTCTGGGTCTGGAAGAATGCAACGTGTCATGCTAAATCTGAATCAGGCAAAAAACTGTGTTGCATGATTGCCAAAAGTTGTGCACTTTTGACCTAATCGCGAGGCAGTTTCTCATGCAGGATAGGCATTAGAAAGGTCCCGCAGAATCTGTCATGCTATGTCCTACATACCAGACCTCATGGGTCATGGAAAACCTGCATGACAAACCTTGCATCCTTCCAGACCCAGACATTTTTACATTCGATACGCCCGGCCTCGTTCCGAGTGGCACGCTGTTCGCCGCGGTGCCCCGGGCAAGTACTAAGAGGAATTCTCTGGGAATTGGGAAAATTGAAAAAAATTCTCCCCTCCTTCGCGGCCCTGCTAATGAACACCAGCTACGGCAACCTCCTCCGGCCGGATCTGTTCGTGCTGCGGGAAGGGCTTCCAGATGTCCTGCGTCGGCACGATGCTTGCTGCTCGGCCCCGGCCCCGACGACACCAGCACTCGTCATCATCAAAAAATAGAATAACTCAAATTAACAGGTACCTGAGGTGGCGATGCCTGCTGTCCGGATGTCCACACACACACACACACAGAATTCAAGCATTCTTGGCTCATAGGGGATGATTAGGATTCGTAGGAAAATAGTGCACACGAAACACATTCCAAATTGATCAAAAACCATATTACCAGGTGTTCCTCCTTATTAAACTTACCAAACATAAGCACCTTCGCCCTGTACCACTGCTGGAAAGCTAACGGATCCGCAGGAGCAAGATGCCTGCCGCCCTGTGGCCGTGTTGCACCAGACCTGGTGCAACGCGTGTGCCTCGTCCAGAAGATCTTCTCTAACGACAGCGAGGCCCTGGTCTTGAACTACCTGGCGTAGGCACGGCTGAGTGGGTACGCTGGCGGGGGTACCCGCAGCGTAGAGGTTTTCCTTCACTGACTGATTTTATATTTGGATACCTTTGTTTGTGATGGATTTGTTTCATAATGCTACTACTTTTGTGATTTGTGTGTGTGTGTGTGTGTGTGTGGACATCCGCCAAGAAGTGGACCAATGGCGCGAGGTAAGTGCTAGTACCTGGATGACAGCTTGTTTTTGATGTTTTTGAATGCATGTACCTGTGAGTTTTGATAAGTTCATGTACCTGTGAGTTTTGGTAAGAAAATTCGCATGAGTAGAGGTAAGAAAATGATAGTCCGTCGCGCCACCACCGCCAAAACCTGGGCCTGCAATCCTTCGACCTCGTCCGGGGAAGAATTTTTTTCAATTTTCCAAATTCCCAGAAAATTCCACTTAGTACCGAGCGGCACGCTGTTCGCCGCGGTGCCCCGGGCAAGGCTGTTCCCTCTACGGAAGTTGTTGTAGTCCTCATTTGCGCCGCATTTCCTCATCATACCAACCAGCGGCCCGTCGAGGTGTCTCCTATCGCCGTCACCGCTCCTGCGCGCGTTGTGTCTGCCGCTGGTGCTTTATGAGAGTGAACGACTACTCCCCCAAACCCTCTCATTTGTGTCGTCGGAAGATGGACAGCAATACAGACACCAGCTCAAGTTGTGCAGCCCGTGCATGACAAGTTGATGCGCCGAAGCAGCGTAGTACTGTTTGGGCTACTTCTTTCGAGATTTGTATATTGCAAACCGTGCCACAACGCCTACGCAACCATAGGATTTTTTCGGATTATTTTGCATTACTTTTACTATGCAAAAAAGGGGGAGTGGGACGAGTTGTGCAGTGTCATATGCTTGTTTTTTTCTGCTCACCTCCGCTCCGTCGCGACCTGGACGACGACCTTTTACGATCCTTGTTGCGTCCGGTGGAAAAACGATTTTTCCGCGTGCCGATTGCCGGCGGTAGGTCTTCGCCGGGTGAGCGTGACCGTGAGTCTTTTCGCTTTGGCTTTCCCCGGAAGGAATGGTCTTTGTTCCGGTCCGAGTGCCCGAACGACCGCCTGTCGCGGGAAGAACCCCTACTCCGGTCAACAACATCTGTGGCGGTGTTGTACTTATTTGTCTCGCGCTGATCATGCCCTCCATGGTGGGAGGAGGACTTCCTGTTGTCCAGCCGCAATCTGAGGCGGGGTGGAGAGCAGCTTTTTGTTGGGGTTTTGACATTTTGCAGTGCTCTTTTTGTGTTCTCTTCTCCCCCGAGATGCACGCCTTGTCGCGCCTGCGACGGCGCGCGCACCTTCGACGGTTCCCGGCCGGTCGCACGAAACCCGCCAGGCCGGGGAATGGACGGCGATCTTGGGCGCGGAATGGACCGCGACCTCGACCTCTTGCGGGGAATGGACGGCGAGGACCTCGGGCGCGGAATAGACCGCGATTTTGACCTCTTCTGGCTTCCGCGGGAAAGACTGGCACTTCTTCGCCCGGGGGCACGAAGATCATTGCCGGAATTCATGTTCGACTCGCGCTTCTTGTTTCCATCCCGTTTTAATTCCGGTCGTGGTTCTCTAGGAACAACAGGTAGATCCTGTTTATCAACATTGCCGTCGTGCTGCCGCGGCTTCTCCCGGTCATCCCGAACTTTCGATGGCTGCCTCCGTACTTCTTTTACCTCGTCTTGAACCACCACCCGCTTGCGACTCTCTTCACGCCGCATCTTCTCCCGGCTGTGGTCCTTGTAAGTTGGAAAAGCAGCTCGTTCCTTCGAATGGTGCCCACGCACCTTCGAATTTGTTCGCACCTTCGAACGTCCCCGATTATCATCTCGGTCGCCCATTTGTTCTTCATCCGGACGAAAACCTCCCCGGGACAATTCCGAACCAACCCTTTCACTTCTGTAGTCACCGCTTCCCGGAGTTTGTGCTCCGTCGGCGTCTTTCATCTTATTTTGTTCGACCAGGGAAGAAGTTCTTGTAGCCGGTCGGAGTTCAACATCTTGGTGCACGACTTGGACTTCCTCCTCTTGCTTTTCGGACAAGGAAACAGCCACAGCAGCTGGAGACAACTTGCTCATCGTGGTGGTAGTGTGAAGATTCTCGACGTCCCGGCCGCGCTCTGGACTTTTCGTGCTCTTGTTCACAAATACCGGTCGCTCCTTGCTTCTCTTGTTCCGAACATCCTGTTTATCGTGTTGTACTTGGCCAACATCCGTATCCAACAAGCCAATGACTGGCAAGCGAAACTTCTTCGTTTGCTTCAACACTGGATCATGATCATCCCGATCCTGCGTTATTCCCGCCACCATCTTCTTCCCTGTCGACGACACCCTCTCTTCGTCCTTCTTCGCACCGCCCTCACTTCCGGCGTCCTGCTCCTCGCGGGGACTGTAGTTCTTGGAACCATTGCGATGAACCAGTGGGCGGCGTGGCGATGATCGGCGCGAAGACGAGACGGAGGCAGCTCTACTACTGCGGAGATCTTCCTCGTCGTCGCTCTGAGGATACTTCATCTTGTCAACTTCTACTCCGGTAGTTTTGTTCTCCTGCACAACAGGTCGAGGACGGCGCTCTGCCCGCAGCACAAGTTCTTTCTCCCCTCGATTTTCCTTTGTACTACACGGTGCTTCTTTTAGTACAACGTCGTGTGGAGGTGCAAGTAGATTGGTGGACTCAGCTTCTTGTTTAATGCCTTGTCTATTATCCCGTTGCAAATGCGCTTCTTTCCTCTTCCGCGCTGGTGCCGGCGGCGGAAGCACCGGCACCTTCAAAGTAGAGGCGGGTGGACTCGCTGCCTCGTCTGTGGTCCTGCCTTTGTTCGTCTGCCCTTCCACTCTCCTTCTCTTCGCTGGCTCGTTCGGTCCGCCCCGCGGATCCTGTACTTGTAAGATCGGATGATCTTCCTCCTTCCCAAGCACTTCGTGCGCCGGGAGCAGGCAAAGTGGGTTGCTCTTGCCTTGATTTAGTTGCATCGCCTTCTCGTTCTTGCATGAAAACTCGACAACACCAGTGACGTTCTTCTCGTCCTGTTCTGCAACCTTCGTCGCTACTTCTGACCCGATCATGCCGGTGGAGGTGGGTGGAGCCCCGGTAGAAGCTTCGGCTAGTACTCCCATCGTGGATTTTATCCAGGAAAAAAACTGTGTAAGTGTAAGTTTGTAGGAAGAGCAGCGTCACAAATTCGTTTTGCATTACAGGGAAAACCTGTCATGAGCTGCTAGTACGTGGAAACGCGTAGAATAGTAGCCCATGACGCGCTTCCAGCATGACAAGTGTAACTATTTTTCATTTCCTGCATCACAGATTCACACTTAAACAGTTTTTTTCTTGCATAGATTTCATCAGCGATTGCTTTTTGATCTTCGGCGCACCGGCGGATAAAAATTTGTTCCCTTGTTGCTGTTGCTCATCTTGCAACGGAACATTTATTTCCACGTCGGGGGGCAAAACCTCTGGCAAGCCGAAGTACTTGGAAGAGTAGCCGCACCGACGTCTTTATCCCAGAGAAAAAAGCTGGCAGGGCACATTTGTAATGCAAAAATGAATACACAGAAGAATCTCTCATGGGCGGCCCCATAGCATGCTGTTTGGGATACGCAATACAGATTTTTTTGTGTATTTATTTTTGCATTACAAGTGTGACCTGCCGGCTCTTTTCTGTGTGATAGTCTTCTCCTCCTGTCGAGGCTCAGAAAGTACCTGGGGATATTGTGGACGGTGGTATGAAGATAACGAATGTGGTTTTCATAAGTAAGAAGGTTGAAAGTCAACATCTGGCAGCCTGCTCTCACAACTCTTCTGTAAGTAGTTGATTTGCAAAAACAGACTTCGATGTCGATACTGAGGAACAACAAACCATGTGAACTCTCCAGCGTTTATCACTATAAGTACCGTCTGTCCGGGTGTTGCATGTTCTCCGGATCCCTGGGCGGGGGCGGGGAATGGGGGGGGCCGCGCCCCCCCCCTGCGGCCGGGCAGGCAGGCACGCAGCCGGAAGGGAGCGGCAGCTGGCGGGGGCCGCGCCCCCTCCTCGGCGGCCGGGGGCCGGGCGCCGCGGGCACGCAGGCAGGCGGCCGGGAGCGGCAGCTGCCGGGGGCGGGGAGTGGGGGGGGCCGCGCCCCCCCCCCTGCGGCCGCGGGCCGGCCAGGCAGGCGACAGGGGCCAGCAGCTGGCGGGGGAGGGGAATGGCGGGCGGGGGAGCGGCGGCCGCGGGTCGGGCGGGCCGGCAGGCGGCAGGGACCGGCCGCGGGCCAGGCGGGGGCGCCACGACCCGATGGGGGCCCGTTCCCGATGGGCCCCTGGTTTAACGTTTGGATGGGGCTGGGCGCCGAAGCGCGGTTGGACGACACCGACGGCACTTTTTGACTTAGCGTGTGGACGAAAATCTTGGCGCGCAGTTTTTTATTTTTCGAACGAACGACAGCGCGCGGTTTTTCTAGCTAGCCGCACGAATTCCGCGGCCTTCAGTCTGTAACTTTTTGCTTTAACTATACTGGCCAGGGGCCGGACTGCTTTCCCTAGTATATGAATGTACTTTTGAAGATTATATTGCTTTGCAGAAACAGAGGACTTCGATGTTGATATTAAGGAACATGAAACCATGACCACCAACGTTCATCACTATAAGTACCGTCTGTCCGGGTGTTGCATGTTCTCCGGATCGCGGCCCAGGAGCGGAAGGTTCTTATAACCCGCTCAGGTGTTACGATCTCAATTGATAAACGTTGCAATGGAATCTAGAATTTGTGATGCAAAATGCGCAACATCTGGCCTGCTCTCACAGGAGCGCGCATGACAAGTTTCGGAGCTTCAAAGCTCATGAAAATTATCTGGCGAAATTTCTATTGCGAAAAGCCTAAGGCTCTGTATGGTACTCGTGCTGTTTATGCAAGACAAATTTCAGATTCTATGGTAACCGATTTGAGATTGTAACATCTGAGCAAGCCATAGTTCTCCGAGTGATTTTCCACGTAGTGCTCGATCCTTCGGTAGTCGAACCGGGTTAAAGGGTTGAGCTTCGAGAGCAAGACCCGGAAGTTCTGGGGCGGTTCGGACTCGATCGACTGGAACCGGGAGGTGCCGGACAATATCAAAGTGAAAAAAGCCCCCTCCCCATATGCAAAAGACAATTTGTGTTGCTGGATTTGTGTACACAAATGCGCTTTGTATTGCAGCAAGAGCTTGCCGGCATATGCTAGGCAAATTTGGGCACGGATCCGGATCCGGCTAGCACCTGAGCATCAGAAACAAGTCTGACATAGGCGACAACGCATGACAGATTCGATGCACAATGAGCCACATGGGTGCCGTTTGCCTTGCACGCAAGACAAAGCTGATCTGTGACCACAAATCAGCATCACAAATTTTCTTTTCGATATGGGGCGGTGGAGTTTTTCCTTACGATAGACAAGAAACTGTTGCGGTACTTGTACAGGTGGATTTCCCCCGTCGGATTCACGTCCATCATCTCAAATTCCGCTTTCCGGATGCCGTATCCTGTGTAAAGACATCCCCAAGTCCCGCCCAGAGTTGTCATGCAGATTTGCATCTACTAGAGGAACATATGCAAGAATGCGCATCCCGATAGGAGGCCTTCTCAGTCCTGTTTTGGAATTTCAAATTCTCTAAACAGGATAAGCAGATGGCTTTGTGATGCACGGCTGTCCTTGCTAGGCCGACGCACTACACTAAACTACAGATGGAAACTTGTCATGTGTGAAGGCTCCCAAAACTTCTGGATTTGTCGTGTTGCAAAATCCTCCTATTGTCTCTGGGTACATAGTTGGGAACGTTTTTACACACCATATGCCGTTGGTCGCCGCGAGCGGTCCGCGCCGCTCCTGCTCCCCGCGCAGGGCGTAGCACCGGTCGTGGACGAGCGGGTGGCCGATGGCCCGCATGTGCGCGCGAATCTGGTGGGTGCGCCCGGTAAGAATGCGGCAGTGAACCAGGGAGTAATACCGGTTTTTGTACTCGAACTGCTGAATCACCTCGTAGTGCGTCACGGAATTGTATTCACCCATGGACGAATCGCCGCGTTTCTTCATCTATGCATTGCAAAAGTATCGCACTTGCAGTGACGCGCATTACAAATCTAGTTCTTACGGTAAATCCGCATTACAAATTCAATTCGTCATGCTGGGCCAATTTTTAATGCAATTTTTTTATTTGTAATGCAATTTTTACTAAGTACGATTTGCTTGTGCAATGCATATCATCCAAAACTTCAAACAGATGTAGTCTTCCTTGGTGCGGACCGCTGCGGTTTCCTGCATGTTCTGGAAACAGTAAAAGGGGTACGCGGTACGGTCTTTCGACACGCCGGGGAGCTGTTTGATCTCGTCCAGCAGCTGGCACACCTTTTTCCCGTTTTCCCCCTTCGTCACGCGCAGAGCGCGGCCCGCCAACTGGTCCAGCGGGAAGGTGATGCAACCGCGCGCACAGGCTTCCGAGAAGGAGCCGTGCACTAGGCAGACGTAGTCCTTGGACATCCGCGCGGACTCGATGTTTAAACTGTTGATCTCCCGCCCCGCAAACGTCTTCTGCCAAAGAAGCGGCCCACCCGTGCCCATGTCGTACCTAGTTGTTTCAACATGACTAATGGTTTGCGCTGCAAGCAAATTCATTTTCTTCGCCTATTAGCATGATGATCACATCACACGCAGGCAGAGGTTCTATCCATAGATACACGAGGACCACATCTAACCGTGAAGTATGAAAATCACCTGCTCTAGCATGTAGGCCCACGATGACAGGGTAAAAACAAGTACCTGTGGCTCATTCCGCATTGCCAGTGTTGGCACATCCCGACCCGCCAGAGCGGGTGGTTCAAGACCACGTACTCAACCATGCTCACCGCCCCGGGGAGAATCAGGTTACATTTGGTGGGCGGCCGCCCGTCCACCTCCGGGTTGATCATAAAGTGCATGTAGATGAAGTCGGTAATCACGTTATCCTAAGCAAAAACGTCCCCACCACATAGTCAAGCTGGGAATCTGGCAACACATATCTCCAAGTTTTGGGAGCTGTGCATGACAAGTCCCACTCTGCAGTGTAGTGCTGGTTGGCAAGGAAAGCCGCATGAGAAAGTCGTTTTCTCATCCTGTTTACAGCATTACAAATGCCAAAACACGATTGGAAATGCCTCTCATGAAGCTGCGCATTACAAATGTTCCTGTCAATGTCATTGCGCCTTTGCATGACAACTCTGGGGTGGGGACGTTTTTGCTCAGGATACAAGTTCGCCTGGAAGGTCGGCAAACGGTCCAGAAACATCCTGGCGACCTCCAAAGGATTGGTTTCGTCCAAGAAATTCCCGGCCTCTTTCCGCTTCCGAATGTCGTCAAAGTGCTTCGCGAACTCCAGCACCGTGGCAAAGTCCCGCACGTCGACGTTCCGCAACAAGGGTGGGAGAAGCCGCGAGGACCGGAGCTGCTGGGACGTCTGGGGGCCCCCAACCGCCGCCGGAACGAGGAGCTGATCGGCGATAGAGTTCTGCTTTCGCGGTCCTGCTCCCGATGAACTACCAGACAAACCCGAAGTATTTTCATTGTTCTTCAAGAACTTCACACTTTCTAGCTTTTTCACGAGCACTTGCTCCACCGCACTCTTCACGTCGGGCGCTTGCATGTTGTGGTCCGCCATTTCTTCTGCTTCCTTGGACTTGTTCACTTTCTCGAACGCGAACATTTTTCGCAGCGCGAAACACAACTTCTGCCACGTTCTGGACTTTGTGCTGGCCTTCAAAAACGTGCACGTCGGGGCGAGCGAGGGGAGAGTGTGCTGTTGAAAAGTAGTGGTTGGAAGCACGGACGGTGGGGGAAATGTTGTAGTTGGCCAAAAAGAGGACGACATCGTGGACGATGAGGTTGTACTGGACATGAACTGTTGGCCCGCTGGCTGTTGGCCCCCTTGATGCGGTTCCTCGTCCACCTTGCGCCTTTTCGCAATGTGCAAGCTACTAGCATCCTCTGAACTACTACCTTGTGCTCCGGCGGTGGAAATGGATCTCGCTTTAGACACGGTTTCCAACGGCGCTGGCGGCTTCTTGGAAGGAAGAATCGGAGCGGCCATCGCGTTCCTCGCCACGACTGGTCCTCGCAGCAACAGCTTCTCCTGTTGCTCCACATATTTTTTCGCACTGAACTGGATGAAAACACAATTCTCCAGCAACCGGTCGAAGCTGCTTTGCAGCGAAGATGATGATGTGCGGGAAAAAGAAGAAGACGACTTCGAAGTACCTGCGCAGGTGGTCTGCAGCATGCCGCCGAGGAAGAGGTCAAAGGTAAAAATCAAAGCGCTTTTCCAGTCTTTCGACTGAATGGCGTCGGTTAAATGCGGGTAGATGTCCGACTTCGTCGGCTGGAACAGCGCCGTGGCGTGGTCGACCTTTTTTTGTTTATTGTTGAAAAAATTGTAAAACTAAATTCTTGATCGAGGCCCCATCATCCATAGATTCACATGGTGCACAAAAACTTCTACATCGTTTATTTACATTTGTACGTTGGTAAACAACAAAAGTTTTAATTCTTTACCTGCTCCAGCTGCGCCCTCAGAACCCTTGGCTTACTTTCGTCCACGGCCTGGGCGCGGTAGTGACCGAGCACGTCGTGCAAGTCGGCCAACGCTTCTTTGCCGCTGTGGGACCGAAACAAGGACTTCTGCGCGAGGTATTTTTTCAGGGACCGCTCGTCCCTCTCCACGTCCCAGTGGTCCTTTTCTAACGTAGCCTTCCTTGCCTTGTCGGCCGTTTTGTTGGCTTCGAAAATTTTCATGAAGTTGTTGGCGTCCGGCAGGGGAAAACGGTCCAGGAACTGGCTGCTCTCTTTCGCATACATCTTTTCCACCTCCCGTTTCATCTGCGCGTCCGTACAGTACTTGAAGAGTTTCTGAAACTTCCACCGGTCCCCGGCCGACCGGGGATTCCGGTGGTCTGTTTTGTGGAATTTTGCGGTCCAGATGATTTCTTTACGCAACCCCTTTTCCGTGATGTTGTGCAGAAACACCCACTGGTAGTGCCGCCACCCGATCTCCGCGGGACCGCGCCGCTTCGTGCGCGACTGCACAGAGGAGAACCGGGGGAGTAGCTGAAGAAATCGCAGCTTTTCCTGTTCTCTCTGCTCCGCGGGGGATACAAGGGATTTATGGCTGGAAGAATCTTCACGATCTTGATGTTCAACAGTGGTGCTGTTCGTTTTAAAAACATTTGCTGTTGCTGTCGTGTCGCTCTTATTTTCCTTGTCGTTTTTCATGTTCTTCCCATTGATCAAGTCTACTTCGACTGCAGTTGTGGTTCTTCCTGCTGCTGTGGTGCCATGGCCATCTACCACTTTTTTGTCCTCCTGCTCACCGCCAGTAGCAGCTCCCGGCACTACAGCTCCTGCTGCGCCAGCGCTTGTTCCTGCGGTTAAAATTTTTTTCTCTTCCTTCTTCTGCTGTGCCTGCAACCGTGGCAGAATTGCGCTCAAAGACGGGGGAGGCTGCGCAGAGGACGATCCGGCGGGCACAGCACCGCTCTTCAGTTTGACGTTGTCCTTTTTCTTGCCAAGAACCCCTGTCGTGCTGCCACCGTTTACTTCTTGTTCTACCGGTCTACTTACTATTTTGTCGTCCTTCTTGCTTTTCCTCGCGGGGGCCCCTTTTGATGCAGTGCGCTTCTTGCTCGCACCTTGAAGATTCTCTGCAGCAATCTTTGCCGAGCTGGTGCCAACAATGGTCTCGATGATTTTTTCGCTGCTCATTTGCGCGATCAGTCTCGGCAGCTCCTCCACGAGCAGCTGCTCAATGTAATTCGTTTTGTTGTCCGGTTTGAACAGCGTGATGAGCTGCGAGAGTTGGGACGTAGATCGGACATCAGAATTGCTAGTACACAGAGAACTGTAGTTCTTTTCCGGGATAATCATAGCATCAACACCCTCGTTGTCGCACGGCACAAGTGGAACAAAGGAAGTCGGGACTACTATTTTCGACGAGCTCGTGGTCCCAAACGTACTACCAAGCAGTGGCAGGGACACTGGTGCCGCACAACTAGTACTACTACCGGGTGGTGCAGGTTTTAGAACAGAAGGCTGTGGAAAGGAGGACTGTTGCTGGCAAACGTTAGAAGTAGAGTTTGCATCAATTATGCCGTTGCTTATCGCTCCGTTCGGAAAGGTTGACGTCGTCGTCGGGTTTTGCATGATCTGCCGTGGTGGGGGCGGCAACGTGAACGGTTGGCTTGGTGCACCTCCAGTCGGTTTGTTTTTAGCTGCAAGATTTAGACTCAGCTGCAACTGCAAGATGTGTTGCTGCTGCTGCTGCACTTCTTTCCTAGCTTTCTCGATTTGCAGCTGCTGGTCCCACTTCTCGTAGAAAAACGAAATTTTCCGCAGCAGCTGCCGCTCTTGCACCTCGTTCCTGGAAATCGGCAGCTGGCTCAGCAGTTGCAGCTCCCTTTGTTCATCTTCGACGATACTTTCCTGCTTGTTCAACATCTCGGCGGAGGCTTCGTCAAAGTCTAGTTGGTCCAGGTCCAGCAGGGTTTTAGCACAACTTCTTGTTGCCGTGATTTGCGCCGGTGATTCTTGAGGCTGTGGTGGACTGGCAATGTAGTTCTTCAGGTGGTTCTTCCCCGCAAGTAGAACATGAGAACCACTCTGCTCTTGCTCTTTCGCAGTGCCGAAAAATACAACCTCGCGCGAATTACGGTCCTCCGCCTGCACGACCTCCATTTCATCGGCGAGCACGCTGGTTCGCTGCTCTTCTGGTGCACGACGATCCGCGGAATTCAGCTTCAGGTTCGGTAGCTCAAGCGCCTGCAACATCGACGTACAACTTGTTCCACGACCTGAGACAGTTGCTTTGAAACAGTCGTCTGAATTCAAACTGGAAGAGTTAGCTTCCGTTAGTACTAAAGACGGAATCATCTGCGAAGATGATGTTGACGCATTCTTACTAACGCCACGACTGATTTTTTCCACATCTTGTTCCAGAATCGCTTTGTTCCACCTCCCTTCCATCTCCAGATGAACACCTTCATTGTACTCCCCCGACAAGACCTTCCGCACACCTCCCGTAAAATTTTCCAAAGTCTTCTGGATTTTCTCCCGCACCATCGTCTCCAGAATTTTCAAAACCGGAATCCAGGTGGTACCGCTGAAGTTCCAGGGATCGGATCCGGTCTCGTCGTCGTAGTAGAGTTCTCCCGCCCGCACCTTTTTCTCCCACGGGTTTGCCCTGGTGTTCACGATTTCTTCCATATGGTCGGGGTAGTCCGGCTCCGTAAACTCCTGCGCAAATTGTGCGAATTTCGGCCGCGTTTTCTTCAGTTCTTGGAACGAATAGTTATCCGGGATCATGAAGTCCTCCTCCTTGTACTCGTAAACACACGGGCCTCGTCCGGAAGAAGTCCTGCCTCTTGGTGCGAGAGCAGGCGTCGTATCCTTGGTTCTCACGACGTTTTTCAAATTCAGGAATCCCCTCTTCAACGACCCAAAACTACTACTACTTGTCGATGGGTCGTTACGATAATCATCGCTCGTTGTTGACTTCAAAACCAGCCCCCTTCCCCCCTCCGCGCGAAGGGCAATCGGATTCACTTCCGCTTGCTCCAGCCGATGCGATAAATCCAAGTCGTCGAACAACCGCGGAATACAGTGCGCAATCAAGTCCTGCTTCTCTGTCTTGTGAATTTCGTTCGCACTCGAAATGTTCTCGGCGAGGTAGGCGAGCATCATCCACTCCCGTTCTCCGGTGTTGCAATTCCACCGCGGTGGCTTTTGGTACACCGCCACGTCACAGTCCTCGTAAAGAAGGTTTGGCTTATCGCGGTACATAAACTGCAGGTCCTTTTCCAGCATTTCGACCACCGGGCAACCATCCCGATCGATGTAAATCAACCGCGGGTAGCGAAGATTTAGTTCTAGGTCTTGTTTATTTTCAACAACACTTTCGACGGTTGTAAGAGGACCAATGGCATGACTTGTTCTTTCGTGGTGGAAGAAGGGGAATTCTCGGTCCAGGTGGTCGTCTCCCTCTTCGTCCGAGGAATTATGGGAAACGGTCTTTTCGTGGTTCCCCGCTCTCATCAGCGACGGCTTGGACTTCTTGACTGCCCGGTTGTTGTTGGCCTCCTGCTCTGACTTCAACATTTTCACGATGAGGAACAAATCCGAGTAGTCCTCCACGGTATCCTTGCCGCTCGAGTTCGATTGCAGCCGGGGGAAAAACCCGCCCCAGAAGGTTTTAAGCTGCATAAAACTGTCGTGAAAGGGCGAATTCTGAAAGCCGCGTCCGGAAGTCCGGTGGACGTCAGGAACGCCGAAGAGCACGGACGGCAGGTAATTCCCTTCCTCCGCTCGGACTTGTTTCACCATCAAACCAAAAAGTTCCTCCAGTTTGTCTTCCCACACCCGGCGACTTTCGTGCTTCTTCGCCTTCACCTGCTCGAGGAGCCTCGTGTGCTGCAGCTTCCTGTGCCGTTTTTCCGAAAGGAGTTTTCGTTCCTGCTTCGACAACCAGAAGTCGGGACAGGACTGAAAATGGTTTATTTCGTCCTTGTCGTCAGTAGTATGATCACGACAGAATTGTTCCAGTTGCAACTTCTTCACCTGCCTTTCTTGTTGACTCCGCCACGCCTCCAGCACCAAGGGGTTGAGGAATTTTTCGTTCGGGAGGTTTTGCTGCACGTAGTACCCCTGGGTGCGGGTGGAAAGACCGTGAATTTTCTCGTTTTCCGTAGTGAAGGCTTCGAAGTGGCTCAGAGGGTAGTTTTTGACGTGCTGACAGAACGAGGAGCTTGTTCTGGAGGTAGGAGAAAAATGTTGCTCGTCCCCTCTTGCTGTTTTTGCAGTATCGTCGCCGCCGCCCAGTTTCAGATATTCTACGTACTCCGCTTCCCAGTCCTCCACATTTTTTCCCGGTACTTTCTCCCCACACCGCTGCAGCGCCTTTTCCTGGTCAAAATGGAACAAATCAGTATCAACTTCCTTCAACCGGCACACTTGAAGGGGTAAGTTATCCACCTTGAAACGATGGACCTGCAACCGGTACCGGAGCAGCTCGAGCACCTGTTCGAAGCGGATGCGGAACATTTTGTAATCTTCGAAGGAAAAAAACCCGGATGTTGAACAGGAGGACGGGGAACAAGCACGAGTGGGGAAGTGGTCTGTAGTTCCATTCACTTGCTGTTGCTGCACAAACGGGACGACCTGCGGTCCTGCGGGAAGGTGGATCATGTTCGAAGATGAACCTTTATTCCCGTTCATTATTCCCAAAACAGGCGGCGCTGGTCCTGGTGCTGGTCCTGCACCAGAAATCGTGTTTCCACCTTTCACATTCATCGCTCCGTTCTGCATAATTTTGACTCCAGGTGGACCCCCGAGCGGAATACAATTTGCGCCGGTCATCTGCTTGTTCTTGTTCTTATTCGAACCTTTGCCTGCAGGATTACCACCCTGGGGAACAAAGGCGGCCGCTCCAGGCTGCGACATGAAGGCACTGACAGTCGACGACGCCGGAGGTACAACTACCTGCGCGCCGGGTACTGCCATGTAGTTGCAGGTAGTTGTACTATTAACTCCCTCGTACTTCATCAGTACCTCGGTTGCAAACACGCAGTCGTCGAGCTTTAAAATCAGTTCCTGGTCTTGCAACACGAGAATCCTTATATCGTCACAAAACTCCTCCTCCTTATTGTAGATCAACTTCGAGAAATCGAGCCGGTCCCCCAATTCGCGCACGATAAACTTGTGCAACAGCCAGTGCTGCCTCGTCGGCTTATCCAACGCGCGACCCGGGACCGGGGCAAAAACGTCGCTGTCGCGGCTTTTCGGAATGGGCGACAGCATCCGCGGATGGAGTTGCTCTTGGAAATCCAGTAACTGCATGTCTTTTTGCTGGTGTTTACCGGTAAGCCCGGTGTCATCTTCGGATTGATGTTCGAAGGAAAAGTCAGAAGTAAGCCGCGGATTTTTACCATCCTGCTGTAGTTGCTGCTGCTGGTTGATGAAGATCTTGTTCTTTTCTCCCATTTCGTCGTAAAGAATCTTCCCCTTCTTCTTTCCCAATAGTGCCTGCAACTCTTCGGGAACCCAGCTCAAACGGTTCATGCATTTGGCGCCGTCGGCGAGCTTCGTCAAGTACCTCAGATTCGCGGTCGGATCCTCGTTGTTCTTCAGCATTTTGACCGCGTCCGGCTGCAGCAGATTCAAATTGTATGAACGAGCATTGTTGACCGCGGCCGCAGCTGTGGAGGTCCCAGCGTGGTCGATGCGCGCGGAGGTCGTGGTGAGGACCTCATTATTGTCATTTTGCGGTTGCTGCTGTTTCTGTGCAGGAGTCGGACCACCCGCGTTCGCTGGCCCGTCACAGCCAAGAACTTTCTTGCGCTGGTTATTCCATTCGTCAAGGTCCTGGAAAGAGGACGAGGAGGAAAAACTCGCTGCAAAAATAGACGAGTCCTCACACGATCCATCCGTGAGATCATGATTGTTCGAAGTAGAAGTCGTAGAAGACAGCAGGTTCCACTTGACCAGAAACACCTTATCCCGTTTCCAGCTGCCGGCAATCGGCCTGAGCAATTTATCGCGGTCGCACAGTAGGCGGCTCTCCTCCACCCGATCGACGACAGCGCCGTCGGAGGCTTGTTTCACCGTAACCGGTACTAGCTGTTTTTTCAAGATGCGCACTTTCGCCCCAACGGGAATCACGTCGCCGTCTTTCATTTGCAGCTTTCCCTGTTCCGCAAACTTTTGTAGTTGCTCCTCGTAAAACGGCTCCTTTCCGATAGGAGCAGCAGCACCAGTAGAGCCTGCAGCTCCTCCGTTTCCGAGGCCGTTCGTCTTGTTCATCCCGTGGTCCGCCGCATGCAAGGTCGTGGGAAAGGTCGACAGCTTCCCCTGGAGGTCGACGACGGCCTTGTTTTTAGTACCCGGTGTTTCCGGCTGTCTCGCGACAAAATCCGGGCCCTCGAGTAGGATGTGTCGGAGGATTTTCTCATCTCTTTTGCTGATTCTGTTCAATGAATTCTTCTGTATTTTTCCCTGTTCCTGATCAACAACATCTACTCCGGAAGCAGCTGATCCGCTGGTGAACATTTCTCTCGAAGCCGTTTTCTCCTCCTGCTCAAAAATCTTCTGCTTTTTCATTTTCAAACCAAAAAATCCGTCATTATTATTTTCCGTCCTATTCGTCCGCTGCGTACTCATGCGACCGGTGTTTCCAAGCGTTTGCAATGACATGCGGCTGGTTTCCTCACCGTGGTCATCATCTTCAGATTCTAGTAAATCGACGTCGACCTCTTCCACAGAGCTTTTCCCGATCCAGCCTTCCATGCTAATCGCCTTCTTCAATTCCGTCGTTTCCACATTGGACGCACCCACGGAAAAAACGTTGTAGTTGACTCGCTTCGGGCTTGGCTTGTCATTTTTATTAGCATCCTCGGGTTGTACTAGACCTTCTTGTTGCGCACGTGTTTCGGGTTCTCGGTTCAGCCAGTCACCGTCCACAACCGTCCAAGTTCTTGTAATCGCTGAGGCGTAGTGGTTCTTAAAGCTCCTGTTTCTTTTCACTTGACCGATTTCCCCGATGTCAAACTCCTGGTTAATAGAACAGATACTACCGCTTTCAACGTCGATAGGGCGTGGAGCCCGAGAGGTGCAGGACACAACTTTTTTGACAACACCTACGTCGGCGGCCGAGGAAGTGGTCGCAACATCGTCGTTCATTTTCACGGGCACGACACAGTGGCTCGGAATCGAGAAAAACTTCGTCGTTTTAGTACTGGCAGGAGAAGTCGCAGCTTCACGTTTATTTCTACCAGCCGACATCAAAGTACCGCTGTGAAGATTTTCGACATCTTCCTCCGTCGATGTACCGTCGCCATCATCACTCACCGTCATCACCCAGTAGTGCAGTTCGCACTTCATACCTAAAACCTCCCCGACGCAGCCTTCTTCCAGAAAGAATTCCTGATTTTTGACTGGTGACGCGTGTTGATCTTGCGGCTTCTTGCCTCCGACAAGATTGGGAATGATGGCATTGGGATTGGCAGCAGAAGCAGAGGACGAGGAGACCAGTGCTGGCATCAACGTGGGTGCTGTAGTAACTTTGTTCAATGTCGAGGATGGCTCAGAAGACGTCGCAGCTGTTCCACCACCTCCTATTGCAAGATCTGCGGCTTGTTTCGCCGTCTGTACTGCAGTAGCTATGCTATTCGAGGTAACGGGGACCCCTAGCATTTTACGAGTGGAACGCGACCTTCCGCGGTCGTTTTTGAAGACCGATCTTCCGCGGTCGTTTTTGAAGACCGATCTTCCGCGGTCGTTTTTGATGGCCGCCGTTTGGTGCTTGTGGGAAGTAGAATCCTTCGAAGACGCGGCGGTCTTACTCGTAGTCGTGTTCGCGCCCGTGGTTTTTGACGTCAGTAGCTGCTGCTGCCCTTGCTCTAGCAAAAATTTCGCCTTTTTCAAACTCAAGTTCTGGATTTCCATCCTCTTCCCAAGCGAAACACTATCCCCCCGGAGGAAGTAGCTGTACCCAGCAACGTCCCCGCCGTGGTCCAGGGTCACTTCCTTGTAGCTCAGGCTGGGATCGAGTGCCTTCCGCAGTTTCGCGTTCAAATCGGCGCTCATCTGGTAGCACCGGCGCCAGGAGTCCGGTACTTGGCGGTCGTAGGGGGCGTAGCTGAAGTCTTTCACCTGCGCGCAGGCCCGGGTGAAAAAGAAAAGCTGGCTCAGGAGGTGCTGGGGGATGAGAAAAGCGGGTGGAAGACTGTTCTTGTTGCTTGTTTCATGACCCGTTGAAGATGTTGTTCCACCGACGACAATCATCAAATTTGGCATGCTATTCGACACCGCGAACTTTTTCAGCTCTAATTTTTCCGCGTCGGAAATCATCAACCAATTAACGCGGTCGAGGAAGAAGGTCTTCAGCAAGGAGAGAACCAGTAGAATTTCATACTGGATTTGCTCGGTGGTTTTGGTTTTTGATGGGGCATAATTCTTTGTCTTTCTGCTGGTTTTTTCTACCATCTTCGGGAGCTCCTTCGCCGTTTCTTGTTCTTTGTGATCGAAAACATTTTTGTCCATGCTCTCCTGCTTGTGATCTGCATCAGCTTCCATTGCATGGTCCGTTGGTTCGTTTACTTTCTTCGCCTCAACATCTGTGGCGGAATCAGATAGAAGACCACCAGACTTCGCGGTTTGTTCTCCTTCTCCACTCCGGAGCACCCGGACCCGATCATACCGTTGGAACAAGATGTCAAAGTCCACGTCCTCGATTTCCACGCCTCTGTCATATATTTTCGGCTTAAAGCGCTTCCGCAAATCTTGTTCACTTGATGTTGCCCACCCCGTCTCGGTTGTCGTACTGGTAGTACAAGTACTACTTCCAAAGGAACAAGCAGAAGTCGCAGCTCCTGATGTTGTGCCGCTTCGTTGATTTTCTGTCACGACGAAGAGGTCGTTTGCGTTGTCCCGGTAACGTTTCGACCAGTACTGTTTGCTCACTTCCGGATCTTCAAACTGAAATCGCGACGAGAACGGCGTATTTTCCTCTGTATTCGGCTCTGTCGCGGATGATGAATGAGTGGTGTGGTGGTCCATTGCACACCTACTAGCGGTGGAACCTGGTCTACGTCTTCCCGCGAAGTTGCCAAAAATCTCCCGCATTGGCCGCAAATACCCGCTGAGCACCTTCGCCAAGCCTGCCAACACTGCTTGCTGCTTCTCGTTCCAGGAAAGGTCCACAAGGTTCGCAAACGCTCGCTCGGCCAAGACTTGGTTTTCTTTCTGGATTGATGAGGACCGCGCGTTCTTCTTGATCCACGCCGCGGCAACGTTCTTCGAGTTGCTTTCTTGGAGGGACTCCTGTACCTGTGCATCCTCCACACTGGGTAAAATAAAACTGTGGTAGTCCAGAAGCGTGGACCAACCGGAGTTGCGAAGCAGAGTCGAGTTCTTTATGGTCTTTGTGGCACCGGTAGAAGTAGCATTCTTGCTCATTTCGGTCCTACCTTTTTGCACTTCCGCAGCGTCTTCCGAGGAGGAGTTGCTTTTTGCATCTATCGCCGCAGCTTTCGATGCTTTTATCTCTGTGGCAGCTTCGACTTTCGAGGTTTTGCCTGTTGCTACGACGTTCCGCTGTTGAGGATCTTCCTCCAGGTGTAGACCTCGTCCCAGGAGCAAATACGCAAACACAACGTTCGTGCCGGGGACAACGACGGCGGTAGAGCAAGTACTGCTTTTTCTGTTTCTATCTCCCGCATCTTCGCCATCTTTTTCTGAGGCAATTTCGTGCTTTTCACCTCGCAGCTTCACTTGTTTCATCTTCCCAAGAGTACTAGCACTTCGAGCTTTTTTCTTTCTCACTTTCAGCGTCCCGGCCGCGTACAGTCGTCTTAGCCGCTGCAAGGCTCGCTGTCGTTGTTTCTGCCCGTGCAACTTTTTCCAATACGCCTCTATTTCTGCGACATTTCGGTCGGCGTCCGGGACATGTTGAAATACGACGCTCAGTGGGGATAAGAATTTGCTCCTTTCCTGCAATTCCTTAACTCTATCCAGCGAATTCTTCATCCCAGAAGTTCTTTGCAGTTTCCCAAACCGCGCCTCGTAGATACTGCGCTTCAAGAAGGAGAGAGCGGAGGTAATTCTAGTTGTACCACTACAACCATTGGTGGTAGGAGAAAAATCGTTCCTACAACTCCCGCGGCCCGTGCTTTTAATGTCCCCGACCAACTCCTCGAACCGGTTTCGGAAAAACTTCCGCACGCAATATTACAGTGAAAAGCCCCCACCCCCAAAGTTGCAAAAATTTGTCATGCGAAGTTTCCAAATGAAAACCTTTTGTCATGCATGAAAGGAATATGAATCTTTCTGATGCAGATTCTAGTGGTGTTTCGCATTGCTTGCATGACAAGCACCGCTCTTGCTGCGATCTTTTGCAATACAAATTTTTCCTATTCACGATCGGAAATCTGTGATGCTGATACATGCAAGAGGGCGAATGTTTCATTTGGAAAGGTTTGCAATACAAATGCTTTCAAGTTCGGGGGTGGGGGCATTTTTCTTTACGATACGCAAAACGGTGACTTCCCCAACCGGCTCTCGGAAAACATCTCGCTGGGGATATTACAATGAAAAATGCCCCCCACCCCCGAACTTGAAAGCATTTGTATTGCAAACCTTTCCAAATGAAACATTCGCGCTCTTGCATCTATCAGCATCACAGGTTTTCAATCGTGAATAGCAAAAATTTGTATTGCAAAAGGGCCCAGAAAGAGCGGCGCTTGTCATGCAAGCGATGCGATATACGTCTAGACTCTGCATCAGAAAGATCCATACTCCTTCCATGCATGACAGAAAGCTTTCATTTGGAAACTTCGCATCACAACTTTTGCACTTTCAGGGGTGGGGGGCACTTTTCACTGCAATAGGGGAGCACTTCGGCACCCAAAAAGTCGTAGGCAAAAAGCGTCTTGGTGAAATGCTTGGAGAAGGAAAGCCACTGCTGGTGTTGGGATGTTGTACTTGCATTGAATTTGACAGCTCCTTCGGAACAACCACGACGACGACGAGTTGCAGGAGATGCGCCCTGCTGCTTGTCCTGCTCTTCTTCTTCTTTCCTGTGGTCTTCATGGTCTACTTCTAGTACTTCTGTCTGCAGTAGATCCTTAGAAACCTGCTCCGCAATGGCATTCAGAAAGTCAAACACGGTGAGAAAGGAAATCAGCTCCTGCTCCGGCCCTAGATCCAAGTCCATCAAACAGTCCTCCCCCAGCGCAATCTTGTTTCTCAACATTTGCACCTTGAATTCAGGGAACAGAATGGCCGCACTACTCTTCCCGTACCAATCGGAATGAAGATCTTCTTCTGATTTTTTGGACAAAGAGTTGCTGCTGCCCGCGGAGCTGTTCTTGTTTTGGACCTGATTCAGTATTTTCTTGTCGCAGCTCGTGCTGCTACTATTCCCCCCTTCGGCCTCCGAGGTCGAAGATGACGCAACATTTTTAGTACCCTCCGGCTCGTCGCGCGCAGGACGTTCAGGTCGATCATCTCCTGCTGCACATCGACCAACCTCCCCAACATTCTGCACAAACGCCAGCCGGCTGAGCTGCAGGAGTTCCGTATCCAAGAGAGAAAGTGTTACAGTTACACATTTGTAGTGAGTTCAGCATTACAAATTTGCCTCGCATGACGAAGAAAACTTGTGTATGCAGAGTTCATAAGGCAAAACACACACGAAACTAGACTCGTAAGCATTTGGCGCATGACAGAGGTCGTTTGTCTTGCATGTTTTGCATCACAATGTGTAACTGTAACACTTTTTTCTTTGCATATTCCGAGAATTGCGAGACCATCTCGGAAATTTCCTTCTCCTCAAACCCGAGCTGCCACTTCGTATCAAATGTAAAAGTGTCTGCGTCTGGAAAAGTGCGTGGTTGTAATGCTTGTCTGGCATGACTCTCAAATCTGTCATGCACGTCACCCAAGAGCGCCATTTTTCTGTCATGCAGAAACGCAGTTTGTCATGCAGAATAGGCAACACGTAGAAGCTCAAAAACTTGTCATGCTGAGCCAGCACTTGCGGCCTCCTCATGATACGCCACCCAGCATCACAAGTTTCCAGGCCCAGACATTTTTGCATTTGATACTTCAAGTAGGAGAGTAGAACCACCGCTCGCGGTTCGTAATTCAATAATCCGGAAAACTTCTGCAACCCCCATTTGGAAATCCCGTACGTCTCCGAAAACGTGTCAAAAACCTTCTGCGTTGTGAACGCGACCGTCTTCCCGTGGTCGGTCAAAAGTGGCGTGGTGCGAAAGGAGCTTGTTTCCTCCGAATAGAAACCTTCGAAAGTGGAGGGTGTGAACGCGCGGTATTCGAAATAATTTGACGAACTTCTTCTACCGGTCGTGGTGGTAGTGCAAGAAGAAGAATTTTTCTTTGACGCTCGCTTGAGCTTGTTCTCACCACCATTCCCATCTTCCTCTCGCCGCAAGACCGCAAAGGCTGTGGTTCCCGAGGATATTACACTGGATCCTTCGCCGCTGGTCGTACTACAATGGATGCCTTCTCCGATTTCGATTTTTTCCATGGCAAGAAACTTCTCGAATGGAGTAAGAGTTCGTGTTACGGGTCGACGTCCTGCTTGCGGTTTCATCGTGTAGTTCTCCTCCTTATTTTCGCCCAACAGGTTTTCATTTTCTTCATCGCCCTCGACGTGAAACTGCAAATTTTCATCGCACTGGAAATAAGTCTTCCCGCGTTTCTTATTCTTTTTCTCCGCCGCCTGCATGATCTCCGCTAGTTCGTACACCAGAGGTTGGAACCACAGGCAGTAATCCGGGTCGCACTGTAAAACCGACAATCCATTCAGCAGCTGTTTCCCGACACTATGAATTTCCTCCCACCGTTTCGCATCGCTGATCAGGTGAGGAGCTAAGAGAAACTTCCACGCGAACTCGTAACTCCCGTAGTGGGTGCGGTGTAAATCGGACACTCCAGCGGCCGCGACCGCTTTTTTAATCTGCAATAATTTCTTCTGCAGCCGGACCGCCTCGTAGTCGAACAGCAGCTCCTCGTCCTTCCGGACCTTGTTGTATTCGAACGCAACAGTTGGTAGAAAACTGTCGAGTTTCTTCAAAGTCTCGGACGCTAAAAATTTCCGAATGCGAATAATTTCCCGCAACACGGTGGTAGGTTTCTTGTTTTCACTCCGGCACAACCACGCGTGCTGCCCCGTCGGGCGGTCGATGGTCGATACCAGGACGTCGTGGAAGGATTTCGCGAAAGCGAACCGGCGGTCTTTCACTTCCAAATCCGCGTCGGGGAAGAACTTCAGGATTTGGGCGGTCAAAGCTGCGGTGAGTTCGACGTCATCGCCGACGAGAGCACGCGCAGAAGCAGAAGCAGAGTCATGCTCTTCTTTCTCGCCAACAGAATCTTCTTTTCCACGAAGATGATGATGAACTATCTGCTGCGCTTCCATCTCCAACTTGATGTACGCTATCGCGTCTTCTTCGGAAAATTTTTCTGTGTCGTGCTCGCAATTTTTACTATCTCCAGGCCCCTTTCGTCCCAGCGTGCGCTCGAAATCGCTGATAGGAAAAACTACAAGACCTTCCCGAAATAAGTTCTTGTTGTTTTTTTCCAATTGTTCTTCTAACGCCCGTTTGTTTTTCTGCGAGAGCATGTCGTAGAAGAACATCGCGTTTAGCAAGCGCGAAATCATCTGCGTGTAAACGCCCAGTCGATCGCCTATCTCCGGTTGTAATGCCGCGTGGTCCGAAATGTTTTCCGGATCGATGCCGTACAGCTTTTCAAGGTCGTCGTTCTGCAATGCACGCAGATGATGTACGCAATGGGTCTTTTGCCGCATTTCGTGGAAATCGGCGGTGGCGTCGGTGACAAAGCCGGTGACGGCGGTCAATACTTCCTCTTCGTTAAGGGCATCTTCCCCGCTGCTGAGCGTGTTAACCTGAAGATCGTGCTCCACGCGCTCCAACAACGAGAGGATTTTGGTCGCTAGTTTTTGCTTCAAGGATAAAGAACAAGACCCGGTTGTTCTCTTCTTGCAGTTCGTAAAATAAAGTGAAGATGCACTCGTATCGTAACCATTTGCTGATGTACTCTTTTTCTGATCCCAGACTGTGAGCAGCAGGAAACTGATGAGAGACTCATAGCCAAACGCAACCTCGTTGCCGCCAAGAGAAGTGCAGGGGGAAGCAGAGGAAGAAGAAGATGAAATAGCATGTTGGGCATCTTCGGGTTTATTGCTGACGATATCGACTTTGCGTTTCTTCGCGTTCACATGTTCTGCAGCTTCGTCAATATCATGATCTGCATCTCCTTTTCCTACTAAATTATCCCCCGGAAGTAGAACATCAGCGCTAGGAGAGGCGGCCTGTTTTTCCACCTCCGCGTCCGCCTCTCTAGCTCTTTTGTTCTTCCACTGCAACCAGTCAAACAGCTGCTCTGGTACGGTTTTCACGGTTGTTAATTCCATAAGGCAAACCTCCGCGGCGTTGGCGAGAAGCTTTATTTCCGTGTCATCTTTGTTTTCCGCACTGCTTGCCGCACTTGGAAATCCATTTGTCTCAACTTCCGCGAGTCTCGAGACGGCGAATAGCTCCGCTTTTAAATGGTCAAAACTCGTCTGGATCTCGTCGTAGTCGATGCCGGAGTGCT